TGCGTGTTACGCACTCCATCCAGGACGATTGTGTAGGCGGGGGTTTTGTATGTGTTGGTGGGTTGGGTCACAGTTCGGTTGATGGTAGTGGGCAATGTACGCATGCATCCAGTTGTCAATTCAGTCACTCATGTAGGTTGCACGGCGGCGGGGAATGTGTTTTCTACGGGGCGATTCTGTGGAGGTAGTTTGAAGTTGACATGGTAGATTCTTGATGTCGTGGCTACGTGCTTTGTGGATTCAGTTGATAGATAAGATGCGGTTTATGGTATCGATGGTTGTGGTTCCGGTTGTGCCATGTGTGCAATCGTACGTGTGAAGGGGGGTTGAATAGGTATGTTTGGTTTTTGATGTACGATTGCATCACGCGAGGAGGATCGGAGATGGTTGGTGTCAGAATTCGTGTTTGTAGGTGTTGCTGCTACTGCTATTCTGTGGAGTGTTGGGATGGTACATGTATACTGTGCTGAAAATGTGTTTTCGAAGGTACGCTTTCGCGTTGGTTGGGGAGAACGTATTTATTGTTCTTGTTACTGTCATTGTTATCATTGTCGTCATCGTCATCAAGTCCTATCGTTCTCATCGAACTTCGCGGACCAGAAGCCTCTGAAGTGTTTCTGCTCGCCGAGCTCGTTCAGTGTCTTGATTTCTACAGGCGTCAACTTGAACGTCGCGGCCCGCAGGTAATCGCTCAACCGCTGCTCCTTCGAGCTCGTCGTGATCGCCACGACGTCCTGGTCAATGCAATACCTTAAGCTGATCTCCCCCTCACTGACCGCATATTTCTTCGCCAGACTGGCCAAAAAGTCGTCCGCGGGCCCGGGCTTCGCCTTCGTCACCGCCGTCAACGGCCCATACGCCACCGTCGCGATCCCAAGCTCCTTATGCACGCCCAACAGCCCCTTATGCTGCAAGTACGGATGGAACTCTATCTGATTCACCGCCGGCACCACCTTCGCGGTCTTCACCAACGCCTTCAGGTCCACGGGCCGGAAATTCGACACGCCGATCGACCGCGCGAGGCCCTCCTTCTGCACCGCCTCCATCTGCGCCCAGGCGCCCTGGATATCCTCGTCGGTCTTCGCCGCGAAGGGTGAGTGGATGAGGTACAAGTCAACGTAATCGAGGCCGAGTTTCTTGAGGGATGCGCGCAAAGAGCCCGCGATGTCGGAGCGAGATGTGTCGGGCACTTTTGTGGTGACGAAGAGCTTGTCTCGTGCTACGCCGGATTCCTGGATGGCGATGCCGAGTTCGGGCTCGGTTTTGTACACTGTTTTGGGGTGTCAGTTTATATGTTTTCGCTGAGAAGGAGAGGAGGAAGAGAAACGTACTCTCGGCGCCATCAAGGTGCGTGTACCCGAGCTTTATGGCCGTCTTTACGCTGTCGATGACGGCCTGGTCGATCTTGGACTCCTCGCCCGTCTTGTACCATGCGGTTCCTGTGCCATAGGCCAGCATCGGCATCGAGGTGCCGTCGTTGAGCTTGAGGGCCGGGATTGGGGTGTGGATGTTCGCCATGGTTGGGTTGTGTGCTTTCGTTCCTGTCTTTGGGGAGTGGATTTATGAGTGGTTTGCGGGGGGTGGTCGGAACTATGTGAATGAGGGAGGATGGGTGGAGGTTGAATTGAGGGGTTCAGCTATTTAAGGTCAAGTAGAGTTCACCATGGATAATTGGAAAGTGCGAGTAAGTAGTGTCCCACAGAGCAATTGGCAATTGGATAGCTACAGTACATGGGGAAGTGGAAGGTGGCGGGTGGTGGGGGTGATGGTTCGTGAGCTTGCTATGCAATGACGACATTGGTTAGACACTTTAGATTCCTCGTATCTTGAATGGCTTCTGATAGACATCGGATAAGGATGGGAAGAGGAGTAAACAAAAAAGCAAATTAAAAGACGCCAGCGTTCCGTTTTCCGGTCAATTGATGGGGAGGGCTTGAAGTGGGTGCTGGCCGATTGACGCGTAAATGATGCGCTTATCGGCTAAGGCATACGAGAACTAGTAAAGCATCGTGCTATGGAGAGCTCTTTTGAGAGCAAATCGAGAATAAGGTCTACGCAAAAGGTTTATGAAAGTCAGTAGTACTTGGAGACTAGAAGACCTGGAAGTAAAGATAGTCCATGATATCTAATTATTTGGTAAATGGCCTGGTTAATTAAAAGAAAGATGAAATGTTAACTCGAGACGTTGGAAAATGTAGACGAAAGACCAGGGGTCCATGCATCACGTGATCTGAGGTTCGACCTTTACCTGCCCTCCCAAATCTTCGACTTATCAGCGCCTTCACCAACCTCAACACCGTCACTCGGTGTCGCAACCATTCGAATCCACCGCGCGAAGTCGCATCATCTCTCAGAATCAAGCGCCTTATTCCATTCCGGGAGTATCAACTCGCGCATTCACCCCACGGCTGAATCTACTACAGCCCGGCGCGCGCGGCTGCCGCGACTTTTTCCTCTCCCGTAGAAGTTGCGATATTCAGGGACGTAACATACACCACACACCGAAACTGCCACGGTGAACACCATCCTCCCCCATCATGCCTGGAGTTGTAGAGAAGAAGGGGAAGAAGTTGTCCAAGAACGCCTATCGCAGAGCGAAGAAGAAGGCGCAACGTGAGGTAAAGTTCCACCCGTATCCTTCCCACTCACATGTCGCGCTGACTCCCTCACAGGCAACGCCCGCAGCTTCGGAGACGGGCGAGTCTGAGAGCGAGGCCGAGTCCTCCATCTCCACAGAACAGGATGCTTCTTCCAATGGTACGGCTGCGACGAAACCTTCAGACCTATTGACCTTCGACGACCTCTCGAACGAGTTCGACTTCGACAACCCGCTGCTAGAGCAATACAAAAATGTGTTCATGAAATACAAGCAGCCAACGGAGGAAGAGGAGGCCAAGCAAGATGAAAAGCCAGCCATCTACTACGATGATGACGACGACGTGCAAGACGAGGAGGAGGAGGCTGAAACGGTACGCAAGATATCTAGGAAGGCCAGGAAGAAGGCAAATACTTTGTCAGTTGCCGAGCTCAAGGCAATAGTGAAGAGGCCTGAGCTGGTTGAATGGACCGATCCGTCATCCTCGAGCCCCGTGCTTCTGATGGAGATCAAGGGCGCAAAGAACATCATCCCCGTCCCGGGCCACTGGTCATTAAAGCGAGAGTATCTGTCTTCGAAACGAGGTATTGAGAAGCCTGCCTTCTCCCTGCCGAAATTCATCCAAGAGACGGGTATCTCTGAGATGAGAGACGCTCTTCTGGAGAAGCAAGCAGATATGACGATGAAACAGAAGCAACGGGAACGAGTGCAAGGAAAGACGGGTAAGATGGACATCGACTACCACAAACTCTACGACGCCTTCTTCCGCCGGCAGACGAAGCCCGAGATGACTCGTTACGGCGAAGTCTACTACGAGGGCAAGGAGTACGAGACCAACCTTAAGCACCTGCGACCCGGCGAATTGAGTGACGAGCTGAAGGACGCCCTCGCACTCGCCCCTGGCAACCCTCCTCCCTGGCTCATCAACCAACAGCGCTTTGGACTCCCACCATCGTATCCTCACCTCAAAGTGCCTGGCGTGAATGCCCCCATCCCGGCTGGAGCCAGCTGGGGCTACCAACCAGGACAATGGGGAAAGCCACCGACTGATGATAACGGCCGTCCATTGTTTGGTGGTGACCTCCACGGATTAACTGAACTACAGTTACAACAGCAACAGCTTCACCCCGGAGAACCCGTGGAGCGTGCACCCTGGGGAACATTGCGCGCCGATGGCGAGAGTGATGAAGAAAGTGAAGAGGAAGAAGACGAGGATGATGAGGGTGACGAGGAGGATGGCGACGAGGACTTGTCTGGCGCCCAGACCACTATGACATCGGCCTCTGGCATCCCGTCTGAGATCGGCGGCACGGAGAGTATTGGCGGCGAGTTCCAGTTGCGGAAGCAGCGTAAAGGTATCGAGACAGAAGAACCCCGTGGTCCGCCGCGCAGTGCAGGTCAAATCCTTCCGGAGAGAGACATTCAGTCTACTGGATTTTTCGGTGGCGAGCATGCGTACGACCTCGATGCCGCCCGCCGGGACACGTTCGGCCAAGATAAGAGAAAGAGAAAGGTCGGCGAAGTGGAGATGTCTGTGGACGTGGATGAATTGGAAAGGAACGATCGTTTGGATAAGGACGCTTTGAGGAAGCAGTACGAGGCTCAGCAAAAGGCGGAATCTTCGGGTCAGCTGCACAGCATTGATCAAGATGACCTCAGTGAGATGATCGCGGCTCAGAATAGGAAGAGGCAGAAGCTGGATGACGAGAAGCGTAGGAGGCGTTAAGATGTATACCAATTGGATGCGAATGGACACCGTATGGCATGGGATGGGATAGTTTGTAAGAATATGAGAACAGCAGGAGAAGTATCAAGGGGAGCTTCTGAGCTCTGCATCATACCGGGCGTTAAGGGCAATGCTCGAGCATATCCATGGGAAGAATAGGAGTAATGGCGGGGATTTGATGTCTTCCGAGAGCCAGGACCCGGCAAGCTTGCAAAGAATTCAATGGGAATCAAGATCATATGAACAGTGGAATCACGAATAGGATAGTGTGGTCTCCGAGTGACTTGCTGACATGGCTATCGAGAACGGTAAGACTAACAAGGCGCTGAAGACGCCGTCGAGACAGGAAGTATCCAAAGGATATGATAGTCACTGGATTAGGCCAGGAAACATTACGTTAGGACCTTCGAGACGCGAAACCGACGAAACACGCATTCCAATTTTGCACCATCATTACTACCTGCCGACGTGTTTACTAGCATCAAGATTGCCCGGCGAAGTCAAAAGATTGTCTGGGAGGGCTGTGTGATAGGCAGCGTTGCAATCCAGTCAACCATTCGACAGATCGCCGCCCTCACGTGATCGCAAAATCGCGTTTCGGCGCGCTTAGCTTTGAACGAACTTCACTTTTCTGCAACCACCAACACTATTACTTTCCGCACACTTAGCGATACCTTCTGGGCTCAATCTACGCCAGATACTGTCGTTAAAGTATCACTTCAGCTTAGCATAACGCATTTCATAATCTTCGGTCGTATCTTTAAGAAGCATCCATGGAAAGGGACAGAGACCGAGACCGAGATCGAGACCGGAGGTTTGCTGCACCCATTTCGTATGTCGAGCGAGCATGATTTGACCGCCTGCGCCGTACCTTGAGGTGGTCTTTTTCAATCCTGGTTCTAATTCTTTGTTAGAGATGACAGATACTCCAACACCTACCGTCCTCGTTCCCCGATCCCTCGTGGCGACAGCTACCGCGCTGGTCGTTCACCTCCCCGAGGCCGTGGCGTATTAGCTGCCGATACATATACTCCAGGCGGGAGACCTCCAAGGCCCAGGAGCCGTTCTCCAGGTTTCCGACGTCGTTCACGGAGTCCTAGGCGGGACGACGACCGATGGAGAGCAAGGCCTCGATCACCACCACGACGACCATACTCTCCTCCTCCTCGACGTGACGACTATAGAAGTGACCGTGGACGTTCCCCCAGGAGGGATGGATATGACTCGTATACACGATCGCCGCGAGTGCGCGACCGCTCCCTACCACCAAGAGATCCTTCGCCAGCTAGAAGTCGTGGAATGCGCTCGCCCCTCCGTCCCAGCAGATATGACGAGCCGCGCTCCCGCGCTCACAGGTAAAGTCGAAACACCTTTTAACAATCTTCTTTGACTCATTCCCATATAGCCCCTACCGCCGGTACTCTCCTCCACGCGATACTCGTGATACTCGCGACACTCGAGACAATCGTGACATCCGTGACACTCGGGATTCTCGTGATGTTCGCGACGCCCGTGACTCTCGAGACCCTCGCGACTATCGTCGAAGATCACCTTCCCCACCGAGACGTGAGCGACAAGACCCATATACTGCAGATACTTGGAGGCGAAGGTCACCATCACCGGCCAGACCATTCCAGTCCAACGATGTCTCCGGACGGGAATCTGCAGCTACCTCACGACGATCATCTCCACCTCCGGTCCATCCTAGCAGGATAGCGATCATACCTGACGAAAGGCCCATCCGAGAGCCTGTTTCCGCGCCCCGCTCTCCACTTCCAATCCGAGAACGAGATGATCGAGAGCGTGACCGAGAGTACGATAGGGATCGGGATTTTGCCCGGGATCGTGAGCGAGAGCGCGAGCGCGAGAGAACACGCGAGAGGTCTCCTCCTCGCATCCGTGATGCCCCACCTACTGGCCCTCGTAGTGATCGGGAATTTGCGCCACCTTCAGGACCTTCGGCGACCAGGAACGGAGACAGTAACTTTCCACGAGCGCCGCCGACTGGACCTGCCAACCGCGGATATACTGCACCTGCTCAATCGCCCCCAGTTGGACCCTCGAATACCGCCCCTCAACCTCCTGCTTTTCCACGCGCTGGTAATCCTATTTTGGCTGCTCCTACTCGGCCGTCAGGTCGCGGTCGTGGAGGTTTTGGATACGATGCGCCTCGTGACTTTGCTCCTAGACGTGGTTCTGCGCACTGGGGTGGTCGAGGAGGTGGTGGCGGCTTCTACGGTGGTCCGCCCTCTGGACCTCGAGGAGCTCCTAGTGGACCTGGCGGTGGATCTGGTCCAAGTCCTGGGCCTGGTGCTGGCCCTGGCACTAGCCCGGCTTCTGCTTCTTTCAATGCTCCCTTCCGCGGATCGACAAATAGTACCTCGACGACTTATCCACGCACCCAACGGTTCCGTGACCATCTCTCTGATCTGCCGAAGGAGATTCCGGGAGGGCAAAAGGCACCTGACTTGTATGACCACAGCAAGATCAACAAACTAGAAGACGAAGCACGTAGGTTGAGGGAGATGATCGAAGCGAAGGAGGCAATCAAGCGGCAACGTCTGAAGGAGTGGGACGGACTAGAGAAGGACGCGAACAATGCAGCCTTGAGAGCCGACCTTGCTGAACAGCAACTGAGATCTTTGAACGGAGAGGGCGAAGTTGGCGGAGCTGCTTTCTAGTGAGGAGCAGATTTGTAAGAGACTTCGACATTGACCATGACATTTCTGGGGAGTTTTGACCGGCGGTGAGATACTTCTGGTTAATTTGCATTAATGGGGCACTGGATGGGACGCACTTGCATGGCGAAATCATAGATTGGAAGTTATTGGTCGAGATCTGTACGATACCACAGTATGCAAACTTGGACATTAACAATATGTTTAAAGGTTCACATGTGAGGACTTATTACATGGATTGTGAACGGTCACGATGAGATACTAGGAACGAATACTAATAAGGGACTAGAGATCACATTGTGTTCTATATACTTCATTCTGTGGCAGCATACTTCGAATACGATGGGTATAGGATACAACAAACGAATGACTATAATACAGACCCCTAAAACTACACTATACACTAAAACGAACTGATTACTAGCAATGAAAGAGGGTATCAAATCAAGACGCGTAAGGAAAAATGACAGGACTCCCGAGCAACCACACCCTCCACCACCTAGACATCTGCCTTCGGGGTTGCCTGCGTTCCTTTGACCTCGAATTCCGATTGTGCCGTCACAGACGCGTTCCTGTTCCCATCTGCCTGCTTGGTCTGCTTGAAGAAATACTTCCCAATATACCCCCTCCTTCCCCACAGCCTGAAAGGATCTAAGACACCCTCAAGCACACTCCTCTTATTCTGCTTCTTCTCCCTCCTCAACCTCTCCAACTCCTCATCACTCATCTCCCAAAACCGACTCTTCTCATCCCTCCCAACAATCATGCCATACACATCGAACGGATCAAACACCGTAACAATCCACGGCCTATCATCCGCCCACCCAGGCCCCCTCCTCTCCGTAACCCCATCCCTATCCAAAAACACCGAATTCGACCTCGGCAGCCTCTTCCCAGGATGCCACACATTCAACAGCACAGTGTTAATCCACATGATGATCGCCTCGAAGATCCAAAAGAAAACCTCGTTCTTATAAATCGCCGAGTCCCACCCCATAATATACTCCACCAACCTATAAATACACCTGATCGTAATGATCATTGCACTCGCGTACAGCACGTACAACACGATCGCGAGGTCCTTGCTCAAAACACCTGCACGCTTGGCGCGGAATTGGAATATGACGGCAAGGACCCCGAAGGCGCCGAAAAGGGCGGCTTGTAGGCATAGACTTGCCGTCACGAGGTGGCTTCCGATCTCGCGCTCCTTCTGGCTGCGGCTGCTGTCCGCCATGCGCCATGCGCCCTGGCCGATCAGGATCTCGCACACGGCGTCGAGACCGACGAAGGTGGTGGCGACGCGGCCTGGGTGCAGGGGGGAGAGGTAAGGGATGTAGTAGAGGATTCGGGAGAGGATGATGTAGTTTATGAGGGCGTAGACTGGAGGCCCCGACATGATGAGGATGACGGCGGTGATGAGGTAGGTTAGGGAGTCTGGGTGGTAGGCGGCGACTAGGCGGATGGCGAAGCCGGCGGTCATGAGGAGGGCGGCCCAGGGGAGGAAGAGGGTTGTTCGCCATGAGTGGTGTTTGCTGGGGATGGTGTTAGTGGGATGTGTTGATTGATATATGGCACTGATCGATGGGGAAATGGCAAAAGAGAGAAAGGTACAAGGCAGGAAGAAGTCTGATTGATGGAGAAGAATAGAATAGAATGTATGATACGGGACGAAGTAGGGAAAGAAGGGATCCGTACATTGTCTGATATGTATGTATGACTCCACTGATCAAGAAGAGTACTATGAAGACAATAGGAGCAGCTTTGTTTGGTGCATAGTACCAAACGCTGCCGGGTGCTACACCAATGAATTAGATATGATAAGTCCAGGTAGAATGGTAGCACATACAGTAATCTCCCATGCCCATCTTGACGACTCAAGAAGATATGATGCCTATGATTTAGGAGTTGTGATATGGAAAAGATATGATGTTAGATGTCTCCAAGCATTGCCCGAGTAAGAGACTCTTATACAAAGCTGAGAAGCCTAAGGCATACGCATGTATCCAATGCGCAACGAATCAGGCGTACAGTTCTAATCTAGGTAGTGTGGCGTCTATAAGACTATGAGCAATAATGATACATCACAGGGCGCGATCAGAGCAATTAAATGGCGATGAGAGATTTTGGAATGAGTGAATTCTAAATGGGAAACATTGAGCTATTAAGGCTGTAGAACCCGCAATGCGAAGAATGCGAGGTAAGGCTGCATAGGCGCGTGAGAGCGATGTGCCACAAACAGGGACTGTAAGGCGTATTCGCTTGAAAGAGCCGGGGATGAGGCGCATTATGATAGGGGCAATGGGATCGTATACACATCCTATCATCACGAAAGAAATGTTGACCGGTTTTCCGGTCAGTGGAGGCTTGGACGACGTTAGAGATTAGCTGGGAGAGCGAACAGAGAGAGGTTTGGTGCTAAGACAAAAGCGTATTAGCCGATACTGCTCTCTGAGAAGCGGTGTCGAACCACGTGCATAGTGCATACCTACATTCACGACCATCCCATCGCTTACGTGCTTTGCAACAGACAGAAGCCTTCTTTTTTTATTCTATTCCTTGGAGATCTTAATATCGGGGCACGTGTTTCATGAGCGTGGCGGGAAATGGTGCACCAGGCTTGGGTGCCGTAGATGATGCTCGTAAGCAGCGGCCTATTGAATCCAGTGTGATGGATGGTTCATCGACCTCAAAGGTCACGGGTAAGGCCCCTACATCAACGTAACCAAGTATAGATGCTCAATATGTGTTCTAGTCGAGTATCATGATCCTTCAGGTGTATTTCCGTTGGTCCAGGAACAACTCACAGCTCGCTTTCCACTCCGCAACCTCCATTGGAAATCACCAAATCGCCCCTTAAGATCTATCGACTCGTTGCATGTGGACCTTGTTCCTAGCAGCGACTCTGTACATATCTCTGGGGTGACTTCTCCTGGATTGACGGTTCCAGATGCTCAGGGATCCAATGCTACTACGAGTGCCGAAATCTTTAGGGCGCCTCCAAAGGAAAGGCGACATCAAATCCCCGGACTCCGTCGAACGCCATATCTGAAGGTTTACCTGTTACGATGTGATGACTCTGATTCGTACAAATCAACAGCGCGGAAGCAATTAAGGGAGTGGGTCAAGGCTCACACGCCTCCATCGCAAAGCAGCTCTTCCAAGGATCTGGAAAATCACGATGCATTTGAATGGATGATCATCCACATCGTAGTTCCCGACACTCCTGCAGCAAGTCAACCTCGCGGGTCAGCCTCGTCTAGTAGTACTGCAGGTGAGAAAGAGAAGTCGCGATGGACCCGCGGTACGACAACCATCCTCGAGAAGATCCGGGCCGATTTCAATGTGTCTTCCAAGTCGGCGCCAGATCGTGTAGCGCAGATCAGACTGCAGAAGGATGTGGTCCCGCCGCATATGCTTCCGCAGGCCTCTGCGGTCTCGACGCCTCCTATCAGCGAAAGTCCCCAGGAACAAGATAGAGCCTGGACTGATGTCATTGTGAAATTCAAAACCCTGATCCTACTCTCTTTTGACTTGAGAGTGAGTCAATACGAAGAAGACATCAGGGAAAAGGATTCGCAGAGAGTGCTTCCGGGCTGGAACTTTTGCACATTCTTCATACTCAAAGAAGGTCTTGCGAGAGGCTTCGAGAGCGTGGGACTGGTCGAGGATGCCCTGCTCGGCTACGATGAGCTTTCAGTAGGCCTGGATGCTATTGTACGTGAACAGGCCAAGTCGGGTGATGAGACGTATGGTGGCGTTATACCAAGCTACTCCGAGGACCTTTATGCAAAGGCAGCGGAGATTCTGAAGCGTTCACAGAGGGATGATGGGGGACGAAAGGAACCCCAATCTCATATTCACGACTCGAAGCCTCTAGACGCAAACAAGAAGAATTATCGAGATCTGATTCTAGCAAACAACATATCTATCTTCGACTTCCGTTGCTACATATTCGCCCGACAAGCAGCCCTGCTCTTACGTCTAGGAAATGCCCATTCTTCCCGATCAGACCTGGCAGCTAAGGTGCATCCTAGGCCTCCTAACGTCCGGCGCTCAACCGATGATGTCAATATGGGGACCAAATCGGCTGCTCAGTCTGATGTGTCTGAGGATCTATATTCCTTAGCTGAAGTGTGCTCCCGCGCTCTCAACTTCATCACCTTTGCAGGTCGGCTGTTGAGAGCCGATCTTCACAACGGTGCCAAAACCCACGACACGAAGTTTCCCGAGCAGCTAGTTGAAAACATCGTACGCTCATGGACGTATGCCTCCTTGCAGCAAATCTTGGAGGACACTGCAACCTCTTCCCTGCCAATTTCGAAAATGATAATCGAGACCGGCACGGGCTCTTCGGACAAGATGCAACCTTTTGGGGGTCACAACAAAGAGCAGAAATTGAGTCTTGCTGAGCCAAAAACCATGATACACCCGGCTCGAAAATCATCGTTAAACAATGGTCGCTCCGCGTCGACAGAGCCACCATATGCCGCATCAACGTCTTCTGCCCAGGTGGTATATGCCGATGGACAATATCAAGACCGTCCAGTTCCCGGCCAGGACCCGAATGCCCAAGCGGTAAAGTCGGGACAGCAGGACTTGGCTGGCAACAGAGCTCAACTGTATGTTGTTCAGAGGCGTATCTTGGAGAACATAGGGAAGGCATTAGGGTGGACTATAGGTTGGGCCGCAATTCTCGAGGACGACCTAGATTCGAAGGAACTCAGCGATGTCGACCTGGACAAAGAGGATTCTGAATCCGACGAGGACGATGAAGAAGATACTGGTGCCGTTGCCAAATCCAAAGCCCCTGAGGTCACAAGCCCGACCGTTGGTCTCGCTGCTGCTGCTATTGTAAGCGCCGTATCATCTCTGGAGAACTTCCACCGCTACTATGAAACGTTGAGCGATTTGATCGTCAAACACTACATGGCTGCTGGTCAAGCCAAGGCGGGCGAAAGCATATTGGGCGATCTTGCTGCCCTTCGATTCAAACTCGGCGACTACGCAGCGGCGTCGATGTACTTTGGCCGTATGGCGTCTTCGTTCAGGGAGACAAGGTGGAACCTTGTGGAAAGTACGATGCTTAAGATGCACGCAGAATGTCTTAAGAAGCTGAACCGTAAGGACGAGTACGTGAGGAAACTGCTTGACCTGTTGGCCAAGTCGGCAGCGAATGCGAAAAGCCTACGCTCCTCATTCAGGCGGACTAGCGCCGGTCCTGGGACGCATTCTGCGAATCACTGGCTGGACGATGACAAGGTGAACACCACTGGCATTCTTCGGGAACTCATCGACTTCTCCGAACAGCTACCGTACGATGTTACGGTCCCTATGCTCGATTACTTCAGCGACATATCTGTGGAACCTTACGTCAAGCACTTTGAAGACAAGGATGGCTTCCAGCTTCGCGTTTCTTTCAGACATCTTTTGGAAGATCAAGTCACGGTCCAAAAGGTCAGGATAAGATTGGTGGGCGCCAGTACCGAGCAAGGAAAGGAGATTTGGCTCGAAAGCGATGGCCCCTTTGAGGTTAAGAAGGGGTTGTGCCATTTGTGGCTCAGTTCCAACGTGAGTGTATAGGGAATATCATATCATCTTGAGACTGACATTTCCCAGGTAAACACAACCGGTCCGTACTTATTCGACAAAATCGTACTGGAGGCCAAGCGGATTATCGTCACCCACGAGCCTCTCAAGCTGGACGAACAAAAGGATTCTCTAGGCATCATTATGTCGCCATCTATCAAATCGCTCAAGGCTGCACGGAAGTCTCGAATCCTATGCTTTCCGCGGTCTGAGTCCTTCCAAGCTCGGCTGTACTTGTCACATTTTATACACATTGATCGACAGAAGTCCATCGAAATCGAGTGTTCTAGTGGATGGAACGACATTGAGATGGCAGAGGTTAGACTCAGGTCGGCATCTGCTGGCCTCAGGCTACGGACGGCTAATGCCACTGTGATAGCAGGCGATGCAACGATCGAGGAGCAAACAAAACCAGGGATTATCAAAATTTCTGGTCTGGAGTCCAATTCGAAGGCTGTTCTTCAGATACCATATGACTTGGAGATCGTGCTACCTGAGCTTTCAGTCAAGGTCGAGATCGAGTATAAGACTGAAAAGGGTCAATTTCAATACCAATCGCCCTTCACCATCCCTATCGATCTTCCGCTAGACGTTAACGTCCATGACCACTTCAAGAGCGGTTCGCTTTACTCGAAGTTCAACATCAAGACAGCAAACCAGGTTCCATTGTTCATCCATGACGTCAAACTGGAGGGGTCTGAGGAGTACGAAGTACGTTCGCCGAGAAGGCCGGACGAAATGGTCAAGGTCTTTCCGAGACAGCCATTGGCGATTACCTACAAAGTGACGAAGAAAGAAGTTCTAGCATCTCAACGACGACAAAGCCGGCCGGGAAATGCTGGAAGCCTTTCGCTGTCTGTGGTGTACCGCTGTTTGAACGAAGATGTGCTTGAACGGGCTCGAGAACTCTTCGCCAATGACGCAAACGCTGGTCAAGTGCGACAGATTGCTCCTCTTCTCATTGCAACGTTCGTGGAAAGACTACAGCACCGTGTACTTCCGCAGCAGTATGAGAAAATTGCTTTACTGGATAAGGTTGACCTGGGATCGTTTGAAGCACAGGATTGGGCTGAATGCATTGAAACCGTGCCACCGCCACGACGCGAAGATACTCTGAAGTGGCTGCAGGATTGGCATCAGGTGAGCATCTTTTATATATCTTGAAGTTATCGGACTACTGACATCATTGCAGACTAACAAGACTATCCTGTTGCATTCGCCAGCGGGATCTGATCCTCAGCCTGCCAATGTTGCGCCTCAATCACCCCGTCTTCCTCGACAAATCATAATATCTGTTGCCATACCCCAAACGCATATTGTTCACACAGTATCTCTTACCCCTGTATCTGCAGAGCAACCTTCGCCCTATGCAACAACAATCGCAGAAGTAGGACAGCCATTCTTGACGCACCTCAGGATCAAGCACACCCGGAAATGGGGCTCACCAGAGAGCCTCACCTCGCTCGCCAACCTCAAAAGTCCCACTGACCCCATCGAGTTCGTCTACGCCATCGAAGCCAATCCTGAGATCTGGCTGGTCGCGGGCCAGCGCAGGGCACACCTCACGGTAAGAGAGAACGAGGAATTCAAAACACCAATCATGTTAGTTCCTCTCAAGGCGGGTCACACCATGATGCCGAATATAGAAATCAGGGCCAGGATACCGCCCAGGGCGGATCCAAAGGATGAACCGGAGGAGCAGCTGAACTGCGAGACGGATTACTTGAGCTATGGGGAGAGTGTGATGATTGTGCCGAATGTGAGGAGTAGTACTGTGGGCATTGGCGATTTAAGCTCTCCGAAGAGCACTGTGTGGCTCGAGTCCGAAGCTAGATGATTGCAATGTATAGAAAGGAATCCTGCACAATCTTTGATGTAGTGACTATTTTGGCTGCGTTGTAAATAGAAATCAATGAATACGGACCCTGAGCTGAGCATAAACACATGCTTCGTTTGTAAAGGTTTAGCGTGTGGAGTTTAGCGCGTGTGCGGCACCAGAAGCCAATCAGACATTGTGTTGGTGCACTCCCGCGAGCATGCATTATTTTGTTTAATTTATTTATTATTTCGCGTTCACTAGTCGAGCCAAGCCATCGTCACCTCCCATCATCTAGTCCGACTTCCATTCCCCCTCAAAACAAACGACAACAACAACAGACGACCAACGCCGCATTCCAGAGGGGGCCATTGGATAATTCGACACCTCACCCCTCGCCTACTCCGGTAGTGTGGATCCATCGAGAAAATTCCTGATCCATACACACCCTTGCCATTTCTACGCTAGGGCGCTTGCCGCTACGTAGTTACTGACATGGCCGACGATGACCGCCCTTTCACTCCACGCCGGAGCCGATTCCAGGAGGGCACGATGAACTCGATGAACAGCATACACCCGCCGCCCGAGGAGCTCTGGGTGGAACTGGGTATCGAGGACATAATCAGGAGAGCGAACGAAGACAGCCAGAGGGCTAATCCTCGTAAACGATCCGCACCGGACTCGAGTACCGACGATGGGGATGTTGTCACCGCCATCACCACGTCAGAGTCTTCGCAGAGCCTGCAATCGAACCACCAAAACATCTTCGAGCGGTTCTCTCGAGCTGCGTCGTCCTTCTTCCGCGGGAATGGATTCAGCACCCTAGGAAAGCGGAAAGCAGGCGAAAGAGATGCCGTAAAGGAGGCATCGTCCCTGAAGAAGGCCTCCTCGGCGGAGAGGGAGCTGCTCAAGGTGGCAGACAAGGAAAACATAAACACACCGGCCCGGGAGAGCAGAAAGGAGGAGTACGAGCGCGCATACGCCGAGGCCAAGGAGAAAGGGTTGCTCCCCAAGCCGCAGGTGTTCGTACGACCTCGTGCTACCCCACGTGGTACACCGCGTCCTGGTGAGTTCTCGATTAGGATCTGCAGACCAATGGTCTGTGTTCGAATGAATAGATATGCTAATCGAGTGAAACAGCTTCCGCCCGTAAAGAGAACAGCAATGGCCCCGAGACTCCCATGCCAGCATCGACGCTCCGCGCCTCAGCGAGCAAGAAAGACCTAGCCAAGCAAGTGAAACTGTCGAAACGGGTCTCCGACCTGGAGCAAAAGCTCGCAGTCGCCCGCAAACAGCTCCACGATGCCATTGGCGAGCCCATGCCAACCCTGCCAACCCTGCCTCCCACGCCGAACACTGCAACAACATCACGATCGCAGAAGATCTTCACGCCCGTCCCCGTCCCAGTCGACACACCATCGACAGCACCAATCAAGGAGAACCTGGACTCAGAAGACAACTCATCATCCGCAGCAGCAACGACCACCGACTCCGGAAGCGTATATGCCGCCGCTGCTCCTGCCCCAAAACGCACCCCCAGCTCAGCAGGCAAGATCGTGAAGAAGCGCAAGGCGAGCACCAGCCACGGCTACGACTCGAGCGGGGAGTATAGGCCCATCCCCACAGAATCAGACTACGACGAGTCGGACCTGTCCGAGAAGAAGACGCCCAACAAGCGTCGGCGCAACCGCGGAGGGGGCCGCTTGACGAAGAAGCGGTCGGGCGTCAAACCGCGGCAGCAGCAGGATAGCGACGTCGTCATGGCTGATGGCAGCGACGGAGCAGCAGCAGGCGACGTGGACGACAGGAGCAGAGAGAGCAGCGTCGTGATGATCGTGCCCGACGGCGTCGTTGTCCCACCAATTCCATCCATTCCCAAGGATGTGCAGGGCAAGAGAGCGCAGATCAAGGAGACAGACGGCTTTGGCGGGTATGGCCATGAGATCTTTTGAGTATGCTCATCCTACGCTTGGTCAGTATCTTCGTCGTTGGATTCCCGACCTTCCTCCCTATCACCGTATCATTCCTGTTCGCCAGACCCATCACCTAAAACCACAGAACCCTCTTCCTATTCCGCTAAAAAATCCTTTCGTCGTTCACCCATTCATCCATTCAAGCGAGCGAGCAACCTCCATTAAAAACGAGCAAAGGCGTCTGTTTGATTCTGGGGTCGTCTCTCTCTAGGAGACCTTTCTTTCTATTTCATTTCTGGTGTTTTGTTTTAACGTTACCGTTTGACGAAAGACATGACTCTCTCATGACCTACAAACTGTTCTCTTTCTTGGCGCATTCCTGCTTCGTTGAGGTGCATAGCCTACCTAGTATATATTTACCTCTTCGAAACAATAATACTGATACCGATACCGACCACTCAGATGTTGAACGATGATGTTATCATGGTGATTATCTCCTAGGTTGCAGGGGCGTATACCTGCATCGCAGACTTACCCCGTCACGTGCCCGCCTGACACAATCGAAATCTACTGTATGATTCGACTTACCCCAGAGGCACATCTACAAACCACCGCATGATTGGACACTCTTCCGAAGGCGCGTCGAGGGGTAGAAAACGCGTCCTCCCAGCTCAAGCCTCACACCTTACACCTCACACCTCGCACTTTACTCTTCACGCCCGACACCTCTCACTTCACACCTTGCATCTTATGCTCTATGGTATCATTTTAACTGAAAGTTTGATGCTCAATTTGACTTGTGTGAAAGGACAAGATACACAGCAGCCGTGTTCTGCGCATTAATTCGCCAGACATCTTCGAGCAAGATTCACTCCCACAGCGCAAGCATCTATATCTTTCTTAGTATTCAAACATTATTGACAATAATAGCTCCGAATACACGCACTCCGATCCCACATCTTCCCTCGACAATAATACCATGCTCGGCTTAAGGTAGGTGATCATCTCCATCCAACTGCACCTGCAAATAGGCTAGTCCTGGGGAGGAGGAAATATTGGTCAAATACAATCGTGGACAGAGATAGTCGTTCTAGGCCGTGTGAATCAAATCCACGCCTTGCGAATACTCGGCCTCTGCAAGTAGCAGGGAGCTCGGCCTGTCCGCTGGCACTCATAACCGTTGGGTGTCGGCTTCGAGAGCCTCCCCTGCCAGACGTTGCGGAGTCTACTAGACCTTTGATCTACGTATTCATTTTTTTTTTTTACATTTGGGGATGATGGGACTGACTTTGATAGTGGTGAGGGGCGAAACAGCACGGAGAACACGACACGTCGGTCAAATGCTGGAAATGGTCCTGGGAATTCGTTTGCTGGCTATGGGTTCTGGGTTGCTATACTTATTACTGGACTTGGTGTTCTCTATGCGTTATCTGGATTCGTCGGAGGATTTGTCGGAGGATTTGTTGCTTGCCTTGCACTTGCTTGCCTTGCACTACTTACTTTTGGGGGTTCGTCTACGATGCCCACGATGCCCACGATGCCCACGATCAGTTTCACAATCAGTTTCAATGGGCAAGGCATGTTACTAGATAGCCCTAGGGTCCAACCGCCGGAGGAGGGATCACGGAGCCATAGCAATCATTTTTCTCCCGCTATCAGCGAAGACAGCAGCACAATGCAACCCAACCATCTAAATACAATGCCCGTAAACCCTCATGACAACAACACTGTCTCTAATAACCGCGTTGAGGAGAATAAGTCGTCGAGAAGGGGCAAAGAGAAGCACAGGGGATGCTGGACAAGAGGAAGGACGAGTGCGTAGAGGTACGAAAGTCAGCAAAGAGGTGAAAAATTCTATCAAAAGTAGGATGAGGAGGACAAAACTGAGGAGGACGAAATCGAGGAGGAAAAAATTGAGGACGAGGCGAGGAGGAAATTGACGAGGAAAGAATCGAGGACGAAATTGACGTTGCGGACATGAAGAAATTGGAAAAGAACAAACTCGGAGCAAGAATGAAAGATGGACGAAGAGCCATGGGAGGGTGGAGACATGCGGAGGATGATGGACGTTTGTGGGGATTTTTTTAGAAGTACTGGTTGATCGAGGGAGTTAAATGAGAGAGGGGAGAGCAAAGAAAAGATAGACAAAGTATGCCAAAAAAAGGAATGCAATTCACGAGTTCATGATGTCACTTCTTCTTCAAGCAAACTTGGGGCCAGTATAACTCGTGATTCGTTGATGGCAGAGGAATAGCATTTACCTTGCCTACATCGTAGATATTTACCGCATGTTCACATGTTTTGCAGTGAGCTTCTCAGGCAAGGCATACTCGATTGACGAGCACGTCACATGTGTACATCAACCATTGCCACGCAACGAAAGTTCCCCCAACATTCATGCATACCCCCATTCACCCACGCCCAAACCTTGCTCGTAAGAGAACTTTTTGACATCCTTGTGTTAGTAACTTCACGGACGGTTGTAGAAAGGCGGGGAATTTTTGTTGAAATTCTCTATGATCATTGATTGATCGCACAGATGGGATGCCTATTCCCGTACATCTGGGGACTGGGGACTGGGACTGTAAACTAAACTGAACACTCGACTACCGACCAACACGCAAAAGTCCCTTGCGAGCTAGACAACCCTTTATTTTCTGTCCTTTTGGCTGTCCGTCTGGTTTTGATGTTGGTAACAGTGTTGGTGGTAGCTGTTCGACAAACAAGGAGTCCACTTTCACTTCCTCCTTCTGCCTTAGTACAAGAGATTCCCTTCCTTTGTTTCCGATGTCCCACGCCCCGTCCAATTCTGACTTATTTTCCCTCGTTAAACTCCGACGCTCAAAGATGCTGGTATGTAATTGTACAAATGTGAAGTATGCTCGCTCGCTCGCTCAATCGCGCTGACGATGGTGTCGAAGCGGGTGAGTGTTCGCCGAGACGAACGGATGCGAAGAATTGGGGTATATCAACCGTCCGTGGGGAGTGCCTCGCTGACACTGCCGTCGCGGGGAATGTAGTGGACGCCTGCGTTCTCGGCCGCGACGACGATGTCGTCGGGGAGCTGTTTGTTTGTGTTAGTGTTTGATTAAGTGATACCCTGCGTTCTGGGGAAGAGAAGTACATACCACGCCCTCAACTTGGATCGCGTACACGCCAGGAACATAGCCCTCCAAGCGCTGATACCTCGCGACCCAGCTCCTGCTCGTGTCGCTGACGGTCAACAGGCCCTCGAAGACCTGGGAAGTGCAGTCGGCGATGGCATCCGGGTTTCCAGTGAGCTCGAGGAAGGGCTCACAATTAGGGCAGCCGGACTGGAGGAACTGGGCGTTGGTACGGACTATGCTGCAAACCATGCAGGCGCGCATGTTGCGCTGCTGGCTGGGTGGGATGTAGGCCATTGTTGAGTTCGTTTGGGTATTCGGATGTTCCCTTTGAGGTTGAGGTTGAGGTTGAAGTTGGACCGGTTGTTGATTGGTGTCGTGAGATGGCAGGACAGTGGAGGTAGATGAAAGCGCGGGTGACTGACTAGGTTGCCTTGGTTAGGTGAGTGTCAGTATGTTCGTGGAGTGAAGTGATGGCAAGATGGCAGATGTGATTCTTATGAAGTGAATCGAGAGTTGCCCTACCTTTGGGATTTGGGGACCCGCTTCTTTCTATTGGCGTCCCGATTGGCTGGTTTAGGCTCCGGGCTTGGCGATTTAGCAGACGGATTGGTGGTGATATTCCCCTGCTTAGTTGAAGAATCTATGGTTGGAGCCTCTTTCTTGGGAATGCTGAGATTATTATTGTCAATATTCCCGTTCCCATCGTCTTCGAGGTCCTTGAAGAGAAGTGCAAGGTCACGAGCCCTTTGTTGGGAGGTCTTCCCATTATTGTCCGTGGTATTGGTATTGTTGGTGGGAGCGGGAGGAATTGACGATGATTCGCGGGCGCGGTTCCGGGCGCCAGTCACAGTAGTAGTAGTTGTACCATTATTACCATTTCCATTGTTGCCAGTAATAGTACCAGCACGAGTACGAGTAGTGCCAGTAACTGTATTACCACTTCCAGCAGTTTGACCTCGAGGGCGAGAAGGAGCAGAATTCGTCAATTCATTCTGCTTCTTCTTTTGCCCACGCTTCTTTGGAGCGTAGTCCTCCTCTCCATTATCACTAGCTTCGTGGGAGTAGTCGTCGCTTTCGCCGACCAAAGTATCACTGCCACTGTCACTGATGAAGGCGTTGCTGCTACTGCTACTGTCTGTCGTGTAGAAGTACTTTTCCTTCTTCTTGACGACGGCAGTTCCTCGCCTAGGCATGATGGCGATATCAGCGATTTCACAATTTAGCAATTTATAGAGACGACGACGACTATTTTCTGCCACTTGAATGCGGGCCGATGCCAAAGGAGGATTCCCTCGACGGGGGACGGGCGGCGGTGGTTGGCTGAGGTTGAAGGCGGTGAGGGTGGGATTGGCGGAAATGCTCGATCCAACCAACTATCACACCCGAATGAACTCAATAATTCTAGAAGGAGGTTAATCAACAGATTTAAAATCGGATATCTGTTTTGATGGGAAAGACAGACTTGTGGAAATTATTGGAGCTGTAAGTTGTTGTTTGGTGGGGTTGTGTTGTTTTGGGAGAGGGAAAGAGAGAGGTGAGTGAGGCAGCGCTCATAAACAGCCAGTTGCTCTGGCGCTGGGGGAATCGTCCATCCCATCTTGCCTGCCTGCCTGCCTACCCTCATCTCATAAGGCTGGCTAGGTAACAACTCCAAATAACCTTTTTGCTCATCTCTGATTCTATCTTGTTCTTTATTCTCTCGTTCTCATCCTCATCATTGTCATCGTTCTGTTTCCTTGCTGTGTGTCTCTTCTTTTGTCCCGTTACAAGCCAACCGCCACCTCCGCTGCCGCCGCCGCCGCCGCTGAATGCCCTGCCACTGCCACTGCCAGCCAGCCTGCCCTGCCCTGCCTTACCCGCCCTCTCCTAGCCTTAAGTCTTAACTGACATCAGTGCATTATTGCTTGCTATTCTTTTTTTTCTGACCTCTGGAACACCAACCCTTACTCACTTACCTCCCTACCCAGGTATCCCCACACACGCACACGCTCATTTCATCATGGGAAACCCCCAGGAAGAAGCCACTCAGCTCAAGAATAAAGGCAATGAGGCCTTCAAGAGCCAGGATTGGCCCACCGCCGTCGAGTTCTACACAAAAGCCATCGAGGTGTATGACAAGGAGCCGTCGTTTTTCACAAATCGTGCCCAGGTCCGTCGTTTAACCCCCCTCCTCCCTCGGTATCCCACCACACGCGACAACCCCACTCACCACTTTTCCGCTGCTATATAGGCAAACATCAAGCTAGAAGCATACGGGTACGCTGTAGCTGATGCAGACAAAGCAATCGAGCTCGATCCAAACAATGTAAAGGTATGTACGGTCGGACAACGGGCATTGCTGTTCTTGTCCTCGATCGAAATAGCTACTAGTTATGTACTCGCGGCTAACCACGCAATGTCTCAGGCATACTACCGTCGCGCGTCCGCCAACACCGCCATCCTGCACCACCGTGAAGCCATCCGCGATTGGAAGCTCGTCGTCAAGAAGGCTCCAAACGATGCAATCGCAAAGCTCCGCCTCGCCGAGTGCGAGAAGATCGTCAAGCGGGATGCATTCCTCAAGGCCATCGAGGTCGAGGATGCACCGTCCGCAGCCGAGGGACTCGACATCGAAAACATGATCTTGGAACAAAACTACGACGGTGCCAAACTAGGAAGCGAAATGACCCTCGAATTCATCGAGGACATGATCGACCGCTTCAAGAATGGAAAGAAGCTCGCGAAGAAATACGTCTTCCAGATCCTCGTCTCCGTCATGGAACTGATTAAGAAGGAGCCCACCATGGTGGAGGTCGACATCGAGGAAGGCGAGGAGATCACCGTCTGCGGAGACACCCACGGTCAATTCTTCGATCTCATGGAGATCTTCCGGCTGGCCGGTAAGCCCTCGGAGAAGCACTTCTTCCTCTTCAATGGTGATTTTGTCGATCGTGGCTCGTGGTCGACCGAGATTGCGCTCTTGCTCTATGCTTACAAGATGCTGTACCCTAACAAGTTCTTCTTGAACCGCGGAAACCACGAGACGGACGACATGAACAGGATGTACGGTTTCGAGGGCGAGTGCCGTGCCAAGTACACCGAGCGCGTCTTCAAGCTCTTCTCGGAATCGTTCTCTGCGCTCCCATTGGCGACATTGATTGGCAAGAAATACTTTGTGCTCCACGGTGGACTCTTCTCGGATGACAAGATCACATTGGACGACGTGAGGAAGCTGGACCGCTTTAAGCAACGCCAACCCGGACAGGCGGGTCTGATGATGGAAATGCTCTGGACCGACCCACAGACGGCACCAGGCCGAGGACCCTCGAAGCGTGGTGTTGGTCTCCAGTTCGGTCCCGACGTCACGAAGCGATTCTGCGAGAACAACGGTCTCGAGGCTATCATCCGGTCGCACGAGGTGCGAATGGAGGGTTACGAGGTGGAACACGACGGCCGCTGCATCACAGTCTTCTCTGCGCCCCATTACTGCGACAGCACGGGCAACAAGGGCGCTTTTATCAAGATCGGACCGGAGTACAAGCTCAACTTCACCAAGTTCGACGCAGTGCCCCATCCCAACATCAAGCCCATGGCATACGCTTCAAACGGACTTGCGGGGATGCTGTAAGAAGATACCAATGCTTTATTCGGGATAGGATGGGAAGGGTTCGGATGATTTGGTCTGATCTACAGCGATGCATACTTTGGTGTTCATTGGCGCAAAGCATATCAAGAGTTTGGTGATGTTCGCTAGGTATTTGGAAATCTGATGAATAAATATTTGTTTGGGAGTAACGGGGTCGTGGGGGGGAGGTCCGGACGTGTATATTATTAACTAGATGTTTCTTCGCTACCTACGATTTCCACCAGCCAGCGAGCCGCCGCGTCGTGGTTACGTTGCCTTACGTTAGACCTGTTCTCGAGATTTAGGGATTGAATCGAATCGAGATCGGACCAAATATACATGTATCAGATCACACCAATCGTTCCAACGTTCTGGCGTCGGCATTAACATCAGTTCCCTGCTTGAAATACCACCCTTGCGACGAACAATAGCCATCAGAACATGATAAATGCAAAGCCAAGCCCCCGACAAAGGCATGAAATGCGCTGGTGGATGCACTTCTTTGTATTCCCCGTGTACCTACGCCATCATACCTACAATGTCCCATCCCATCCCATCCCATCCCATCCCCGCTACGAAACCCATCCCGCCCCTAACCCCCATTCGGCAAAAGAACAACAACCCTGGCCAAACGGATGCGCCATGCCAACATAATAACCATCACAATAACCAGATTCTTTCCCGTCTCACCGGGCATCCATTCAATCGCGATTCGCATCCCATACCATACCCTACCCCACCACTCACACAACCCCACGCAATCGCCCAGCGAACAGTCGTCCTCCTCCCATATCCTCTCTCTCTCTCTCTTTCACTCTCCTTCCCTCATCCCGTCATCCATCAGCGATGTAACCTCCCACCAAGGACACAAACCAAAAACAACACACACAATGTCACCATACCAACACCTCTTCTCCACCAACGCCGTCCTAAACGTCTGGCGCAACCTCCGCAGCCCCTCCAGCGCCCGCGGCGGCGACGCCAGCGACCTCCTCCTCACCTTCCAGTACCACCCGGACGACGTGCACGTGCGGCGCAATGCGGGGCGGTTCCCCGGCGACGTGAGCGGGAAGAGCGGCGCGGTCGTCGAGGCGAGCAATGAGGATGCGCAGGGAAGATTGAGGAGCGAGGGCGTCGTCGCGGGCGGAGCGGAGGTAGGCAGCAGGAGTATAGGGTTCGTGGTGCCGTGGAGGAGCATGCAGGCGCAGAAGAGGGAGCTGCGGGAGAAGGAGAAGGAGTTGGCGGAGGCGTTGGTCGTGTTGGCGGGGGAGGTCGCGTTTACTGGTAAGTTGGAGTTGAGAGTGTCGTTGCGACGGTGGAATGAAAATCGAGACTGACGTACATACAGACCTCTCCGAGTCCCTGCAAACTTCGCTATCAACGAACCCACTCATACAGATCCGACATCTATGCGCCGGCCTCTCGCGCCAGCTCTCGAAGATCGAACTCCAGATGGCGGACAATGCGCCGTACTGCCGGGGCAAGAACCTCTACACGGGCGGGGAGATCGCGCGCAAGTTCCTGCCTCCGATACAGCTTCTCTTCAACCAGCGACCCGTCCCGCAGCGCATGATATTCGAGCTTCTCATGGAGGTCAAGGACTCGGTGTACGCAGGGATGGCAGACTGCGCGCCCGAGGTCCTGGAGTGGGAACTAAACAACTTCACGACCTTCGAAGAGCTCGACGAACTCATCGTCCGCGCGCTGCTCCCCCCGCCGCCATCGCAACGAAAACAACGACGGGACGTCTCGCCCTCGCCCTCCACCCTCCTCGAAGACTCCCACCCGGGCAAGGAAACCAAGCACCAGGGCGACGAGGACATCACACCCAACACATCCCGCCCCCGGCGCCGCCTCCTCCTCACGCCCCTCACACCCACCCTCTCCCCTGCCCCTCAAACCTCCTGGCTCCTCTCCGACCCCGACGAAGCCCTCTACGCCCTCGAATCCCTCGAAGCCACCTCCGCCGCCATGCTCGCCCTCCCCGTCCCAACATCAGACTTCCTCGCCAAGTCCATCCTGACCCTGCGCCGGCTCCTCCCGCGCCGCACGCTCGCCGACGCGGCGGCGAGGAGGAAGAAGAGGAAGGGCAGGTGTGGCGAGTACGCGCGGTGCATGAAGTGGGCGGGTGCGCAGTGGAGGGCGGAGGGGGGTTGTGGGAGGGGTTGTAGGGACGAGGATGAGGTTGGGGAGGAGGGGCTGCCGAGTTGGCATCGGGGGAGTAGGCACTTTGAGAAGGTGGGGGAGTTTGTTTTGACGGGTGGGTGATTTGAGGGATGTGTTGTCTTCGTCTTTTTTTCTCCTGGTTTGTTGGTTTTACTGACTGTGATAATGGCATGTAGTATGATGGGCCTCCTTTTTTCTTTTGTTTAGATACCCTGGGTTCGGCTTCCCTTTTTATCTCTTCTGATTCATTTTATCTTTCTATCTTTATCTTATCTTTTCTTCTGTAGTAGTGCTGTATGACGAGGAGGAGGAGAGAAAGGAGCAAAAGAGCGAGAAATCTTATGCCCTACCTCATCTGTCCAGAGTTCTTCAATTGAAATGCGAACATATACATTCCCTCTCCGTTGCCTTTCCACCCCCATTGAATCAGTTGATGCTTCACCTCAGTGGATGGGAGATACGGGGTTGGGATGTACAGGTGGGTATAGATATGACGTCTATCTTCATTGCTTTTTGATGTTTCCTTCATATGTCGTGTGTATGTTCGTGACGTTGCTGTACGATTCTGATATCCCCCCCTGAGTGTATCTACAATGCCACGCCACCACAAAAACCAAGCAGAACGCCGAGATACCCAATGCAAAATCCCGCCAGAAAATGCTCCCAATACAATCGCTCGCTTCAAAATCATCACAGCCCCAACCAAACCCCAACCCCCACCACCACACCCACCATCCACCACCCTCCCCTCACCCTCCCCACCGCAGCACTCCTCCTCAAATTCAAACTCCTAATCGCGCCCGGGAAATTACACACAATCTCGGTATCCGTATTATCCTGGCGTCTCCCATACGCCAGACTCCTCGCCGGCTCAATCGGACACGCAAACTGCAGCTGCGCAGGACAACTCCTCACAAGCGCAAAGCAAAGATCCTCACACGGCAGAATCTCCTTATGCGGGCCCGGCTGAATCTCCTCGTCAATAAACGCATGCCTACTCTTCGCGAACGCCGCCCTCTCGCCAATCGTCGCATTGAAGTCGGGCGACGAGCGGTTGAGCGCGAAAGTGGAGGAAACGAAGTCCGAGGGTGGGGGGGACCCGTCGAGGAAGGGGGAGTTGACGTTGCGCATTTGTAAGGCGTCGCCTTTTGCGGACCAGTCTTCGCAGCGGGGGATGAGGGCTGTGCAGAGCCAGTCTTTGTAGTCGGATGCGCAGTCTGTGCAGTTGCGTGCGAGGGAGTATTGGGCTGAGCCGGTGGTCTCGCAGGCGATCTGCGAGAGGGACTTTGTGAAGTTGGTGTAGTAGGCGGCGGCTTTGGCGTCGTAGATGGAGATTAGGGCCGCGTCGTCGGATTTGAATTTCCTGGAGGAGGGGACGGCGTAGGCGGTGTTGGTGCAGAAGGGGAGGTCGAAGATTACTTGGCAGGAGTCGTCTGGGTGGAGGGAGGGTTAGTGTGTGGTTTGGAGGGGGGGTTGGTGGGTGGGAATACCTTTCTTGGTGGTGAAGATGAATTGCTGCCATACTCTGCCGCCGGCTCCTAGGGGCGCGGTCGCGGAGAAGTCGAGGTTGCTCGTCGTCATGTCGGTGTCGACGACGAGGTAGCCCCTGTAGCTTGTGTCGGCGGTGAGGTTCTGGACGTGGAACAGGGCCTTGGGCGAACCGCCGCCGAACTTGGTCGTGATGCGGTTGTCGACGGTGTAGTTGTTGGAGGTGTTGAAGACGGACTTGAGCCCGCACACCGAGCGTTCCAGTCCTCGGGCACCCCATTCCGTGTCGTTGAAGGCGAACATGGTGAACGGGGAATCGGTCAGGTCTCTCCACGCGTCGATGGTGGCCGAGTCGTTGTTGCTCGTGAGATTCTTCGAGACGAAGAGTGCGGAGTCGCTGTCTGTATCGATCAGGAAAAGAAACGTCTCGTTCTGGTTGTAGCTGTGGTAGAACCCTTTCGTGCTGGCTGCGACCTCGAACTGCCAACCGCCCTGCCATCCCTCCGTGAGATTCGGCGCGGACACTCCAATATATACATTGTTGGTCGTAGAAATAGACAGATTCGCGTAGCCTCCCACAAGAGGGATCGCCTTCCCACCCACAAGACCCTCCTCGTTCCCAGGACCAGGCTGCTGATTCCGATCCGAAGCCGAAACGTACAGGCTCAGCTGCGGCGGATCCTCGAACCTCAATCTTGTCGTGGCATCAGGCTGGCGACACGAGCTCACAGAAACGAACACCTGGTTGCGATTCTGTCTCCTCTCCAACCCCTCCTCCTCTTCATCCTCCTCCTCCTCGTCCACCTCCTCTCCCTCCGACCCATTAACCCCCCGCCGTTCCTCCTCCACCCCGAGGTTCCTCCTCCTCTTCGCCGTGGTACCTCTCTCAAGAACAAAATGCGTCACCCTTCCCGCCAGCGTCTCCACCTCCCTGACCTTCCCATCCTCAAGCCCCTCCACCCCCTCCACCGCCCTCCCCGTCAAACTCCGATCGAAATACTTGAAATCACCCACATACCCCCCATCCTCATCCGCATTCCCTTCCCCCCCCTCCTCTTCCCCGCGCCTCAGAAACTCTAACCCAACAAGTGAATCTCCAGGCGAGGAGTGTAACTCCGCAGCGTCGGCGAAGTTGGTCGGCGTGAAGAGCCAGTACGCGATCACGAGGAGCGCGTTCACGAGGACGAAGGCGAGGAGGCGGGATTGCAGGCGTGAGAGGCGGCGGAGGGACATGCTGGTGTCTGGACTCTGAGGTATGGGTGGGTGTAGAGGTGTGGTTGTGGGACGGACGGAGGTCCAGGGTTAGCTGGCGCGGCGGTGCGCGCGCAGCTTTACTGTGGTGATGCGAGGTCGTGAGCGGGAGGGAAGATGTGTGTCACTTTGAGCGAGTGAATTATTATGCGGGGGTGTTGTGTGGTTTGGTTTGGTTTTTGTTGTGAGATGTGTGGATTGTAAGAAGTTGGGTAGGTATGTCGTCGGGAGTTATGCGGAGGTGCTGAGAGTTCGCCCGCCGCATGCACATGTGGATTTCTATGGGGCGCGGGAGGCTTGCCAAGAGTGGATGCAGGTCCCTGGCTATGTTTGTTTCAGGTTCGCCCGGAGATGCCGAGTTGGACTATTGATTTCATGGTGAGACTGAGTGCGAGGTAGATGTTTTGATGGTGTTTTGTGAGAATTTTTATTTTTATTTTGGGAATGATGGTGGTTTCAATGGATGAGAAGGAGGGGGTTTAGGGACGATGGTTTGGACTTGGTCGGGATGGGATAGTAGGTTTGATGGTCGATTAGGACATTGTATGGTCGCTTATGATTTAGATGTGTGATGCGAATTGGAGATACAGGCAAATGATAAGTATGCCTTGAAAAAAAAATTAACGATTCATGGGTTTGAAATAGTCGTCGAGCCCTCTTGATTAACTACAGTGGCTTCATATGTGGATGCATACTTTGACCAGAGACTAAGCTACATGTCCATATGTCTGTCTGTTTAAGCGTACTTGCGATTTGTAGCTTTGCTTTCTAGAAGTCAAGGCTCAGTTCCGTACCATCTTGATATATACACCCAAAATCTCAATGTACCACTCTTCCCCAGCTCTTCATAGAGATCCTCTAACTACATCAACCTAATCAAAACCCAAACCTCATCACTCACCCCCCTCCCTCGCCCTCGCCTTCTCCCTCCTAAACTCCGGCCCCCATCTCACAACCAGCACCAGCAGCGGACACAGCGCGAGCCAAAGTCCACCACACAGCGTAAACGCCCACCCCATGCCGATCCTCCTCACCAACGGCACGACCGCCGCCGTCGCCCCGCCCCCAAGCCAACACCTCGTCATATTGCTCGCCGCGACCGCCGTGGCCGGCTTCTCAGGATAGATATCGACAACAAGCGTCATGAGAATCGTGAACGCACCCGTGCAGCAAAACCCCACGACGAACAGCAGGATCAGCGGGCCGGCGAGGTGCGTCGGGTACCGCATGACCCAGCCGAACGCGACGATGGCGAGAGACCCGAGCACGATGAGCGGGATTGCGATTTCGAGGCGTGCGGCCTCGATGGGGAACGTGGTCAGCGTGCGGATCCGCCGCGTGTCCGAGGCGTCGAGGCCCTGCTTGCGGGCGTGCCGCTGGAAATTGACGTCCATGAGGCGGCCGCCGATCAGGGCGGCCATGGTGCCGCCGACGCCGGAGGGGAGGTAGCAGAGGCCGATGTGCAGAGAGTTGAAGCCGTACTTAGATTCGAATTGCGAGGGGATGATGGCCATGAAGGCGTAGAAGCCGGCGAACATTACGGCGGAGGAGAAGAGGAGGAGGGAGGCGTCTTTTGAGAAGATGAGGAGGAGGGCTTTGAAGGGGTTGGGGAAGCGGAGGCGGTGGGGTGGGATCGGTGGGCTTAAGGTGGATGGATTGGAGGCAATGCGTTTGGTGATTATGGGGTCCAGAAGGCATTGATTCCATTTTGAGGGAGGGCGTCGTGATCCATTGCCTACTACCGCTCTGCAGGATTCGGGGAAGAAGAGAACGATGGGGATGAGGTACACGAAGGCGAAAATCGCGAGGAACCAGAAGATAGATCGCCACCCCAGATACTGCGTCAGTAGTCCACCGATTACAGGTCCAATTCTGTATTCTTTGTTAGTAGCGAACACAAGTATTAAAACTCAAATATAATAAGAAAGACATACGTAGGTCCCAAAAGCCCACCAGCATTCGCCCAACCCATCCACTTCCCCCTCTCAAACGACATCGCGAAATCAGCAACGACCGCATTCGCAAGTGCAACGGTCCCACTGCTTCCAGAGCTCTGCACGCAACGCAAGACAAGGAGTGCGGCGTAGTCCCCTTGCAACGCGAGACCGACGTCTGCGGCGATGTACACAATGAAACATATTAGATATGCTGGCCTCCGACCCTCTGCATCGGAAAATGCGCCGATGAATGCAGGCGCCAGGCCTTGGAATATCTATGGGAACAATTAGACGATGACATTTTTGTACGATGTAGTTAGTGTGGACTTACCATGAAAGTCGTAATAGTGACATTGATCGCTGAGTCGGTGACATGCAATTCCTCTGCCAAAGGACTAAGCGCCGGATAGTAGATCGTCGAGGAAATGGGGGAGAACAGTGATGCAAATGTCAGGATGAATGTCATAAACCGCTTCTCGTGAATCGTAAATATGGTGTATGGAATCTCGGCCTCGACATCCGTGAGAGTAGGTGGTTCTGGTTCTTCTGGTACATCTTTCTCTTCTGATTTCGCCTGTGCTGGTTGGCTCGTTGAAGCTACTTCATCGCGAGGCATTGTCCGACTCTATCGTAGAGTCGGATCGTTCGGGCTGGTCGTTGAGACTAGATTCAGCCGCAACAGCGTTTTCCTGTGAACTCAAAAGTCTCCGTGTATGCCCTCATGTTGTTTGAAGGGAGACGTTCTGAACTCAAGAGACGGGATTGCGTGATCTACAATGCATGTGCCTCATGTAGGAGACGACAGCTGCGGCGTTCGCTACGAACTTTAGGACGCCTCGGCTGGAGATACCTTAGCTCCGGGCGTACCAATTCACACCTGACGCGTGATCACGTGGGCATTTTAGACATTACATGGTACGAAATTTACGACAAAAGAATCTTCAAATTCAATCAATGTATAGTGGTGACTCCGCGAGATGAGAGAGAAATCTAGCTATACTTTTAGAAAATCGCTTTGCGCCACTGTGCTACCGTAATACATGCAGGTCCAACAACCAGAAATCGAGCACGGGTATCAACCGCCAGACGCAAAAGGGAAATGAATGACTTGAAATGGGAGAAATAGGAAAGAAAAGCGATATAAACAATGAAGAAGACATAAGATTCGTGAAATCATCTCATCCTGGCAACTCGGCCCTGAACGCGGTTCGGTCCTTGGGTGGTACTGGCGGTCCTTCAGCTGGCAATTCAACTGGTAGGTTTGTGGCATATGAAGTAGGGAAGACAGGCGCCGAAGGGCTCCTGCTGTGGACCTTATCCTGTTGGCTTGTTTCTGTCCATTGGGCGTTCGGGTCGTATCGTTTCGACGTTAAGAGTTCTGGGCCGGAAGACATGCGGTTCGGTGTGGCAAGGCTTTTTGGTTCGAGATAGGTTGGTGGTGATCTTGATAGGAAAGAGCCTTGGCTCGTCAGGGTCGAGGCAAATGATAGCCCAGGACTATCAGGAGGAGGCGAACTGTTGGATTCTTTCCTCATGTGGGCGTCGCTCTTGTATCCTGGCGGCGGCGCGATGAAGATGTCGCCTACGCCCATTCGCTCGGAGGGATCAATCGTCTTGAGTCCCTTCAGCCTCTCGTTTGCGATCCTAGCCTCGATGGCGTGGGCCTTTTCTACCAATCGATCGACGAGCTTGGAGTGGGATTCCTTGAAGGTCTTCTTGACGAACGAGAGCATCATGATGTTGCACTTCATCTTGACATCTTCTCGGATGTAGAGGCCTTCAGATGGGATACCGAGACCGAGTTCAACAGGTTGCTTTGGTTCTCCTGGTAGTTGGCCGCCGACACTCCATTTCGCACGGATATCGAGACCTAGGGGCGCATACACATGTGTTTGCAAACCCTCGGGCAGGTTATGGAAGCAAGCATGGTAAGAGACTGAGCCTGAAGCGAGACCACCGGGTAGATAGGCGACCTTGTCTGTTGGTATTGATCAGTATTGAGTGATGAGATATGCGACAGTGACGAAGTACTACGCTTCCTGCGGGTGCGAGAATAGCCTACCTTTAATTGTATACCAGGTCGCATAGTATTCTTCCGTTGGCGCATTGCTTGGTGGCCTGCATTGGAATCGCTCGATGACCAGAGGATTCAGGTCGATCATTTCCCCATGACTGTGGTATGTATCTACTACGCTCTGGCGCGTGACACCTGCCGGTAAGGGTGTGATGGTTGTGAAGACACTCGTCTTTGACATTTTCTTTGATAGGCCTGATCGCGCCTTTTTTATTCAACACCTGAAATGAATAATACCAAAAGATATCTCTCCCCACTGGGTGAGGTAGCCGAGCAGAAAGGTCGTCTTGTTTCAATAAAATTGCTCACGGATGGTAGTAACAGTACTGTGGAGAGGACGGTAGTAGTATTACCATAGAAGGAGTGATGGTGAGGGAAATGAGATTGAGGTGGGGAGAGGAGATGAAGCGAAAGTGGTGGTATTGTTTCGAAGAAAGGGAGGGAAAACCCGGCGAGCGAGTAGTAGGTATATGTGGTTTTGGGATAAGTTTATGTATGGATCAATGGATGTGGTAGGATGTAGTGGATGGATGTGAATGTGGATGTGGATGTGGTGGCCCCTGCAGGAAGGGATGGACTTGGAAAGGAGGAGGAATCAAAGAAAGAGGATCATGGACGCTAATACAATTGTTTGCGACTCCGCCATCGACTGGGGTCAATCGCCACGTTCGATTTGCAATAGAAATAATAATCACAAAAAGGATTACTTCCTCTTTCGCTCTTCCTTCTTACTCTTTACGTCCGTCCAGATACGTGGAGTGTACACGGTATTAAGACTTTTGGTGTAGCGACAAACACCGGATCGTCGCTCTCCGGGCGGGCGATTGCTGCAAGACACGACGTCTCCTCCAACACTTTGTCTACGTCTTAGTACATGCTACAACACCCCATCGGACGATATGAGCCGCAAGACTGCAAGAGAAGTCACTTCCAAGCCATGGACAAGCCTTCTGGAAGTCCATCGATTACCTTAGCAGTCGTTTTATCGACTCTGCCAGTTCGGACCATGATTGCTTCTTTGACTGATGTTCCCGCACTTGATGTTTCACTATTCGAATCTCACTCTCCACGCCGGCCCAGTTGCTAAAGACAAGATCCTCATCGTCCTCTTCTTTGCCACCAATTCCCACGCTGTTGGCCTTGTTTATCAGTAACACCGGAGAACCGAAAAGGATCGGCTGAGATTGCGCACTCACTTCTCCCACCCAGAACCATCGTCGTGAACTGATGTCGTCCTCCCCGTTGAACGCACGTTGGGGCCGCTTCCATGATAGCCAGAAACATCTCCAGTCTGGAGTATCGTTTCAGCCAGCACTCGTGCGTCACCACTCCGTTTCAGTTCTCGTCATTAAGGGACTATGCACATAATACCCGCAACTTCACAAAATTTGACGCTCTTATCATTAAAATTTATTCTGCCTAGCACTATCAGTCCCCCATATCTCCAGGCGAACCGAACCTGAGTAGGGACCGGCGCAAAGACATCTAAACCTTAGTATGGCTCGCGACGTAAGTATGAAACGGGATATCGCGTGATCAATATGAAAAGAGAAAAAAAGAGGTCAAACAGGATTTTCGCCTGTTCGAAGGCAAACACCATAGCGCCGTCTTTGATGGCCTGCATCTTCCGAAATACGCACAGGGAAAGGAAAACCCCTCAGCTCATACGAATGGTCCCCTTCGCCATTCGCGATCCTATCAGGACCATTATGTCGTCAAGCCATGTCCGACATCACCAACACAACCTGAGGGATTTCTCAATCCCTTCAGCTCAGACACCCTGATGCATCTCAACCTTCGGCTCACCACCGCTCTCCCCCTTCTTAAACCCAGTCCTAAACGCTCGCAGCGCACTCATCGCCAGCGTAACCGCCCAGGCCACCCAGCTGAACGCGGACAAAGCGGTGCCCGCCTTCGCGACCGAGCATACGGTCCCGAAGCAAATGCGGTCGCTGAGGAAGACGGCGAGCGCGATGAAGCCCGCAAACCAGTAGAGCATGGTGAGAGCCTCGAGGGCGATGAGTCCAATCTTGGGCACCGTGGATGTGGCCAGATGTGGCATCTTGAGCGGGATCAGGATGAGCGGGATCACGGAGAGGATCGACCACACGGGCGTGAAGACCATGAAGTTGACCTCGCTGGGTGCCATTAGTCGCCAGTGGGAGGACCACCATGACGCAACTGTAGGAATTCGTTAGTTCTTGTGAATTCGTTTGTGATGATGGGATGGGAGTCCACGTACCGTAGCCCATGAGTCCGAGCACCGTCGCCGCCAACACGAACTGCAATCCTCGAACTCCGAGCACCCAATCGACAGCCATCTTTTTCTTCTTTTTCAAGAAGTTTCTTGTGATTCAAAGAATTACACTTTCCCTTCGTAGGTTGGCGAAATCCGTCCGATGTAGTAGTCGATATTCGCTGGTATGTGGTTGGTAAATTCGAACGTTGCGGCCGGCGCTCAAGCACTTGATATATTCCTTCCTTCTAACAAACGACCGTACAGAACCCAATCAATGGGATCCCTTCCTCACCAAATAAAAATATGATAAAAATAAATTGAAGGAGTGAATATGAAGAAAGTTAATCGTTCGTTCGTAAGCAACCGGAAAGAAAGTGAAATGAGCAAAGGAGAGGAAGCACGAGAGAGACAAAGATAATACACCCTCAGATAAAAAGAGCAACACCCTTGATTCTCCCCTTTCGAACACCCCAATTGATCCTTGTTTGTGTCTAACAGATTTGTGCCTAAAATACGCAAAGCAACATCATGCATTCAAAACTCGTTCGCTGAGCTCTTGGGCTTTCTCGCTTGATGCGTGACGGTTGGGAGTGACGTTTCAGAGACGAGACGTTTGGGAGGGGGGTTGTCTATGCGGACATGGGTGTCAGCGTGCGGGTGTCGTGATTGGTCGGTTGTGGTTATGCTTTATTACGTGTATATATATTCGAGTGGGCGAGTGGGTTTTTGTTGTGTGAGGGCGAGCTGATGATTAGAGTGGGGAGGTGATGGGGTTCTTGGGAGTGCTATCGTGGTGTTGAAGTTGGAATGATGTTAGAGGGGAGGGGGACTTTGTTATGCGTTATGTGGTCAGGCATGTAGAGTGGGATCTATAGCCAGAGTAAGTATGTATCTTTTCACCCTCAAACCACGAAGTATGTTGTCGTTGATAGTTAAATTGGATAGCCAGCTAACATCACGTAGCAACATATATAAAATCATGAGAACCATGGCGACCACCTCTCCTAAAATATCACCACAACCCGAATTCCTATCAACTCCCAATCCAGAGTAAAATCTCAAAATATGCCTGAGTAGGTAATTAACCCCCCCTCCCACCTACCCTACACGACTCCCCTACTTCCTCACGGTCCTCAACACAGCCCTACTAGTCCCACCCCTCACAACCTCTTGCACCCAGTTCGGCAGCCCCCTCACCAACCCCATGACCCCGGCCACGGCAGGCATCACGATCTGCGCACCTTCCGCGCGCTCGATCTGCCTCACGATTGCGTCGGCAACGGTGCTGGGTTCGAGGAGGTGCTGGCCGCGCAGAGCGGACGGGAAGGATTCGAGGAGCGAGGTGCGGGTCCAGTTTGGGTGGACGGAGGTGGTGAGGATATTCGGGGCGCGGTGGTAGTGGGTTAGTTCTTGGTTTAGACCTGTGGGTTTGTATGAGTTGGTAGGTTCGAGGTCAAATACAAGTAGATTGGGGTGGAGGGAAGGGAAGAAGATGAATGAGTGAGACGGAGGGGAGAGATCACATACCTTCATGGAAAGCTAGCACAGCAGCTTTCGTGCTCGTGTAATCGACGAAGCCGCCCAGGCCGAGGAAACTCGCCGTGCTGGCTACTGTGACGATGTGGCCCTTCTGCTTCGCGATCATAGAAGGTAGGAAGGCTCGCACGGTCGTGAAGTTGCTGATCACATTGACGGCGTAGATATGGTGGAGCCATTCATCGTCAGTGCTGAGGATGGATCCGCTTGTGGCTATGCCGGCGTTGTTGATGAGGATGGATGGAGATCCTATGTCTGTGTGGATTTGCTCCACTACTGAGGAGATCCATGAGGCTTCTGCGATGTCGCAGGTGTAGAAGTGCACTTTTGGGTCTTTTGAGTTTGTTAGGGGGTTTGTCAAGTTATGATATAATGAGAAATATTTGGCCCTCTAGGGAGGATAAGACGATGTGACAGGAAAAACATACTGTTCCCCAATTCGTTCGGTGGCGGTATGATATCAAGAATCGCAACGACGACGCCTTTCGCAACAAGACCTCTCACAATAAAATATCCAATGCCACTGCTCCCTCCTGTCACTACCGCGACCTCTTCGTCCAGTTTCCACCGTCCTTTCTGGCTTGTAAGACGCCATGAGTTTAATGCAAGTCGGTTAAGCTGGCGATTGATTGTACCAAGAACACCAATGGCCAGGAATGATTTCAAGACTTTTACTGCAACGGCAAGGGTTTGCGGGTTCTGAAGTAGTGTGATTCGGGCCCGGAGCTCGGGAGGACCTTTGGTGAGGATCCAGAGGATAGGCGCTGTTACGATAGGGTTCAGCGCGATATGGTTGATTGTTAGAGAGATTAGTGATGACATTGCGGGCATCGTGATTGCTTGGATTATTAGAAGTGAGATCCCTTAGAAGTGAGATCCCTGGTGATGGTGATTAGCGATCTCAAGTGAATATATAGAAGGTAGAGTAGCTAGAACTTCTGTTATGTAAATAGGCAGTCAGGTAGCTAGATATGTAGGTAAATGGGTATAGTGCATATGCACGCGCACGTCAGCACTGGATGTGATATATGCACATGCGCTTAATGCAGGAACGCGTGATGAGGAACCGAGACTCTTATATATCTTTATGCAGTTAGTTCGTATCTGATTATTGGTTCCAACAGACTGAAGCATTCAGGTTTCCTTTCAGCTGAATGAATCTGACAGTACCTGGAGTATCTACAAGAGTGATTGATCTGCAAACCGGATCTGTTGTCAGCGTTAGGCGTACTAGGAGTTGGCTGTAGCAAACAGCTTAGCGAAGTCGTCGCGGGAAGGAAGGATAGAAAGGAGTTTGACAACTAAATCGTAATTCTGAATTTATGAGGATTGGGTCACGATACATTTGAAGCCAGCGAGTAGATAATAATGGTGTGGAATAGTACTACGCTTACGAAGATGTAGAAACACCTCGTAAATGCTAAGTGCGAGGGCATCATTCATCTCTGAATATCCACTTCCCACCCTTCCTCATTGCTTCTGCTCGTCGCTCCTGGATCTGCTCTCGCTCCATTTGCACTGCCCTTTCTCTGTCTTCTATTTCTTCTTGCGTCGTTGGGAAATCGATCCTCCAAAACCCAGGCGGTGATTTTGGTCTCTCATATGCTTGACGATGCTTGCCATGCTTGTTTGCCATTTGTCGAGTTCTTGCCTGGAGAACTAACTCTCTGCGTTCTTCAGCAGACATTTGAGTCAATCGCGTATCGTCATAAGCGTCTCCAAGATTGTCTCTCAGCAAATCTTCTTCCTGGGAAGACGATAACGGAGGTGCTGCCTCGGCCATTATGCGAAAAGCGGAACCACAGCATTCGGGCCTGGTGCAACCTGAGAGACAGGCACGGTCCGCACGGTTTCGCACAGTCTCGGTGAATGGGTAACTGTAGCCTTGGTTGTATGTGGGATTCGCCTTGAAATCGGATAGTTTCAACTCACTCAACGCTTTGGTGCGTAATGGAGACTGAGCTGTGGTCCGCGGCGCGAAACCGTTGCGGGGTGTAGGCCAAACGGACGGACCAGTTGGTCTCGCAGCTGATCCTAGTCCTGTTCGAGAAGCTGGAGTCAACTCGTTTCTATTCCCTCCTCGCGATAATGTTGATGGCGGTGTCGGTAATTGTTCTGTGTATGTTCCAGTGACTCTAGACACGGGTGAGTCCAGCGAATTATTTGCTCCCTTCGAAGGTGTTCGAAGATTCTTCATCCTATTGTTGAATCTTGCTCTGGCCATGCTTGGGGTGAGTCGTTCGTTGTTTTCATTTCCAGGCAAACGCTCAGTTCCGGATTCTGCTAAGATACGGTATCGCTCATTATCGCGAGCTCGCTGGTCGCTCTTGCGCCGCTTGAAATCTTTCTCCACCACCGGGCTGTTGCGAGCGTTTGGGTCTAAGGTTCTGAGCGCTCGCGATGCCATCGGTGCAACTTGCGAAGGCTCACTATGCCCCCTCCCAGAAGCACCATCATTATCAATTCGCCTAGGGCCGGTTCGAGCTTGAGGTACAATTCCTGTAGTTCTGGTACCCGTATCCTCTTCTTTGATCAATGGTACACTTGAAGATCGTTGGGAATGCAATCCCGCTATAGCACCAACTTGAAATTTTTGTCTGTGGTGAGGTGTGGCAATTACTGTTGGCCCAGGTACGTCGAGATCAAGGGTTTCGTTTCGCGTCAATATGTGCGTCAAGTCTGGTAAGGGCGGACTGCTCCGTGGCTCTTCTTTGATCTTATGAGGTCGTTTCATGGAGCCGTCAGAAGCGCACTTTCCGTACGGTTCATCTGTATTGGCTATTGGGGCCCTTTTTCGTTTTAATGATCTTTCCGAAACAACTTGTGGCAGGTCATCATCATCCTCTAGCATTGGTCGGGAAACCTCTATTCGATGATCAGCGGCGATATCATCTTCGGTCGTCTGGCTCGAGCTGATCCTAGTACAGCGTTCCTCAATAAATCCCATAGTACGTCGATCGGTCGCATCCATCATTCCAGTATCATGCAACAGTGGTTCGACAGGATTCTGGTCAAGTTGCTCCTCGAAAGGAGCCGACGGGCTCGACGGTAATGGGCCAAAACCATCGCCTTGAAACTGCGAATGACTTCTTAGTGCGCACTCCGGTGTTTCTGAAAGATCTGCACCGGGGGGATTGTTCGCTGAGATAGGGGATGATGGCTTTGGCCGAATGTTTTGCTGATTTGTGCCGTTCTCGGAGGGACCAGTCTTCGTACGTATTGCGTCCAGATTGTTCTCAGAATCTCGAATTTCTGATGCCGATCTCTTGATCTTAGTCTCCTCTAGACTCTTCCGACGTTGCTTATCGTGGTGGCGCTCGCTGTACTGCTGCCATGCGCGAACACTCTCTTTCATCTCCCTATTCTTCTGCATGACGGCTACATTCTTCCTTTCGAGATACTTGAGCCTCTGCATATTCTCCTGGTACAATTGATGAAGATTGTTGTACTTGTCGACGAGGCGTTCTTCCGCGATTGACTGTATGGGTCCCGTGACATCACTATCATCCTCAGTCGTTGCCAACAAGAAGTCGGGATCAACATCAGTGATATGACGGCGTAGCCGGCCGTTTTGAGCTTCAAGTTTTCTGTTCTTTGCAATCTCTTCATTCAGACGATCGGAAAGTATTTGACGTTGTTCATCACCTAGTCGTTGTAAGTTGAGATAGCATAATGAATGTGAATGACCTACCCTTTTTCATATCATTTAGAAGAGTTTCTTCTCCTAATTGACAATGAGCATTTGAAGTTTCAATCCTTGCAAGCGTAGACTTACTTCCTTTCAGCTCTGCCGCGAAACTTTGGATGACTTCATCTGTAACGCGTTCAAGGGATCGCACGCCATCATTGAGACGGCTCTTCTGCTCTTCAAGCCATGTAGGTCGACTGGCCATTGTTTCTGAAAGGGACTTTTATTCTGACATAGCGTACACGCGTTTTCTGAGTGCTTTAATATTCAAACGATCTATTCTGCGGAAGTTGGACGCGCTGATGCACGTAGTCACACGTCTTGGCACCATCAACCGCACGGACCATCTCCGCCACCGCTTCCGCACCAGCAATCAAGGTGCTCAAGACTTATGTCTAATTAATATTCGAACGGAAAATTTGTGATGACCTCCGGCCTTGAATACTGCAATGAAAAGGAATCGTGATGAAGACGAAGTAGATGAGCCCCCATTGAAGCTGCGCCGGGCTCCCGCAGACGACAGACTTTCGAGACTGAGTGACGAGCTTCTCGTGCGCATACTTTCCTTCGTCTCTGTTCCGACGTTGTTGGTTTGCCAAAGGTATTGAAATCCTTTGAAGCTTTGCCTGGAGGAAGTTCTAACAGATCGACAGAGTATCTCGAAAATTTGGACGACTGTCCATCGATGCGGAAATATGGAAGGCTGCGTACTACAAACAATTTGTGCTTCCTAAAGCTTCACGTATACCCGGGATCAAGGAGAGCGCATACTCGAGTCACCTCCACTACTCCTCGAAATTGTCCAAATGGCTAGATGATTCTGACCTCGTGAAGAGGGGGCCACACACAGATTGGAAGCAGCAGTATCGGTTGAGACATAACTGGTCGCGAGGAAAATGCGCTGTCAGCGAAATTGTAATCGCAGAACGACCTGCGGACCCTCCACTGCTAGTCATGATGCATAATGGCATCGTGTACACGGCGGATTCTGTGCATGGGCTACGAGCCTGGGACTCAAAGAATGAGAGGGGCCTGATTGCCTCAACTCTATTGACAGTCGATGGGACCGAAATTCCACAGCTGCCTACATCGATGGCAGTTGATCTCCAAGAAGATGACTCGGGCTCTCAGCAACGGGTAGTAGTAGGCTTTGAGGATGGCTCTTTCACGGTTTTCCTTCTGAACTCGGAAGATCAATCATGGTCGACGCTATTCTCTCATCCCCCCTCATCGAACGGCATGCTCTCTGCACTTGCTTCCTCATTTCCTTATCTGCTGACCATGACCGAGGATCATCTCTTGTCTCTCTATGCCTTCCCCAAGAGCGATTCGGGTAGAGGTTTAGAATCGCCAGAGCTTCTCTATTCATTGAGATCTCATACGGCGTGGCCGCCCGTGTCGTTATCACTCCGAGCAAGTGGCAATGGAATCACAGCAGCAGTTGCATTTTCGCTTCCGACATATCTCTCTGGCTGGACTGTTGGAATCCAGGAAATGCGGCTTTCTCACGAGGGACAGCTTTTAGAATCTCGTTTAAGCACTGCGACGGATGGACTCTCTCGCACACTTACAGGGCAACGATCGGCATCAAATCCATCTACACGCTCATCATCGCCTTTCTCAGGACGTTTACGGGAGCCGTCGGTATCACACATTCCCAGCAGTTCCAAACCAACTTCAATGTCTTATTCACACCCATATCTCCTCGCTTCGCATCCAGACAATACCCTTACATTGTATCTGGTTCGATCAACCGACACATCACTTAACATCAGCTCTGGGAACCGACTGTGGGGCCATACTTCCTCGGTGTCTGGCGCGCACGTCGGTATGCGCGGGAAAGCCGTATCCGTCAGCCGCTTGGGGAATGAACTCCGTGTATGGGATTTAGAGGGAGGCATGCCGTCTTCAGCGACTAGGAGACGGGCCATGATCGGCGATTTGAGCGTCAGAGTTCAGCCAGCGAAATCACCTGAAGGTTGTCACGATGTTACAGTAGTTGATACTGAACAGCGTTCCGGCCTGCGTTCTGCTTTGGATCAAGGGTTCGATGATTCCACTGTTAGCCGAGGCTGGGTGGGATTCGATGAGCAAAATGTCATCGTTCTTAGGGAGAAAAGTGAGGGCAGCCAAGCCCTAGCAGTGTATGATTTTACTTGATCTGGGGAGCCAGCACGCGCAATCCTGAGCTCAACTTGTGTGTGGTTACAACGTTTCACACGTCAATTCGAATGCATCGACCAGTGAGATGACTGAAATGTCTGCACGAGCGGAACACCCGCCTTGGTTCGGCCGATCTTCAACTGCTCTCCATACACAGTACACACTGCTTATGGAGCAGACGGCGGTGTTGTCCCCGCCAGGTCGTCATGCTCCGTGGTGGGGCAGGTTGCGCATCATGTGGTTGAAGTAGCCAGAAATTGGCTTGATCCGGCTGCTCTCTAACACGAATTAATGAGAGCATCAGATATATTGCCGTTCGCTTGCCAATCTCTACAATATTGGCGCTTCACCTTCCCGTCAGCATGCTTCGACACTCATGGATAGTGGTCAACTTATACCCCAACGTCACCGCGGCATTTCATTGGTCGCCTAGGTACACGACGGAACAACTATGCCTCAAGCCGTTAGTGTATACGCTAATCGATTTGCGGTATTAGCGTCTCTGGAGCCGAAAGCAAAACTTCCCACCGACGCTCTGCTACGTTTTCTTTTACTCTCTCAAGTCAACTTCACAGTTCGAAATCTTCTCAATTAGCAGAATCGCAAAAGTAGACGGCTTTAGAATCAACCTTGTTCTTTGTTGGTTCTTCCCATAACAACTTTTCAACCCACAAGTTCGTACCCCGCAATCCAGCAGCGCGCGCCGCGCTTTGCAATTTTTGGAAATTTCTTTTGACACGCCACAGATCACTTCTCTTCGAATCAAGATGAGCTTCGCTGCACCAGGAGGTCAAGGCGGTCGCGGTTGCTACAACTGTAAGCTCCCAATTTCATCACGGAAATCTTTCTCTTTCAGTTTTCTCGACGGGCACTCTCTGCGAGGTGATGCTGTGGCAAAACGTCATATCGCACCGATCAGACACGGAACTTCCACTTCCAACATTCCTATCATGTGATGGATGGACAACAGCAGTGGACCTGGAATTATTGCTTTTCAGGATGTTTACGCACCGTGTACCCCACATTCTGCACATTCATTCTACAACAATCCCTTGTTGCATTCCGAGGGGCTCTTTACTAATTTTTCCATCAGGTGGCGACCCTGCCCATCGCGCTGCCGACTGCCCTACCAAGGGAAACCCCACTTGCTACAACTGCGGCGACAAGGGTCACCTTTCTCGCGACTGCACCGCTCCCCAGGCCGAGAAGTCCTGCTACCGCTGCGGTGGTGTTGGCCACATCAGCCGTGAGTGCACCAAGGACGCCGGTGCCGGCGGATTCGGTGGCGGCAACCAGGAGTGCTACAAGTGTGGACAGACTGGCCACATTGCCCGCAACTGCACCCAGGGTGGCGCTGGCGGTGCCGGTGGTTACCAGCGTGGAGGCTACGGCGGAGGATACGGCGGTGGCAGCGGCAGCGGCTTCGGTGGCCCTCGCCAGACTACCTGCTACTCCTGCGGTGGCTTTGGCCACATGAGCCGCGACTGCACCCAGGGCCAGAAGTGCTACAACTGTAAGTTAACATGAGTTGCCCGTCGTACTTGACATTGTCTGACCTATTATAGGTGGTGAGGTTGGTCACTTGTCCCGCGACTGCCCCAGCGAGACCTCCACCGAGCGCGTCTGCTACCGCTGCAAGCAACCTGGCCACGTCCAGAATGCTTGCCCCAACTAGGCTGCTCGCCCCTGCTCGTCGATATCCTTGTCCGGACTAGTTTTCGACGCAACCGATCGCCTAATTCATTCTCGGTGGATTTGGAGAGGTTTGGGTAGATTTCTGACCGCGATTTTACGACCCATCGGCACGATTACGAGTTTCTTTCAAATGTACATGTTTTCATGATCTTGCGGCTGGCCACTTTTCCATGTTCTACCAAAAAGCATCAGCACCCGGCAACTACCAACTTGGTTCTTGACAGGCTGGTCCATTCGTCAAGAGGATACGGCAACGAAGATAAAAAGGTCTCGAATGAACTAGGGAATTTTGCATCAAGGGAGATACACGATGGAGGATGTGGACTTTTATTTCAGACAGAACAATGGTGGAGTGATATTCATGACGCACCGACTATAACAGGGTCACGGATTGGCATGAATCTTTCGACATGGCGGGGTGAGCATCAATTTCTGGCATTCTTCTTTGTGCTGGTTTTAGGAAAACAACCTTGCATTAGGCTAGATTGTTTATTTTAAATCATCGGCTCTCACAAGATGGCTAGATAGGATGGAATTGATATTGTCCCACCCATTCATTTGGCACTGGGTCTTACAAATCATCTACTTCTACTTTTGCTGTGATGTTTCTCCCAAGGAACAATGGGCCTTGTCTGCAGAATATTGACGGATTGCCCCAGGCGGATTACTCTCCTGCTACGCCTTGTCAATACATACGTCTAGACTCTTCCAAACGGCCGTCTCCACTCCAGAACATAACCTTAATGATTACTTGCAGGTAGAGATTCGGTACCCCAGGTGGCGTCTCGCACAGGCCCACGTTAGTGGAGTGGGGGATGTTGGCCCGTGGGGATTCGCTCGGATTCTCATTGTCTTAAGGTAATCAGTATTTGTGTCGACATACATAGAAGATTAGAGAGCTATCTCAGGGCGAATATGCTTATACTTTGAAGGAATTTCGATAGAGGTGATGACAATAGCAGAGCTGTAACAGTCTTATGATTCAATGACTCGTAAGCTACGAGTGCGATCCTAACAGAAGGTACGGAGTACACACTGCTGCTTAAAGTCAATCACAACATCAAGACTATCTATTCATGATCATTATTACATTGCGTCTTAGACTATTGAATTCGTTCAGTGCAATCCTGTATATAAATTGGGAAGTTGTGAGCGAATCGGACATTTCCATCATCACCGAGCTCATTGATTGGAAGTTTTCTGAGAAATTCAGTAATTGCAATATTGAATCATGATCCTACATTATACTCGTATGAAAGGTCTGTCATATAGAAAGAAAACAGTACATAATCGCTCACAAAGTGTGAATGGACATATGCCAAGAAATGTGAAAACCAATGCGCTAGCCCGATTTCGGTAAGAAGTGGTGGGCTACCAAAACAACCAGAACAACATCATCGCACGCTCCTCAACTGGCCGCAATACGTGCAACACAACGCGTTCGCTCACACGCGTAATTCTTCAACATTCACACAATCGATAGCCGACACCATGCCAGTCGCTCGGAAACGCGAAAATCGCGAGAATCAATTCTACAATGTTGGTGAACAGGGGAGGTAGGTTGCGCAACCAAATTTCATTGTTTCGAGGCTGAAGACGTCCACAGGAAAACCGGCATTCGACTCGAAGATACAGGAGTACGAGATGAATATGGCATGGAACCGATATCTGGAATTTTCTCTTCGCCGGAAAAATCCCCTGCAAAGCGCGACACCTTCAGCGGCAATGCCACGGTCATCGAGTCTGAATCGATGGATATAGATGAGAGTAAGTCCTCGAGACTCACCGCCTGCGCTTTGGATATGCGCGCATTTTCGAGGATTATTCTAATCAAGATCTTCAGGCGAAGTTCCAAACCTCACACCCGGCCGTTTCCTACATCGCAGTCGTCCGAATCTCCCTCCGCCAAAGTCGCGCTCACCCATTAAAACTTCACTTGGATCCTCGCCGCGCAGGCAGTCATCAATGGGCCCGCGGACAATTCTCAGATCTAGCGCAGATAGTTCGGACCGAGCAACATCACATCCAGCCGTTAGCCGTCGGCTAAGCTTCAGTCAAGACGAGGCAAGTCTCCAGGAAACTCCAGCATTAAGCGGCTCCGGTACACGCCGTGGAGCAGCTCGCTCAAGCATCTACGATTTGGAAGAATCGCCATCGCGGGATCATAATTCCCTAGTGGACGAGAGCGTCGTGCAGGCAGAAATCACTGAAATTGCGGGAGACGAAGAGTCGGAATTGTTAAACGAGATTGCGGAAGAGAGCTTCGCTGGCGCTGTTGGATATGATACTTTGGCGGGGGCAGATGACTTGGAAGATGAGGACGTATCAGGCGATGTAGAAGAGTCTGAAGTCATGGAAGAATCTGTGGAAGAGCCTTTCGAAGAGGCTTTGGAGGAACCCGTTGAAGAGCCCGTGGAAGAACCCGAAGAAGAGGTTGTTGTCAAACAGCCTGCAAAAAGAGGAAGGAAACGCAAAAGCGATGTTATGGCAAATAGCGAACCGAAAGAAGTGGCCTCATCAAGAACTAAGAGACGGGGTCCAGCTGCTGAAGAACAACCAACGACAACACAAAAAGGCAAAAAGTCCGCAAAGGCATCGCCACCTGCGGCAGAGCGTCGCCGTTCCAATCGAATTTCCGAGGCTACCGAGCAAGAAGATAGTAGTATTCTTCCTGCTGCGAACGATGAGTCAATGCAGCTTGAAGAGGCACCGGTAGCTCCTAAAAGGAGAGGACGGCCACCTAAAGCCACTACATCAGCAGCAGCTACCACAACAGCCTCAAAGAAGAAAGATGAAGAGAAAGTGAATGACGAGGCCGTGTTCAAGAAACCGAAGGCAGTGGCTAGGGGAAGGCCAAAGGCAACTTCAAAACCGAATGAAACGACCGTGAATGCTCTGGAGTCTGCCCCTGGCAGACTTGTGGATGCTCTTGGAAACCCGCTATCCGAAGAAGAGGTTGACCGGATCTCCATGACATCTACTGCTTCAAGATATGGACGAGGCCGCTCGCTCTCGGTATTCCGCTCGTTGAATCCAGACCAGGCTGCTTCGAAAGGCAGAACTGGTCGGCACCGCCTCCAGCCTGTTAACTTTTGGCTCAACGAGCATGCCTCTTATGACCGCGACGGCAATTTGCAATCTATTATGCGAAACGAAACAAAAGAGTTGCCTAAAGAAAAGCGAGCTACTCGAGGCCGCAAAGGTAGCAAACGCACTCTCGCGGCTGTTGAGGAAGAGGAAGAAGATCTCGAGGGGTGGGAGCAAGATGAAGGTGTTCTCCTCGGAATCTACAAGGACTTTGACACCACTGCCGAGGTCACACTTCAAGACCAGATTGAAGAGCGTAAGTCACCACTGGATACTGATAAAACACTACTAATTGTTACCAGCTATCGCCTGGGCACAGAATGGTATCAAGCCGGTCGAAGTACCGGGAGCAGAATTCAAGTTTACCAAGTTGGCATCTGCCGGCACGTCTTCTTTCTTTAGCTGGGGATATCTTGCTCTTGACAAGGATGGCCATAAACGGTCCAAAAATTCGAGACGAATGCATATGGTGTTCCATGTCACCAAAGGCAAAGTTGAAGTCCAAGTCGACGACAATGAATTCACAATCAATAAAGGAGGCCTATGGCAAGTCCCTCGAGGTAAGTCTATACATATTTTTTTTACCCTCCTTTGGGGATTTCTTCCAAAGTTGTCTTGACAGTCTGCATTGAACTGTACACATCGCTCAAAGCGGGGACTACTTCATGCTTTCACGTTTCGATCGTAAGCATGTCGTTCACAATACGCTTTTGGGTGCATTGCCTTCTACGACTTTGCAATCAGACAGGTCATAACAAGCGAGGATGGCAGCCGAGATTGTTCTCATCACATGCATGATGTGGCTGGGACAATGCTGCATTTCGTGCATGCTGTGTAACATCTGACCCTGCTCCCCAACGACGTTTCCTGTCGTTCGCTGAAAGCACGAACGCACACACCATCCCGCTTATTTCCTTTGCTTTTTCGCTGCATCTTTCTTCCGAACCAAGTACTACATCCAACACATGTTCGCGGCCCCCAACCATCCCGCGCGATGTCGCACCTCGCATTTGGCTCGCTTTCGCTTTCCCTTGTGCCGCTTTTATCCTTCTTCAAAATCACGCGTTGCGAAGGCACGACTAACTTGTGGATACTAGGCAACACATACAGCATTAAGAACCTCGCGAAGACCGAAAGCCGTATCTTCTTCGCCCAAGCATATGAGACTACCGTCCAGGAATGAGTCTTTCTTGCAAGACTTGCAATTACTAACTATTTCCAACCCGACCTCTGTATCTTCGACTAGGGGCCCAGTGCATTCAGTAGATTGTAAAAGCGGATTCAAACTTGCTCGCGGCCCCGCCCAAACCCTGCATGAGTTCCGCTATCCACTGTGCTGCATCGCGAGATTCGTCACCATTGTCGGCATCAGCTCCGCTTCTTCTTAGTAGGGCGAGCATGAGAATTCAACATCTGTTACGTTGGCAAAAGTGCGGGGGTTCGATATCGGTTACTTCGGCAAACAACATACATACAGCTAGTGCAGGTAATAAACTTAGTCTGTGGGGTTGTAGGATTTCCTTCGGTAGTTTCGCTTTGCCCACGGGCTGAGTGTGGAGGAAACAGCTGTTTGCGTTGAATCACGACAATAACGACCTTGGTTTAGATTCGTCCTGTTTGAACACGGACGCTCTTCGTGTCCAGCAATACTTCTCCAGCGATTAGCGCAATAATGAAGATATTTGTCACAGCAATGATAATTTGCCAAGATACTCAATGTCTTCAGCATTTTCCTATCTGATGCTGTCCGTAGCATTGTCGTCCTACCTGAAGATCCACTTCATCTGCACATGTCCGCCCGGTCGACCTCACCGACTTTCATGGTTTTACACCGCCAACCCGGATACTTGCGGTCTCTAAGATTTCCATAGCGCTCGCTCGTGTCCAAAATATACGTGTGGCTTGTCACTACCTCAACCTTGCTTGGAACGATCTCGCGCACAATGAGTTCGCGAGTAAGTTGTGTTCCGGTGAAGATGGGGACAAACGACAAGACGGTCGTACAGCAGCAGTAGCTTGCAACGACTAAAGACGCTGGCGGGGGCGTCAATTAGATCGCATCTATCCAGCATCTGCGGGCGCTTAGATTCGACCTGCTGTGCCAGGAGGGACGATCGAGCACCAGATGCAAACCCAACCCAATGTTCCACAAAAGCGATCTCGTATGTTATTTCGACAACGCACCTGACTCTCCCACATTTCCACAAAAGAATAGGAATTTTAATCTCGCACATGGATGGATGAGGTTTCAAGACAATAGATGCATATTCCGTAGTTGAGAAATTGCAAAAAATGGAAAACAATAAATGATCACCCGAATCTTGCATAAAGCAATCTCGCATCCAATATGCTCGTGACAGACAGAACTGCAGGTCGACCATGTATAAGCCGCCTGCATGCATGGGTCGTGGTTGCTGTAGTCTTGCACATCATTTACTGCGTTGTCTTATCTCTTCAGCTTCATTGTTTGCTTGTCTGTCTCAGACTGCCTGCATCGCAGTCCAAATTTGTGAAGCTGTCACATCAAGTTCTGTACTTACATGCTTTTGCAGTCTACAGAATGCAGCATCCATGAAAAACCAATGTGACAGCTCACGTTCACTCAAGGTTCTGACATGCCCACGCGCGCCTTAGGGTAGGCGATTATGTGAAACCTGTGTTACACTTGATGACCGGCTCTCCCGTCCGCCTTCTGTGCAACCACACTTTTTTCAATTCAGAAAAGAAAAACTCAATTCGTTGGATTTCCAACCTTTGAATTTTTCGGCCCCTCTTCCCCGCCTGGGGTCAGCGTGGCTTACCTGCCATACACTACCCACGCGTTTTGTCTCTGCGGTTGTATCTCGTTACCTTGCAACTACATACATACTCTCAAAGGAAGGGGGTGAGGTGAGATGGAGATGAGCGCAGCAAAGCAGAGCAACAGCAACATGAACGCACAGCATGGGCATGGCTTTTTTTTCTTTTTGATGTTTAGCTTCGGCTTGTGTCACTGGTTGCCTTGGGTGCTTGGTTCCCGCATGGGAAGTTCCCCCTCCTCTCGTAGTGTCTCCCACTTCCCCAAACGCCGTGCAACGGGAAGCTGATCGGTGTGAAATGGGCTTGTATGAGGTACTGCAACCCGGCCTGGGGGACGGATTGTTGCACGACGGTGGCTGGCGGGGGGAAGATGGGCCGTCATTGTGATCAAGGGATGGATTTTGCGGGAAGTTCACTGCATTGGGAGGGATATTCTGGGGCGAGAAGCGGTGAGGCGTAAGTGACGAAGCTTTCCATTATCGTGGTGGTGGTTGAGGTTGTTTGTTGTTGACGACGATGGCGATGATGATGCTGGTCAACTGGTGAAGAGGGTCATGTTGGTGCCATAACGATTGAACTAAGGGGTTTTTGTGAAGCTGAAATGTTTTGTATCTTTGTTATTGAATGGGCAAAGCGTTGTACTACTTCATTCTTTCGAAGCGTTGTTGTCAAACTGTGAACAGGGGTTCCGTTGCTGCCATTGCTGCATGAAGGTATAGGATTTTGGGATTCGGATGAGTTCTCATTCGTAGGGGAAGCTGGAACAATTCCCTCTGGTTCAATTGATGCTTCACGGAAACTGTTGAGGGAGGACGTTGTCGTCGACGTGTACAATGTGAGGTTCAGTTGGCAATTGTCAATACTTTGCTCAGACGTCATATCGCCATGTCTCGAACGGCAGCTCGATGTCTAATGGATGCGCCACAGTCAAAGGAAGCCCTGCACAGGCCGAGAACATGTTAAGGCTTTTTCTCTCCCACACCGGTTGATGCGTTGTCCTACGTACTATGAATTTATGTGTATGCCTACTCCATGCTTCGTACATTGAACGATCGCGCATATCCGTCTGGACAACCTCAAGGCTCCCTAACCCCTGGCCCATCCATCCAAAGTCAGCAGCCACTTCCCACCAACTCTTCCAGCCCCTCGCAGCCCGAACGATGCCCAACAACGTTCATCCCCGTATCTTGCACTCCACAGCTTTCCATGGCTTGACCCTTCACGAACTGTTAATTGTTCGCCCAAAACGTCCACATACTCGCCAAACCTCCAAAGTGTTCTTCCAAGTTCTAACCCACCAAAAACTACGTCAACAGTGCGCAAGAAAACCCCCTCCAATCCCAGATCGCCCCACTTTTTGGAAAGTCATATAGTATTTCCGTAGGGCTTTCGGATGGACATATCCAAGCATTACGGCATCACACACACACGCAGAGAGAAAGTTAGTTAAGGGATCCCTCTGTGAGTTCGTGAGTTCGGGGCGAGTCAGCCTTTCCACGCTACCGTGTACGCCGGTCTCAAACTCGCTTCGTGCTAAGAAGCCACCTGCGTCTGAGGAAGTGCAAAGAGGGAACCGCTCTAGTCCAGTAGATTGGTGCGAAATCGATCGTTTGTGACGAAAGTAAACACCCGCTTTAGGGCAAACCTACCCGCGCTTGCGGGTTTTGTCGCTATAGTTAGCCACAGTTTGACCAAAGTGGAACGATCTCGGTAATAGTTAATAATGTTCGGAAGGGGAGACGAGGAGAGAGGGGAACACCTTGTGGGTATTTGCTGCAATTTGAATCCGTAGAGGTTTTGCTTTCCTTGTCTTGCAACGGAAACTTTATCATTCCTTCTCTCCTTTCTCTGTGGCTTATTGGCTTCTGATTTTCGTAATTACCTTTCGTGAACGTGAATCTGCTTGCAGATGGACGGGCTGGTAGCGCCCAAAGAATTGTGAAGTGTGATGTGACTATTATTGGAGATATACAGAGTACATTGGCTGTCTTTCCCGCGGGCGGCTGAGAAGGACGACAGCCCACTTGGCCTACCCTCGATAATGTCGAGAATCCAGTTCGTCCAGCCTTGCCGGATGGTGATCATGGAGGGGGCGAACATGATTGCTCGTATGATTTTCTAATCGACTAATGATGGTCCCGGTAGTATTTTTTCTCCTTTGCGGCCCTTCTCCTTGAGCTTTCGGGGGATGAGTTCCCGCTGAACGTTAAGTTTCCTGTTTTGGCCAGACCAGTGTGGTCGCGGAAGGTGAACCGTAACACCCATTGCGTGACTCTCCCATCATTTCATCCCCTTTCCGATGGGCGGGCCGATCAGGAACGCATTCTTCTAGGATGCCTATTGTCAATTACACTTTATTAACGTTCTCCATGGCCAGGTTCCGCATCTACCATGCCAATCATCCTGAGGCGACCCACAAGGAGTTATAATAAGTATGGTGTTACATCCGAAGCCTCGCTATGCTTGCTCGTGTTTATGACAATTAGTCGAGTAGTTCTCAGAAGCCGATGCACTTGTATTATCAACTTAGCGATTCATGGGGAGGGTCCAAACTCGCGAACACGTTCCTGCGAGGGGAACCTAACCTCAGGCTAATGGGCAAGCGTCTCCTCCGGCCTTCCAGAAGGAAATTAGAACACATAGTCTGTTCGATTTTGATGCGCTGGAGGGAACTGCTGTTGATCCGAGTGTTTGTTTGAAGGCGAACATGATCATATTGGCACACCTGTTCATGGTATTTCCAGGGGTGGAGGGAATTCCCCACAAATCGCAATCTCCTGTTCGATTCCTCGAGCCTACAGAGTCGCTGCTCCAGATCCGTTATTTAGGATCGCTGTGTCGTGCATGTGCGGCATGAACGTCAATGCCGTGAATAATGAACACTGACTCGAATGCCTTCAACCCTTGTACATGGTGGAAACGGAATTATACCCTATAGCATTGACCTTCTAGAAAGTACAAGATGGCAATGCGCCTATTGCTGGTCATGGCGAAGGAGCGATGGTGCATGAAACCTCGTATATACCGACATGTGGTAGGGCATGAACCACGCACAGGGGTGTACCTTCTGCTTGTTTCGGTTTCGAAATGAGGACAGCCGACTGCTGTCACGGCATAGAAGGGAAACCTCTGCCAGTACACACTAGTTAGGTATGAGAAGGAAGGCTGGAATGCGAAATCCTGGATGAACCATGGGAGTCATGGATGCTAGTATTATTCCTAGCATGCCTACGTCCGAACGCACATGCAAGTAATTGTAGCATGTGGTCATCATCATGAAGAAGCTATCCGAGCGGGCGGCCAGTGTGCTCGTCTAATCTTCGTAATTGTGATGGGCAATGGTTTGACTCATCTTCATGTTGATCAGTTCATGATGCTTAGAGCCCAAAAAGTGAGGCTTGCTCTCCCCCAAGCCCAACTCTAGGAACAGGGCGCAAAGAGGAACAACTCAACACCACCACAATCCATCGAAATTTTTCCTTTGCATTGCCAGCGCAATATACAGCAAGCCACGTAATAATGTCAATTGTGTAGTGTGCTGAAATTGTTTGACCGCATGTTCTTGGATACGTCATGGGAAGAGGCGGTGGGCAGTCCGAGAAAACCCTTCACCGCCACGTCTGCGTCAATTGCCAGTCATGATGTTCGCCTCCCAAGGACGCGAAGGTTCCAGATTTGTAGTTTCTGAAAAATAGTTTTGCGGAGATGTTAGTAGAGTCAAAGTTGTCGCTTAGGATACTCCACAATTGATGCGAGGGGAATTCCACTGATAGGAAAAATGATTTCGGTGTCGAGCTAGTTCTAAAAATCAGGACAGATTGAATGTTACTGGAATGAGACGTATGAATCTTTGTTTTTGAACAAAATGTGACCTAAGGGTCTCCAGCCCCGCCGCGCTCGCTCAATGCACAAACGTTAAACATGATTATAATAGTAAAGATAAGACAGGCGAAGAAGAAGACAGAAAGACATAGAGAGGAAACGCTATAAATGCACAATCATGACCGACCGCCATATGAGTGTATAGTAAACACAGGACCGAGGAATGAGATGACCCAAAAAGAAAACCACGCTATGATGTAGGAAATGAAATGAGGAAAAGAACAAAGAAATTAAGGAAAATTGAGAAACAACCCGCCATGCGCTAAATGCCATAATCGTATCTGTTGACTGGAAGCCTAACAGTTATATGATGACCTTGTCCGGGTCTTTCATGCAATACCCGCTCAATATGTATACTTCGAATGCATGCAAAATGATGCTCAATGCCCTCAAAATGCGTTATTAATGTGTGCCAGTGCAATTTGCGCATTGCCAGAGGTGTGTTCATTCTTCTGGCGCTGCTGATGTTTCTGAAGCAGGCTGGCATTGCCCAGCTGCAGATCTTGCTCACGAGGCTGCGGCGGGATAGGCTTGTAACCAGCAGGCTATCAAGATGTCGTGATGGGAGTGTCATTGGAAGACTGATGGACGTCGCTCGGTTCCTCTCTCTTCAAGCTCTTCACACTTCCTGTTCCACTACGCTGTGAGCATCGATCTGGGCTCCTGCCTCCGTGGCTCCGTGTTTCCAAATCTGGTCGAAGGTTACCGGAGTCCTCGTCTTCTCGCCTCCTCTTTAAATACGGCTCAATAAAAGGAGCGTTATCGTTCTCCCTCTTGATTTGCGAATGGGTTTCAGGTGTTGGCGCCGTGGTAGGACCGCTCACAAGGTCGGCCTCAGAGGTAGGGTGGAACTGTGGAAGGGTCGGGCCGAGTTGGGGTGGCACGCTGGACCTTGATCTCGCATCCGTGCGACGTCTGCCAAAGGAGCCGCTCCTCCGTCGACCTTGACTCGATCCACTGTCAGTTCGATGATGGTAGCCGTGTACTGGGCCTTGGGACACTGTTGGAGGTTGCTGTGGGGTCTGCGAAGGGGGAGGTGGTAGAGGGCTAGGCACCAGCTGGCTGGCGTTTGTAGGTGTAAAGCCATGTGGTGCTGGGGTAACGGTAACGTGCGTAGGAGGTGGAGAGTTGACGCCTGTGGCTGACGGATGAAGCTGAAAGACCGGAGCATTCGCGCGCGCGCTCATTTCTTGCTCTCCCAATTGCCAGTGCATCGATTCTGCAGACCGCCAGGGAATGCCCATTTCTGTTGCAACCTTCTGCCACATCTGATCCTTGAACCTACATTCGAGCCATTAGCATGGTAACTCAAGATCCTCGGGGTACGGGGTGAGCGGTTGCATACAATAAGCTTGTAGCTTTCATTGTAAGAACATGAGGTAGAGGACCAAATCAGGGGAAAGTCGAAAACCAAATTATAGGATAGCGGCCGATAGGCAAACATAATCGTACGTACCGAGCGTATAGTCTTGCCAACTTATTCTTCTTCTCTTCATCCCATACGGCTCGTTTTTCGAGATAATTCTGATATCGCAGTCGACAAGATATCGAGCTTCTTCCGGGCAGTCGTTTCGCAATGTCGTCCCATTTCATTCCCTGTCCCCTTAGTTCAATCGTGAGGTTGTCTTCTTCAGGTGTCCATTTGGATTGCTTCTTGGCAGGACTTTCTTCTGGCAATGGTGTTTGCGATGCCTGTCTCTTGATTACCTGTGTTGGTGGAGAAACATTGGTCATAGGATGGCCTGGAGGAGCTGAAGTCGCCATTGGTGGGCCTGAGTAGAGTGGCCGAAATTGTGGTTGGGCCGGATCCTGGTGTCGTTGAAGCTCTGAGATAGCTGGGAGAACGGGACCGCCTAGCATTGACGCTGCTCCAGCGGCCGCTGAAGCTGGAAGACCTGGAGTAGCATAGGCAGGGGTGCCGCCGTAGGCTGGAGACGACGTTGAGTATGCTGGAGAAGTTGCGGGGTACGCCGGTGATGCCCCAGCATAGGCAGGTGATTGAGTATATGCAGACGGAGCAGTCGTGTAAGCTCGTGTCGCGGCTGTGGAATTTGATCCTACCGATGCTGAACTCTTCTTGCTAGCCGGGGACTCAGAGCCCCGGGGCTCGATGAGTAGATTGATATCCACGATAGGCGAGGTGGACCAGCAGTGAGCCAGCCCATGAATTGATCAAAGAGTTTAGGAAGATGCTGCTAGCACCGAACTTGATGGTGTCGAGGGGCAGAATGTGAATGTGGTCGTCAAGAGTAGAGAAGTAGAGAGGTGTGCTGTGGATCAGGTCGATATCAACCAACGTGTCTTACCCTGGCCAAACCGGAACAATATATGAACCTTGGCTATTTAATGGTCAAGTTACACGTCTTTTGAAAACAACTTAAAGAGTTGAGTATACTGAGGTTGGTGGAACGGTGGTGTGAGCAGCGCTGCGATGCTCAGAGTGCGTGTGTGGTGGCGTTGGGCAGTGCCCGTTAGGCAGAGGTAGACGCTGGAGATGATGGGCAGCACAGCGGCGATGAGCAATTGTCGATTGAAAGGCGATGAGATGAGTTGAGCGTGAATGCGATGGAAGTGTTGATAAACACAGACAGCGGAAAGAGTATAGTGAAAAAGGGTGATAGTAGTTGGAGGTAGACAGGAGTAGAAGAGAAGCGGTCGGATGGGCGATGAGGTTCGATAGATACTAAAAGTGTGCCGGTCTATGGCAAAGTGACCATTCGCGAGGTACTATGGCAGTTTGACGCTCTCAGTGGTTGCCCTCTGGAGCTATTTAGGAAATGGGACAGCAAGTGGACAGGGTTCTGAAACATGGCCGACCAATGGACCCTCTAACGGCAAGCGTGCATAGCCACTGGGTGCGAAGAGAAAAAGAGGGAAGAAGAAGCGTCGTGGTAGAGGGATGCGGCCTGGCAAACAGAGAGAATTGGGACCGAGATACTTTGGAGACCTGGGGACATGGATCGCTGAAGAGTGAATAGGGTGAGTTAGGCACAGGTTGATGTGCGACGAGTGCTGTAATGGTACACCCTTCCTTGGACTGGTCCTGGTGCCGCCTCGCTGCCCCGTCCACGCTCGGTAGGGATCCGGGGGTTTGGATTAGGATGCAGCTTTGGCGTCCTCTAACTTGACACTCACTACTTTACGCTTTGCGTTGGCTTGACTCTGTGCTGGCGGCGCCACTGTTAAATGCCGGGATGACCCAGGACCGTGCCCTGCTGGGACAGCTGATCTAAGGGGAGTGTGTCTGCGTCGGTCTGCGTCGATCTAACGAGCAGCCAAAAAAGAAAAACATTCAGAGCAAAAAGTACCCAAAATGACTAGCATTTTAGTTGCAAAAAGAGAACAGTAGTCGACGGCGGTGCTAGCAGAGAAGTGAGGCCGATGACGTGTACTCCACCTCTGCAGCAGCATTACTCACTTTGGAGCTCTGGCTCTGCCCGCTGTCCTTATTGCTTCATATCAACTACTTACTCGAAAGCTTGGGCGTCATTTGCTGCCCTTCTGCCCCATCACAGAATACCTTAACGTGCCGCAAAGCCCTGTTTTTGCGGCACGAACCCAACTTCCAGCGGCCACCGAGGGGCAGCTGCTGTCAAGCTGTCATAATCAACGACTGTACGAGCCTCCAACCTCTGTGGAGCATAATGGAAGGGGGCAGCGAATAATAGCCAGGCAAAGGCGGTGAACAGGCTCAGGGATTCGCTGAACGTCTGGCAACCAGGACCGGGGCTCGGGTGCAGAAGCGCGATGACCTGGCGGAGCGCGGCGAACAAGATCTGCAGCATCCCATCCCATCGCCCTACGGCTATCTGACGCCAGAATTGTCGCTACCGAAAGAAGCGTCGCGAACGCTGACTTCATTATGGCGGTGCAGGTGGTGATGTGTTCACGCCGAAAAAAAGCTTGTCTGCTTGAATGTTTACACCTCCCGATGCCGTATTCCAGCAGTCTATGAACAAAAGCATGCAACTAGACCCACAGCAATGCCCACGCGGTTAGGGCAAGACAAAGACAATATTTTGAACAGGAGAGAGCGGTGAACTGTAACCTGCCCGGAGGTAGGAAGCCGTGACGTCGAGCACCAAGACTGTGTGTTGAACAGAGCTGCCAGCAATCATGCATCCGATGAGTAAAGGTCCTAGCTCCGGCCTCACGCGTGCCAGAACGTAGACCGTGAATGTCTGCTGTTATTTCAGTGTTCATGTCGAAGCGTCGTCTATCCAAGGTTTGTGCCACCACGCACACGTGAGAGCGGTCTCATGGAAGAGTTCGCTCTTGTCCTTAAAACCGCCGGGCTGCGGCGGTGCTCTGCGTTGTCTTGTGTTCAGGGGCCACGTTGTTGTCCTTCGTCTTATGATATCAAGGCCTCCCAGAGCCAACACACAGCAACAAGCACGGTGGCAGCATCCCGAAGATGCCGCCTGGCCGCTCGGTCGCATCGTCACAAAGGGACATCAGGGATTAATGATGATGCGCATTCCCTAACTTCGCTAGGCGGTGAACGATGCCTGATTCACGCCCGAACCTGGTGCGAGCATATATGTTCTGGTGAAAGACTTGACGCAGACGATTGAATGAACCTTGAAAAGGTCGGGTGGCCGCACTACTGGTGCTAAAACGCCCGACACGCATTAGCCGGTCGTGGAGAGCGCACGGGGACAGTGTTCTTGAATAATAAGAGGCGTCGCCACGGTGCGTTCGCGGTGGAAATGGGACTGGTTCAGATGTTATGAAGGACGCTCCACTCTGACAATTTTGCAATCTGTGTGCGGCTGCGAACATGATTCTTCCAGAGCCCCGGTCCCAGGCTGTGACGTTCCGGCAGAGTGTCTTCGCCCGCCTGAGACCTGCTGAATCAGAGTGTCAGTCGCCGTGCACAGTACGCCTGCTCTGTTTGTGTCGCAGCAAGTCGTGGGTGGTGACGTCTGGCTGGCTGTGGGCGCCCCGGTTGGTTAACCCAATCTGGGGTATGCGATGTCTATGCGGAGCCTATGCGGTGCCAGCTGGCTGTCCACCCCGCCAGTCCTACGAGTCTGCAGCCGAACAGTTCATCAATTTGGCTTGTCTGGCGACGAAGGAATGACATCCTAGCCGAGTAGTATACTTGATATTTTTAGTCAAGAGTGCATTAAATAAGCGGTGAAGCCCGTCGAACAGTGGAGGAAAAACTGGACGCGTTCTTGACTGCACTACTTCGACGACAGATACAGCGGACAGCGACAGCTACAATACAGGACAGGGGCCAACAAGGTTGTGAGAAGGCTTGAAGATGGAGTGAGTTTCTGTTTGTCAACGTCAAGGCAAGTACCTAGTCCTCCTGGTCCTCCTAGTCCTGTACAGAGCAAGGATTTCTCGAAAAGGGACGGGGAGGAGGGAGAACGACCGTGGTAAGGACGAAGAGAGAGAGAGAGGCGCGCGGCTTTGAGCGCGGCATGACTTCTGCACCATTACGGCGATTCAGATTTGCCAGACTCGACCACGCTTCGGCAGACTCGCCAGACTGAACGCCGGTGGGTCGCGATGTGTTCTCGGTGATCTGTGCCGAGGATATGAAGGGGCAGGCAGCGTCATTCGGTGCAATAACATCGGACTTGGCTGACGGAACACGTTCGAAATTGCGAAGCAAGGCGAGCAGAGTGGGTGAGAGGCTCGTGCTAGGGGCATCAATTACTGAAGCCACCCATAAAAGCACATTCTCAGTAATTAGATACCGTAGTCAGCTAGGCGAGAACGTGGAATGAACTGTTTCACGCATCGCGTGGGGTATCTAGGCGTGAGTAGTAGTGAATGGTCATGACATCGGCCAGCCATCGCGTTGGGTAGTTCTCCGGCTGTTCCATGGGTTCAAGGCAACGACGGCGGGAATAGCAACAATTGCCCTGAAGATTTGAACGGTTTAGACGACCGACCACCACGGCGTCCACAATGAGACAAGGAAGCGTGGGCGTTGGGCGTGGGGTGAAGCTAGGCACGTACGAGAATACGGAGTAATGATGTTGACGATGATGATGAATGGATGGTGGTGAACGTGATCTTGTTGGTCGTAGAATCCCTAGTGTTTCTTCTTTTCTCCTTCTCTCGCTTAAGCTTCCGTTTCGGGATACCCGCACTCTTCACCCGTTCACCTCACCGTCCCCCCTTCCACTCTACTTTCACTCTACCTCCTACAACGTATGCACTTCCTTTTGGCCTGATCCGTAACAAGTTCTTTTTATGAATATCGTCGTTGCATTGATCATCGGGTCTTCCATCTTAACCGAATCCGTGACTTTGATTAATGCCCGTCCTAACAACGCATCTCACTAATCACAACTACCACACACCATACTCGTATCCACTTTCATACCATCCACCTCCGCTGCTGCGATCGTTCATCCTTTGGACCTAACAGCACAAGTCCGCACTAAACCGACTAAACATTTGCAGTAATTACTACTGCCCCTCTTCATTCATACACACAACTTCTCCTCGTCAATCGTAATTGCCTACTCCCGTCGACAAGCAGCCAGCCGGTGTGCGCGTGTGAAAACTCGACAGGTCATTTCCACTCTCCTACTCGGCAGCGTTCCCCTCCTGTTTCCAAAATGTCTCTCCAGCCTGCGGCCGATGTTCCACTTCTGATTACCTCCTCCAACTCCTCGTCCGAGCGTAGGATCAGTCCATCGTGGACTATAGCCCATCTCAAGGCTCGCCTCGAACCCATCACCGGTGTCCCCGCCGGCAGCCAGCAACTTACTCTGCGTGTAGGCTCCCAGGATGCGGTTGCTATTACCTCTAGCAATGAGGAGCAGACGCAGCTTTCGGCCTTTTCTCTGCAGCCTTACGCAGAGATAAGTGTAAGTTAATCCTTCTCGGTTATTTCCTTTTACCTCAGTACATTATCTGAGGGGCGGATGCTTGTTCTTGTCGCGTCTTTCGTCGTATCGCCAGCTGCCACATTTCCCATGTTTTAGATATGGAGTGGCAATCCTGGCTAGTCTGTATAGGCCTACGCTTAGCTCACTAGGCCTCTGCGACTGTTTTCCTTTTTCTAAACATCCCATTGTCGGGCTGAGCCTGTTTCCTCTGAGGCTTTGATCCTGGTCTGCAGCAAATATGCATGCTGATGCCCCACCACGCCGTTCTCAGCCCTTTGTGGCTTCGTCATTGGCCTATCTCGACTGCTTCTCTGACAGTCTTAGCGTGGCATGTCTCGCCAAGCTGTTCCACCGTTATCAGATTCATCGATCCTAGTGTTTGGCTGTCTGGAACGTTAAGTTCCTCCCTTTGCTGTATTACTATTCTTGTATTCTTGTCTATGCTTTTTAATCATCCGATTCCAATTTCCTTTCTTTTGGATTTTCTTTTCTTCTAGTCAATCTTTCAGTTGCTCAAGGATGTACTCATTCAGTATGTCCCTGCATCTGCAGTTCTTGAGCTGAAAGCAGGACTGGTGGTAGGGGGCGCGGCCAGGAATGGCGCCCCTAAGCATGGATCTTGTCTCTAACCAGGCCATTCATAGGTTCTCGACACTCGACCACCAGGCGCTCGCACCGACTACTCTGACTTATCATCAGTGGAGAAGTACATAATGCCAGCTGCAGAGTATGAGACTAGAACAGACAGCGTTCTCGCTTGGAAGAAATCACAGAAACTTGGTCGCTTCGATCCAAATGCACCCACTATTGAGCAGCAGAAGATACTTGCTTACGAACGCGAGATAGAAGAGAGAGGTAAGCAATACATGACCGGTGAACTTCGCGCTCGTGAACAGGTACGGTTGTGGCAGACCATGCATAGAGCCAAGCCAAAAGTAACAAACAACATGGGAGTGACGTCCACTCCAGAAGATGATCGCGTTCGCGTTAGCGGTCTGTCGACAACCTACGCCAAACGACTATGCTTCAAGATTCTCCCAGAACGGACAGGTGCATCTTGCTGTTTCTGTTGACCAAACTACACCATCTATGACCAAAAAAACGAACGTTCTTGTCTCATCCTGCAATCTGCCACTGGCCACAGCGTTCTCGGCGCTTCGGAGTCGGATATGTCATATTGTCGAACGAGATCTGTTTCTCTTTTTGTCTTGGCAAATTGCCCTTTCTGGCACACTGCAGATGAGGCTTCGCCAAGATGCGTGAGATTAGGAGATGACGTCCTCCCTGCGATGGAGCCTGGTAACGCTCTCACAGGCACCGCGAGTTCTCAGTCATCGTTCGGCAATCAGTCCAGTCTCTGAGGAGAATTCGGCGATCTGGGACCGCATCCACATTCCCGGTATCCGCACTGCTGGGACTGCACGCGCGCTGTAAGCTGGCCTAAAGTTGACAATCCTTATTCAACGCCATGCCTCGATACATAAGCCTCACAATTTCCATTCGATGCCAGGTCTTCTCGCTATGTTGATCTTAGCCTTTCTGAACGGGGTACTTCTCATTACCTCACTGGGAGAGACATCGTCATTGTTGCATGAATAGCTGCCCACGACGATATGTCAAGTCATTCGGGCGCAGGAGTAAGGTGCAAGTCGTTCAGTACGGCAAAGGCCAGGAAATTTCAACAGTGCCTGTTAGGCTTGCCACCCTCTGGTCTATGTTGGCTGTCTATATGATCGTCCCTTCCGATGTTCCAAGCTCGCCTCATTCTTCTAGAGGAGAGATTTCAGCGAAACCGACCACATGCGTCATGTTGGTGATGAAGACAATCGGCACCATATGAGAGAACGGAAACGACCAAAGACCAGTGATGTTTTTTGAGCCTGTCACATCTCCACAAACCGTACCTGGTTCAGAATCGTAACTTTCCTAACTAAACTTTATGACACTCGATGTCCAAGCCTGCACCAACTCTTGCGATGAACTAACACTTTGCAACCAAAAATCCACTAACTATAACACCTAGGTCTCACACTCTCTTCTCGCGTACGCTTACTACCCGAATCCGACGCTCGTCGAGGAACGGTGTCCTACCTTGGCCTCGTCCCCGAGATTCCCGGCCTAGGCGCATGGGTGGGCATCACTCTGGACGAACCTACAGGCAAGAACGACGGCTCGGTTAAAGGCAAACGATACTTTGAGTGCGGCAACAACTATGGTGTTTTCGTACGGCCGGAACGATGTGAAGTCGGCGATTTCCCCGCTCTCGATCTTGGTGACGAGGATCTGGAGGAATTGTGAGCAGATAGAGTAATTTGGGCGAGTTGATACCTGCATCAAGGGAGACGGGATCGTTTGATCAAGCTCGTCTTCCCTCGACCTTCACATCTTGTTCAACAATTGCGTTGAACGGTGGACTGGTGCGGCGTGGTGTTCCTGCGGCGCAGTCACTCTCATGGCTTTGTCTGCGGGGGAACGGCACTCACAAGGCAGTTCAGTAGAACAAAGAAACCTTCAATCTACAAGGATGAAAAACTCCGCTGTGCTAATACAACTGCTTCACAAATGATTCATTTACAAGTTATGAAATGTGCCATCGCTAAGCCATACGGCCTCCTGACTTAGTCTCCATCATTATTGAATTAAATGATATTGGTTCGCTATTTATACAAATGCTTACTGCATTTCAATAGTTTATGTCTTAAAGTCATCGCCTTACTACTGCTTTACAATGCATAAGAAACATATACCTATCATGATATGCCTGCACTATAACTCATCCAGCAATACACATACAAAATGCACAAACCTATCGTCAGACAATTCTTACCATACACACACCTCTCCCCACGACTTTGGTCTACCGTGACACAACTCCATCACTCATCGATATCACCTGTCACTGTACACTTCCCCTCCGATCTCAGTCTCTACCCCGAAGATGAATTCAACACCTCCACATCCATCCCTCTTCATTTGACAACAGATAGCCCACCTTGTTACCCCCATTTCCTTCCTCCGCCGGTAGGAAAACATAACTAGACTCAAACATTGAGCGCCACATGCCTTTTCCCTTCCGAGTGATCCATACCTACTCACAACCCCTCGTGTTTCCACGCCTGCCGACGTAGGACGAAACCTTATGCGGCACGGTTTCCAATTCTCTCATATCTGACGCTTACTTGGGGCTAAACATGGTCTATACATACATGATATTGAGGGTGTGTGGAGCGGAGGTAGGATGTCAAGGTGAACGTAATTGGCTGCTTGAATCGGTGGTGTTGGTAAGGTGGGAGGTGGAGATCGTGGTGCCTTCGAATTGTGTATTGTACGTCAATAAGCCCTCTTGGGATTTTGGAACATATTCTTGCGATCCATCGTCTTTATAGATCAAGAACAATTATGGTACGATGTATTTACAAGTAGCGGTAGATCGGATTTGCAATTACTGTGAGTTTTTGAGATATATCCTAGCGATATATTATCCTCGTCCATAACTAACCTTGTAATGACGAGAATACTGTTACTGGTGTTAGACTTGAACACTTACATGTTGACAGCTTCGAATTCGATAACGTTGTGACGTACTTATTTATCAGAAAACAATTTAAAATAATCGAGGTAGTTGCAGAGATCGTGGATCAAAAGCTCATACATACTAACGGATTCGAGTCTATCGAGGTCGAAGTTTACTTTGGATCTAAAGAAAAATGTAGACTGACATAGATAACTGATGAATCTGGAGTTTGTGCATTGGATGGTCTTTCGTACAAGGGGAAGGGAACGTCAATATATCATAGAAAATCGTGATTGCATGTCAGTCTTGGGAGCGCGCATTGTCGGAGTCTTTTAATGGAATCTCGTATTGTACAGTACATTACAATTTGAGATTCCAAATCAAAGTCAGCATTGGTCAGGAGCGTAATCACACGATAAAGTTCTAAATCACCGACATCATCAATAAAAGAAGGATCAAGACTTAAGTCGTTTTATGCATATATGGTTTATCAGAATCGCGCTGCGAATGCTTTTTCTTAAACTGTTTGTTGACACATGACTCCAATCTCACTTTGCGCACACAATCCCAACCGTTTGCCTACTTCCCGATAGTAACAGATCCCATCCATGATGTCCGCTATGGCGAAGATTACTTCGGTCTTCTGCGGAATCTTGCCCAGAGGGAGCCTTGCCACCAAAACGCCTTTGCTCCGTGACACCGATGACGTGCTTTTCGAAAGTACGACCAGTGAATTCTATAATACAAGAAGATAGGCCGCTATAAAGTCGCGCCGCATTCGAAGCGGCTCCGTGAATAAAGCTGATGACCCTAGTGATACGGCTGGCTTAAACGGGGAGGTTGAATTTCTTGCCTTGGATAACCCTGGAATGTAATTGTTAGCATGTTGCTCGCTTTTTAACAGTCACAACAATAGATATATGCTCACTTTGTGTAGTAGATCCAGAAGAAATCAGAGTAAAGAACGGTCTGAATGAGACCAGCAATGACCGCATTGGGTTCGAAGAAACGTGGGGTCTCAGTGAAGTAACGGTAGATCCAGTTGGGGATGTACAAGGCACGGTATGCGCCGAGAGCGAAAAGATAATGGGTAGTGATCGTCTCAGCCTCTCCTGTTCTCTGCAACATGAACAGTTGTGGAAGAATGGCAACAGACTCCAACCAGATGGAGAAGGTCCAAAGAACCTACTTAAAGGTTAGTTCCAAATCATCAAAATCCCATTATTATCATGACATACCTCTGTGAAGGTGTACTTGTGAGGGAATATGATTGCCATAACCGCGCTTGCACCCAGGAGATATTGGACTTTGAACGTGTCAAGATTGGGGTCGTGGGTTGGCTTGTAATCGTTAAGCATGAGGTAGACGGTGTATGCGGATGTGCTGATGAAAATGATCTTGAAAACGGTGTTGTATAGGGACTTGGGCTCGTAAAAGGTCCAGAGAAGGTCGATGTATCGAGTTATGTAAACGGTCAAGTATAGAAATTGAGATTTGAACGATATTCCGGACGCGCTCTGCGAGATGTTAGGGTATGCGCCGGGAGCATGGATAGGGTCGAAGGCGTACGCTTGATGTCTTCATCTTGTGAAGAAGAATCAGAATGGAGAGGAGATGGGACAAGTCCCCTATGTGCCAATTGTTAGTAGCGCATCCAATATAATTCCAGGTTGAGGCCAAGGTGTCAGGGAGGTCAATAACAACGTCATGACGGAAGCGTTGTTGTTGGCGGCGAGCGTACCTAGTAATCTGAAGATGTTCATCTTGGTTGGTGTAAATGATCTCTCTCGGGTGTGATTTCGACGAGAATTGGTGACCGTAGGTGGTGTGTAGAGGAGTGGATGTTTGTTGAAGAGCGACGAAGGTCTGTTCTGAATAAAATGACACGTTTGGAAGGCGTTGGGGGAGCTATGATCCTTGCAGATGATTTGCCAAAAACGGCTTAGCTCGAGTACTCTGCCCTACGGCTTTCCCCCGTGTGCCCGTGTTCTGCCCGCCAGCCTTATTTTTACTCCACAAGAAGACAACATCGGCGTCCGAAAGGGAACCATACAGGTGGCTGTGCCATATGTATTCTTTTCATAATTATAGCAGATTACTCCCTCTGAATGATCAGGCCTGCTGCTGAGAACTACACAGCGCTCCGCCGCTCCCATCGTCAGTTTCGCTATTGTGGATCTCCGACTAATTACGTATTTCTTCCGCTCGGCCCTGTATGTACATGTACTTGTACTTGCCTGTACACCCTCGCTTCAATCCGTAGATCCGCATTACGTGTAAGCCTGTCCATATAGGAGGGTTAGGGTAACTCAGAACGTCTTAAGATTCATCATGGCGAACGTGCTGGGATGGAAAGATATTCTAAGGCCCATCAGGGACGGGTACCGCCATTTGTTCCCCTCTCCTGACACAGGACCGACTCCGGAGGAGCGAGAGAGGCAGCGCCTTTTAGATAGCATTCGCGGATTTACCTATTTTGATAACTTCGAACAACTCAAAAGCTGGACCGAACAGAGCACAGATCCAATCCATAGAGCGAACACCCCTTTACTTCGCCGCTCAGTGATTGCAGAGTCTTCTGGATTGGGAACAGCTAGCATTGTGTTGTGTCATGACTATTCGGGCAATTATCACACGTACGAAGGAGTCGAGCAAACGGCAGTAGACGAGGAGAGATATTCATGCGAATATCTCGATTATGTCGATACCTTTATCTACTTTTCGCATAAACTTGCTTGCGTGCCCCCACCTACATGGACGAATACTCTACATCGTAACGGGGTACAGGTGCTGGGAACATTTTTGATCGAGCCGCAAACCCAGCATACGAAAGAGCTGTTGCATTACATTCTTACTACTAATTCCGGTATTGGTGGTATCCACTTTCCATTGGCGAGTAAACTCGCAGCCATTGCAAAGCATTATGGATTCGACGGGTGGCTTGTGAACATCGAGAAGCCATTTGACAGACAAGACTGGGATGTAAATCTACTCGAAGCGTTCCTCAAACAGTTGAGAAATGAGCTGATACCGGAGAGAAAACTCATTTGGTTAGTGCTTGAACTTAATTATGTGATCGTTGATTAGTTTATTTACGTATATTTCAGGTATGATGCTATCACTATATCAAACAAAGTCGATTACCAGAACGCACTCAGCAGTCAAAACGTGCTATTTACCCAGGCTTGCGGCAACATATTGACGAATTATTGTTGGAAAGAGCGTGATGCGTTGCAATCCAAGGAACTGGCAAATCAAAGTGGACTCTCTTCTCGAAGCATTTCTTTAGGTATCGATGTCTGGGCACAGAACCCAAGCAGCTTCGCGCATCCCAGAGTGACCTACCCCGAAGACAAAGGAGGAGGTACCAACACTGGGCTTGCTGCTCGCAAACTTGCGCAAATCGGTTTATCCATAGGTATCTTTGCCCCTGCCTGGACGTTCGAGCATTTTCCCGGAAACGGCCGCCTGGTCGAGCGGATGGTATGGGAAGGCAGAGGAAGTTTGAATGGCATCAATTGCTCCTGTGGAAATGCGAATGTTCGCCACCCTCCAAATCGACACCACCCCATTGCCCGCTATGCACAGATGTACGCTGCAGGAGGGGAGCATTTCTTCTACACAGACTTTAGCCGGGCCTTTGGAACCCACGATGAAAGAGCTAGCAGACACTTATACAGTGGGAAACAACTCCATTCGCAAGTGGGGTCACAATCCGTTTTACCACCAAAGTTGCGATCTGATGCGGGCGAGGATCAAATAGAAAGTGAGACCAACGTCTTGTCTCATCAGCTCGTGGACGTCTCATATCAAACGCAACTTGAAGTGGTAGTGCAAAGCAAAGGCTTGGATACTTGCTCCTCGGGCTCAATATTGGAAAGATGGCTACCTTTATTCAGATTCGACATGCCGGCTGATGGGACGTTGGACATAAAAATTACCTACCAAACCTCATTTTCCAGAAGTGATGCAAAAGTAAGCTTCTACTTAAGCTTCGATGAAGGTATAGAGCATCTAAATATCTGCAAAGATCATACTCAACAATTCATCAAGGCAAGGGTAAAACTACAAAGCCATGACCAATGCCGGCTCAAAGGATTGGGTGTCTATCTGCAGAGTCCAGTGATATCGGACGAGGCGGAAGTGGTACGCCTGCTTTCAATATGCATCTCATTAAACAGTACAAAAGTGTCGCACATCCAACCTAGCATAGAGAATGTTCATGTACAAACGCGAGGGCTAGGTGAAACGAAACATACTCGACTGTGTTGGGAGTATCGTTCACCAGGGACTATAAGTGAACCATATTCGCTACCGTATAGTGAAATTACGGGGCCATGTTCTCACTTCCTGATCAAAATTGATGGAATGATCGTGGGCAAAGCATATGCATTGGAGCACCCGCTAGGTGAGTCCATACTGGCTCTGATGGCAGATCAAGCAGTTGCTGTTTCGGTTTCTGGGATAGGATTTGATGGCGAAGTTATTTCAGAAGTGAGTGATTTCTTACCTCCAATTCCATTAAGCTAGAAACAGCTAAATTCAGTTCTAAAGAATACCTTTCGATCTATCGAAGTTTACTTTGATTATTACTTTACCTACGTGGTGGATGGCCACCATTACACGTGTCTACCCAACGATTCCGTATCCGGTTAGCGTACGGTCAGCAACGCGACTTCTATCTGAGAGGCAAGATCTCCATCCTCCCATCTCCACCAACTTTACCTTTACCCACAACCCGCCGCAGCGCTACTCTATCATCAAAAAGCCTGGCTCGTTGGCTTCGCAATAACAAGAGTATCGCTGTAGCGAGTCAATTCTTCACAATTCCAGTTGCTGGGCAGGTCAGCCAGCTAAAGGCGGCACCAAATTTTGGGTAAGTGACGATTGCCAACATCATGACTTTGTTATTTGCCTGCTAGCTACCCACCAACCCATGCTTTTGCCCATCTCACTTTGCATAATTTCCTAACCTGAAGTTATTAGGTACTCTCCGTTACGATTTGAATCCCCATGTCTGACTTGCAGGAGTTATTTGCTCGGTTGAACGGCCAGGGCGCAGCCTCACCTGCTGGTGTCACTGGCAATCAACCTGGCTACCGTCAACCCAGCGTCTCTTCACCAATCTTTTCCCCTTCCCCCGGCGGTCCTCAACCACATCACGGTTCGGCCATCATGTCGCCCAACTCGTCCATGGCAAACACCCCCGTCCCCGAGGCTGGTGCTCAACAGCAACAGACGCCGCAACAGCAGTCTGCTCAGTTGCTCAACTTGCTGCGCTTCAATGCCCAACCTTCCCAGCAGAGCATCCCGCCGCATCGTCGTTCTTCGTACAATACACAGGTCTCCGACAGCGCTGGTAGCCATGGCCGTCAGCCATCCGCCTCTGACTTGGTAGCTAGCTTTATGAGTAAAGCCGCCTCTCCGCCACCGCAGCACAGTGTAGCTCCTGTTCCAGCTGTCGCGCGATCAGACGGCCCCTCTGGCTCATCCGACAACCCCCAAGATATCTTGCTTCGACTTCTCAATCATCCCAAGCCAGCGCAGCCGGACTCGGCTCGGCCTGCATTCCCGTTCTCACCACCACACGCCCATGCGCCAGAAACGGCCGTGGACGACTTGGCCCAGGACTTTGCAGATGCGGAGGTTGAGAATCTACACCCGGACCCGAATGCTAGAGACGAAGCAGGATCGACTATGCCGTCCATTGGTTCCGACATTGCAGCTGGTCCCAAGCCCACCTTCACTTACGTGAACCCATTTGACAAGCTTGAGGCTGCCAGCCCCCGCACCACGCCACGAAACCGTACGCCTGTGCCCTCAAGCTCCAGAAGTGGTCCACAAAGGATCGAGATCCTCAAGCCTAGACACGCAGCTGAGGTACCATTCACTAGCGGCCAAGGTCAGAACAACCACGCGGAGAAGCACCAAGGAATGTCGCCTGCGCAGACTGCTTTGCCGCACGAAACTGTGGCTGAAGCAGTCAGCGATCTCGCCGAGCAGATCGGCGAACAGGTTGACGAGGCTCTTGCCGAGGCAGAGTTGCAATCTGAGGTCCAACTGGCCAAGGAGCTCGAGAACGTCACAGCTGAAGATGTGAAAGAGATTGAGGAGGCAATCATTGAGACTGCTGTTGAAATGGAGAAGGAACTCCAGGACAATGATGCCGCACAGGCTCTTGAGGAGACGGTTGGCGAACCAGTCGCCGAGGCTTTGAAAGAAGTTGTTTCCCAGATCTCTCAGGCTGAAGCTGGCGATATTGCTGACAGCTGGGAGAGTGCTGAAGCAGAGGATAACACATCGAAAGAAGGCGACGAGACGGTAATAGTCTACCGCTTCCCGATGACAGCATTCTCTTCTCTCACCATCCAGAACATGCCTGAAAAGCGTGCTACTTTCCGCCCTGGTGCCCTTATGGATATCGCTCGCCTCAAGAAGGAGTTCGATCAAATCGATAGGTCTTTGGTCTCCGCAAGTAAGAACTTCATTGTGTATGCTTTGGTCAAGAAGGGCGGTTTCAAGATCATTCGTCAAGAGAACGGCCAGTATCGTCAGGTTTTCGAGAACCACCAGGAGCGGATTTTCAATATTGCTATGTGCACTAATAGCGAAGATCTTGAGCGAGAGCTAGAGAGCATACTTGGTATCGGAGTTAATGGCTCTGTTTTCTGGACATCGCTAGAGGCGGGTCGTGATGATCATTTCAGCGACAATCTCGATACTCAAGGAATTGTGCTTCCGCCCTCGCCCTCGCAAGACGACAACACGTCTGGCGGTCAGTTGAAAACGCGGGCCAAGCCATCTTCGCGCCATCCTGAATTCTTCGCCGTGGGTCGTGGCAAGTCCATCCACATCGTTTGGCCCAAGGTCGCTGCTCAATACGTTCGTGGAGGCAAGGGCATTTGCCATACTGAGAAGTATCTCAAGGAACGGTCACTGAAGATCCTGACTGGTAAGGCCGGTAAGGACTTCACGTTCAGTGAGGATGACACAGTTATCGTCTCTCTCGACAAGGCCGGTCGCATGCGCTTTTGGGATATTCGTCGCTTGACTGACCCCAGCCTTGGTATTCCCGCCAACCCACCCCACCCTGTTGAAGTGTCTGAGACCTTGTTGGAGTTCCATACGACCTCACCAAGTGCCAAATCATGGCCCACCTCGGTTTTCTTCTTCGACAAGGACAAACCATTTTCTAAGGGCATTGCCCTCCGTTATGTCATGGTTGGAATGAAGCAGAATCACTCTTTCCAGCTTTGGGATTTGGGCCTTGGCAAAGCAGTGCAAGAGATCAATCTTCCGCATGAGAAGGAGTCTGATGCCATTTGCAGTGTATCTTTCCACCCTAAGACGGGGATCATGGCGGTGGCTCATCCTACACGTAACTCTATCTTCTTCATCCATGTTTCTTGTCCACGATACAATCTCCCAGTCATGAACCAGGCGGTTTATATCAGTCGCCTCGCCGGCAAGGGTGAGAGGGGTGCAACGCCATTTCCACCCGTTAATGCTACTGCCATCATGACCAGCATCGCAGAGTATTCCTTCGCACCCAAGGGCGAAATTCGTAGCCTTCATATGCTCAATGAGCCGGCAGGCCCCCCTGACAGCGACGATCCAGATGATATTGCCCTTTTCGAACTATACGTTATGCACTCTAAGGGTGTATGCACTATTCGCGTTCGACGAAGTGACCTAGGATGGAAGAAGGAAGGAGAGCCATTGCATCCCAGAGATGCGAAGTCTGAGGGCATCATCACAATGAGTCAACTAAAGCCGCCACAGTCAGCTGCGGACGAGTCTTCCACTGGCGGTGACACGCCAGCTCCAAAGTCGACTTCAGATCGCTCTGTACGGGAGAGCATCAAGAAGGAGAGCAGCAACGTCTCCCGCCAATCAATGACACCAGAAGCTGCCATGCGTGCTTCGACTCTTGCTAAGGTTGAAAGCAAACAAGACGCCGCTCGAGCTGCTATCATGAACGGCGGAGAGAAGTCTGAAAAGGAAAAGAAAAAGAAGAAGCGATCTGCTGCAGACACTGCTTCTCAGATTTCCACCGCTCAACGAGCGCCTCCGCCCTCATACGCACAAGCTGCACAAGCTCCGCCTCTTTCCAAGTCACCTACTCCCCCAGAGCCGGCAGTATCCGAGAACGCACTCTCTCGGGCTTCCGAAACTGAACCGCCAGAGTGGGCAAAGAAGCTTTTAGTTCCCAGTGCGCATCAATCTTTCGCGGCCACAAGCTCTTCGTCAGCATCTACTGTTGACTCTAAGAGGATTGAAGAAATCGTCCAGACTGAGGTCACCAAAGTCTTTACTCGCGAGCTCGAAGTTTTGTACAAGCGCATCGACGAAGACAAGCGTGTCATGAATGCCTCTAATGGTGCTAGACAAGAAGCAGTCCTCCGCCTTGTGTCAAGCACTTTGACCGACAATGTTGAGGAGGTCTTGAAGAAGAAGGTGGAGCAGCAGCTTCGCGATATAGTACTCCCGAAAATTCTTACACAGATGTCCTCAGCCATTGATAAGAGTGTCAGCGCTAGTTTGAAAGGCGCTCTGGGTAATCATCTTGCCAAGGAAGTCCCTGAGGCGGTGTCTCGTGCTCTGAAGAGCCCTCAGATTGCTCAATCAATTTCTGAAGCGATGACCGTCAAAATCGCCAACCAGCTCGAGCCGACTATTACTGGCGTCACTGGTTCTATAGTTAATCCGGCTTTGACCAGCTTTACAACACTGGTAGAGACTCAGATCGGCAACCAACTACGCCAAGCGCAAGCCCAACGCCAGGAAGATGCTGCTAAGATTGCTCAATTGACCGACACCGTTCAAGCATTGACGGATACTATCCAGTCGATGGCGGGGGCTCAGTCCCAGCTTCAGGCGCAGCTCGCTAAGCTCCAGCAGTATCTCGCGGAATCATCCCAGACTGCCGCACCTCCTCGTTCCTCGCCTCAAGTGGCACCACCTCCTGCAAAACCCCAAAAGAAAACTCCCGAGCAGTTGGAAACCGAAGAAATTACACGTCTGTTGACCGAGGGTGACTTCGAACATGGCACTATGAAATGGTTACAGTCAAGCCGCACCACAGAGCTGTTCAACACTGTTTTTGTACAGTGCAATCCAGCCTATTTGAGCCAAGTTACTCCTCTGCTCAATTTATCGACTGGTGCTGTCGTGACCGATTCCTTGGACCAATTCTTACCAGAGCGCCTTGTTTGGCTTGATGCCGTGCTCAAGAACGTTAATCCCCATGTAAGTAAATCTTGCACAACCTTTAGAACTCGTCTGACTTAACTCACCAGGATCCCGAAACAAGCGATATCGTACCCCGGATTATGGAGGTCATGACCCAACGTTTGACGGCTACCTACATCAGACTCAACGAGAACTCTCCCGGAAATCCTCTTCTTCGTCGCATTTCTGCTTTGGTCACCAAGGTCAATGGCATTGCCCGGAGTGTGGCTCATTGAGAAGCTAAACTACCGAGCACCCTTCCTTTCTTGTCAGGCCTATGAAGGCAATCCTTTGCTTAGGAGTTTGCGTACACGGCTTGCGAGCTGAAAATGCCGCCTTCCTTTGTACTTGCTTTCACTTGTGGAAGCACATCTTTCCTTTGTTTTTCTCTCCATTATGCACGGCCTCTTCCAATCTCTCACCCGGTGCTGTTAACGGCTTGCAATTAGCTTCGGCAGCGTTTCCGGGCGGCGGATCGGTTTTCATTAGATACCCTTTCGTCGGTCATGGGAACAATGGGAAAATGGTAAGGCGTGGTGCATCATCTCTCTTCTTTTTGCGATTTCAACGGTTCGACCGCTCATTTGGAGCGTTTACAAAATCGACCTGCGGCCCCAACATTGGTCATTTTCCTTGAGTAGAGGCTTTCGGTATATCTGATTCCTGGACGCTGAAATGCTCTGGGATAATCAATGTGCCATTTTTGAGCGAAGCAATAGGAAAGTCACTATTGGGGGGGCCTATAGGGTGACTTAATGTGAAGGCTCGATGTCCATACTAGATGGATCATGTCCAATAGGCTCTGGATCCTCGATGTACGATATATCAAGGCTGGTGGAGGTAATAAATACTGTGAGATAGAGCTGAATCCCTGAAATGACCTTGTGACGGTGAATTTCTTGCGCGTATTTGTCATATTGTGGAAAAAGTACTTCGTAGCATCTGACAGAATGACGCTTTTGCCGTCACTGTGATAGTTATATTTATCGATTGAGGATGTGCTACATTGGTAGGCACGCAGGGTTCCTAATTATACTTCTGCGCTAACGTTAGTTACTGGCACGCTCGGTAGAGTGCCACGTGAATGCTTGACTGAGACGCGTCGCGCAAAGACGCGCTTGTCATAGAATTTCTGAATCAATCGCACACAATTCTTCCATACTCTCACAATTATCGCTTTCGAGAACAAAGATCACATCATGGCCGAGACACTAGAAGACGTTCAAATGGACACAGAGGAGATCGAACAGGAGACACCTACCTCCGGAGTTTTCATGGCGCCCTCGGTCAACCGATCTGACATAATTGAGGGAAAGTCATATTCGCACTATTCACCAATACCTGCAGCAATCAAGGACGACGAGACACAAGAAATCGTGTTAGGTGTTGATGAAGCTGGACGAGGACCTGTGTTAGGTAGGACTCCTCTCTGACGAAGAAACTACATTTTCCATTACTTACAAGCACAGGTCCAATGGTGTACGCTCTCTTCTACCTCCCCATTGAACTCCACCATTCACTCCTTGCCGACACACACCATTTCGATGATTCGAAGGTGCTCACGCCGCAAGTTCGCTCATCCTTGATGGAGAAGATATGCTCATCAGGTACCGACCTGCACAAATCTTGTGGGTGGGCAACGAGACTGCTGTCAGCGCGCGACATATCTGCCGATTCGCTTGCCCCCAACAAGTACAATCTGAACGCGCAAGCGATGGATGCAACGATCAACCTGATCAAGGAGGTGATGGCGCGTGGCGTCAACGTCAAGGAGATATACATCGACACAATTGGCAAACCGGAGGTCTATCAGAAGAAGCTGGAACGCATCTGGCCAACGGTACGGATAACGGTCGCAAAGAAGGCAGACAGTCTGTACCCTGTCGTGTCAGCAGCGTCGGTGTGTGCGAAAGTCACCAGAGATGCAGCGCTCGAGGTCTCTTATGCTCCGTATCAGAATGCGGAGGCGTCAGGTGGTGAGATCGCGTGGGGTTCAGGCTACCCATCTGACCCACGGACTTCGTCGTGGCTCAAACAAAACATCGACCCTGTGTTTGGATGGGGGAACGAGTGCCGTTTCTCGTGGAGCACTGCAAAGGAACTGCTAGAGGGGAAGAATGCTGAGCTACAGATTGACTGGCCAGTGGAAGAGGACGAGGGCAATGATCTGCGGATGACGAATTTCTTCAGCGCACAGGGCGAGAAGGGCGGCAATGAAATGGTGGATTGGTACGGAAAGAGAGTTACAGAAGAGATGGAATGTTTCTAGAGCCATCGGGCGCGCAAGTTTCTTGCGTGGTTCCAAACATCTGCTGCGTGGAGCGCCGCGAAACGGATCTCGCGCGACTGGCTAGTTTCCCGGATCGGTTGTCACGAGGCGCATTTGCCTTGGAACGGGAGGGTAAGGTAATAACAAGCGAACTGGGCGAAAGCCACAGAAACTCTGAGTTCAGTCACATTCTGGGGACTCTGCAGATTTTGGTTCGTGACTCGTACATTATCTTGTTGGCTGACGCCCATTCGCGGATCTTGAGGATGACTACAGTATGAGGACGGATTCCGGAGTCGAGGCCGTCGTTCGCTAAAAAACCTTGGTCTCCGGCGACCAATGTCGATGTCCGACCGCACAGCCCTACCAACATCCATGTAGTCAGCCATGATGTACCAAGTGGTGAGAAGGCACAGCAGAATGGGACATGAAAGGCAAAAAGCCCGTGCTGAAGGATTGGATTATTGAATTGTTGGTTGGTATATGACACTGGCAGAGGTTGGCCGTGGCCGTCGAGACGTGTAGGACAGATTGCAAACACCCTTCACCTTGTCGTCATCTCACTATTCGGCGTGCCTTACTGGAATATTATATTATATTTCTATCGAAAATTATTCATTTAACCTCCCCGGATTTTTGACAGCTCGCCAATGCCTTTGTTGTTCCTCCAAGAAACAGAAACAGAAACATTTGTTTGGTTTTCCTAGTTGACCTCCACCGGTCGTTGTCTACGAAGTCCGAGCTCGTTTGCCGCCGAACTTAGCGCCCAACATCCGGAAACTTCGAATCTATACTACCGTTTCTGGACTTAGTCGATCGCAGTCACACCCACTCTACAACTGCACAGCACCAGTGCAAACGTGCGTATACGGCCATCATATAGACCTCCGATCCGTCGGATGCTTCCCGGCCTGCCGTTGCATCGGTCGTCTATCGAGGAAATATTATTACATTGCATGAGTTGCTCACTTTTGCACGAGGTCTGCTTCTCTTACGATAATACAACTGGGCCATTGATATTCGGATCGTTTCGTTATTCACATTCTTTCTAATACATTCTCTTGCGGGGCCAGTCATCATGTGCATCATCCTTCCTGTCGACCACATCGTGTGCACACATACTGTTGCTGTCTGGCAACACTGCATCAATGCCCCGAGATCCAAGGCCTACGGCTTGAAACCATGCGGCAAAATACGACAGCATTCCAGGCCTATCGTCACCAGGAAAAAATGCCCCCATTGCGGTGGACCACGATTCTTTGCTCGAAGGGGTGGACTGGCTGAACGAGGCAGAGGCAGCCCGGAACCTCTGACTAGTGTAGAAGAGAAGGAAGAGCGACGTAGTATGGACGAGGACTCTGGCTATCACAGCGAAGCTATTATCGAAGAGGATGAGGACGTGACCGACGACGACATTCCTATATCACCAAAAGCATCGGCTGTCCACTTGCGGGATTTGAGGTGGCAGCAGCGACAATACAGGGAGGCAGAGGCAAAACTGTCTGAGAGGCGACAAAGCCATGATCGTGTAATGAGCCCAACCCGCAGAAGTCGCCCAACCTGGAGACCGAGTCTGAGGAAAGAGCCTAGCGAAGAAGCGTTGTCATTCTCTAGAAGTCAACAGGAGCATTACTCCTCCGTAGGCCTGGCTTTGGAGTCGACCATCACCAACCAAACTCACCTACCCGCTCTTGACACTGCACCCACCGAGGGAATCAAAGTCGTCCGACGCAAGAACTCTACCCTGCTTCACCCTTCATCACCAGATCAATGCGAACCTATCACCCCTCCTCGAACTCCGGATCCATGGTTCTCTGCACCCCGCCCGGCCTTCGCATTCCCCATCTCATCTCAGCTCAAGCCACAAAACCCTCCACCACTCACCAGGAAAGACTCTACCCTGCTTCACCCATCAAACCCCGACTCGGAGCCTGAACACTTCTCATCTGATGCGACCGCAATCGCTTTGACCACCGAAGCAGCAGTCCCATTGCCTGCGCCCAAGCGGCCAGAATTTGTGCGAAAGTCATCTACACTCCTCCACCCATCGTCTCCCCAATCCCCACCACTTTCCCCCGGCGACGAGGAGGAGGAGGAGCAGGAGGTTCTCTGCAATAACATGGCCAAGTGCGACATCCTGACGCCGCCGCCATCGTCCGACTCCTGCGAATTCCAATCTACCTTTTTCCATCGCCCTACGCAAGCGAAGCCGCTGTTCGTCTTCCCTCACAATCTCATTCCACGAAATAGCTCAAGCTTCCAGTACAGCCAGGCCCGTCGCCGCTCGATTCTGCACTCTTCGCTCTCAGACACTGAGGAGTAGATCACAGAGTTTGAACGACTGCGCAAGGGATAGCCATTGTAGAGCCTCACCTCTCCAAAACTTCACAAGATTCAACATCTATCCTCACGACCCCACGATATATTCACCTGTACCATATTTCCTCTCCCTTATTGGGGTTCCTGCATGACAACCAGCATTTGCTCGTTGCAGCTTTGTTCTGTATCTACGTTTTCTAGCGGCATTGGGACACACGGAGTTTTTTTTGTAGATATTACCCCGACATCAGCGATCGTCATTTCATTATTTTTGTAGATATACTGTTGAAGAATAGATGGGTTGTGGTAGTTGAGATCTTGCTTTCCATCCTCCGTGAACCTCTGCATCCGTTACCGTACCTGACGACCGAAGAGCATCTCCGCACTGTTTGTAATTACTCCCCCAATGAAGCCATTCGGGAATTTTCCCTCCAAACCCCTCTCACACATCACAGGAATACCCACAACTTACGGTGATGCTGACCACCATCCGACTTCGCACGTTCGCGACATGAAGATCCCGTCGATCAGTACATGACGTTTTGTGTATCGCCTCGCCTCTCCTCGCCACATGGCCGCTCAGTAGTGATCGTCGCTCGTCAACTTCACCGATCTGATCTCACATGCTGTCTATCTGACTCGGCATTTGGTCTTGACGTGACACGGCATCGTACATCCCCACAAGCACATGGTATGATCTCCAGGTTCTCCCGAAGTACGTGCGTGATGTATTGATTGTTGATGATGATATGGGTCGTATTGGGAGTCATACTGTTGTGGCAGTACTTCCAGCACACAAAGTCATTCGTCATAGGAAATAGCAATGCTGTATTGGAAGTACTTGTGAAAGGTGAATTGAGCAGACTGAATACCTCTCACCAATTTACAATCTCGCTCTACATCCACTTAACCTCAATTGAACACAAAAATCTACATACCATCCACGATCTCCTCATTCGCAAACCAGAACCTCACAATGTCACGCATGCACATTCTCGTATTGTGACTTCTATCCCCTGTCATCAAATATCATCATCACCATTAATCTCCTGCCCGCATGCCCACACTTACCCCGGGGAATATCACCTGTCTATACCTCACCTTACCTCATACTGACATAACCTGAACATGACCTGACCTTACATCATCGCACAACATACCGCAACTCGCATCCCCACCATCTATCTCTTTTATGACCTCACATCCCGATAAAACCACACACGCGATCTATCAACCCAACGGCCCTTCGAATCGCGAGAGATCAAAGCTTTCATCGTGTGGAAATGACGTCCTGGACCTCCACACCGCAAGTTTTTGGTTTTCCCCTACGGGACGGGGATGCGGTGCGCTGTCTTCGGGTAGTTTGAATTTATTGATTCAATGGAGATTTCCCCGAGTTGTGCCGACTGCGCGGAACTTTCGATGGATTCTACTACCGCTCAGGACGAAGGGAGTGGAAAGGAGAGGTATGAGGGACGAAGAAATGGGAGGTGTGAGATACGTACAGTAATACCATCGTACATACTGGTAATTGAATAAATCGTCAAGTTCTCCAGAGAAACTGTATGAATTACAATAGTTTTCAATTGGAAAAGCGTGCCATGCCTCCTTCCTCCACTCATTTCACCCAATTCCCTTCAACCCCTTCTCTCTCTCTTTTCTTACTTATATCAAGAAAAAAAAATTAAATGAAGAAGATCCCACAATCATCAACCACACATCGTTTATCCCGAAATCGCGAAATCGCGTTTCGTACATCCCATCCCACCATCCCTCGTACATCTATACATGTACACCCTCCTCCCCCGTACTCTCGCCTCGCCAATCGGGAAACAAGCTCTACAAGCAAGGTACGGCTACCCTTGACGATCGTCGGGAACCCAAAAAACCACCCACCACCTACCTCCTCTCCCACCCACCAACTCAGTGCAAAGTCCCTCGATCGATCGATGAGTACGAAAGTACTCGTAACTTTCCGGGGTGGTTTAATTTATCTTATCTATCCCGTCTATCTGTTCATGAGTAGTTGAGGGGGGCGCGGCGGGGAGTTAAACCGGGGACTTAGGATTTGGTCTTGGCGGACGGTGCAGTATTGCCGTTTTGGGGGTTGGGGTCGGGGATTATTGAGGTTTGGTATGGGACGGGACGATGGGTTGGTGGGATGGTGAGGGGGGTCACGTGGGTTGATTGATCGATTGATTTGTGTGTTTAGTAGGAGGGCGGAAATTTGTGTGTTTCTTGGTTTGATTGTGGTGGTGGTATCGTGAGGGTAGATGAATTAAGTGTTGCCGTGTCTGTTTATCGGTAGCGTTTGAGAAGGAGGAGTTTTGGGTGTGAATAGGAACGAGGTGCATCATTTAGTGCTTATTTAGATACGAAGTCGAGCGAGTAAGGCTTTATCATTCTTTTCCTATCGCGTGATGACGTTCACTATATGAGAGTGTGCATACATATCTGCAGAATACTCAAGAAGCATGTATGTACTCATAGAGTTGGCCCAGTTTCATCCTATGAATCCAGTATCCACAACACAAATTATGTCGCTAAAAACATCGTCATACATTCATATGTAGTCCTCCAAACTGTACACGCCGTTCGTTACACTACTAAATAACCTTGAATCTCGATCATTGATCCTTCAGAAATCCGCCAACTTCAACCTTCTTCCAATGTTCCTCCTCACCACGTCCCTCTCAACCGAAGGCTGCGCAGCCTCCGACTCCTTCGCTTTGAGAGCAGAAAGGAGCATTCCCGCATCGAAAAAGCCATCTAAAGGGGAAAGGAAATCAGCAAAATGAAATAAAAAAGAACGCAAGAACAACGGTTTTCGAATGGGTACGAATAGGGGAGATGCAACGATGAAGAAGTGCAAGTGTGTCTAGTGATGGTATGCAGGGTCATGGGGGAAGAAACTCAATGAGGTGGTATGTGAAAAGACAGCTTCTATGAGGATACAGACGCCACCGTTTCAGGGAACACATTGGGATACAGCGGCTTCGGCAGCTGCCGCGAGTTCTTCCTCACCTGCACGGTCCGAATGGGCGCGCGACGGCGATGGGAACTCGTGTGCAAGGTCTGCATGGCTCGGAAGGGGGGAGACTGGGGAGGGGTAGGGGGCAGGGCAGGACGCAAAGTAATCTTTGCGACCATGCCATCAAGCGTGAAATCAGGAGGGGAAGGGGGTGCCCTACATCCACCAAGGCCATCATCGTCAGAGTCGGCCACACTTCCTTCTGAGGGAGGCTGAGCCTTTCCGTCTGCGAGTATGATTCGACCGCGGCTCTTGAGACGAGCTCCCTTTGGCCGGTCCTCGGCCTCGCGGGCACGGCTTGCAGTCTTGTCGGCAGATGTACCACGCCGTTTGAGCTGTCGAAGAAGTTTTCGAATTTCGAGGAAGTACGATTCGAGGGCATCGATGAAGCGCGAGGTTTGTCGATGCTTCGAGGATGCGCATATGGAGATACTACCATCCTTGATAATGTAACCGATACCAAATCCGTCTCCAGAGGTTGGCCCAAATCCAAATTGGCGGAGAGATGGGTTTCCACAATTCGAGGTGGATAGAATGGTTGTGTTAAGCTTGTCCCACCCAGCGTCTGCGAACATGGAGGGCATAGTATGCTGCACTGGGGCAGGCGGAGAGCTCGAGATCGAACCGTTCTCTGATATGATCGAGTTACGTTTGGGTGAATTCACCGCCTCTGGACTAGAAGGACGGGTCGAGTCGTAGCCGTCGCTGCTAGCTAGTTCTGCACCCTCCTCATCGATGGCGCGTTGCCAGATACAATACAGCGCATAGAGATGCCGGTCGGGGCCTTGGGCCTTTGCGCAAACCTTCGTGTTTTCGGTATGCTTTTGACACGCCTTTCGTAGAGCATCAACCTTTGCAGCAGCTGGATTCTCGCCCCAAAATGTCTTCACAAAGTCGACAGACTCTTCTGTTACGGATCGAATAGCTTCCGTTCGTCCGTGGTAGAATATTTTGGTCATGGCTGGCTCGTACACGCATTCCATGCGACCATAGAGGCCATAGTATGCTGCCTGGAACGCCATTTGAACGAAAGCATCGGGTGAAAAGCCCATTGACGTCATGAAATTCTTGCCGTAATGGGGAAACTCCAAAGTTGCAAATTCATTTTGCTGGATCAAGTCTGCCAGTCTGGTTTCGGCGAAGCGCAAGGCGGTGCTGAGTTCAGGTACCATGTCCCATTCCAATTTGTGTGGCGTGGTCTGCACATCTCCGAAGCTCTCTGGGTCACGTTTCGCCGGGTCCGGGCTTGTTGATGCCCAGAGACTGGGTGCATTGCCATTGATTGTCCTCGCAAAGCGGAGAATGGTGTCTGTGTATACATCCGAGGCGAATCGAAGAACAGTATGACCATCAACGCCGGTGTGTTCGAAGTTAATTCCAGCGCTACCGTTCTTGCATACAATGATCTGTAGCTTATCGTACCAGCGATTGGTGCAAGTACCGACCTGCACTCCGCGTTCAATCTTGCTGGAACCACAGAGCATGTTCATGCACAGATCGGCACCGGTTGCTGGTTCCGTGTAATCTAGGCAGAGGATGAACAGGGCAGAGTCGACAATGTTGAGCGAATCGGAGTTGTTGGATCCTTCTTCTCGATGGAGAACATCGCGTAGGCCCGACCATACTTTTCGATTCTCCGTGCTCAAAACGCCCAAGGCTCCCTTCGCAGCATCTTGGATTGGGACCTCTTGGGCATCTTCGATGATGACTTGCAAATTGAGAGCAACGTCTTTCTCGGTCATAATTAGATCGCTATTATCGTCGAGAACATCGAACCAATAGAATTGGCCGTGGCAAAGGACGACAATATGCTTTGAAGTAGGATCCTGACCGATCTGGCACCCATTCTCGGTGGGAATTCGCGCCGTACCGAATAGCCTGGAGTACTGATACATACACAAGGGTTGGCCTCGGATAGTGTCTGGCGGTAGCTCCTCTCTCCGCACCGCACGCACGAACGAGAGTGCCGAGACTACTAATGAAGCTGCTCGAGTGACTTGATTGTTTCGTGCTGGGGTGGGGTCATCCTCCAGTAGGAAGAAGGGATTTAGATTAAGAACCACGGGATTGTCGAAGTTCAAATAAGAGTCGTACCCTGCTAGATATTAGCGGGGACTGCATGATCGTGCACGTTGACCCGATTTAGAGGACATGAGATTCAACGTGTGCCAAGGCTCTGCTTCATGACTGCATTGACTTACAGAATTGTTCGATGTAGTTTGCTTTTCCTGCGGCATACTTCTTGAGCTTGTCCTGCAAGGCGTGGCCGTCATGCTTGAGGAACTCCTGGATGGCGCAGACGGTCTCGCTGTGCTCCTTGGGGGTCTGCAAGGGCTTCAGTGCCGCAAGATACTTGGTGCATGAGGCATCAAGGTCTGGAATGGGAAGTTTTGGTAGTTTGTCCTGTGATGCAAAGGTGATCCCTGGCTTGGAATCTGGGTTTGTATGTGATGCGAGGGGTTCCCGTGCTTCAGAAGGAAAGGATTGTTGGCTGTCCCTGGCAGAGGCTTCCGAGCGGACGGAGCTATACTGCTGGCCATTTACCTCTGTGGCCGACATTGTGATAGGGACTGAGGTTGGAGGTTGGGGTTTGGCCAAGCAGGCGTCAAGGGATGATGGTGAAGTAAAGGTTCGGACTGCCATGGTGAAGAGTAGGGTTAGCTAAGCGTAGAGAGGCGAGATATAGGTGCTAATAGAGAGCAACCGCAGAGCGCTGCGGTAGAAGTAGTGACAATCCTGGAGACAGTAGGCCGGCATTGGAGCGCAGTGCGCGAGTTGTTACGAGCAGTATGCCCAAGACGAGGTCAACTGCTGGGTACCGGGTGAGGCAGCGTTCTTATACCGGATAGGACGAAAGGGGAAAGTAGATGTGGGTGGATACGCTCGGCCACGAGAGGCAGTGTAGCCTGTGGAACGACGTGATAGGCTTTGTAATTACGGGGAGAGTAGTAGTCCAAGTTGCAGAGGTAGCGGACCACCGAGTCGGAAGATGACCCGCATATGGCGAGTTGTAGGATGATAGGGAGAATGGACCGACGTTGAGGAACGCTTGCTTTTCGGCCGCGCAAGGGAAAGTTTAAAAAGAACTTACAGAAAGAGAGAAGGATTTATGCTGCACCGAAGCAGGACTGGCTGCAGACGCGGCGCGGCGCACGAGGTTTTGGGTGGTGATTCAGAGGGTATTGCTAGTATACCTGGCGCAGTCAATGTGATACTACACGTTGTTTTGCTTACCACGGGCACGCTATCAGCAGTGAATCAGCAGTCTGGGAATGGCACCCAAGACGGATTGACGAGGATGTTTCAAGACCGGAAAAGGAGTGCCGCTGGAGAATACCGTGAGCAGGTATTGGATTGGTATTAGACAATCTCGGTCCAGGGGATAACGAAATCGTGGGGAGGATGCACCGAGGGTGTACTAGGAGCAAACCCTGTGGTGGGAGACAGCTATCAGTCACGGACGAGTGGAAGATGTCAGTAGCTTTAAAGCGTCGCACCGTTAGAACGACGGCCAGACTGTGACCGGCTAATCGGAGGATCACAGCAAGCGACGACAGATAACTCTCACTTTTTTTGCAAGGGCAGAGATGCTTAACGCATAGGCAACAGATAGAACAGGCGAATAGAGGCAGTTGATGTTTCTAGGGCTCTTCATGCGGTGGTCGCTATTGAGTATGGGCGTGACAGCATTGGATAGCGGGGTGAAGGGTTACGAGGTATGATGCTTGCACCAAGACGACCCAAGAACACACAGGACAGGGCTGCAGTAACCCTTTGTGCTATTTTCCACAGCTTTTCCCACGAGAACCTGCGGGGAAGAAGTCTTGGAACGTCCAAGGATGGTGTCTTAGGCGGACACGCGCGGAGACGGTGTGGGGGGTAGTACGGGAGGTTGGGGTATGAGGCTACACTACTGCGCCGTTGGTATGAATTGCACCAGAGCCATGGTTATTTCATAATCGAGTCGGACTTGAAGACGTACCTGTCCTCGTAGGTTGCGTTAAAGGCTAAGAATAAGCTACTGAAACGATAGAATGATTGTCGAACGATAGCGATCTCGATGATGGCGATAATTATGATGATGATGATCGATGATGCCAATGCCAATGATGGAGGTAGAAAGACCGAGTGACGTCGTCTGTCACGGAGCAAAGGAAAAACCCTCGAAGATCGAATACCGACCCCGCCATTGGCTGGCTGACATAATCATCTCTCCCTCTCGCTTCTCATTGGTTCAGACTTTCAGACATCCAGACCTCCGAACAATCACCGTCTGAACGTTGCATGTCCATACATTCACTGAACGAAAAATCCCGCCTCCATCTCCAAAATAATAATGGCCACCAGCTGATCATCATCCCACTTCAAGAAAAACACGTTTACACAAGACCGTAAACCCTGGGTCTGGGTCCGCCCTTGTTGGTCGCGCATGCCACTCCGCAGAGCCGCGCAAATGACAACCAAGTGCTCGCTGGCCTCTCACCCATGACCCATGACAGACCTGCTGCAGGTGGTGCCTGACTTCAACACAAGGCCCTATAGTGAACTCCTTCATGCCCTAGACAAAGCTTTCATCACCACAAATGACTTGCTCACCCTCGAACCAAGCGATCTCGGCAAGCGTGCGCAGCGACCTGCGGGCGAGGTGAAGAAGCTTGCCCTTGTCATCGCCGCCGAACTACATCGGTACCTCGGTTTCGGAGCAGAGGAAGCCACTGGCAATACGTTTCTATCCACAAACGGTCGCCCGCGCAATGACGACACCGGAGAAGACAGCGGAGCCAGAAGTAGCACCTTGAGCACCATTAGCACCTTGGACGAGAAGCTTGATGCGGCTTTGGGTGGCGGTATTCTTCCAGGCTACCTCGTTGAGGTCACTGGTGAGAGGTAAGTCGTGATAATCATCTTCAGATGGACATCCAATCTAGGAACAAACCCCAACAATGCAATAAGTAATCAAGAAACTAACAGCTACCAGTGGTGCCGGTAAAACACAGCTGCTTCTAACCCTCCTCCTGGCCTCACAATTACCTCCACCATATGGACTATCCAAATCAGCAATCTACATCTCGACAGAAGCCGCACTCGCAACCAATCGCCTCTCCCAACTTCTTTCCACCCATCCGAAATTGAAATCCCTCCCAGCGCACGAGAAGCCCTCTCTGTCGCGCATCCTGAGCATCCAGACCCCGGACCTCGAGACGCAAGAGCACATTCTGCGCTACCAGCTCCCCGTCGCCATCAAGAAGCACCGCGTCGGCCTCGTCATCTTCGACTCCGTCGCCGCCAACTACCGCGCCGAGTTCGAAAAGCAAGGCGCACGTGATGGCGCAGCTTCGATGGCGAAGCGGGGCACCCAGCTCGTCCGCCTCGGGGCCCTCTTTCGCGACCTCGCACGCACAGAGGGCGTCGCGGTAGTTGTCGCAAACCAGGTTGCAGATCGCTTCTTCAAGGACTCCGGGTACACGTCCAACGCGGCGTCCCGCACGACTTCGACGAACAGCCAGGGCACGACTTCAGGCCGTGCGTCTCCTATGCCAGGCCATTTCGCCGCTTCCCAGACAGGAGGGGATGTCACGCCCATGGGCGCACAGGTGTTGTCGCTCGACCACCAGCAGCGCTGGACGACGGGCTGGGGAGAAGATCGATTCGCCTTGCCGCACACGCTGAAGACCCCGTCGTTGGGGCATGTCTGGACGAACCAGATTGCGTGCCGCATCGCGCTGATCAAGCAGCCCGTCATGGCAACCCGACCTCCTGTGCTCATGATGGCCGATGGCGAGGCTTACGACAATGAAGAGGAGAACCACATTGCGAAATGGCGGCGTTGGTTTAAGGTCGTGTTCGCACCTTGGACACCGCCAACTGACGAGAAGGGGATTGAGTATGAGATACTAACCAGCGGGTTACGACATGTATCTGAAGAAGACAGTTGATTTTTTAGCCATGCATTCATAGTAACACAGTACCCTAAGAATTTGTATAGATGTAAATCAATTCAAACTTTGTTCCGCTCGTCTCTTGGGTATTCATATGCACAGCGCCTAAGACACCATTGTAGTAGCCCGACAAGCAATAAAACACAAAACATAACAGCATTACGGCCTATTGTAGCCAACAGAATATCTTCAACCACTGGGGCAACCCATCCCTCAGCCGCCCCTTAACCTCCCACAACCCTCCCACCCACGGATCGCACCATCCGCCCCAATACCTCCAGCGACAACAGCACCGCCATTGCTGTCGTCCACCCCATCGTGTCTCCCATCGTCCTCCTGCTGCTCCTCCCTAGCAGCCGCCCAAGCAAGAGTGGCCGCCATCGCCGCCCCGCCGAAAATCCCAACCAGCGCCGCCCGCTCCTCCTCCCCAACCACCACACTACTGCCGTCGATAATCCCCATCAGCGCCCACAACTCATCCTCCGTCATCTCCACCGCGTCCTCGTCCCCGCTGCCCAAAACCACCAAGTCCTCCTCCGGGGTGTCGTCGTCCGACGACAACTCCTCCTCCTCTTCCTCCCCCTCGTCCTCGACGAAGAGCGCCCGCCGGCACAGCGGGCACGTCGAAGAGGTTGAGAGCCACTGCGTTATGCATGCGTGGCAGAAGGTGTGGGTGCAGGGGAGTTGCACCGTGGAGGTGGCGGAGGTGGTGTAGGGGGTGTAGCATATTGGGCAACACTCCCCTTGTGGTGGTTGTTGGAGGAGGGTTGTGTGGAAGGTTGAGCGGGTGGGGAGAGGGGTTTGGCCGTCCATCTTTTGTTGGTGGCGGAGATGGAGGTGTAGGTGGGTGAGTTTGTTGTTGAGGGTGGGTTGTGAGGTGGGCTTGGGGGTGTTGTCGCCCGTTGAGTGTGTGATTGTTGGGACGTTTTGATAGGTGTTGAGAGTGTTGTGGGCGGTTGGGTTTTTTTTACCTCCTCTTTTAGGGGTGAGAGTTGAAGATGGTAGGAGGTTTGGATGATTTTTGATGGTAGTGATGATGAGTGTTTGGTTGTGGTTGATTTGAAGTGATGATTTGGCTTGGTGATGTTTGGTGAGAGCATCAGAGACTGGTGCCTCGAAGAGAAGTGGGACTCTCGAAAGACTGGCAGGATGTCCTTGTTCTTGGGAGGAAGGAAGATTGAAAGTCGAGTGAAGAGAAGGAAACTCCCTTCCACTGCCATCAGGGGAGCCCCTTATACCCTAAATTTCTGGATTTGTGAAGAAGTATCCCCCTAGGTGGTTCCTGGGTCTGAGAATATGGTTCTCCAATCCACGATGATCACAAATGTTGCAGTGAGAAGCATGGTCACATGCTTATGGGGATCCGGAAAGTCCTAATGTGAGGCTATCGTGACATTCCATCCTCGCTTGCCGCTTCACTAACACGTAGGATGAGGATATACTGAAGCAATTCTCAGCACATTTTCATCTGCGTGAAGCATCCCCAGAGGATAAACTGTATCCCGTTTCTACCCTCCTCGACATCCCGTCGCTCGAGTGTCTGTACAAACCAATTGGCGCTGTTGTGCACAGTGTTTGGGGTGTTCCCTGGAACTGGGTACACTGTTTGTTTCATTAACAGCAAAACTGGTTCTTTAGAATTGATTGGTAGGAGGCAGGGACACGCTTGACCAGCCACCGTAGTTGATGCAAGAGTTTGGTTGACGATGGATTGGCAACATCCCAAACCGGTATTGACGGCTTTGAGTCATAGAAAATCACGTGTATGAAATGTTCACAAACAGTCTCGCGACCACTGCTTCCAACGGGTGTCTGATTTCTTGTTTTAAGGTGCAATGTTTATTTTGAATTATGTTACTTGGCTTCCATCTCGTTTCAGAGTCATCGAATCTCATTATGAATATGTCTCTTCCATTGAATTGTTTCAATCTAAATAACTCTTGATAATGAAAATAATTGAATTAATGATACGAGATGTCATAGGACACAAATTCGACAGTTCAACTTCCAAACTGCAAATGGACGCATCGCGACCGAAAAAATTCGCATGACTCAACAAGAGACCAACAGTGAAGTGTTCTCATCTCAACCGAAGAATCTGACCGTCGCATAGCTGGATGATTCATCTTCTCACCTATCCCGCCGCGCTGGGCCATTCCTGATACTCGTGAGGTTGGGAGTTGTAGTCACGCCCAGCCAATCACAACGCAAGCTACTCTGCACTCCTACCTACCTAATACTCACACCTCACCTGCGCTCGCTGCAAAACCGTCGACTTTCCCGACAATGGATTTGATATAGATCCAGTACGGATTATAGAGAAAGTCGTAAGATTTCTTTTCGAATTCACCCTGCAAACCTGATGAGACGCGTATTATCTCCTTGTGTAATTTCAGTGTGGCTGGGGCTCAAGTTGGTACCAGGACCACGGGATACAGTGATTGATTCTGAGACATCCGTTCAGTTGGAGCCAATGACGACTCAGATCAATTTTAGCCAATTGCAGCACAGGAAGCTGAGGGAGTATGACTGGAACTTGGTGGGAGGGTCTATATTGTGTCACTCGTAGTCACAACTCGTCACAGGCCGAAGATATTAGAAACGGCCTTGTTGAGGAGGCTGCCATAGCTGACAGAGTTTTTTTAACAATCCACAGCTTCCCAAACACAGTGGCATATCATCATAGAAAGAGGTCGAGAAGCTTAGGATTACAGGCATTATCCAGCTTTTAAAATGGAAAGCCTTCAGTAGCGCTGCTTTCTCGGGAGGTTAATCGTACTGGAGAAGAAGATCATATGCAGGAAAACATAAGTTCTTAGTTAGAATCTACAAAGAGATTACTTAGAAAATTGCTATTGCTATCCATTCCTCTATAATTAAGACAATGAATCTGTATGTCATGATATATTACGTTCACATATCTTAGCCATACAAAATAACTTGGGGAGTTTTTAACTTTAACGTAGTAATGCTAACGAAAATAATAATACTAATAATGCTAATATGTTGCTCAAAAATGCACGAGAAGTTTGCTATACCGGATACCTTGACCGTGGACCAGTTCCTTACTGATGGGCCTCAATGTCAAAATGCAGACGATGAACCTGAGGAGTAGGGAGAATTCACTCACAAAATCACATAGAAGCTTCCGCAAATAACCTCAACTAAATCAGGCACCAATTTACAGCGGTTTGTTGTCGTGTTGGGCTCGTTCTCGGGGGCTATGATCCTCCAGTATCAATCACACCGCAACTACACCAGATGGTAAAGTTGATATGAGACTAGACTTGAAGGGCGACTCTTACTCATTATGCAGCATTACGGCTTCGTACAGGTTCTGATGGGAATAAAGCCTATTCTGTTGATTCCAAAATCAGGCCGATGGTAGTGAAAGCTTACGTATCCTCCATGCTTGTTGGTTCCCAAGGATCTTGAAACTATTCCAAATTTCCCCATGTATCCCATAATTATCGCACGATTCATTAAGAGCAAATCCCAAAGGTATGTGAGAGGCGGGGGCTAAAATTATGATCGCTTATACCCAAACACTTGCTCGATACACGCGGCTCAGTCATGGGTGTTGGACCATGCAGGGACATCAGCTTATTCATTGAATACGTAGTCTAGAACTAGTGAAGACGAATGTACACAGTATAGACGAGTTCTAACATCTAGCTACTCTATTTGTGAAGTGTTGACAATCGTAGCATCTCGTAAAGCAAAACATCATAGCAGAGTTGGGTGCAAAGAGTGCTGTGTCTAGAACCCTAGCCTTTGCATTTTCCGTGTGACGAACATAGATTGTAAGATGATAGACTTGAGAGGCCCTTGGTGCCCACCATATTTCAGTGGGGTTCTCTTAAACGAGGTTCGGTTCAGACCTCATAGCAAGGAGCGCTTGCATGCAAGCGATGGCATACGAAGTTACCAGTACACACAAGCAAGTGAGTGGCACAGCTTTGACCTAACCAAAGCGATCAACGTGAGCAGTATTCAATTCCAACAGGTATTTCATACCGAGGCTGTTCCACCTCCTTGCTAGCAGGTCAGAAGTCACATCATCCCCATGCAGACTTCATCACAGTGTTGACACTTTCGCGGATCCCCCATGCTGCGAAATTCGGCTTCCCTCTCCGCTAGGCGTGACCTTGTTTGTATTTCGTTCCGTCCTCCCCTTTCCCATTCCAGATCTACACCGAGCTTTGACTGAGTAAGTTTGTAGTTGAGCACGTATGCGCACTCTTGATTTAAGGTTTAGAGGCGACAGCTAGCTCCCTTTAAGGTTACACTCTTGCTTGTCCCGCTTGCCGAGTACCAGGTTCCATTTGCAGAGTCAGCCTCTGACCTGCGAAGCATTTGCCAACAATAATGGGTATATTTGAATAGCGGCATGAAGTTTTTGTTCAGCCGCCTGTTAAACCCAGGCTAGTCGGAGTTATTCAAAAGCGAGCTGATTACAGTCCAGGCCACTCACCACATGAAAACGGGCACTACTGTAGGGAGACAGTGCTCGGCGACCCACACCCCCAGATTGTGGTAACCGAACCCAACGCTGGGGCGGGATCAGATGAATCAGATTAAGAGTTGAAGCAAAGGCGAGACTGCACAGGAACAAGATATCCAGGTACATATGTAGTTTTTAAGGTTTGAAGGAAACGTGTGCAATGAACCCCTGATTGGTGGACTCAGTTCGAACGTCGTTCGTGCAGCACTGATGCAGTGCACAGTTGAAGATCACGGAGAAGCAAGGTACTTGCACCTGTATGCCTGCGACGCTCACCCGGAAGACCTTTCTCGCGTAAGAGACCTGGTTGAACGATGGTCCTGCGATGAAATGCATCCTGACCGGAGCAGACATCCATAAGCAAGATGTCTAAGTGGGTTCATGGAACTTTTCTTATGATTGGAACAGTTTGGACATCTTCAAGGGATTTGGTAGATAACTGGCCAAGTAATGTAATACTTAACCACACTAAAGAAGGACGAGTATCGATTGTTGAGGTCATGGTACGTTTTGCCGTGGTCAATCGATGCACAGGGAAAACCAGAATGGGTGGAAATGGTCCGATAGAACATTCCATCAGACTCCTCTTGAGAGCCTTCACTCATAGGTTCAACAACGGCCAATCGCTCAATCCGATTGGCTACATCGCTTGAGAGTAGGAGTACGTAAACTTTGCTTCACATCCATTCAACCACTTGGCCCTTGTTCCTCGCGTGCTGATTTCGCTAGGAAAGACTATCCTGGTACGAGGCCGCCCAAAGGTCCCATATTTCCACCAACATATGGGGAAAGGTGCGTGTTGAACGAACCTTATTGACACCCTTGAAGCTTGAAGTCAACGAACATGGTCCACGTGAGCACTTCTGCTTCTTAAAGGGGAGACCAAGCTGGGACCTTGTCAAAATGCCTGTTCAAAATGCTGTGCTTGTGTCTGCAGCATTATGAGGTGATAAAACGCCTGGGCAGAGATGAACCGACAGTTCTTATTCCTCTTAAAGCTAAAGGCTATCATAGAAAGGATTCGGAAAGAACACACCTAGATCCTCTGTACTACGAATCCTCACGCTACCAATTGACAAGTGGGGACGCTCATAGGCCTCAAATCACAGGCGCCTGATTGTGCAGATCATAACGCAACCGTCTAAATGAGTACGCATTCAGCCCTTACCTTGGCCGCTAGCTTGCCTCCACAGTCCAGCTCTTACAGCGGCGCGGCTCGTGATGTCTTTACAAAAGTGGGCATGGTAAGCTACCGACCCCTACTAACATTCGCAGCTTTGAAGCGCAGAACAACTTGCATTTCTAGACTGTTGGCAGGCGGCAGTACACCATAAATTGTCAATTCCTGTTTGAACAGCATGCGCAGATGGTATGCAGTGTGAACGGAGTGGCATCATCACCTTATCAATTGATGCACATCTACGTGGTATTGGTATCTAGATACAAATAGTACAATTAGGAACAAGTAAAATATTACTTTCCATATACGCTGTTTTATGTTGCAAATTTTCATTGGATCCATTCGATCGTGAATCACACACGGAAAGTGAAATGGTGGTCTCCTTGAGAACAGCCACACTGAACAGAAACCTGGACTCTGGAACCTAGAATCTTCATGCTCATGCTACGTCAAAGTTTGTAGATCCCCTGGCCTCAGAACGCCCAGTATTCCCCTGCGTCAGCTTGAACCTTCACAAAAGAAGGTTAAGGATCCTGCCAGGATTTGCCCCCATAGGTTAAACACTAACACTACCGACAGGACGCCACTGCTGCATCCATGTGTTCCTGGCACACGCTTCAAAATTCCTCGCATGCAGCGTGAAGTGGCCAAGCCTCTGTACTGATGTAGGTAGTAGTTAATAGAAATAGATATTAAGGTCATCATGGTTTGATAGTGTTTCGAAGCAAGAACAACTTCAATTTGCATAGCCAAGCTCTTCATCATGGATCAGTTCACACCAGAGCAGATTTCTCAACTCAAGGAGGAAAATCTTGGACCCATGTCCATCGCAATCGTCGTTTCTTTCACTATACTCTCGTCCATATGCGTTGCTCTTCGATTCTTCACCCGAATAAAGTTGGTCCGCGAGCTCGGGCTGGAAGACTGGTTCATTCTTGTTTCAATGGTATGTGAAAACTTTAGACATCCATTATATAGTTGTCTAATGTTAAGTCACAGTGCTTATCTATTTGTATGGCGGCTTGCCAAGTGATGCGTAGGTTGACAGCATTGAATTCTAACTATACATTTCTGACTTTTTGCAGAGGCAAAATGGGGCAATGGAAGACACATGATATTTTTGGACCTGACAGCAGCAGTCATGATCCTGAAGGTTTGTTACTACAGTCTCTTTAGGAAGCATAGCTGATCAATCCAGTATCTCTACTTCAGTATCTTGACCTACACTGCCAGTCTAACGTTTACAAAACTGTCGATTTTGCTGCAGTATCGGCGAATCTTTGCTGTGCAAAAGATGCGCTTACCAATCTATATCGCCATGGGTATCTGTGCTGCTTATGGTATCACGAGTGTGTTTACGGGTATCTTCGACTGCGTCCCTGTTGATGCGTTTTGGGATCTTACGAAGAAGCCGACAGCAAGATGTGTGAACGAGACAACGTATGTGATGTTCCAATACGTATATACTCAGCGATTGCTAAGCAAAATAGACTCTGGTATTCGAATGCAGGACTCAACATCGCAACTGATCTGCTTGTTGCAATTCTACCGATCAAAGCTATCTGGGACCTACAACTACCCAAGAAGCAAAAGATCGCCTTGGTCTTCATTCTGACCATCGGTTGGTTGTAAGTTTGCCATGTTCTTAGAATCGTTTATACCTTGAGGTTACTGACTAGTGAATAGTGTCTGCGTGGTCTCGATCCTCCGTCTCCACGCTCTTGTGGAGCTCGCTCAAAACCCGCAAGACACAACCTGGTACAGCACCGCAACTGCATACTGGTCAGCAATCGAAGTGAACCTCGGTATCGTCTGCGCATCTACTCCTGCCCTTAAAGCCCTCGTCGTCAAATTCGTCCCAGCCATGCTCTCTAAGTCGTTCAGCACCGGTCGCAGCCGAAGCCGCAGTCGCAGTGGCACCGACCCAGCCAAGAACCGTAAATCATTCATCGAACTTTCGGATAAGGAGTTAGCTAGTAGTTCACAAGGAAGTGATCACTATGAGCCAGCGAACCCCATCACTGCACTGCCAGCGGTCGTTGGCGGGGGCCAGAGGGATATGCGATACGAGATCAGGAGCTCACCATACGGCGAGAACCAGGATAGACTGAGCGATAGTGAGAGCCAGAAGGACCTTGTGGAGCGACCTGAAGCTTTCAGATCGAGATAATAGTTAGTGTAGGAAGCCATCTCTTTCGACGTTCAAACTGTACCAATCAAGAACTCCCCCGTACCTTCTGCGCACCATCGAAATATTGCTCACAGACCCCTTGCTATAAGAATCTTCTTTTTGATCGAGCTAGGTACATGTTTGGTAGCGAACTGCAGCCTCCAATATCGCATGGTTATTGTAAACTTTGAAAAGTTTGGTGAGCACCTAGAACATTGGCCCTTCCCATCCCTGTCTCGTCTTTGATCGGTTAACTCTCGATCCTACCCGCGATCCGGTGGGCGTGCCGCTTTATAAAAGAGCTCAGATATAGGCGCACTGACCTCCCTCATCCAATACGTTCGGCGCTGCACAGAGCAGGGTATAGCGGTCTTTATTGCCCATGGTTAAATCTGATCGTCAAATTGGATTATAGGGCAAGGCTATGACATAGGACATCATGCCTCGTCGTATAAATTGCAGAGGGATCGTCCTCAGTGCAGCATGTGTTCCTCACCTATTTCATTGCACTTCGGGTTTTCTTAGCATTTTCAAGATGAAGTTTCTTGCTCCCTACGCATTGTGGCTCAATGGCGTTGCTGCAGCAGCTATTGTAAGCCGGGCTGAAGAAGCGACTTTGGCGGATAATCTGACAATCGATGTCGACTACGCCATTTACCAGGGACAGAAAAACCAAACAACAGGAATTAACTCTTGGAAAGGGTAATATCTTCAGTGCCATGATTTAAAGCCCCTTTACTAACGACTGTCCAGCATACGGTACGCAGCAGCGCCAATTGGAGATCTCAGATGGAAAGCGCCACAAACGCCTGCGAAAGACCGCAAAACGACCATCAAAGCAACTGAATACGGTGCCACTTGCCCACAGGCTTTTCCTTCTATACCCAATCCACCTTTCATCCCGGGCAACGAGGATTGCCTTTTTCTCAATGTTCAGACCCCTTCTAACGCGAAAGCGAAGAAGTTGCCCGTTCTTGTGTGGATACACGGCGGCGGTTACGGACTAGGTGATGGGAGGAAGGATTTGAGCGAGATCATCAATGCAAATGATGGTGGTTTTGTTGGAGTGTCTATCCAGTATAGGGTGTGTATTGGCCACAGACATTCTTTTCAAGTATTGGGCCGTTACTAACACTTCATAGCTTGGAGCGTTTGGTTTCCTCTCGTCGGCTGACGTTAAGAAAGATGGCATTCTGAACGCAGGACTTCGCGACGTTGCCTTTGCACTCGAATGGATCCAAGAGCATATTGAAAAGTTTGGCGGAGATCGAAAGCAGGTTACCATTGCTGGCGAGTCTGCTGGAGGTGGTGCAGTGATGCTGCTTGGAATTGCTGAAAAGGGAGATTTGAAGACATCTCTCTATAAGAATGTAAGACTACACAGTGGCTTTTCTGGCCGATGACTTCTAAGAACTCCAAGGGCATAGCGGCATCTCCATGGCTACCAGCACAATACGATTACAACCATGCCACACCCACTGCGCACTACCAGGACCTCGCACAGAGAGTTGGATGTAACAGCACTAAAACCCTCCTGAAATGCCTGAGAGTAGCCGACTCCCAAGCTCTCCAAGAGGCCAACAACGCGATCTCCACAACCGGAACCTACGCCACCTGGGCCTTCCTCCCAGTGACCGAGCCGGACTTCATAACCTCACGGCCGAGCAAATCGCTGACTAAGGGCAAAGTGAACGGTCAAAACATTCTCGTCGGTAACAACGCAAACGAAGGACCACTCTTCGTGCCCCCCATCATCAGCACCCTCGACGACCTCAAGAACTGGCTGCACCTCGACTTCCCAACCCTCAGCGACGCCGACATCCAAACAATCCTGACCGCATACCCATCCCCCGACCATGCCGACGATCCCAACGCCTTGAAGTTTGCCACAAACGGCATCGACTCCCCCACAGCCGTGAACGTAAGCCAAGTCGCCACTGGTCACCAACAGCGCGCAAACGTAAGTCTCCCCCTATTCCTCTCCCACTGAACCCCTACACTAACACCACCTCGTTACAGAACATCCACGCAGAAGCCCGCTTCGTCTGCCCCTCCTACTGGCTCAACTCCGCCTACGCCAACTCCTACCACTACCAATACAGCGTCCCCTTCGCCAGCCACCAAGACGACATCGACGCCTACTTCGGACCCTCGCAGCCCAACCAGTCCCCCTCCTTCTCCCTCGCCTTCCGCCGCATCTGGGGAAACTTCATCACTCGCTCGAACCCGTCAATAGCGGACGAGGAGGCGGCGAAGGACTGGCCGAAGTGGAAGGATGGAGAGGGGGCGAGGCTGCTGAATTTGAATACGACGGGTGGAGTGCCGTATCAAGCGGTGACGCAGTTTGGAGCGAGTGTCACGCAGTTTAGGGAGCCGGGGCTGCAGAACGATTTCGATGTTGCGAGTGCGTGGACGTGGGAGGGGGGTAGGGGGAAGAGGTGTGAGGTTTGGAGGGGGTTGGCGGATAAGATTTTCATCTAAGCATTCAGGGGCTGTCGCCGTTGAAGTCCTAAGGATCGAGGTGTGTTTGGTGTAACATATATAGACATTTAGATCGTTGGGCGAGCAATGAGAAGAACATAATTCTCAACCACCCTAACCTCCAACCTCCAAATCCCCAAACCCACCACCACCACCATCACTCCCCCTCAAAACAACAACCCTCGCCATCTCCACCCCATCATCCCCTCCCTGCCCCATCTCCTCTCCTCCAGCCCGTACCCCAAAATCCCCCTCCCCAGCAACGACATCTAAATCCCCTCCGGCGCCCCGCACCCTAACCCCCCGCCCTGCAACCCTGAACCCAACGTCGACATCGACCTTATACCCCCTCCACATGCTCGCGCTCTTGAAGCTCGAGCTCGCGGAGGCGGGCAGCGTGACGGAGAAGACGCAGTTCTGGCCCTCGTACGCGCCGTTTCGGGGCGTGAATGTGGCGCTGTGCGTGGTTGTCGTGTGTAGTACCGTAGATTGGACTGTGACTGATTTCGGGGGCTGGGACGGCGTGCGGCGCAGCACGCGGATACCGGTGTACGACCTGATGCGGCATTTGAAGTCTACGACTTGGATGTCTGGGATTGGGAAGTTGTATAGTTTTCCTGGTGGGGGAGGGAGCACGGCGATGCGGAGTTTGATTTGGAGGGGGGAGCCGGCGTGTGCGACGCGAGGGGTGGTGATTGTCGGGGCGAAGTAGAATGTTGGGGTTGAGGAGGAGGCGGAGGTGGTGTGCAGGGAGTCGAGGAGGTGGTTGTAGAGGCTTGTGCGTTTAGTGGGTGGGAGGGAGAGATGGCGGGTTTGGAGGGATAGGTCTCTGGTTGTGGAGTGTGGTGGAGAGGAGAGCAGGGTGGTGAGCTTGGATTGAGGGAATCGAAGGGTTGTTATGGTTAGAGGGGTGATGTTTGTGGCTTCTGGCGTGAGGGTATGGGGTGAGGTTGGAGATGGCCTTGAGCGGATGGCTATAAGTCGATATGTGATATCGGCGCTGCCCGCTGCTCGAGACGATAGAGAACTGGAACCTCGTAAGGGGACATGGGTAGATGGGGGAATTGGTCGATTTGGTTGACTTTCGTAGGGTTCTTGTGCAGGCCAACCGTGAGTCCAGTAATTATCAAATAGACAGTTGTTAGAGGTCAAATCATCGAGATGTTGAAGATTGTACTGTGTCTTCTCGGGTATAGTGATCGAGAATCTAGGTACTATGCCTTGCCTCTCCGGTGGAAGATGCGAAATTCGATAAATCAATGGCGTGCGGTCCTTGTATTCTGCCTTGTCTGTGCGAATGTAGGTGTTTGCTCGGCCTTCTAGTATGATATGAATATGCGATGAAGAATCCCAACCTGATATGTAACCTGTTATAGTTTCATTGGGCGCAAAGACTTTCGAAGGACTGTCTAGCACGAGTCGAAGATCTCCAAGGTTTGGCTCTCTATGACCTGCTGTTGGCACTGGAGGGGGATGGTGAAAATAAGGTCCCTTCCTCGGAGACGGATCGTCGTACAGCGAGTCTGCATCGGAATCCGTGTCCAAGACGACTTGAATAAATCCAAAGTCAGACGGTTTGTATACAGAATTTGGACTCGGCTTCGGACTCGGAACTTTGCCTGAATTAGGACCAGAAGGACTCAGCAGCCCAGGTGGCGGCCTAGGAAAGGAAGCCAAAAGCAATTGGTCTCTCTTTGAGTTCGTCATGAGGTGAGGTTTAGTACTGACGCCCAGCACGATTCTTGGTACGACAGGGCCGAAAAAGCTTGTTGATGCACCGACTGTACGGAATCCAGGATTAATTCGCTACCAATATCTGGTGTTACACGAGTTGCATCGACATCAGCCTTGTGGAAGTATGTACATTTGCAGAATTGATTTTCGGCTGGATAATCAAATGGCGGGGAAAGATAAGAGGATAGAAGATAGATTTGAAGAAATAAACCGGGGCCGTGAGTGTAATGACCATATTTCGAGACCACCATGCTACGCCATCCGTCTCATACGCCAAAAGTTTCGCATAGAAGGACGCATAGGAATGCAAGCGAATGCAAACGCATGATATGCGCCAACTGTCATTACCATGTACTCTATTTGACATTTGTAAATAAAAAGGTTTCTGCACACGGTTCTTTGCTTGACGTGCTGTGCAGGCATGATCGGCAATGCAACGTGCGGTCGCTTTGCTTTACCATTCTCCCTCCGACGCGGCAGGCCAGAAGAACCAAGCAGCGACAATGACTGCCTTCAAGCCGACTGCAGTCCACAATGCGCCGGCCATGCCCACGCTGCTGTGAGCCCAGAAGCCTCCAATGACAGCACCGAGAAGCAGTAGGGCTGGTGCTGCGAGTCTCCTGTTTCGCTCTACGTTCGACAGGTCGAACAACTTCGCATCGCCGAACAAGTCGCAGTAATTGCTCGTGAGGACAACACTGGTCAAGCCGGTGTAGTGAAACACACGTGATATGACAGCCTGCCCACTCGATTGGAATGCGACAGACGCAAGAGGGACTAGGACCTGCCAATTGAGATCGTCGGAATGGTCACTGCTCCCAAATGTGAGGATCATCGCCGCGAGTACGATGAGGAGCATCTGGAGGAAGTAGGACGCCACCAGAACCCAACGTTTGCGGGGAGACAGGATGCGGTGGAAATGCGAGAAAAAGAACGAGCCGAGACAGAAAAATCCAATTGACGTTACAGCCTTGATCCATCGAATGCCTTCGCTGGGTGCTACGAGCCCCAGACCGAGATACACCGTGTTGCCTGCAGTCGTGTGAGTCTTCGCCCCATTGGGATCGACCTCCGCGATGGAGAAGAGGAGAAAACGAAGAGGGTGACATTACCCGTCTGCATGCTCACGAAGCTGCCCCAAATGAAGACGGCAGAGCTGTCCAGCAACCCTGTGATGATGTAGCAGAATAATAATACTGCATCTGCCCAATGTTTGCTGACATCCGCCGTCATGTGCCGTTTCACCCGCAGCCAGGACTTCGACTCCTCCGTCGATTTCCGGTGCGATCCGAGTAGAGGTGCCTCCTCATCGGTCCTGTTACCTGCACCATGCATACGCGTCACACTTGCACTCATCCTGTTGGTGCGACAATGTTCGAAGGCAGGTTTTGCGGGATTTTGGTGAACAAGAGGGGAATGATTTTGTTTTTGTTTTCGAAGAAAAGAAGAAGAAAGTGGACGGTTGACCGTTATAAAGTGGAGCGGGAACGGGAGGTTTTTTAGGGACCGTTCTGACGATGTCGGATGTGCTAGGCCCTGATGGTCAGAATAGGAAAGCGGTTTTCCTGTCTGGTCTGATAAGTGGATTAACCGTCGGCAATAAGTTTAAAAAAGTCAAGCAATCCAATCGCTGCAGGTACAGGTCAGATTGTAAAGGATTAGGCATGGTACCAGAGTGTTGTCAAGGAACATTCACTTACACAGTATGTGATCGCAGTGATCTTACAGGCCAGGCTGCATTAGGTGACATCTAGCGGCCTTTTTTCGGGGCTCGGGATAGGTGGAATATCGGTGCACTTTGATGACTCTGCTCAAGATGTTGCAGAAATGGCGCGGAAGAGAGACCAAAGCAATTGATTCGAACAACTGAGGGACATGGAGGCGTTTCAACCACAGCGAATTGTTTTGATCATGTTCGAGAGCGGAAGGCATGGGAGGGTTGCGGGGACAAGCCATTGGATGTCGTCATGCCGGCACAGGCGGCCCAGAGCATCTGGCGGAAGACAAGGAAATATCATTGAAGCTATATAAAAACCCGGGAAGGTCGGCGGTTTAGGTTCATCAAAAAGACTTTAAATACTCCAGTTCTAGAGGGATTGGATCAATTGAATGCCTTCCATCTTGTTCCCATTAGTTACATTTCGTTGATCGCTTCGTCATGCATCTCTCCCAGCTTCTTGTGGTGCTCAGCGCCTGCAGCGGCACTTGGGCTGCTCCCGTTGAACAGAAGCCTCTTGCTGTACCAGAAAAGGGTGCTTCGAACGTCGGAGACAACCCGTATACCCCAGATTATCGTGATCCCTACGATAGGAAAGTAGACGCCATCGGCAGGAAGCTCCGACCAGAGCCTTATGTGAGTACCAATATATCCCCGCCGGATAATCAATCCGCACCATGTGGCTTGGGTTCATACACCGAGTCATTCCATAAAGTCGTCCAGAAGCTAATCGCGGAATGCGTAGAGAAATGGAGATGGTTCGACAGTACTAGGACCCAGGAATAGAGGTCGTGAAAGGCAGGACCCTGATCTCGTCCGCCCTCCAAGTACCGATCATGGAAACATTCCTAACATGCGATGGTCTTTCGCCGACTCTCACATTCGCATCGAAGAAGGCGGATGGACGCGCCAAACCACCGTGCGGGAGCTTGGCACTAGCAAAGAACTTGCTGGTGTGAACATGCGCCTGGACGAAGGCGTCATCCGCGAGCTTCATTGGCATAAGGAGGCCGAATGGGCCTACGTGCTTGAAGGAAAGGTTCGCATTACTGCTCTCGACACCGAGGGTGGCAGTTTCGTCGACGATCTCGAGAAGGGAGACTTGTGGTATTTCCCATCAGGCCACCCCCATTCCCTCCAGGGCTTGAGCCCGAACGGAACGGAATTTTTACTCATCTTTGACGACGGAAACTTTTCCGAAGAATCGACCTTCTTGCTCACGGACTGGCTTGCGCATACTCCCAAATCAGTCATTGCCGAGAACTTCCAAGTGCATCCGGAAGTCTTCAAGGCGATCCCCCAATCGGAGAAATACATCTTCAAGGGTTCTAATCCTGGCTCCATCGATGACGAGATCCCTAAGGGGAAAGGATATAAGAAGTCAAAGCTCCAATTCACCCACAAGATGGATGCCCAAGAGCCCATCATTGCATCAGGCGGAAAGGCGCGCATTACAGATTCGAGGAACTTCCCCCTCTCGAAGACGGTAGCTGCTGCACACCTAGAGATCGAGCCTGGAGCACTCCGAGAGATGCATTGGCATCCGCGTGCCGATGAATGGTCTTACTTCATCAAAGGTCGAGCCCGTGTGACCATCTTTGCTGCAGAAGGCAACGCAAGGACCTTTGACTACCAGGCTGGTGATGTTGGAATCGTACCAAAGAACATGGGTCATTTCATCGAGAATCTTAGCGATGATGAACCCCTCGAGGTACTCGAGATTTTCCGCTCCGACAAGTTCGAGGATTTCTCGCTCTTCCAATGGCTAGGCGAAACTCCCAGGAGGATGGTCAAAGACCATCTGTTCGCGGAGGACGAGAAGGCTGGGAAGAAGTTTGAGAAGGCCATCTGGGATGCCGAGAAGGATGTTATCAAAAAGCCATACGACTGGGATAATGAGGAGGAAGAGAAGGAGGAATTGTAAGTACACTCCTTGGGTATTTTCTCTTCGATCATGTCCGTCTGGACCCAAACCTCTTTATATTAGTGTTGCCTCTGGTAGAGCTTTCAACCATAATGAACCAATGTGATCACATTCGATTTCTTGTCGCATATAACATTCAACCTGTAATTGTCAGTGACTATACCCAGGTATTCTCGTCCCAAAAACTCATTTGCCACTTACTTGTCCCAAAAATATCTGTCCTCACTCGACATTTCATACGCAAAGCTCCTCTTCTTCGGAAGCTTTTCAAAAGAGTAGGTATGCTGTTCCAACGCCAACGCCCTCCCCTCGATATAAAGCTGTTTACAGCAGAATATAACAGCACATCCATCTCTCGTACCTATCTCCCTTCCCACCCCTCCTCCAATCCCATCACCTTCGCAGCCATCAATCTCTAACGGCCTGGCTGCGAGCACATACTCCAGCACATGGTTTCTGATTTCAGCCGGCAACCTTAGAAGACGCGAATCGGGCTGGACATCGGATTGCATGTCCCCGTCAACGCCCTCCCGAAGCGGCTTGTTGAAGTACACCCGCGGCATCCACGAGCTCAGAAGCGTCCTCGTATGCTCCGAGATCTCGAAGTCCGACGTCACCAAGCGTTTCCCCAGCAGACGGTCTCGCCAAGTCTGCACATCTTCTCTCTCGTTGAAGTCGCTGCGTTTCATCTTGTGTTGTTCTTTGAGAAAATTTCGGGGAGTGGTGGGAGGGGTAAAGAAGGTAAGTTGAATGTCGAGGAAAGAATCGGGAATTAAAGAAGTTGAGAGATGTGGCAAGACCTGGGTTGAATATCTTCTATGATGTTGCTTCTGCTGCCGTGCAAGTGGAGTGCGTGCGTGCTTGCTTGTTGTAGATGACAACCGCGTTTCGTGCATACTCGTCTCGCAACGAACGGTTTTTTCCCATCTGGCGGGCCCCCATCATCCTTGTCTCACTCTGTACCACTGGTGACGTTGTTCCTTTTGCTCGGCGCTTAATCTGTCTCATGCACGTGCAAGGTTAAGACAGATAAAAGGTCTAGGGCATTGCGCTCTTTGTCAAAGAATTGTGGTATATGTTTCATAGCGAAGGGTCGAGACAGGGAATAGTTGAATAGTAGAGGTATATCATGGTAAAGGAACTTTATATCAGATTATGGTTTTATTTGTGATCTTTGTGGATGGTCGATGTAGGATTGCGGCACAACTGCTGGGTGATATCCAATTTGGGTTTAGTGCGCGGATGATGGGGTGCTAGAAAGGTTGGGGCCCCAAGATGTCCGATTTGTTTGGGGTTTTAGGTGCTAACATGTCTTACAGGATAACTGGACGAGAGGCTTGTCCAACACGTCTACAATGTAGACGCTATTAACTATTTTCTGGTTTGGGTAATTGTTGGTAGATTTCTCCAATCCGTGGGGCCACGAACATCCTTGTGCGTGTTTGTTCATACATACAATACTATACGAATTCAGCTCCTTCTACTGCCATTTCTGCTTCCTTTGGGGCCATTTCATCATGCGGGTCTCAGGTTCAGAACGATTGAACGCAGCTTGTAATCCAATCTTTTGTTTTCATCCGAACACATTGGTTCTGGTTGGAATTGGCGTCAGGAGCTGGAAAACTCCTATCATGAACTTTGAACTCACATACCGTGACCTTGGGGCGACTGCTAGCAAAAAGTTGTATACAGCAACTGGGATGACTGCTCGCGAACAAAAATGATAATATGGGCACGAGGGATGAATCGGATGATCAAACCATATACTACTCGACTGTTCCACCGGAGAAATCAAGTCAACTCTAGAAAACCACTAACGTTGGAGTTAGTGTCCATCCACCACCACTCCAATCCAATTGCACCTTACTCTCGGCAATACAATGCTGGGGATTTTCGCGGCTCAACTGAAGCCCATGTGCTTGGCTTGGAATTGTTCTCGGCGATACCCATCTGATCCTCGGTACAGTTGGGTGACATGAGCATGCACGATTTATTGCTCGTCTCTGCGCAGAGGAGGCAAGCAGCTAAAGGAAAAACCCATCATGCATAGTCTCTCCGACATTCATGCGGGGTCCGAGCTTCTCTCCGCAGTTCGTAGACTAACTCTCCACCATCCATCTCTGTTCCCCACAAAAGTCGGAGCTCATGACCATAGCTAAGAATCTTCCATAGGAAATGTCAATGTCTAATTAACTTCCCCTTCCCAGATATTTAATTGTTATTTCTCTTTCAATTCTCGCACAACAACCCTAACCTTTCCTTTGCATCCATTCTTTTTACCAGCAACTTTGTCTTTACCAGAATTGCTGCATTAAACCGCCAGAATGACGGCCATATCAATTCCCCATCTTCGCAAAACAAAGACCTCGAGCCAGCTCATTGTCAATGGCCAGCCATACCTCATGCTCAGCGCCGAGCTGCACAACTCCACATTGTCGTCTGCAAAATACATGGCCGACGACAAAATATGGCAAAACCTCAAAGCCATGCACATCAACACTCTCCTCGGCTCCGTCTCGTGGGAGCAAATCGAGCCCACGGAGGGTAACTTCGACTTCACAAACCTCGACTCCGTGATCCTCGCTGCGCGAGAGCACGGCTTCAAGCTTGTGCTGCTGTGGTTCGGCAGCTTCAAGAATGCGCTGAGCACTTATGCGCCGGCATGGGTGAAGAAGGATGTCAAGCGATTCCCTCGGGTTCACGCGCTCGAGGCTGGCGGCAAGAGGCGAACTCTAGAACTCATCAGTCCGTTCTGCCAGGCGGGCTGGGAGGCCGACGCCAGGGCTTTCCGGAAGCTCCTGGAGCATCTGAAGGAATTTGATGGCGTTGACAACACTGTCGTCATGATCCAAGTCGAGAACGAGACCGGCTTGCTCGGCGACTCGCGCGACCGATCAAAGCTCGCAGATAAGAAGTACGCAGAGCCAGTGCCAGAGGAACTGATCAAACACCTCCAAGCGAACTACCAAGAATTGCACCCAGACTTCCGCAAGCGATTCACCAAGTTCGATACCGCCAGTCACAGCGGGAAGACCTGGAAAGAGGTCTTCGGCCAGGAAGACGAGATCCACGCAGAGGAGATATTCATGGCACATGCATTCTCCTCCTACATCTCACACGTCGCTGCAGCCGGAAAGGAGGCATACCCCATCCCTCTCTACACCAACGTCTGGCTCAACTTCGACGACCCCGCTGCGCTCGATCTCGTCGATCTCCCAGTTGTTGTAGGCGGTGGCGCAACTGCAGGTGTCTATCCCTCCGGTGGACCCTGCCCGCACACAATGGACATCTGGAAATACAACGCACAGAAACTTGACTTCATCGCGCCAGATCTATACTTCCACGACTACGAGACCACGTGTCGAAACTACCGATGGGGCAACCAGCCGTTGTTCATCCCCGAGCAGAGACGAGACGAGAAGGGTGCAAGGAGGGTGTGGTTGGCATACGGAACATATCTGTCGCTGGGTTGCTCGCCTTTCGGCATTGATTCGGAACTAGCAGAAAACTCTCCTGTCACAAAGCACTACGGACTCATCCACTCGCTGAGGAAACAAATCTTGGAGGCCCAGGCTGAAAGGCCAGAGGATATGATGGGTTTCTTCTTCGATGAGTGGACCGAGGGCCAGAAGGTTAAAGAGAAGCCATGGACCAAGGTCATGGGAGGCTTCGAGGTCATAATTGAGCGTGCGTTTGTCTTTGGCAAGCCCGGCCCCGGCGCTGGTATCGTCATCCACCAAGGTGACGGCAAGTTCCTGTGCGCTGGTTGGGGATTCAACCTCTACTTCAAGAGCGTGAATCCCAAGAGCACATTTACTGGCATTCTCCATGCAGAGGAGAAGGAAGTCAACCCGGAGACATGCCAGTTGTCGACGGTTAAGCTTCTCGGCGGCGACGAGACGAGGAGTGGCGAGTTCCTGATCATGCCGAACGAGGATCCCGACTACGGCGGTTTCCCCATCGCGGTCACCATCCCCGCACGCACATGTATCGCCGAGTGCTGGGCATACAGCCTCGAGGAGGAAGAAGAAGATTTGTAGCCAACGTTCGTAGAATACACTTTAAAATTATAGACTTCTCATATTCAAGCCTTCAAACATCCAACTCCTCCAACTTCTTAAGCAACCGATCTAGGTTCATACTCGCCTGAAGATTCCCACCCTGCGTGCCCGTTCGCACCTCATCCAGCAAGGCGCTTCCGATGTCGCGAATCTTGGGGATGATGCTGCATCCGTTTGCGTCGAAGACCTCGTGCGGCATCTCCTCGAGAACCTCGAGCAATTCATCCACGACGCGGTGGCGCTCCTCGACGATGATACTCGGCGTGATGAGAAGGTTCTGCGTGCGCGCGAGTCCGTTCATCTGCTCGAGGAGATTGGATCGGATGTGCAGTTGCGTGACTCTAATATTGACAGTCTGCACGTCCGTACCAAAGTCGCTAGTCTCGTTGGCCGGCAGTGCAGTGTCCCCCCTGGCCGGGCTCGACCGATGGCTCTTCCACATCAGTGTTGGCGGCAGTGCCTCCGATGCTTGTTGCGCGCGCTTGATGTGTTCCTGCAGGTTTGCCATGGTCTGTATGGAGGTTGTCTGGCTGGATTGCCAGATCAGGAACATCTTGGATAGCGCGTTCAAACCTGGTACGTAGCTTCTAGGTTGGTTCGCTGCGTATAGTCCATGGTCGGGTGATGCGCTTGTCGGCGGTTCATCATCGTGGACATCGAGGGGTATCAGGTCATTGATCTGCTCATGTGCGTGGTGCAGCATCAGCAGTGGTCTTCCATACATATCGCTGGTACATTGCCCTGCAAACAGAAGCCAATACAGCCGTTTCAGTATCTGCTGGTCGTAAAACGACATGTGCTGCAACTCATGATAGATCAAATACTTCACTCCTATGGAAGACTCGGCACTGAAACGATACGCAACCGGAGCATCAATCCCGAGTTCGTGATGCGTGGCGCTAGAAAAGTTGTACATGGCCAGGCTGTTTTCTAGTGTTATTGGGTTCTTGCCTGACCAAAGGCCCAAACTTTCGGCGAGTTCTAGACATTGCTCGACCGTCACCGAGCCGTATAGCCCGCGTCGCCTTCGCAGTGACGCAACTGTCGCAGCACAAATAGACGAGATGAGAATCAGGAACGAAGCATCGGGCATGGCTGTTTCGCACTCCATGAGCCTCCCGAAGATTTGGCGCTGATTGAAGATTGGGGCAACGGGATGGATCCACCCAAACCAGTCGGAAATGATTCGATGCACAATCGGCATTGGAGCAATTAGTTCGAGAGTCAGTTGACGCGTCTCGCCAAAGGAAATCGATTCAGCTGATGGTGGCGTCAGAGAGGGAGTCTCCGAAGCCTGGACTTGCGCTGTGCCATCTAGCTGGGCGCGCAAAGCTTGGATGTAGCTACATAGTACATTTATCAGCTTCCATGGGGTAGTGATGCGGTGTATAACTGTGACTGTAGCGGAATGTACCGGTTCTTTGGGCCCCTTTTTGCCCGAGGTCTGATTTGGGTGCACTCGATCCCGAGTTCATGGCAGGTGGTGCATATCGGTTCATCGCAACGGAAGACGCACTGGGGAAGCCTGTCAGCAACTGATTCACCTAATGATCAAGATTAACACCAAGTAATCATACCTTGACTTTTCTAGCTCGACAGGCATCGCACGCAGCAGACGAACGTTGCCGATTCGGAGCAGTAGTGCTTTGCGTCTGAGGTCCGTCCATGGAAAATTATCGTCAAAATAGAGCATTAGATATAATCATACAAGGAGTGTAGGTGATCCAAGCGCGCAGTAAACGAGGCAATGTCCTTGGTTTAATAGTGTTTTCCCCTCAGAATGGTGCATTATTAGACGCTAATGCAAAATTTCTGCGAAACTTATGCGGAAGCGTGCGGGTGTTGAACCCCAAGCACTCCGCGTGCACACTAGCCTTCTCCAGATTCTCTCCACAGATTGCCCGCATGGCAGGACTGCCGATCGGATCATGAGTTGGGTTTTGGTCGTAGAATAAATATCTGATGAGATACCTCATGGCTCGAGATCAGTTCAGGCCATCCTCGCATTTCTCTGCCTTCTCTCGCTCTCAAGGCTCTCTCCTTCACAATCATGTCTGACGACAAGTCAAAAATTGAGGCGCTGCACAATGAGGACGTAACAATCTCAATGCAACCTCCTGAGGACGAAAGACCATGGTATCAGCAACCTGAGCTACGAAAGCTCTACTTGTTGATGCCGTTCCTGTTCCTTGGCTCAACGACACTGGGCTACGATGGCAGTCTTCTCAATGGACTGCAGACGATGCCCGCGTGGCAAGCGTGTGAGTAGCATGGGAGAGGTTTATCATTACAGTCAACTAATAGTCATCCAGTCTTCCATCATCCTACCGGCGCCCGTCTGGGACTTCTTGGAGCCTTTCCCGGCTTTGGTGGATTTGCAGTCCTACTCTTCACACCATATGTAGCAGATCTTCTAGGTCGACGTCTCGGAACCGGCATTGGCTGCGCAATCGTCATCTTGGGTGCTCTCATCCAGGCTTTTCCCAAGAAGAACAACCCTGATGCCATGTTCCTCGCTGGTCGTTTCATTATGGGAATGGGCAGCAACATCTCTAACGCTACTTGCCCATTGCTCATCACTGAAGTGTCCCATCCGAGACATCGCGGAAGAATCACGACCATCTACAACACTGTATGGTATGTTGGCGCTATTTTGGCAGCATGGACAACATTCGGTACCCTGAACGGTCTCACGGGCGACATCTCCTGGCGCCTACCGGTCGGTCTCCAATGTGCCATGCCAGGCGTTCAGCTGCTCTTCCTATACTTCATTCCAGAGTCACCAAGATGGTTGATCTCTAAGAATAAGTACTCGGACGCGAAGAAGATTCTCACCAAGTACCACGGCAACGGCGAAGAGACTGACTTCGTCAATTGGGAATTCACTGAGATCACCCAGGCATTGGAGCTCGAGAATGCTGCGAGTTCCAACAGTGGATGGTACGAGTTGGTGCGCACTCCCGGAAACAGGAAGAGGTGTCTTCTCATTATCCTCACTGCAATCTTTTCCCAATGCTCGGGCAACGGATTGGTCAGCTACTACCTGTCTGCAGTATTAAGCACCATCGGCATCACAAAGTGAGTATAAGTATCCGTAGTTGTCCTTTCTCCAAAATTCTAAATCGATCTAGCCCTTCCAACCAGGCCGCCATCAACGGAGGTCTCACCATTTGGTGCTGGCTCGTTTCGCTCGGCTGTGCATTCCTCGTTGACCGTGTCGGACGCCGACCTCTATTCCTTGGAGCTGGTATTGGAATGTTGATTGCTTTCTCGATCTGGACAGCATGCAGTGCCGTTTATGCAAAGACTGAGAATTCATCCGCTGGATCAGCTGTGTTGGCCATGATCTTCTTGTTCTATGGAGGTAAGTCTCTCTACTCCAGTGTTTCATATCCAAGGGTAATGGCTGATTGTTATCTGTTCCAGCCGCTGGTCTAGCATGGCCCGGTCTCACCGTAGCCTACACCGTCGAGATTCTCCCATTCAAGATTAGAGCCAAGGGTCTTACCCTCTGCTTCGTCTTCACCTCTCTCTCCGGTATCTTCAACCAATACGTAAACCCCGTGGGTCTGGAAGCATTGAAGTGGAAGTTCTACATCGTCTACATCGTCGTTTTGGTCTTGGAATGCTTGGCCATCTACTTCTTATATGTTGAGACAAAGGGACCAGTAAGTTCTAAACAAACGGATATCATTGTCCTGGAATGACACTAATTTTGGTGGCAGACTCTTGAAGAGATCGCTGTTCTTTTCGATGGTGAGGACGCGGCTGTTCCTGACGCGGCTGTCGAGACGGTGGCTCGACGACAATCGGCAAGCAAGGTTTAATTACTTAATTGCCAATGGACGATCATTCTCCAATTCTTGGCTTCATCTCACGTCGTGAGCAGAGGTTGTGCTCCCTGCATCGTTGGAATGCGACATCGCATCGCTTAGTTCTAGTGGACTATTATACTCATGCGGGCGTGGTTGTATTGTGTATCCTTCATAGACAGATACAAAGCGCTATACTCTAAGTCATATATCTCAATGTCTATATCAGACATTTAAATCTCCCGTCAATTCAACGGATTACTTTTCATGCCTGACCCTTACTCTACGTGTCTATCTGCTCAAGACGATGGGTCCATGTTTGAATCACAGACGCAGTGGACTTCGACTTGCTGACTACACAGTTATATGAAGAGAAAATTACCCAACAAAGAATTCCTCAAAACCCTAGCATTAAGCGCATAGCTCTCCTAATGTGCTTCGAACCGCTTCGAAAACCTGATGTAAACTCATGAGTCCCAGCTAAGCGAATCCTATCGTGGATGCTCAGCAAACTATGTACAAAGGCAAGCCTGATCTCGAGAAGAGATGTGAATACTCTACTCCGTTAGCACTAGACTTGGTATAGCAGTTGCTAGCTACGATTACGACGTTCGATCAAGAGTTGCCTAAGACAGATCTAAGTACCAAGCCGACGATTGCAAAACATCCTCGATCCACTTTCGCCCCACAATCTTTGGCGTTTCTCTATCAAACGTAATGCGCCAAACTTGCGACTCGACATCCCATCCGAAATTTAAAACGTCAGGGAGGTCAGATGCTAAGCAGTGATATGCGAAGTCCCAAATCGCGACTCCAAGTAGCCATCAAAGACAGCTTCGCCACACCCCCGGGTTTCCCATCATGGGCAAATCGAACACTTATCGCAAACAACGCGCGTTGAAATGACACCGGCGTTCACTCGGTTCTACTCCAAGTAGCGTTAATTTCACTGGAAAATACCAACGCCTTGCCCGCTTCCGACACCAAGTTCCGTATGATTTGATTTGTCGCGAACCTTGACGGGATAACAAAATGGGCATTCCGGATGTTTAGTGAAAGATCTGGTGCGGAAACGAGCAAATCACAGTGTGCGGCTCAAACAAGCTTGCCGTAGATCTTCGAAGGCCATGCTTTGTTCCCGTGGGGAAAAACAGTGGATCGTCGCCGTATCCCCGCACAAGGCTAAGCGTGCGGCAACAACGTCATCTGGATGCTTTTCTTCCCGCGGCAAGATGCTAAGAGTACTCGCAGTCGCATTGTAGTTAACAGTATGCCGAGCCGAATTGCGCCTCCTTGACACTACATATATCGTCATTGATAAATACTGCGTCCAAGTTTACATTGAATCATCTCCACATTTGTATTCGAAAAGTCTTTCGATTTACATTGATTTTCTATTCAATCAGATCTAATTCCTTTGTACCAATAGCCACGGTGGTCGTATGGTATCTGAGACTTTTCCTACACTTGTATGACTCGATAACTTCAAGATGTTTGGCGGTAAGAAGTACTACGGCCTGACGGGCGTCAAACTCAACATTGCGATTGCAATCGTCGCAGGCACTGACTTTGCTCTCTTTGGATATGGTACGACTTGTATTCTTTTTCTTTCAACAATGCTGTGCTAATGAATGGAATTACCAGACCAAGGAGTAATGGGCGGTCTTTTGACCCTGCCATCCTTTCTTCGATATTTCCCTGAAATTGATGTTGTCAATCCACCAGCCGGATCGACCCCAGAGCATACTTCCATCATCCAAGGCATCACGGTCGGTGCCTACACGTTGGGATGCTTTTTCGGCGCGGTCGCCACCATCTGGCTCGGTAACTATCTGGGACGTAAGAAAACCATCTTCATAGGTAGTGCTATCATGGTCGTTGGCGCAATCCTGCAGGCCAGCTCTTTCGGTCTGGCTCAACTGATTGTTGGACGGTGGATCACCGGATTCGGCAATGGCATGAATACTAGTACAGTTCCTACCTGGCAGGCCGAGACATCCAAGTCACATCGTAGAGGGCAAATGGTTATGATAGAAGTGAGTTGGCGCCACATTTACGAAGTTTGTGACTAACACATTCAGGGCTCCCTTATCGTGTTTGGTGTGATGCTGAGCTACTGGATAGATCTTGGATTTTCTTTCCTTGAACCAAGCTCCATCACTTGGCGTTTCCCGATAGCGTTTCAAATTATACTCGCAGTCTTTATCCTCATCACAATACCTGGCCTTCCGGAGTCGCCTCGATGGCTTCTTCTGAAAGGAAGAGACGACGAGGCTCTCGAGGTCCTTGCGGCGTTGAGCAATCTTCCCAAGGACGACAAAAAGATTGCTGGCGAATTCCAAGCTGTTTCGGATGTCATCTTCGAGATGTCCAAAGGTGGCTTCAGAGAGTGCTTCAAGATGAATCGAAACAGAAATTTCCATCGTACTGCACTGGGTTATGTCAATCAGATGTTCCAGCAGGTAATTAATGGCAACTTCCCCGGGAAGACGGATGAGTGACCAATATATTATAGATCTCCGGAATTAACATCATTACCTACTACGCGGCTACCATATTTGAGACAAACATCGGATTGTCGAGTTTCCTAAGTCGCTTACTGGCCGCCTGCAATGGAACCGAATATTGGATCGCATCTTGGATTGCCATATTTACAATTGAGAAGTTTGGTCGTCGCTCTTTGATGATCTTTGGTGCTGCTGGCATGTCTGCTTCAATGTGTGTATTGGCAGGTACCACCAGTAATGTCAGCACAGCTAGCGGTATCACAGCGGTAAGTAACAAACCACTCCCATTGAGATTGTTCACTGGCTTATCGTTGAATCTAGGCAGTCTTTCTCTTTGTATTCAATTCGTTCTTCGCCATAGGCTGGCTCGGTATGACATGGTATGCTCCATTCCTTGCAATTGTGATGTCAACTTCAAACTAATCACATCTCACAGGCTATACCCCGCCGAAATCACACCCCTCAGTATCCGTGCACCTGCAAATGCAATCTCCACAACCGCAAATTGGATCTTCAACGTAAGCCTCAACCATCACTCTCCTCACACCCGAATTGACACTGACTTTCATAGTTCATGGTCGTAATGATCTCCCCCGTCGCCTTCGCCAGCATCGGATACCAGACTTACATCATATTCGCCGTGATCAACGCCGCCATCGTCCCGTCCGTATACTTCTTCTTCCCCGAAACGGCATATCGCTCGCTAGAAGAGATGGATGAGATTTTCCACAGGACGACTAATCCGTTCAACGTCGTCAAGATCGCGAAAGAGATGCCTCATTGGTTCGACAAGAGAGGTAATTCAATCATTGCGTATGAGGATACCGAGGAAGGCAGGGCTGGCGCTCAGCGGAGGCGAAGCTCGATTGCGAGGGAGGAGGCTATGAAGGCGGGGATGGAGCAGAAGGAGGAGCGGTAATGGGAAGCAGTATGGACAATGAGCCGAGATGACATACTATAATTCTGCTGGTATTGGGGTATGGAAGTACGGGAGTGGGAATGAGTTTCGAGATGTCTTTTTCTTCATTATATCCAGGACACGTTGTTTCAACCCTCGTTGTGAGACTTGCACTGCAACTGGACAGACTGGGTACACTCATGTACTAATTTAGTATGTGCCGTTCAATATCAACCCTGTAATATCAATTGACAATTGTTTGATGTACTTGAGAGAACTGGAGAGGGCTTGTATAATACAACCCTAAGTAGTAAATACGAATCATAAATCAGTAATACCCCGCAATACAACAATAGTGCGCATCAAAGCCACTCAGGGTAGCACCATTGCCTAATCCCTAGCCAAGTGTATCAATGGGAATGGGTGAACCCTTTCTCTACACTATCATCTAGCTGGCCATGTTTCCCCAAGGAAGTTAACGATATTTAGGGAGACATCATAGTGTAATACCCGAGATTCGAAGTCCCTTTTCAAGTCCTTCAATAGTCGATCTTCGAGTACATCTCGAAGGTGAGTTGAGTCAAAGCCATACAAGACTCGGTTGCCTAGAGGCAGTCAATCTTCCCTTCGAGAAATGTTTGAATTTGAAGCAGTGGTGTAGTTCAGATCATACCCTTTTCCAGACCTACACGTATCTCATAAATAGCGTTCTCCAACCAATTTGCCGGTAGAGTCACGATCAGTATGCTTAAGGTGAACCTCCGCTTACCGTCCTTGCTACAAGTCTTCCTTCTACAAGAATAGGCGGGTTAAGGAAGTCTATAGCAACTAAGTACCCTGCGTGACTTAGAGTCTCGCTTGCCGAATTCCGAGATTCGCAATAAATGCACCACCACTGTTCACTGAGAGATTTCATACCGAATATTCATTTTATTTATGATCTAACCGAATACAGGAGTGATGTTATCAATGATAATGAGCAGCTGTAGAGGACGTGATGACGATGATGCTGATGAATGACAAGCTTGTCAGAGCATTCAAGCGTCAACATGATCCATATCCTCATTTTCCGATTCCATAGCCTCGTCAGAAACTGTTGTCAGAAACTGACTCCTCATCTGATGGTACTTGATACCTGTCCTTCGCTACTTTGCGATGGTGGACACGAGGAATTATTTCCTGAGGATGCTCAATTTCAATTTCGGCGAGGTATTGAAAAAGCCTATCCCCAGGTATAACGATATCTCGATTTTCGTTTACGGGGATATCCTCCGAGATTGGCGGGCAAGCAAAATCGGCAAGTCGAAGTCTCAAGCCCGGATGTTCGGTAGGATTCCCAGATTCATCTCGGAAGACCTGTTTGCAAGACTTTGTCAGTACTTAAATACGGTCAAATGGAAAGAAAGCCCTGCTCAAACGCCACATACCTTATCTATTCCCGTCAAGTCTGGTTTAGCAACGAGCCTATAGCCCCTTTTGGTTGGTTGCATCTAAGGCCGCCATACTGACAGTTCTGCTTTGCCCTTCTCCTTCTTACCGTCCTCATCCTTGCTGTACGTAATCTCTACACATACGACAGCTCTTACGGCCCCTTTGGAGTATCTGATGTATTTTCTTGCTAGGTGTTCTACATCCTTCTTATTTAAGTTCGTTTTGTCCGATTCTGAAAATTCCATAATGACTCCTGGGTATTTTGAAATGCCTGAGGATCTCGAAACGATATGCAGGAAAGAGAAATCTGGGTCATGCCTTGACCTTGTCGCGGTTGGATAACCAGGAACTGGGAACAATTGTGTTGCGCTACCGACCCCCCGCACGTTTTTAGCGAAGCTGGCAGCAGTGTCTGACCCTTCGCTGATCGATCGGAGCTGAAGATGTATGGCATGCTTAACTTCCCAGGCCATTCTGGTCGGTACACATGGAGAGCCCCGAAAAGCAACTCGATGATTCACTGGGTCGTAATCGTATCTAGTCAACGTCATTGTTAGCTCTTTCCCCCTCCACATGGACTGCTAACCCACTCACCGGAGCTTGCATAGTGACCACAGCCAAAGTCTCTCTTTACGCTTCATCAGCCGCACCAATTCCTCATGGTCACCTGGCGCGATTTGGTATTCGACCCAACCGTCAGACATTTCGGGATAATCCCCTTTCTTCATCTTCCGAAATATCTCACGGAGTTGGTGTGCTTGTGGGAAAGGCACATTGGGCGCAAGAGACAAGTTCGCAGGCGGAGGGGGTACCGCGGTCTGCGGTTGTGAAGTTGAGGAAGAAGACATGATGTTGTGTCTGTCTGGATAGTAAAAAAATCTCCTGGGAAATGGTTCTTTTATGGTGGGAAAGTTGCGTCCAAGCGCTGGAATAATCACTGGAGTGATTGAACCTTAGTGTTACCCCAGAACCTAGGCAGCATTGATGCCAGGAGGGACGTGCTAGGTGAATAAAGAAAACCACTCGACTGGCCAATGCCATTTTCACTGTCACTTCGCAATTAAATTTATTGTTGGCTCGTGCACAATGTTTGCCTTCGATACGCGTAGAGCCTTGGAACATGTGTGGTCCCTCCACCCATCACTTGCCGGCGAATAGAGAATGGTAGCAAGTACAGGCTCTATTCACTGATTGATGTAGGTCTATACACTTTCGATATAATTGAGCCGAGTAAATGAGCACCAAAGTGAGCATATGCCTTCTTAACACAGGTGGAGCCAGAGCCCGACTTGAATTCCAATGTACTACGAGGTCAACGTTCGCGATAGGACTTGTACCACTGATTTACAATTATGTAGGTGTGACTCTTTATTGGCTTAGGGAAAACACTGACTAAATGTGAAGACCTTGGGATCAGAACCAGCGTTACTGGCTGAAGATGCATGTATAAATAATTATATTATCAGAGTGCAGTATGCTCATCTTCTCTACGATAATCCATCAATTTTACGCCATTGACCCCACCATGCATGCTACCTGAAACTACTTGTATCTCTAGGTACATATCATGAGATGTTAAAGAAACCACTGCTAGAATTCGTAACACTAACAGTCTGACAAGCTCGTCAGGCCAGTCATGCGCCAAAGAAATCCCTGTCTCGGCGTTCTGCACGCTCTTCGTCCATTTCCTCCTGCCGGGCAAACCGTTCCTCGTCCTCAGGCTCCAGTTCCTCTGTACTTTCCTCTGATTCGGTCTCTAGCACAGTTCCCTCAGGAAGTCTCCGTATAACAGGATTAGTCCCACCGCCACGTGGCTGGTCGTCGTACCTGCGGAGCCATGTGATAAGCGTGGTCGCAGATATAGTTATCTCTCGGTCTTGCTCTTCAGTGATATCCCCCGTAAGGTCTGGGTGAGCAAAATCCGTGAGGCGAAGTTTCAGGCCCGAATGTTTAGTCGGGTTCCCAAATGCGTCGCGCAAGACCTGTTTACAGGGCATTGTAAGCACCAAGCAAAATAAAATGGAAAGTTACGCTTAAACAACCACATACCTCATCCTGACCCGTGACGTCCGCGGTGACATAGAGCTTATGGAGCCCTTGCTCTCCCGTTGGCTGCCGATCAGCCCGCCATACTGTCAATTTTGCCTCCAACGAATCCATCCTGTATGCAATGTCTAAACCGATGACAGCTCGTACATTCCCTTCGGAGCGAAGAATGTATTTCTTCGCTAGCCTTCTCAAGTTCTTCTTGTTCGAGTATGAAACCTCGAGGATGACTCCAGGGAATGAATCTTCTCCATACCAGAAAGTGGCATCTGGCTCATGCTTTGACTTCGCAGTGGGATCGTTGGGAGATGGAAGGAAGAAATCTTCAGAGAGGCCGCTCTGAAGATTTCTGGCAAATTTGGCAGCAGTGTCTGATCCTTTGCGAATCGAAGCGATCTTCCGTGCGATACGTTCTTCGACAAGAGCGATCATTCGATCATGTATACGTTTCGGCATTTGAACAGCAAGCCGATGGCTCAGCGGGTCGTAATCGTACCTAGCAGACATCGTTATTAGCTCTCGTTACAGTCGCATGGTCGACGTACCCACCTGATCCTTTCATGTACATATGCTGAGAGCTCCTCGTTCCGGTCCAGAACACGCTCTAATTCCTCGTAATCCTCTGGATCGAACGGGTACTCAATCCAATTGTCGCCGTCGGGTTGATGTCCAGCCTCTATGTCTTGAAATAACCGAATAACTTCATTGACCCGCTTGAGGGTCTGATCGGACAAAGGAGGATTCACGCGTCTTTTCCCAGATTGAGAAAAGGACTTGGTAGAATGCCGTTGTCTGAGACTGAGAGAATGATCCATGGCGGTTGTATGTCTTCTGTTCCAGTTATTATGAAAAGTCCACAAGGAAATGGTTCTGGTATAGAGAGAGGTATCCACAAGCGTTAGGGTAGCTGCTTGAATGAAATAGCTTGGTTGTCTTAGTGATACCACCAAATCTCTGCAATGTTGTTGTCGGTATCAGTGTGCGGGAACGCGCTGGGGTGAATGATGGAGGTCCTTTTGACGGCCAAACGCAGTGCGCACAGGCCGGATCATCTCGCAGAGTGAGAATCACACTCACCGCTCGAATGGCCAATGGCATGTTCCCTGTCACATCCAAGTGCCCGGCTAGGTTCTCCACAAGATGGTTGGATCACATGTTCCGCCTCCCTTCTTCCAAGAAAATGAAACAAAGGATGAATAACATGCACCTTTCCGAGGACTAATAGATCTGGGTCTCCATCACACCACAGAAGCTGTCCAGAGACGCATCATGATAGTAGGGGGCCTGTGGTTTCTTCCCGATAATAGTTACACAACAAAGAGGAGTACATCATTGTGACATTCCGTCCAGGGGCGTAGCTGACGTAGTAACAGACGTGTGTAGTTGGATGATTCTCACAGCTTCAAATAGCACGTTATTTGGTCGAACTGTACATATAGCTACAACTAGCAGCCAGCCAGCCCTATGTGATACCCCCACATAGTTGCTCTCACCAAGAGAGGCGACCTCAGCGACTTCTGTCAGTTAGTAAACTACCGGGGAGCATGCAGATCGATAGAACCACCAAGTGAGACGCCGATTCGCCAATCCGTTCTCCAGTGCTCTGGGTCTTCATATTCTTTCATCGACGATCTCCCGCCAATGTGCCATGATCCTTGCCACTCACTACGTTTTTCGGTTTGTCCAGCCACCATTTGATAGAACTTCCAAGCTCTTAGTAGATGCTCAGCCGGGATGTGGCAGGCAGAGTTCAGTTGGTCCCCATTTATTGCAGACCAAACACACTTGGTTGTCAAGGAGCCTTGCAGTGCATATGGTTATGAATGTAATAACGGGAGGAAGGTATCGCCGACCTTTGATGATTGCAGGTTTCGTGTTAATGCATACAGTCCCCATACCAAAATGCTACCTATACTGATTTTACGAGTGACCATAGGGACTGCAGTGCCTCTCTGCGTTTCTGCCCGAAGCCGAGTCGGGCTCCCGTTTCGGTTGCTTGGGTGCTGCAAATGATTGGCACACGGCCCGAAGATCATCCAAGTTCCACCGCCCAGACTCTCATGTTACGATCCAGCCTAAGCCTAGGGAGACCCGCTATAAGAAGGAGACCACTTCGCCTGACACCCGGGACACCGCCAGTCACGTGACCATGATCACAATGATCACCATGACCATTGATCACTGTGAGCAAAGCGATCATGATCATAACCTCCGTTGATCATGAAACCATGATCACCTCAAGTATATAGAGAACTCAGAATACCCTTATGGTCTTCTGTGTTCAACCTAAGTTAGTATCGAACAATATACTCTACTGTTCTACGATCATTGTCACCCTGCCTTACCAACCTCTTCGTGTTACTCTTCAGACTATCCCCGAGAACCAACCAGTAGATCCTCGATCTTAACATCTCAATAGGCAGTCATATTAATCCCGCGGGACTTTGCATTTGACTACCAATCCAATGTCACATCACTACGCAAGCAAGGACACCATGGCTATGATGGCAGCTTACCACACGTCACCGGACAATGCCACACCTACCAGATTTGAACAGGAGTGCAGCAAGAAAGTCACACAACTTTATTGTGTACAAACGTCGTTAAGATCGATTCTGAGGTTCAGTGAGTGGAACACACCTGCTCTCAAAGAAACCCAGTTTCTCCTCAGTGCAAATCCCGTCTTCCATCTGTCGGATAGATGCTAGATACAGAACAGTGGACTTAACCACTTGATCTATGCATGAGTTGTGGTGCAAATACACTGGGACATGGGTCAGAGTAAACCCGGATCGTTGCCGATTTGATGATGTCGAGCAGTCCCATACGAAGTTGAGCATGCGCCTTTGTTACCACCGCGGGAACTTTAGCACGGCTTGATTCTGATTGTGCTACTAACGTTGAAACCCACGACAAGGCTCGCCCCACTTATGCATGATCATTTCCAAAGGATTGACTCTTCGTTGGTTCACATCAAACATGGACCGTTGAGACATCGAACATGGGCACATCATTTCAGGTTGACAGTCTGTCTATTGTGTGGTGTAGCAGGGTAGGTGAGGCTATTCGGAGGTCACGCGTGGGGGGAAAGGGACTGGACAGAGCATAGATAGATAGATCAAGGCAGCCGAGAGAGAGGTCGACGCATTATCCACCTCCCTCCAAAAGCTCCATCCACGAAGACGAATATCTATCTATCCTACCTATCCACCAATGGCGGGTCGTGCCGGCGATGCCCCCTACTATTGAGGCACCCATATCTCTGGTTCACTGCATGATGAGACTGCAGCCTGTCATCTTCCACCGTGACCCATCGCCGTTTGCCATTTCATGCACCTTGCATGCTACCAGACACTGCGCGTATCTCCGGCTACCTATCTTCAGAGATTTACAGGGGTCGCTCACTGACCTTCGCTCCATGGCTGGTAGACTACAGGCTTGATCACACCGTTCTTCTCATCTTCCTGACCCTCTCCACCAGCCTGCTTCCGTCGTACCCACATCGTTCCACGGTCCAAATCTCTTGTAATCGCCTGTCGATTTCGAGCAGATACAGGGAACACCAGCCCCACACCTTCAAAGACTATGGCTTCCGCCTTGGCAATGCCATTTTCTGGAGTGCGTGCGAGAATACACTTAGCTTCTTCAGGATCTTCGCGCGTCAATGAGTCAATGTCGTGGTTGTCACGGTTAGCGAAGGGAGATGGGGGAAGTGATGTGGACTGGATAGATCTAGAGTCTTCACCACGGCTAATTTTAGAAGAAGCAGAGGAGTCTTTATCGGGGCTAGATGATTTTGGGGGTGGGGCAAGAGGATTCTGGTTGTCCTTTGATGATGGTGTGTATCCTGAGAATGACTGATCTTGTAGTCTTGGAGTGCTGGTGGGAAGTTTCTCAAGGGTGGGCGAATTGGTTTGGTTCCATACAATGGCTTCTTTTTGTGCCTTACGGACAGGGCTACAGGGCATGGCTTAAGGGGGTTGTGACAACACAGATAGAGTAGATAGTGGTTTTGACACAAATGATTCGATGACATAGATGTTATGAGATATTCACTTGGGTGTTTTTCAGGACCATGAATCTTAGCATTGTTTGGAGAGACGGTGAAAACATTGTATAATCACACTGATACTGGCAAGTCTATCTTGCATAGTGGTTCTATAGGAGACAACGAACATACATAGTGAGAGCCACGCTATCACCTCGGAATTTTAGTGCCAAGACTTTTGATCATATGTCATATACGCAATCGAAGAAGACCAAAACTCCACTGGAACGCCAATTCAAATGCCAGACGCGCATCGCACTCCAAGGGTATCTGTTTATGCGCGAACGAGTTCCCGGGCAGGAGGCTCCCGCTCGATTTCGTATTCGATCTCCCGGCGGGGGCCTTTCGAGTCCTTCGTTGGCTTCTTCTTTGGCTTCGATGGAGGACCGGCAGGGCGCTTCCTTTTGAGGCTTGCGAGCTGCTTTTTGAGCTTCTCGTTATCGTCTTCCGACTCGTCGTCATCTTCATCATCTTCCTGTTCGCTTGCGCTGGCACTCTCACTCTCGTCCTCATCATCCTCGTCCTCGTCCTCGCTTCGGCCGTCCATCCAGTCTTCGAAGTCCTCCAGTTCATCATCGCTCTCGCCCTCGATATCGGAAACATACTCGACATCGCCAACCCCCTGTTCAGTCTCGTATTCATTTTCAACGCCATCCTCTTCAATGCCTTCATCGAGGTCCTGGTCCCCAGTAACCTCGCCTTCCTTTTCGAGGGCGCGCATCACGCGCATCCATACATCGTGCTCGACATTGACTGGCGCCTCGCCGTAAGCGCCGCTTCGAAGACGATCAAGTAACACCTTCTCGATAGATCGCTCAACCTTGGCGGCTGCGAGAGCCTTCCTCTCTCGTCCTTCCTCCCTACGCCTGACTTTTGGCGCAAGTCTGGGGACAAGTCTTTCTCCCAATCTCGCATCCTCCTTCTCGAGCTTTCTGATTCGGATGTTCACTTGCGTCAATCTCGTGAGTCGCTGCTTGTTGCGATGCTTCATGAATTTGGGGTAACTGGGGAAGACGTCAGCAAGGCCATACTCTACGGTGTGAATCGACGTTTCTTACAATTGAAGATGCGTATCGACTTGTTCCAGGGCTTTGGTATAGTTTTGACTGAGTTTGATCTTCTCCCACATCTTGGTCGGTAGATGGCATCGCTCGGGCTCCTTGATGTACAAGTAGAGATTGCCAGTCGCCGGGTCGTTGCGAATGGTAGCATATCGGCTGTTGGCAAGGGGGCAGGCCTCTGATGGACTTGTCAGAAACGGATTAGATTCAGATATTGGCAAACCGAGTACTTACGTCGACTGCAGAAACCCGTAACATTGTGTTCATTGCGACAGAAAGTCTAGATAACTGGTCAGAACGATCCAATACGGCGATTCAGCAATCTTACCTGATCTTTCGTGGTCTTCAATTTGAAACTGCAGAAGTCCTTGCCAATGATCTGCCATACCATGTCATCGGAAGCCATTTTGAACGTGGATATCGAGACTTTGCTCGTTTGCGTGTTGTTGTTGGATGCGGCAACTTTTTTTTTCCAGCCTGCGAACGAAACTCGAAATCTTGGCGCGCTAAAGGGCAGCGGGGGTCTGTGCGCCTCTTGCGGAGACCCACCCTTCACCGAATCCTCGTCACCACCATTGTCATCATGCGACAAAATATTGTGTTCCTCTCGTAATGAGAGCTTTCAGTTCGTCGACTCGAAGATCTTGTCTTTTATGGCTCCAGCAATCTCGTTCTCTTCGCAGTGAGGCTGTCCAGCGATCAATTGGACATCTCATTCGAACACATCCCCACAATGGATTCTACAGTACCTCAAGAGGGCCATTAGGCCTCACACACATACGTTTTTCTCATTTTCAACATTGGCAGCAAGATGAACCTACCATATATGCACTTTCTACCGCATCAGGCAGAGCTGCGATTGCGGTTATTCGAATATCTGGACCAGCAGTTTCACACGTCAGTCACCTCTCATCGAATGAGTATACCTCGATTCCAACAGCTCTGATTTATGTGATAGGTCTACCGAGAACTATGTCCGGGAACGAAATTCCCATCGCCTCGTAATGCAGCATTGCGCAAACTATACGAACCAAACGTACCCAATTCTCCCTCGACCGTACTTGATTCCGGAGCCCTAGTCCTCTATTTCCCCGCGCCCCGAACGGTGACAGGAGAGGATATCCTAGAACTTCATGTTCACGGCGGGCCTGCGGTGGTTCGTGCTGTTCTTGCAGCCGTATCCAAATGCTCACGCCGAGAAAGTCCCATTCGATACGCAGAGCCCGGAGAATTCACTCGCCGCGCTTTCGCCAATGATCGAATGACGCTTCCCCAGATTGAATCTCTGGGCGAAACTCTATCAGCATCTACCGAGCAGCAGCGGAAGCTCTCAGTTCGAGGAACAACTTCGTCACTAGCGGCGCGATACGAACAATGGAGGGTACAATTGCTTCAAGCTCGAGGCGAGCTCGAGGCGCTGATCGACTTCTCGGAAGACCAACATTTCGATGAGTCTCCTGCAGAGCTCTGTGCATCAGTCGCAGAGCATACCCGTGGTCTCATTGCTAGAATTCAAGCACATGTCACAAATGCTGTACGAGGCGAACTTTTGCGGAACGGCATAAGCGTTGCCTTGTTAGGAGCGCCTAATGCAGGGAAAAGCAGCCTCTTGAACCGCATTGTCGGGCGCGAGGCTGCTATCGTCTCTCAGGAAGCCGGCACTACAAGAGATGTCGTTGAAGTCGGTGTTGATCTCGGAGGTTGGCTAGTCAAGATCGGGGACATGGCTGGCCTGAGAAGAGCTGGGCTTGTGGATTCCGACGTGGTTGGTGCTGTTGAGCAGGAAGGCATCAAGCGCGCTAAACAGCGAGCGCTTGAGTCAGATGTGTTGATCGTCGTTCAGGACGCCACAGCCGAAATGGATCCCGAAGTGATGGAAACGACTAGGCAGTGTGTCGATCTGGGAATCAACGTCCTCTTCGCAATTAACAAGATGGACCAGCTTCCTGCGCACATGGACCTCACAGGCTGGAAGGAAAGAATTCATGCCGAATTTGGCATCCCTTTCGACCGGGCGTTCTTCATTTCGTGCAGTGTCGCTTCGGCCCCCAAAGCCGCCAACTCCAGGGGCGAAGACCCCGGAAACATTCAGAACTTCCTCGACGGCCTTCTCCAGGTATTCCGGAATATGACAGCAGCCCTGGTTCCCGATTCCGATCCTGACCCTTTGATCTGGCAGGAGTCCCTGGGGGCGACCGAACGTCAGCGCCTACTGCTTACCGAATGCCTAACACACCTCGAAGCATTCCTAATTGCCGTGAAAGCGGAACCCAGACATGATCCACGATTTTATGAATCTCCCGTGCTATCGAAAGTTGAATCCTACTCGGAACCGACAGAAGATGTGGACATAGTGGTAGCCGCTGAATCGCTTCGCCTCGCCGCAGACGCCCTGGCACGCATCACGGGTAAAGGCGAAAGCGGCGACGTGGAAGAAGTCCTGGGCGTAGTATTCGAAAAGTAAGTTTACTCATTCTCCTAATTCCGCCCCTATCGCACATAGTGCAAGTCCACCCGCACGACACGCCTCAATCATACCCCGATGCCTTTATCGCAACTATCCAAAACGATATAGACATCGATGTCTCAAACGCCTTTGCGCCCGCCCTTCCGTTTCCCCATCATGTCACCCGCCACAACACTGTGCCATACTCCGCCGCGTCGCCTCGAAAATGAGCCACAAAACCCTCATAAATTCCAACGACGATAGTTGGATGTGCTATCGACAGGAACCGGGACCCGGCGGGCCCAGTACGGCACAGGCAGCAACGACACATACACACCACGTAGACCTCCACCCCCAAATAACTCTGCTCCACAAAATCCGTCTGTGCCCATGATCATTCCATTCGAACACCGTTACGGCGTGGCACGCGGCCCGCATCCACTTCCCGCGGCGGTCATTTCCTTCTGCGACTGGGTTGTGGAGATCCCGTCTCACGTTCGCATCTTCTTCCTCCGCAGCTTTTTTCGTCCTTTTTTGCGAGCAGGTGGCGAGGTCGCTCATTGCGAAGAACAATGATTGCTAATTCGAGAATCGCTGTAGGTTCTGTGTTGGCAAATAAGCGCCCCGAACGGCGTTGACTAGAGATGGATCATTGGGACTAAATGACGACAGCAATTGCGGAGACGAAAATCTCGCGTATCGGTACTCGATCCATAGATTCATAGAGAGAGAGAGAGAGAGAAAGTAAAGTGCAACGGGACCACGAGAAAGCACGACTATTCTCCACTACCTCAGACTCAAAACAGCAGCCCATATTTGAACCCAGAGCAAGCACCCACCATCTTCAATTAGAAAGACAAATAGTATAAAAAGTATATGAATATATTCATTATCAAGTAAAACCCCAATCCCTAAAGTCCCCGAAAAAATCAAATGAATCAACGCCGTCTAAAACACCCATAACCCCATACCCATCGTTAGCTCAAGATGAATGAGCCTGTCCGCGATGTTGATGCATGCATATGATAACCCATCTAAACCGAAGAGAGAAAAAAGCAGGAAGCCAGTCTAAAACGCCCAAAACTCCCCCAGCATACCGTACATACATACATCCATACATCATATAATACAGAATCTTGTACATGGAAAGAGAAAGCAAGAAGAACCAACGCCGTTCGATGCATGCGAAACAAAAAGAGCAGAAGCCGAAGCCCGAAAGAAAGTATGCTGGAGGGAAAAAGATGTAACGACCATGCCGCTGGAAGACTCCCAATAAAATGCCCAGATGAACCGACGTGCTAGAAACGCCAGTGAAATGCCGATGGGGGAAAAGAGGAAGAAAGAAAATGAGAAATGTGTTGTACAGTACAGCAAAACATCCCACGCTAGCTATGCAATGAAAGCAGAACAAAGAAGGGTTGTTTATGGTACAAGGGTTGTAAATGTACAAGAGAGGATTGAAAGGAAATGAGGTGGTGGAGGTGGTGAGTGGTCATGGTGGTGGCGTTCGCCATCGTTCGACGCGGAGTTTGCGGAGGGTTTTGGAGGCGGGTCGAGGGTGGTGGTAGGGTGGGCACATGGTGGTGGTGGTGATCGTGATCGTTGAGATCGTGGTTGGTGGTTGGTTGGCTGGCTTGGTGTTTGTGTAGTATAGGTATTCCAATCTTTGGTTGTATAGATGTGGAATGGTGTTGCGGTGTTGCGGATGTACCCGCGGGAAATTTAGTTGTAGCCTCCACGTCCCATGATGACGGTTTGAAATTGTGTTGGTTGTTGTGATGTGTGCCCCTTGGCTTTGTATGTGGTGATAGTTTGTTGGTGGTGTTGTAGGCGAAGGCTTTAGTTGTATCCTCCTCGTCCAAGAGAGCTGCAATTTGAGTTGGCGTCCTCGGGTCCGTTGTATCCTCCACGTCCCGAGTTGATCAGATCGATCGAGTTGAAGTCGTCGATTCCCATGAGGATAGATGGTAATATTGATTGAGTGGGTTGCTTGACAGTGGATAGTTGGATGGATGACATGTATATAAACTCGAACTGGTTGTAGGTTGCCAAGGCTTGTTGTTGTATATCTTTGCAGACGATGATTGAAGGCTTGACTTGATACTGTTGTATGAATCTGATTTCAAGTGTGTATGTGTGTGTGCTTGTAAGTGATGAGATGATGCCTGACTCGAAGGGAAAAGGGAAGCCGTCTTCTTTATAATTGCAAAGGAGGCCGTACGAAATGGACCAGGAACACAGACGAATAGGCGTACAAGAGAGGAAGAAGGCGTTGTCCGAATGACTAGACGGTTGTGATGCACATTTACTGGACCCTCCGTTGACTCTGCCTCCCAGGCATCTTTATAAACCCAGACGTTGTGAACCATAGACTCGGAGTATTCTGGGTGCAAGTCTCCAGGCGCAAGCACCTACAAGCGTCACGACCACTACTACCACGCCGAAAACCCCTGTAAGCCACCCTTTCAGGCATCTAGTCATCCTCTGTGCGTAGCAGTCCATGGCAGGGGGACGTGCGCCGTGATGGGGGTGGTGTGTAGGACCCCCGGACCCTAACTGATCGAATGGGCTTGCATGGGCGCAAAAGAAGAAGACGACATGGAAGCTTGCAGTGGAATGGGCCAGGAATAGTGGTTGGTTGTGCGACGATGAGCGCTGGTGGTGGGTTGTGGCAGTGAATGTGCAAAGAGAGAGCCGCAGGCGGTGCACGGTCAGCACGCCGCTCGAACGAAGAACGGCGGGATAATACAGTATCGAGTTAGCACTGAGCAGTGATAGGGTTACGAGTACGAGGCATGTAATGTACTGTACAGAACGCATGCAGACACGCACACACGCACACACACAGCGAGAGAGCGAGAGAACGAGAAGTGCAGACTGGTGCAGCGTTCCTTACTGCGGCGTTGGACAAGGGCCAGGGCATGGCGGCTGATGCATACTTTCATCAATCCCATCCCTATGCTGCAATTGTTCTGTAATCGTCCACGATAAATTATCATAGGCGACCAGGACCCCCTGCAAGGCGCAAAATACACAGTAAAGAGAGAAAAGATGGAAGGGTGCTACTACTTCCAGGCCGTAATACTGCTTTCGGTGACTGACTGCCAAGGTTACTTAACGTTATCCTCTCATAGTCCGCGGCGTAGAAATTCCATAGTATCGTTTATAATATTGAATGTGTCCTGGGGATACATTCAAAGTATTAGCATGCTCTTTTCGTCGGACATAGGGTGTTGCAATTGTGCCTCGAAGGACGTCTGCCTTGACCTTCTCCACTCTCTTGATCCACAAGAAGACGAAGTTGAAGACCCCCTAATTTGCCTCAATAATCTCCTTCCAATCTCCTCCTCCCTGGAAAAGGTCCTAGGATTAGTAACGTGGGGTGTGTGTGGTTGCGTTGGTTGCTGATGAAGAACATGTACCATGATGATGGTGCTGCTTTTCCCTTCAATTAAGCGCAACCTCCCCCCTGATTGGCTGCTGCAATAATACCTAAGATATGCGCAATACAGTCATACAACATCATCACCGGGCCATACCACCTATTCGAACAAGTCTCCCAGCAATAGGGAACCTGAGCGCCTCCCGCTCCCTTACACGGTTTCCGCATTCCGTCCTCGATCCAGCACCGTCGTGCACCGTCGAGCACCGTCCCCAAGATCCGTCCCCAAGATCCGTCCCTGAAGGCGTCCTAGTCCCTCGCCGCCGATGGGAAACGGGCGCGCCGTTGATCGTCCTTCTCGCCTCGACTCGATACTCGATACCACTACACACTCCTGGGCCGATGAACCGTCCCGAGTGTGTTTGATTCGATGAATGCTCTCGCTGCACGCTAGTCACAAATAGCCTTCGAAAGTACTCGAAGACGTCGAAGGGCGGACGGTGGTCGGCGAGCATGCCATGCAGAGCATTGTGCGATGCCAGGAGGCCATGTGCGGAACATTGAATTGAAACGACGTTACAGCACCGCGTACCAGTTTCGTCCGGCCGGTGTTTCTGCTTCTGGCCAATGGTGCACTAGAAACACCATGTCTTTTCTGAGATCTCGGGTGATGCTTTCTACTAGCTGTGGGCAATACAGCGCATGGCGGTGCCTGGATGCATTTACCAGTCCTGCTCCCTGCTCCCCTAGCGTGTGCGAAGGCGCAAAACCATCCAGCTGCTGTTCCCACGATGCCCCTCAAGCCCGCCCGTTGGAACCTGCGTACTAGTGACAGCTTTGCCAGCACCGTGGACCGGTAGCATTGAGCTAATGCACATTCGGCGACTTCTTGTGCCTGAAAGTGGAGCATCCCGAGAAATTCAGCAGCGTTGGGGTACAACAGATGGATGCGATTGCAGGCTTGTTCAGCTCCTAGCGGGTACGAGCTGGACGTGCGCACAAGGTCGGCCTGTTGGGTGCGTCGCCTGTATCGGAATAGCTGCCGCTGCCAAAACGCTTGGATGTGAACCTGAGCAGCGTCGAACATTGCACGTACTCGTACCTGCGCGAGGTTACCATCTTGCGCTGCGATCCTGTCTGCTGAAGATGACACGCTGGGTCGGATCGAGGTGACCCGCGCAGAACACTACGATTGTTCGGCGACGAGAGAAACACAAGTCTCGCAGAACACCAGAATCTTTCGCACATTGGCTATTCCAATTATAAGGTGCACGGACGCATCGCGCTGGAGCATTCAATAAATGTTCGGAGAGCGAGTTCGATTTGTATGTTGCTTTGTAAAAGCATCTATTCAAGGCCCCCACCACCGTTGACCAATCCATATTCAAATGCCCATTATTTCCTTGCCGATAATCTCGACCTGTCAGATGTCTCCTCGAGCGCACAATCTCCCTAGTGATCCCCCTCATCTATCTTATTACCCTTCTACTTCCACTCCCCGCCAAAATCTACACATCCTGGCTCATCCCGGTGTCGGGAACCTAACTGCGTGAAAGCCTTGCTTGTGTGACGGAAGCCACGAGGTCAGCGAGGTGAGATGCAGGCACACACATTTTGGGCACCCGGTGATGTGGGAGAGCCCGTTCGATGCAGCATCGTGCGAGCCCCTGAAAATCTATCTTTGGGGGCCGAGAGTCCCCAAGCCCCCAGTTACCGTTGGACATGACGACTTGTGCGTTCGACCCAGAGATCCGGTCAAAGATCAGAGTTTCGAGTATTCGCGTGTGTGTGTGCTGTCGTCATGCGACGTGAATGGCGTCGTGGCAATACGTGTTTGTGCCTCCACACCAAACGTCCTATCTGGGTGTAGACAGCGAGGCGACCAACATCGGAGTCGCGATAGGAGATTTCTTTCGTTTCACATTACCGCAACTAGAGGTCAACCTGTACGAATTTCTCCGCTTGGGACTCTCGCGTAGCCCTCGCCTCGCTGACTTGGGACACAAGCCTGTGGTTCGCTGTGCCCTCTAAGATGTAACTACCTGTGGTACTTTGACACGGACTATCCTGTTGCGATACCCTCCATTCCCTCACATCGCACAGATTCGACCCGACGAAAGGAAAAAGCTGCAGGAACCCAGAGATCCCACTCGCATTCCCTTCCACTATCAGCATCGCATCATCCACACCTACACTAGGTAGAGTCGCATACCGAGACCCCAAAAATAGACCCACGTCCGATCCACCGATCAGCTACAATTAGGCGCGCTAGACGCGGCTAAGCAGGGATATCCCACATGGCATCCACCCCTGCACCGTAGGGCTGACCTCAGGCTGTGCTGTGACCCGTTTTCCTATTCAAGTCTACCCTTTTCCTTTTGTATTTGTTTTTGTAACGTCTAGAGGGGGCAGCTGAAAATCATAATTGGCTGCTGTTCTCTATCCCTATCGTCCAAACAAAGCGTGGCAGCTACTCATGTACAATCATATTTGCTCACTATGCAAGTCAGCGACTCGTCATTGGACTCGACTTCTTACCATTCGGGCTCTTTTGAGCTGTTTAGATGCACTCGACAAGGCCTGAAAGTAGGTTATTTTGGGGTCTATTTTTTACTCTCTTATCCATCCCATTCCATCCCATGCGCTTTTGTCTATCCTCATGTCGTCAAGATTAGTCTTCGCGCCCTATGTGCATCTCATCTTGTCGAATAATCACCAGCATGTCCAGATTAAGGGTTCATACCCTTCTCTCTGCTCTCTAATCACACCTGCCGACTTGGCCCCCTTTCCACATACTATCTAGACCATTCTGGCTTGGAAATCCATCCACTCAGAGATTGATGGCAGTAGTCAGTCTGGAGTAGATTGCTTCCTTTCTGCCTCGGACAACGCCCTGCTATTGTTGTCACTAGCTCGTCTGTCCGACATTGAGCCCCCAAACTACACAACCACCACCATCACCACCACTGCCATCATCATCACATACGAACATGCATGTGCCAATAACATCTCTTTCCTCCCCTTCTCTTCCCCTACAAACAAGTTTTCTCGGCCCCTCGTGTTGGTCGTTCGTCCGCCTCCTTGATCCCAAACCTCTAGATTGCAATGTGCACCAGCCACGTTGACGGTAAGGACCCACGCACATGCTCGGCCCGCAGCGCAAAGCATGCCCACACACACACACACGTACGTCAAACAGAAGCCTCGTGTCCACGCCCACGTACTCGGTGCCCCCAGGTTCGTTGACAGCGGGTGAGTACGGGTCGCTGGAGTGGAGGACGTGAACAGCCTTACCCGAAGAAAAAAATGGGACGAGAAAGGGGGGGCGATGTTGTTTCTCGATGCGATGCAACGGAGATGGGGGGATTGCGGGTGGCACGGCTGGGTGGGGAGGGGGGATGAAACGAGCGGACGAGCGAACACCTGTTCCCGCCTTCACGTCACCTCCGCCTCAGGCTACAGTCATTGCTTTTTACAGAGTAAATGGTGGAGTTGATCATTGTGGCCTATACGATCTGTGGCGTTATTCTCTAACGAATCTTTCGATTGAATAAATAAAAATCAACGGAAAGAGATAATGGGTTTTCCTTTCCATCGTTACACAGTGCCGCCACCACCACCACTGTTGATGCTGCTATCGCTGCTGCCTTGCATTGCCTTTTCTTCCCAAAGCTACGAGTATTGGGAATCTGTCGTGATACACCCATTAGGTATCCAATCCCCTCATGATTTGGAATGGCACGCAGATCCGTGGTTCCCGAATGCTGTCGTAATACACACTTTAGTCTACTTTATCTAGGTAGGTACCCATTACCCAGAATGGCATATCTTCCTCTCGTCAATGGTATGACGACCTGACCGCAGCGTTTCCCCTCCCCATCGTGCATATGGCAATAGTCCAAACAGTGTCGTGTCGAACCATCTTCCGATGTCTTCTTTCTTTTTCCCTCCTTTGCGTCCTCCCGATTCGATAACGACTCGTTCTTTTTTGCTTTTCCTCCCATAGCTGAACGATGAAACATCACACGAACATACTCACCCATCCCAATCCGTCCCCTTCAAATTATCGTCATGCGCCGCACGCACGCACTCCCCTCTCCTCCCCTCCCCAACAACCCCATTCCCCCGGGCCCCGATGCGGGCAGGCACCCCCTTCGCGCAAATACGCCACCCGCGAAACCCGCACATCCTCCTCCCCTCCCCTCCCCCCGCCGCGGCCCCCGGCCCCCTAACGCACCTCGACGAACAACACGTCGAATCAACCCTCACGCACCCCTCGAGTATTTTCCAAAAACAATACTCCGTAGTCAGTCCCAAGCGTTTTCGCAATATCGCACCGCATGAACAAGGCAAAAAGGAAAATAGCAAAGCCAAAGCCAACAAGGCTCGCCCCCGCCCTGATGGAAGGGAACGAGGGAACTGACTAGGGAGGAGGGAGGAGGGAGTATTTTTGATTGACTAAACCAAAGCGCCACCATATCGCCGATGTGAAGGAAGAAGAGTCATCGCATCGCGACGCTTGCAGTGCTGCGATTCGCCTTGCTCAAGCGAATACCGTGCTCCTTGGAGAGAGGGCTTCGTTTCGCGTTTTGTGTGCGCGGATGCGCGAATGAAGGGGTCGGACGCTCCGAGTTTGTGAGTTGCGTCCGGTGTGCCTCGTAGCGTGGAGTATCGTACTCGTATGTAGATACAATACCTAGCCTAGGTATGGATTGGATTGGATTCCAAACCTCAAGACAGACCCTCAAGCCATAGCTAGTTAGCTCGACCTACCTAAACAGTCATGGGATGGGCTCGTCTCGTGTTGCGGACCGTCCCCCTCCGTCCGTTTCCCCCTTCGCGAAATCGTCAAATGCGAGGGTGAATGCGAGAAAGGCGAATGTTGGAGTTGCACAAGGTAAAGGCAAAGGCAGGCGAGCGAGCGAGCGAGCGACCCGGCGAGTCGGGAGGGAGGCGTGGGAGGGAGGGAGGGGAGGCCGTCGGCTGCAGGGGTTGAGGTGGGTTGGGGTGTTGTACGGCTTTGCCTGTACCGTGACTCTTTGGTTGCTGTTTTGAGGTGGTTAGAGGGACAACGAATGAACGATTCTTTGAGGTTTCGAGGTCATGGTTAGTTAAGAATTGGTCTGTAATTTGATCGGGGTGGCCGATGGGGTTTGGTATTGTTGTTTTGTGATGCGGTTGGTTGGAGGGAGAGGTAGGTTGTGAGTCCTCGATCTCGTGCATGCAGGTCGTTGCAGATGGTCGTGAGTCATGGTGGTGAAGCATGCGTGGTAACTATATGCGATAGGTTTTGTCATCAACATTTACTCATTTTAGAAGGGCAAGAGGCAAAAAGTGAATTTTGGATGGCAGGTTTTTCAAGTCTTTGTTGTTATGCTGGTGGTCGGCACATGCTTTGCTACAATGTAGTACAATGAACGCAGGTCGAATATTTGCGGAAATACTTGAATGCCGGTACGAGTTTGGACGTGGAAGATAGTCTACACCGACGAAATCTAGAAAGATGAAATCGGAATCTGAAGAAGTTTACTTGAGGTTGCTTTTGTAGATGGTGTGAAATAGAATAGCTCAAATAAGGCTTCAACATTCGCCAAAGTTACAACTCGAGGATCGCGTCCACGAATATGTCACGATACTGAGTTTGCGCCAGACCAAACATTGATATCATTCAGCTAAGAGCCCCAAACATTAAGAAAGTCATGACCACCAGTTCGACCCTCCCCCAGCACCTAAAACGAACTCAACACGACACTGCCGCCTTCGCCAGACCCTTTCCCCCAACCCTCATCTCCACCTACACGCAACGGCCCGTCCAACGTAAAGACAATGTCTCCCCGCACGTCGATCCCAGACTCACGATCCCATCCCCTTTCCGGACCCTCGGGCGATACATGACCCAAAAGCGCCATGACGTGCTGTGCTGTGCTGTGCCGCCCTCGACACACCTTCCAAAGCCACCGCCTTGCCGCACGCACGTTTCAAGCCATGGCTAAGCGCGCCAGAGTCGGCGGCGGCGGCTCATCCTTCTGCTTGTCTCTCGCGTGTAGATGCTGTAGATGACGTACGGGCGAAAATTGCGAGATAGTGAGCACCGATGATTGTCTCGGATTGCGGGTTGCCAGAACCGAGGACGCCCTGGTTGGAAGGGTAAGGCCAGACGAGGGGGCTTGTTGTGGGTCTGCGGGTTGGACTACGTACGTGGACTTTTGTCTAATGCAAAGCAAATCATGGTAGATTATTAGGTTGCTGGATAAGCAACGCGTTCACGATTTGTTTTATGTGACTTTGCTGGAAAGTGACGATGTATTTTCTGTGGACGTTTCAAGTGCAATGCCAATCCGTTGTGGAATAAGGGCTTAGTGCAATGATTGCTTGCGCAATCAATTGCGTGGAGACCATTTCTGGCAATGATCCAGGTCAACCTTTTGGTGTGCATTTGTCCTTACCATTATGATTGGTGAAAGCATCTGAGGTTGTTGTGTCAGGGTGTGGCTGTCTCTTCGTCACCTCTGGAGCATAAGACGCAGCCCTACGGCTTCCGAAATGAGTACCGCTGTCACGGCGAATAAGCAAGCGGTCCGAGTACCATAATGGGCTTCTGTTCCATCCTGTGGCTCTACGCAAGATGTTGGGGTCGATGTTTTCCGGTTCCGTCTAGTTGTACAATACAATTGCAGATAACTGCACAACATTATCAGTACTGCAACTCTGGGCTGCGCAGTGTACGCATGTGAAATCTAAAATGAGTCTTCCGTATGAAGTTAATAGGACCCTAAAGCGGGATGTAGCTCGTCAATGTCAGCGACTGTCTCAATACAATTCCCCGAATCTGTCTTTGATGCCTAAAGCGTCGTGTCGTCGTGTAGAAATGCATACCCGATCCAGGTAGGGTACGCAAACCGCAGCAAATGGGTAACATCCATACTATCCAGTCTGCCAATAGTAAGCTGTAGGTTTGTCTGGCGTCATTCAGTAAACGTGGCCGCACAAACGCTCGCGAATCTAAGCTCGCTTCATCTTGCGTCTGCACGAAGCAGCCACATGAAAAGATCCCAGTACGAATGAATCCCCGGAGGTGATGTGCTTAGAGCAAGTAATACTGTATTAACCCCATTGGCCAGTTTGTGCTGATTGGGCACCCTGCGCCTCGATGATTACTGCATGTAAGCAGTAGAAGAATCATTCCAGAATGTTTCCAATTTGGGACAAACGTACGGCATCGTGTAACCTTGTCTAAGAAGAGACCGATAAGAAATCACCGATTCGAATTACACAGGGATTTGAAATTGAAATCGCGAGTGGTTGTATACTACTCGTCTGCACTGATTTGAACAACGGCCATTGGCAAGGCAGACTTAGATGCCTTGGAACTCAGGCGGGAGCAACCGTCGGCGCTTGCCGAAACGGATCAACTGGTATTCTAGTATTGGTCTTGTTAGGAGGCTACAATCCTAGATTGACGCATCGTATACTCCACTGACTAAACGTGCCCGTTCAAGAGGAGAATGTGGCTTGTGACCAGAAGGCGTGTATGCGGCGAAGGTTAATCAGTATCGATATCCACTCGCTGGAATATCAGGCTCGAGTATCTGCGAAGCGATGTTCTCCAAAATAATTGCGCCAGACGGGGTCTCCACTTTGGGACAGCCAGGGTATTGATCGCAAGCCAGAATGGGTCACAGCGTGAAGGGTTTTGCGGTTGAAGCGCGACGGCACAGTGGTTCGAGAAGATTCCATTGCAACGTGCCATGCCTGTACAATTTGATCATTCATTGAGCTCGTGAGAGATTTAATCTAGAAGACGACTATTTGGGATAGTATCGTGATCATGCGCTGTATGAGCTAACATAGTACTGTGTGGCTGATCAGCGAACTATCAGTGAACGGGAGGGACACCAGCTGTGGCGCAACATACTGTCAATACGGATTCGTCTTCGCCATTATCGCTAGGTAAATAAACGTAAAGAATTAAGGCGTGTTCATCGCAGAAACCTGGTTGCGTCAGAATGGTTGGTTGGGATTGATCGCTTTGTGGCCTCAAAAGCGGCCGGCGTCAATTCAAGGCACAACTCAACTTACACGCGATCACCCTCCCACCTAACCGTCCCACGCTCATAACCTTGCCCCAATCCCTAGCATCAATTCGAACTGTTGCCCAACCCTCTTCGCTGCGCCCGTCGGCCGTTCCTAGTTCTTTCATACGGGTGCTAGGGTGCTCAGAAATGCCTATTTCTCCACCAGCCACTTGACTGGGATCCAACTCGGGATTGCTCAAATCGGTCCATACTGATGATATGTTCATCGAGTCAGTCTTCATAGCCATCTTGAGGCATCCGTGCATGTTAGCAGCCATCTCGAGCCTTGTCCTCGAGGTAACTGTTCCAGGGCCAGACTTGGCTCCGACCAAGGCGAGCTTGGTGAACCTATCGCTAACGCTCTTTAATTGCAATAAAGGTGGTAGGATGATGTGTACATCAGGCTCTCGACATTGAGGCTCGTGTAGTCCAGCCACAGTATCTGGTGCCAACACCCTCACAGGGATTTCTTGCGTAATGATTGTTTCTCGATTGTTTGCACCAAACTCCTCCGAGGGTGTTGCACCGAATCCTCCATCGATTCCGGAGCTTGTTGTGGGGAAAGCGCTATACGAATTCGAAGAGGAGGCTGTGACGATAGTGAGAGCAAGCAATGGCATATTGTCCTTCTTCGTCAGGCGTATCTGGGCAGACGTAGCATTTGTGGCTGATTTGAGAGCGCGATTCAGTGAGGTAAGGGGCACCTCGAGGTTTATCACATTGTTCGCGGCAGACTGGACTGTATATGTCTCGAATATCGTATCCTGAGAATCGTCAGGTTAATCGCTGATACGGAGGTACGCGATCGTGGATAGGCGGCACTCTTACAATGGAAAGAACACTGTAATTAAACAAGTAAGCGGCAATATCACGAGATGGGACGCGACAGACTCACGCCCACACCTGTGTGCCCTGTTCTGGGATAATCGTGAAGCATACTTGGTCGTCGCTGAGCTTCACCCAGGCCAGAGGACCAAGAGAATTGAGGGACGCTGTGAGCTCTATGTCCAATTAGTACCCTAACATACGCATTATTTTCAGGCGAATTACTTGTAAATGTGGAGATATTCTGTATTGATGCCTTGAAGCGCATTTTGAGTGCATCATTGTAGATTGTAGAAGCTTCCCGTCGATGAAGTCAACAGTCGCGTGGGGTAGCTCTAAGAGTGGTCCGTGCCCGTCCACATATGGTCTCCGCAAAAGAAGAGTAAGACCATAAATGCCTACATTTTTCAATCTCATCAGGGAGCGTCTGCAAAGTAGGGATGCAGCCTCTTCCCACTGTATATGCCATTGCTATTAACGCTCAGTAGTCACATACTGTGCAGTCTTGTACTTCTCAACATAATAATTTGATATAATATAGTTAATTTCAACTGGGCAAAGTTACAGCTTCACTAAGCTCGCAATAAATTAATCAGATTATCATATTTAAACAATGAGTATCTCCCCCAATGCCGAGCAAATTCATAGAAGCGTGCCGTAGCCTATATAGTCTACTTGCGATAGTTCGCCTGATGACCTCCAGGAAGCTCCTTAACCCAGCTGTCGATATCCTCATTGACACGGCGCTTCACGGTGCACTTGTTCATTGCTTGAGCGTTCTGAGTCTTAAGGGTAGGGCAGTTCTGGTAGCATGGCGAGTCCATGGCACGCTGGAGAGAGTCGTCTTGCCACCCGAAGAGATAATCACCTGCTCGATATTAGTCTCAGCTTCGGTTAGTTCCTGAGTACCTAAACATACCATGATTGGCATAGCCGGTGCCATCACCAAAGCTCCAGACGAATGGTTGCGATCCATCGGCAGGCCAATCAGCCTTGTTGTTGAACTTCGAAGTGTCCCAAATCACCTCATAGAAGAGCTGGGGCATCCGAACTGGATGGCTGGCAGGGCATGGCCCACCAGACTCAAAGGTACCGCTGTTATGTTGTCAGTGTAATAGACCTAACGGTTGGAAGGGTCACCCACGATTCGGGGTAGGCCATATGAGCCATGTGATCGGGCGAGTCCAAGTTCTTGCCATCCCAGCAAGTTGGGAAACGAAGAGCAGTCATGATGCCAGTCTTGCAAGGCTTGGTCGGGAAATCGAGTGTTTGAGGGTCACGAGTGTTGATGTTCTCGAGACAGGTGTAGGTGAGCTGCCTGAATTTCTCCATCTGCTCTTTTGTCCTGGCATTGACATCTCCAATGTACATGCGGAAGCCCTAGTTTGGTCAGGTGATGAATGCTTTCTGTCGCTAAGTAGTACTGACTGGCTTGAAAGCTGTGACCTTGGATGTTTGCTGGAAGTTGTAAAGACCGTCCTGCATGTAGTAAACTGTCATACCACCGTTGACACCTTCGAATCCAGAGTTCGGAATTTGTGGTACACGCTTGTACGTGCCATTCTTCGCCTTGAAGTATCTAGTATTGATTAGCACTTTGTCATTTAATTCTTGATGGAGCTGATATACAGAACGGCTGTCCAGTAGTTGGAAAAGTCCTCGCTGAATTGGCAAGATGTGCAAGTCGACTCCTTGGGCATGTCTTTCGACGGATCCATGGTGGTATTGAAAGCATTCTGAAACAACTTAGATACTATTCAAACGCGATCTGGCCCATTGTTTCCAGACTACTTACTCCTCCTAGAATCTGATGAAGATGTGGGGACGGTGCTTGGCCTGGGTTGACCAATGGGTCAAGGCGGTCTATGACCAGCTGAGCACATGGGAATCGAAGCAATGCAAGCACATTGCTAGGTGCAAGAAGAGCGAGAGTAGCTGCAGAGTTCCACTTCATTTTGATGGATCGAGTGTTCTCAACTAGATACAGTAGAAAGCACGAAGGACAAACGCACGCTGGAGATATGCCTAGTGTTTTATATCATATAACATGGCGGATGCATCACAAGCAGGAAATGGGACTGTTCTATACCCAAGAGTACTTGCAGTGACAAGCTGCGGCTCCACATCCTGGCGCCCAGCAAGCATGGGGCTTGTCATGATCTGGACAACTCTTCCTACCGCCCGGATTCAGGACTGGTGGTGACACAACCAAACAACCTTTTCCGGGTTTGACGTCGAAGCCCGACCAATCTCCTACCCTTGGACTAAGGATCGGCGAATTCGAGTAACACGAGATAATGGACCAGTCTGGTTGAAGCTCGTACGTGGTTGCTTTCGGTTTGAACCGCGATCAAACCAACCCTTCCAGAACTCTCGAGTTCCAGGTTGCTTGATATTTGTCATTAGCCAGGACATCCAAGACAAAAGAAAGTCTCAGCCAGTGAGCTTCAATGGCACGCGAACGTTAATATCAACATAGTCTCCGTAGTTTCGGCAGTTGTTTTTCCAACATTATTCAGGCTTTCTCAGTCATAAAATGGAGGTACCAATCTCTCATCATATTGAGATTCGTCAAATCAAGAGGCGAAGACCTGTTAGAATGAGGTTAAAGTTGGCCTTGGGACTTACACGTTCATATAACCTTCATTACCATGTCCGCCAAGCCGGCGCGGGAGTAATTGTCATATATTAAACCATCATGACCCTGCCCTCGCGGACAATAGCCAGCCTCCACATTTCATATGCTTGGTCTCAATAGTGAAGGATTTGCTCCACATCTATTCTAATCCGATCTAGCCTCTTCCTAAAGCAGATGGAAGAATGGAATACTTCCACATACAGCAGGGGTTTGGAGCGAAGGCAAAAACAACCTCCACATCCCACGCTTCGTATTATACAACCACCGGCCATGCTCGATTACCAGCATAGAAGCTGAGAAAACGGGTAAGAAGTCGTATCAACCCGGTAGAATATATTTGATTAATACCAATGCAGCCAGAGCCTCTTGAGTTCTTGGGATTAGCTGATTGTGCTGCTATCGATCGACGGGGGCCATTGCTTCCTTTGTACCTTGTAGTCACTATTGTACTCCATCGTATGGTATATCTTGCCTCGTTGGGCCGTCTTACATTGTTTCATCCCTTCTCATTGGATTTACCGAACTTCAGACTTCCATTTTCATATTTCTGACCTACTCAAGAGCCTTATTCAACTTATCCAACATGAAAGTTGCAACTATTCTAGGGGGTGTCTGCTTTGCAGCAACTTCGTTTGCAGCTTTCGACTTGAATCGTGGTGGTGCGGTGTTGAAAGCCCCAGCGGGCGACTCATTCACTTCAGTCACTGGAACATTCTCCGTTCCCAACCTGAGTGGAAACTCTCGTCTATCTATCTGGGTTGGAATTGGAGATACGACCGATCAAACATATGTCGTTGGCGGCGGAATAGTCTATAATCGAACTCTCGGCTCCTGGGCAGCTTTCTATCCAGAGACAGCCACCGACACCTCATCATCTGTGCCCGTCAGGGCCAGCGATTCCATCACAGTTACGGCATCTCTGACATCACCAAACACCGGCACTGTTGTCATTGAAAACAAAACTCAAAATAGGAAGACGACCCAAACAGTCGCTGCTCCCGCGACTGCCGACCCAGAAAGATTGACCGCCTTGGCCGCCAACTGGTTCGTACAGGGCTACCAAGTAACTCCTGGCGAGCTTCTTACTACACCCAACTTTGGAACCATTACTTTTACTGCAGTGAGCGCTACCTTGGCAAGTGGGAAATCTGTGGGTGCCACTGGTGCTGGCGCCTACGAGCTGCAGGGCACGTCTGGGCAGATGTACTCAAAAACAACGATATCGGCAAATCAAATCCAGGTGCGACGGCAGCAGTAGAATAATCACGAGTTACTGAAATGCCTCTGGTCTTGTTAGAGTGTCTTGAATGGAAGACTGTAAATAAATATCTCAATATTGAACTTTCAAATTCTCATTTGTTCAAATTGCTGTCCACCATCTTGCTTTTTGTCCCGTAGACATAGTTAAGAGTCTAGTCAACACCTGACACTGTCGAGACAGAATCCAGTGCGTAGTGTATTGCTTTCTCAAAAAGACATCTCTTCTGCTGGCATAGGTTTTGACTTGGCTATACAATATGTTTGTCGGTGTTATCAACAAGAGAACCATTTTTGCGTGACAGAACCTAAACTCCAACTTCGAATAAAGTAAAATTATAGTCGTTGAAATGAGAAGATCGAGACTCTACATAGCAATACAGTCATTAAATCGTGCCAGAAGGACCGTTCTGCATTCAAACCAGACTCCTGAGATCCTTCTCCATGTACGGCTTCAGTTGTTGTGAACGACTCCAACTCTTTAGGGTTGGGGAGAAACATTAAGATCCATAGCTTTTGCTGTCATCTTTGAACCAAAGCTTCACAGGTTCGATCATATTCGACTTTTTGTTCTTATACAACCACCAGCAGGTCATGGTCACAACGGTGATGGGCACAGTGACTACAATCCAAAGCCACAAGAGTCCAGTGACTTGAAACTGAGTCCAACCTGGTCCAGCTTGAAATATTTCGGTGCTGAGAAGTGTCTGCACGAACTGGGCATTAGTATTACATCACTTTAATCAATCAGGCCATGCATGCTTACGGCTGTAAATGTCCCAGGTAAAAACACCATGGTCAGGGCAGCTATGGCGTTCATACTTGTGCTGTCTTTCTTCATGTCGGATGCAAGTTCGATGTTATTCAGTGCGTCTTGTTGCGTCGTGATATGAAAGAGCAGATTCATAGTCGCCTCTTTCCTTCCTTTGTAATTAACGAACCACATCTTTTGCTTGTCCATGCTCGTGATGACATGTCTAATCATGTCGAGAGTCCGTTGTCGTATCATTGGATTCCTCGATACGTTGAGCCTCATACACGTGTCGCGAATGGCCTGTGCTGAGTAAAGGAAGACATCTGCATTGGCGAGGTGGGAGTCCACATTTTGTGCAACAATCTGTAGCTTTTTGAGAAGCTCTGCCAATTTCGAGCGATCTCTCGCTTCTATACCCGCAAGATGGTCGTCAACTTTGTTGACCACATCCCATTGGAGCCGCCGAAATTTCGCAACGTGCCATTTCGATGATTCGAAGTTCAAATTCGAAATCATGACTTGAAGGTCGAGAGGGCTGTCCAGTAGCAGGTTCGCGACATGGTTCCGTGCTTTGTGCCGCACAGTAATATCCAGAAGTTTGCGCAAGGATTGTATTACCGTGTCGCCTTCTTTGTGTGAAATAATGTAAACGGTCAGGTCTCTTTGAGCGTCATATTTGCAGTAGACCGACAACGGAGCACCCTGCACGTTCAAATTCCACCGGGGGTGTTGACAGTAGAAATCACAACCGCGAAAAGTGCTTCCTTCTTGATCCCATAGTGTTTGGGGTGCCCAGTAATCGGGCCGACCTAGCATGTTTGACAAAAATGCAGCATCCAGTCGGAGGGCCTCAAACAGATGCACGACGCTCGATCGGGTCATAGGGAGGCTATACTTATAAGAAGAGTCTGATGTAGCGGGAATGAGCGGAACGAAGAGAACGAGAGCTTCACGCTTTGAAGTGTGCTCTGCTGCTTGTGATCCTGTAGAAAGCGCTGGGACATTGTTCCAAAGTTCGCTGGCATCTTTCACTGTCGCTCTTAGGCCATCCTCGTCCAGGCTTTTCCAAAGTGCGTCCTTCTGGTCTACCTTCAAGCACTCGATCGTGGTTTCTGCACCAAAGTTCTGGTCCTTGCTGAGATGCTCATGGTATAGAACAGCAGAGAATAGCTCTTGCGCCGAGTCAATGTTTGCGAACGGATAGTCATCTGGGTCGACGTCGTAGTTGTGGTCGAGTTCATTGACATTCAAGTCTGCTAGTTGGGCGTGCCGTTGAATATGCTGGCCATCTCGTGATATTGGTCGCTGGGGGACCTCTTCAGTAACAAGAGTAGACCCGAGCTTAGAGTACTCGGGCCCATCCTGTCCCTCTGGGGCTGGGGCGATCTTCAAATCCATGATTGCTCGTTGCAGCTTGCTAGAATTTCTTCATGTTAAGAGTGATGATGATGGATTGTTCGAGCAAATTCAACTCAACGATAGCAGCTATCACTTGGCGAGACTTTCTTACCAGTCTCATGCGGCCTAAACACAAAGCGGTCTGAGTGCGTGCCTGCGCAGCATTGGGGGCCAAAACGCGGTTCTAGGCGTTGCGTGTTTCAGTTTGGATGGCACTGCCAGAAAGGTGACCCTACCCCCGAAAACACGGCGCCATTGCGGCCCCATGTCCTGAATAAGTCCCGCGTCCTCGCCCACCTAGTGGGCAATCATCACATCAATACTCAACATGGGGTCATTCACAGAAGATTCAATAATCACTATCTTTGAGAAGTTGACAGACGAGGGTATAATCATTTACGGTCCGCACGAGGTGGTCAAGAAAGATTATAATGGTTTTCCTGTAAGACAGGCGTAAGTCTATCTACAGGATTCTTTAATGACAGCTCGCAGATCGAATTTCGTATCTGCCCTTCCCTAACCAGAAAACCCCACACCGTGGGAGCTGCATTGGACCCAACATACCAAAAAGCGCGAAAATGGGGTCCAGGCAGCGACATGTACGTGCCAGATGAGCGCCTAGTCCTTGCACGATTGGGCAACACTCACGACCTGGCATTGAACCTGTTTTGCGTGGACAAGCCACAACTTATCTTGCTCACGGTGGATTCTTATCGAAGGCAGCACGAGCCTCTGGACCGTGAGGATTTTGCGGCTGCTTTGACAACGATGGACAGCCTTCCAAACATGTACATCATTTATAACTGTTCAGAGAAGGCAGGCTGCAGTCGTGTTCACAAGCATATGCAGGGATTACGAGGACCTCCGGAAGCTTTTGAGGCGTATGTAGAGGGAAGCAATGGCCAGACCACAGTGCCGATCTTGTACTTCAGCTGGCATTTTGTCGACGGATTTGGGAAGACGGCCGCCGGGGATTTAGAGCACAATTATCGGAAACTATTGGACCAAGCGAAAAGTGCTACCGACTGTCTTGAAGGGGAAATATGTCCCCACAATGTAGTTCTTTGGAAGGACTGGATGATAGTCATCCCCAGAAGGAACGCTTTCGTAGAGAAGGCCAGCGCAAATGCTGCAGGGATGCTAGGTTCGGTTTGGGTCCCTGATCAATCTTTGGTGGATGAATGGATCCGGATCGGGCCGCTCAATGTGTTCAAGGGACTGGGTATTCCCCGATAGACTAAATTTCGTCCTCAACTAGTAGCAATCGTTTTTGTCTCCGCATTCTTGGATGTGATATTACACTACTTACTGATGTAATGGTGATAGGAGGAGCCGTACGAATGATGCACCCTTTGCCAGTTTTGGGATAAAATCCAGTTGCTATTTAGATATTCTTACTTTTCAATTGTCATGACCAAACGTAAATAATATGACATTTCCGACACGGGTTGTGCTCGTATGTATGAATACTATGTTATGCTTATTGGTATCGGATAGCTTTAAACGCCTAGGCAAAGAGACGAGTACAACATAATAGCTTGTGTGTGAGCGTATTTCGTCCATACTCTGACTTCAAATGAAGCCACAAATTTCGTCCTTTCTTCTTCTGCTCCCCATCAGTAGAGAAAATCGAAGTTCTCTTTCAGTTGATTCACCACACCCTGATAAACTGCCTTCTGAAATGTAGCATCTTCAAGACTTTTTGCTCGATGATCAAAATCACATCTAATGCATCTCCTGACCGCATCGCTATATTTCCCTCCTGCCTCGCTGTACAACTCATCGACTAGTCGATCTGCTGTAGCGTAGTTCGTCATGAGATCATTCATGATATCGCCTGTGTCCTTTGGTCCATCTTCGAGTTTATGAAGCTCGCTCAGGTGTTTTCCATACCAAAGTTCGATTAGGGATACGCCCAACGCGAACAATGTCTGGTTTCGAATTACCCTCGTCAAAGCCGCTGGGAGTGGGGTGGGAGTTGATTGTTGTGTTGTGTTGAAGTGTTGAGATACGAATGGATGATCATAAATGGTTTTGTCTGAGCGTTTGATGAAGAAGATTTGGTCTTTACTCCAGTTGTCGTCAAGCCAAGGCGTCTCATGCAGCTGAAGGACGCTGGAGGCCAAAGTTACGGCAAGCCGCAGGCGGTCGTGGCGAGTGAACTTGGAATCTTGCAGTACATGCCGAAGGGATTTGACAGTCCACGCTTCTGGGTTCTGTGGAGGATCCTTTTCTGGGTAGATGTGAACGCCATATTTCTGTTTTGCGATTTCGGTGGCCAGTAGTTCGAGACAAACTTCTCGTTGTGGTTGTTGAAGGGTGCAGATTGCTGCGCACAAGTCTTGTATAGGCTTCATGTTGGAGTTAGGGTCTAGAGCTGCCTTGACAGCGTTCCTAGCTTGTGACGCAAAACGAACACCCTTAGGCCCAGGACCGCTTGCAGCTGGGGTTGGAACGGATTGCTTTTCAACTATCCGTACGTCTGCTTCTTCCCACGTCCATGGTTTGGGAGACCCGGGACTTGTTGGACTGGCAGCATGAAGGTGACTGTAGCGAAACAAGACATGGAAAGGATCTCGCATTGACTCGTCGTCAGAATCTTCGGAGTCATCGTCGCTTGCAACATCGTCCATCCTAGTCTCTAAGCGAAGACTGACACTGTGGTTGGCGTGGCAAGGACATTTCCATCCGGAACGTAGAGCAGAGTAAAAGCCATGTGCGCGATCGTTGATAACGTTGAATTTTGGAATTGCTTGGGCCCGATGGAGCTTGCTTGATTGCTGAAGGGCCTCAAGAGAAATCGTCTGTGTTGTCATACGGTGAAGTGCGGTGTTAGACTGTTTCAATCTAGACATCAAGTCGCCATAATCTGATTTTTGGATACTGAATTTGAGCCTTTTGTAATGCTCCTTGAATGTCTTCTGATCTGTAAATTGAGGCTATACAAAGTAGTTAGCTGAATATGGCTTCAAAAGCACAAGAACAAAGTGTCATGGAACCTACCTGACCTGAGTCGTTAAGCTTTAGGCGTTGTTTGAACACAATTGCAACATTATTCATCTCCCTAATGGTATCGAGATAAGACTCATATGTTGTGCCAAGCCGCTCCTTGAGTTTTTTCTCAAATTTGGGATCCTTCCATTTATCACCACAGGGATCTTCGAGGAAGTCATTCATTTCTTTTGGCTTGACAACGCCAATTAGTAGCATTGTGATGCTGTTGATGCACATCGTATTCTCGGTCTTCAATTCTACCAACATGCTTTTGAAATCGTGCTTGAACTTCAAATAACGTTTTGTTACTGCGATTCCATCCGCATAAAACTCGAGGCTGGCGAGTACTAAGGGGATGGCACCCAATACCAGGCCGGCAATTTCTATACCTGACATTTTGGCTGAGAAAGGATTCTATGGCGGCTTGCTGAGATTGTACAGTCGACGTTGAATCCTATGGAGCGAAACGACCTGTCAATGGTATTTCTACCTGTGTAATTGTACAGTTAAGAGATATTTCCACGTCAGCTTGTGGTACGTACCATTCGCATGCCATATCACTGGAGCCGTTCAGCCTCTACGTTTTGACTGACCGCACGGCACGGTAGGCCATCCAGAGAAGATTGAAAGACCGAAAGATTCACGAGAGGCAAAAACTATCTGATGAAGTCGTAGAGTTCAAAGATGAACATGTGGGATGCGGCAATGTCTAGAGCGGCTGAAGAGGAAGGCTTAGCAATGTGCAAGCGTCCATGGATTTAACATTACAAGTGGGGTTTTTGGCCCCCAACAGCGTGACTGCATCCATTCGTCATCACCCCGCCCTGTAAGAGCCTCATTAACACCTTTGCTTGCTTGCAAGAGCTATGAAGTATCTAAAGTTATCATTTGTCGACTTGTTTCCTGCGCACATCTTGTACTCATGTAGTTGGAAGTAAACGCGTCGGCGACTACGGTTAGCCTGTTCTACTTCTGCTAGAAGTACAGATAGTTACACGCAAATCATTACAGTTGGGCGCTGGTAGTCCACCGAGCCTCGTCATTGATAGAACATAGATGCCAACGGACATCCTGGGAAATTTGCGGTTCGCTTCATACAAAGCCAACTTTCACGATGGATAAGGTACACCTTTCTACCCGTGTTGACGCATGTGGGCGAGGCTTTGTAAGCCTTTCACAAGCGTTGACAGAATCTGAAAGATATGGAGATCAAGTACGACCGCAAGCAATTCAAGACGAGTTTGATCGCTTCAAAATTTGGGCCGGAAATATCGCTGCACACCGAAAAGGACGTCGATCTCTTGAATATCGACTTCGAGATGCTGCACACTTGAAGGCAGAAACGGAGAACCTTCTAATAGCCCTACAAGAGTCGCTATCGGATGGTAAGAATCCCTGACATTCTCTTACGGACATGGAAATTAACCAACTACAGCGTTAGCGATTGTGAAGGGCGAAAGAGTTCCGTGGGATGAACTGGACGACTCAGACACTGATTCAGAGTCGGATATTGATTCTGATGACGGCGCAGATCTTAAAAGTGACACAGAGCTGCAACAGTTAAATGCGAGTGTCAAGAACACCGTGACCTGTCTATTTCGACTTTCAATGTCCATCCGAGACCCAGCACCAAATAGTCAATACCGCAGCACTATCATTGTTGATAAATCCTATTTCGAGGCTCATGACATTCAACACGTTAGGGCAAAATTTGAGGTTGAAGACAACTACCTCTCTGAGCGACTAGGCAAGGCGATATCTGGACGTCGCCAATATCTCTCATATCGCGAGGAGCATCATAACAAACTTGCCAAGAAAGTAGAAACGATTGGATTTGAGGAGCCTCGAACAGAACACACAACAAACAGTACAGAAGCATCTCCTTTGCCTAAGATAGCTGTCGAAGATTCGAGTACCATTGTTGATAATGACGATGCGCTTTCTCAAACATCGTACGCATCTTCGGTCAACTCTACGATCAGAATCCCACCACTTCCTAAGATAGCCCGTGAAGAGGAATATTTCGAATGTCCTCTCTGTTTCATGATTGTCTCAATTCATACGACCGCCGCCTGGAAGTGTGTATATTTAAACTTATTTGGTGATTCGTACTGACTTGACCTAGGCAACACGTCTACCGAGATCTTCATCCTTACTGCTGCACATTCGAGCACTGCACAACCGCAGATCGACTCTACGACTCCCGTCATGCCTGGTTTCAGCACGAACTAGAGGCTCACAGAACTGCGTGGCAATGCGTGGAAGGCTGTGAAAAGCTCTTCAACAACGAGCCCGATTTTGATTCCCACGTCAAGGACACTCATCCAGAGATATCTGGAGACCAGATGATGTTTGCCCTAAAACGGACAGCAACACGCAGCGCCAAATTGGCAGATATCACGATATGTTCATTGTGTGGTAAGGAAATGACATTACGGGCTTTGCAAAAGCATCTGGGCCACCATCAGGAACAATTGGCGCTGTTTGCGCTTCCTCCAAATCTGGAAGCCACCGAGGATGAGCCGCTCGACGATTTTAAAGATAATCCAATAACAAAGGGATGGGAAGACGACGGTAGCTCCGACGGTAGTGACGATGGAGACGATAGTAGAAGAGTTGAGGAATTCGTCGAGCAATTTCGTCGGCTCTTTTGGAATGTAACTGTCGGGTCTGGTGACCCCTCGATCGAAATCGGCTCCGACCAGAAAACGCGCTGGCTTGGCGAGTGCCAGGCCCTGTTGAAAGAACTAAGTTCTATTAACACGAATGGAAATGCTGAGATGGAAAGGCGAAAAGATTCTGCAATTCATGAAGTAGCCTCGTTCGCCGAGTCCCTTGGACTGAACAGTATCTCCAGCGCGGCAGGTCAGCCTGATGATCACCCAAATGATCAGCTTGACCGATCAAATTCGATTGAATTCCAGCAACCTTCAAGGACAATAGTACAGGATCCACGATTCGAAGTTCCAAAACCGACTGTTGATGGGGCCGACTACGGGCCAGTTACAGAGCCAGCTGATTCGAATGACAACATGCAAAGGAAAGGAAAAGAGAGAGAGATGCCTCAGGATACAGATCAGACACATCAAGACCCCATAGACCCCTTATGGGATGAAATGATGAGAGGCTTGTTGGGCTCCTCTAGTGACGAATCCATTGAGGGCGCACCGCTAAGCTCGCCGGAAGAAATAAGGGAGAGACTACCTGAAACATTGAAACCCATCGAAGGTCTGAATCCAGGTGAAGACAAACAAGTTACTTTCAACGCAAATCCCGTGGATTCTGGCGGTGATCCATACGCCTCATTAGATCTGGCTGAAGATATGCGCAACTCCGCTTCTGTCAATAGAGATGAAGACTCTTACACCGATCCAGCAATTAGGTATCGCGATAGTCAATCGCGCCGTGAAGACCTCGAGCGAGAATCCCAATCAAACAGGCAGCCTGTGAGAGAGACTGTCCCTCGCAGAGAACCCATCGTCGGCTCGTCTCAACCTACTGATCTCGACGACGAGGGATATTCTTACACTGATATAGCGGCCATGTATCGTGACACAGAACCCGCATGGCGCCGACCGCGCGTTGGAAGCACCGAACGAGGAACCCGGCCTAGCAGTCTTCTTGTGGACAACCAGTCTCCTAGACGTTCTGTGAGGGATCCAGGCCCGCCACCGTCCACTCGGGGTTTTGATAAAATAAATCGCTATGGTCAACAGGGCCGTACGTCTGGGTCTATATCTAGGCAGGGACGTGGTGCAGGGCAAGACAATGAGCCGAATCTCGACAGGGCAGCTGACATGAGTCAAAACACCGGTTCAGCGGTGGACGACACGGAATTCGAACCCACGCCCACCACCACAATAGAGCCCTCATCGCAGGTGGCCCAGGGTGTCCAGGGTGATGAAAATCGAAAACCTGCTCTCCACAGGTGCCAATCATGTGGCATGGAGTTTTTGTTGGCTGACAATCTGTCAACGCACTACCGAATCTTTGGACAGAAACACGACATGGCGAGTGTCATGGAAAGTCCGTACTATCTACCACATCACAAGTCGCCAGTTCTTGAAGATCAAGAAACCCTAGAAAAACAGGATAGTTCATCCAACAATAGAGTATGGCCCGGAATGCATCAACAGGCAGCGGCCCAGGCAGCAGCACAGAATCAACGGAGAATTCTGAGTGGAGATTTCCAGGGCATATCTGAACCATCACAAACCGATCCAAACAACCACGATCTGCTATTTGATAACGTCCACGATGGCGTTAACAAAAATATATCGCTATATGAGACATCAGGAAAACAGAGTCGGATCGATGATACGGTTGGAACGGTATCTGCGAACGATCGGAGCACTCCGGTACCACCAACAGAAGTACCTACCTCTTCTATAAGTGATAATCCTCCAAAGGAAGGGTCAAGGAATTCAGGTTCAAAGTACACGGTTGATCATGAATTGGCTGCCAGGCATGCGAACGAATCTGTGTTCGGATCTGACGAACGCACCTCGTTCACCTTTCGGCCAGAAAACAACATGGAGGAAATATATAAGGAACAAGAGCGGGCCGCCAGTTCATCGAACCCCGCAAAGCAATCTGTTCGTGCAGGTAAAGAGCCAAAAGGTATACTACGAAAGCCTCGCAGCGCATTCCCAGAGGACACTGAACCCCTTCGAGAGGGTGTGGCCCCTCGCGTAGATGCTCTTGAAGGAAAAGATATTCCTGTTGGAGCACGGTGGACTAAGATTGATCGTCGTTTAGTAAACCCTCAAGCGCTCGAGGAAGCCCATGAGCGCTTTGAGGAGAGGGCGGACTGCGTGATCGTCCTGAGAGTGCTGGACAAATCAGAGATCCAGAAGCTAGCTGACAGAACAAAGGAGATTCGAGCAGAGAGACTAAATCCAGAAGACAGAGACACTCGAAGAGCGAAAGAGGCTCAGGCAGCTATTGCGGCAGAGAGAGCGAGTCGTGAAGAGAGAGCTTATCGTCCAGAGCGAAATCGTCGTAACAGAAGTCAAGAAACGCTGGAGTTGGATAGGAGAGACCGGGTCCGGGGAGTGCATCGCCTTTCGAATGTGAACTTACCCTCGCTCGTGGACGGATCACCGTCCCCTCAACCTCTGCTGGCCCAACGTCGAGAAAGTCTTGGCCCTGAAGGCGATAGAATTCGTATTTCTCGCCCCAATCTAGGCAGCACGTACAGAACTCCCCAAGTTGTCATCGAAACTTCAACAAGTCGAGGCAGCAACAGAAGAACAACATCCTACGACGTTCGCTCAAGAACCGACGGGAATATTCGGCCGAGGGGAACGGATAGGGCAGGTAGTTCTTCGTCAACGCCCACGATAGTCATCAATACGGGATCATCTCGACAGTCTCGTACGGAGCGAGAGATTATCGTGGAAGAAAGAGGTTCGCGGACACGGACATACCATGTTGACCGCTCAACTCCCACCCGCGACTATTTCCCCTCACCTCAAAGACGGACATCTGATGAGCTGGTGATGAGGCAAACTGGTTCGAAGAGAGATGCACTAGAGCGTTCCATATCTAGTAGAGAGCGTATTCCAACATCGTTCGATTCGAAAGGCGAAGTCGAAAAGGAAATTAAGAAACCGGGACGCAGGGAGCGCCTCATAGCATCGCTCCGTCGAACTCGAAAAGAGGATAGATAACAACGAGGGATGAGTGATCATGTTGTATCGCAAGGTGGAATCTAGAGGGACATGCTGGCAATCTTCTGTCTAGCGGACTAGAAATGAATTGAATTGATATTAGAGTACTAATCAATCACCCCCTCGCCGATAATGTAATAAAATTCATTCTCTTGAGAACGTAGTCATAGCTTTTTCTGACGAATAGTTGGTTGCAGGTGATTGAGAACGGCCAGTGTGGCCTACCAATTTCACCTTCACCTGCGCCTTGGCCACGAGAGCCTTGAGGAACCTCTATTTGTGAACACCACGGCACACCATCCAACAACCCAATACTCCAACACGACCCGACAATCAGATTCCCCCCCTCAACTCGTCCAGTCATTACGTATATTGTGGGATCTACACGATCACGTTCCATCACTGTATGCAGACTCGGCGATCATGAGGATAGTCACTCTGCTCGGGGGTGCCGCTGCTCTTTTCGCCATCACCAAAGGATCGCCGGTGGATGTCTCCCGTGCACTCATCGAAGACTCCATTGGCTCGGTGAATCTGTCCGCGGCATCTACTGTCGGGTATGGGCCTCCTCATGTTGGGTACGGAGCCTTTGCCGGTGGCGGAACAAGGCGAAGGGTCCGGCGAGACAGTGCCCAGAAAGCCGACCTCACCGAGGAGGAATTCGAAGCTCTCATTACGAAAGGCTGCATGCTACTTGGAGCTATGGGTGCGAAAGACTCTGAAGTGAGCAACTTTGTGCCTGGCATAGGTGGCTCTGCGGAGAGTCAATGGAGGAATCCACGTATGATGTTACACCATCCGAGTTGCGTTTCATATACTGACTGTTCACAGAGGATATCGCGGACTGGGGTTGGACCAGGGCCAATTCAGTATACTTCAGGGACTTTGAACGTGGGAAGCCTGATACGACTTTTCTTTCAGCAATTGGTGCGAGCAGCAGGAGGCAACACGAGGGAGGACCGAATTGGCTCCATGGGTGGGAACATACCACTGAGACAGTCCACGACGGTGTGACATATCCTTCTACAGCTGGGATGTACTGCACAATCATGGTGAGTAAAAACATGGAAGGTGACTATGTTTGTGCGGTCATCAGGTCGGGCAAAAGCAACTACTGTAGTAATTATCATTGACCCTTCAGAACGTCTGCCCGATTGATACGTGGCCCCAATCACGTAATTGCGTTCATTTGCTAATTACTTTCCCTCTGTCAGAATGTGGACGACGGAGTTATGATCGGCTGGTCGCGGTGGGCTCCGAGCTACGCGGGACAGCATATGAAGAGTCCGCCAGTCTATACGTTCCCGAAGTTGGCACGCTGGTCGGATATGGCCTACATCGACTGGGTTCAACATGCAAATGCGCGTCAGAAGCCAGCATCCAACATCCAATACTTCGCCAACCTCAATATCATAAATGATCTCACCGAATCGATTATCGAATTCGTTTTCGATTCGCCGAACTTGCAGGATGACTGCGCATCATTTTCATGGGAACGTCGGGTCTCGTATCCCATGGATAGTGAGGAGGGAAAAGCTCTTCTAGCTTCCCCGAATGGCAATGGAATCGCTTGGTTCCTGCTGCAGCACAAGTCAACCTTCGGCGAAAGGACCACAGTTGACAGGGTTGAGGTTTGGTGCAAATACGAGCCGATTGAAGATGATCCTGAAGGAGAGGACGAAGCCCAGATCAACATGCTTTTTCATATCAGGAGACAGTGAGATAGCATGTTTCAAGCGATGAGAGAGGCATCGTTGATGGTCTCATGTCAATAGTGAACCAACTTCACGTAGGATTGCGGGGATTTCCAATGTTAGCCAGAGGCCCCTAACCCAACGGAAATATCACGAATAGAATCGGGTTGCGGAAGCAATTGTCACCAAACAATTGAACATCCTATGCATGTGAAATCGAAGAAGCTACTGACACGTTATGCGTATCTCCTTGCCTAGGCACATCCCCAACTCTCTCTTCTCACAGCATGTGAGCATCGTCGATTGCCAATTAAGTGATAGTCGTCCAACCAACAAGGTGCTACCACAATAGGACGCTTTCGGCGCGTATTTCACTATTCTACGATCAGGCGTGACGCGCTGGCCACATGTAAGGCGTTTTTCTCGAAAAGCCTCCCCCGCACAAATGGCGACGAATTGGTCGTAGCTCGATCATATGTAATAGCTTAACCAGGCAATTGAGAACGCTTGACGCAGCGCGCGAGTGATTAAAAGGGGTAAGCAATAACAGAATTGGTCGGCACAAATGAGTTCCAGTGACGGTGGTTCGGGAAGGTGAATACGAGAGATCAACATTTGGCCCGCATTTAGTCGCAGTTCAGATTCCGATTGGTTCCAATAGAGGACAGTGGTCGGGACGAGTGTGCCTTGTTACAAAGTAGCGCTATGGTATCTGCTCGGTAGTGAGGCGAGTCTCTCGCAGGATCTGATGTGGTGTAATTTACGAGGACGTTCCTCAACCTATCCAAATCCATAAGGATTGATCCTCTGAAGTTAAAATTGAGAACGTTAAGGGTCTGTCGCGTGTCGCGTGAGTTCAATAGTCCTGCATGGCCTTCGTGACCGAGTATCGTGTTGACCATAGTCGGGCTATGCTATCTATAATTGGGAGGTCCGTGCTAAGTCCAAAGGGATATCGTAACGAATAATCCAAAATGTGGTGTCACTGGTGTGAAGAAGAGAAGCAGCAGTACGAGGTAGGGCCGAGGAGACATATGTTAGCATTGGTAATGATCGATCGAACTGATATTTCACATAGAAGAATTTGATTCCGAAGTATAGGGCTGTGTACGATGAAACTCGGACCCCGTGCAAGAGCATCAATGTCTTCGTCCACTCAGTGCAAGGAGATGGGTCATTAAAACTTCCGATCTTGAGGAAACTGGTGAAAGGGAAGAGTCCGCCCTAGTACTGAAACGGGCCAGTCAAGCTTACTGAGCACCTTTTCAAAGCCGTCGCTTTCCCAATTCCGTATCAACTTCTAAGGCGCCCTATCCTGAAACGAGAGTGGAGAGTTAGCGGGCTCTAACAATGTGCACCAACGCCAATCATTGAGCGACCGATGCTTCACCCGTTGGTATCATATTATACCCCAGTTTTCCGCTCCTGCAAAGGTGCGCTTTGGCATCATGCCGCCAATGAAAGCTTAAGTGCTTGTGGCTAACAATATTTCTTTTAATTCCCTTGCCCAATGAAGCTTCAGTGGCCCTATAGCCTTGGCAAGGATGAATACGAGAATCTTTATTGCTCTGTAACGGTTTGAGGCTGTGCCTTATGATCGCCCATCCCCTGGACTATGTCTGCTGCAACAGCTCAGGAAGGCGGACTTTCGATGGGGAAACACTCGTAGTCGGCGAAACTTCTACACCGTCTTCACGGACAATGCGTACAATACGTGTTATATAGGTATCCCGCGATCCATTGACTTTCCCCTTTGGCAAATCTTGGTCAACAAAAGATTAATTTGAATCGTCAAATGCTGTCAAGATGAGCCTCTTCGTCAGGCAAACGTGGGCGTTGGTCCGCAAGAACCTGATCCTCATTTGTGCTCGAAGATACATATCGACTTTCATTCGCGCCATTGCAATTCCCTTAGCCGTTGTCCTTCTCGTCGCTTATAGCAAAATATTCTTCAGGTCCGCTACTTTCTGGGGAATCTCAGATACACACACAGTGAGTTCTCCATTTTTTGCCCCATTGTAACGAACATGAGATTCCATCCGTCGGATATCGATTTGAGGCATTTCTAATGGATTTGAAAGATCCGGTCGTTCAAAGATGGCCTTGCCGCGAGCTCTGAGCACTCCATCGTTGGTTTCGTTGATGGGGGGATGAAAGGCGATGTCGCCACGGTCATCAAGTCTCTATCACAAACGGTCTCTGATGCGGGGAAAACCCCAATTACCTTCAATAGCACCCAAGATCTTGCACAGATGTGCCAAAGTGTGTACAATGGAGCTTCCAAGTGTTTCGGAGCCGCTGTCTTCCTATCGAGTGCTACCCAAGGAACCCAGAATAGCTCCAGGGGAACATGGAACTACACCATTCGAGGCGACCAGGGAGTATTGGGTGGCATCGTCGACGTAAGGACCGATAAGTATGGCCCCGAGGTCTATCTCCTACCCTTCCAACGCGCCATCGACGAGGCCATTATTTCGTTATCGAACCCTGGTGGACAAAACAGCAACGCCACGAAGCTTCCCGAGACCCTCAAAGACATTGTCTTCACGACCTATCCCCAGTCCAGGTTATCGGAGATCAGGGATAACAACTATCTCGAGTTCTGCGTCAACCTTTTCGGGGCCCTCTTCGTCTTCTCCATGATCGGACTCGTGTATCATCTTACCACGCATGTCGCTACCGAGCGTGGGCTGGGTATGTCAGGCCTCATCGACACTATGATCCCAGGTGGATCGGCCATCAAGGCCCGACTCATTCGACAGATCTCGACCTATATTTCGTTCGCAATGATATACCTTCCGAGCTGGCTCGCTATAGGAATCGTCGTCAGCACGGTCGTGTTCCCTGAATACTCTCGAGGAATCCCGGTCGGATACCACATCTTCTCTGGACTCGCGTTCACGTCTTTCTCCCTCCTCGGTGCCTCCTTTTTCAAAAAGGCCCAGTTGAGTGGTGCCATCATGTGCGTCATCACGCTCGTCTTCGCCTTCTTACCCCAAACTTTAGCCAAGCAGAAGCGTAGCACGGTCATCGCCTTCAGTCTTCTGTTCCCAAGCGCCAACTACACATACTTCATCACCGGACTCGCTGTCTGGGAATTGCAAGCCACCAAGGTCGACATGATGGCCGAGATCCCGGACAACGATCAGATCAGATGGCGAATCCCTCTGTACTTGCATTGGATCTTTCTCATCATCCAGATCGTGCTTTATCCGATCCTAGCATTCGTCGTCGAGCACTTCATGTTCTCCACGGCGTCTGGAAACCGTAAATTCGTGATCCCGCAGAGCGAAAGGGAGCCTGCTGTTGTGCTTTCTGGCTTCTGCAAAACGTACGTCCTTGCGTTCTTTCATTTGGATATTTCTAATCAGACTCCAGGTATACTCCCTCGCTGTTCAAGAAGATCTTCACTGGCATGAAGGAGGACGTCCATGCTGTGGTGGATCTGACCTTCAATGCTTACCGTGGTCAAATCCTGTGCTTGTTAGGACCCAATGGTAGTGGAAAGTCTACCACCCTGAACTCGATTTCGGGTGAATCGAAAGTGACGTCCGGAATGATTTCCATCGATCCCAGGGGTGGCCTCGGTTATGCCCCGCAAGCTAATGTTATCTGGTATGTGTCTCAGCACAGTTGATCATCAGAGGCTCAAATTCTAACGATACCCTCTACCTTAGGCCCGAACTCACCGTCGAAGAACACATCCGAATCTTCAGCGATCTGAAGTGCACCGCCACTGTAAACGAAGAAGTCATTTCCGAGCTTGTCCGAAGCTGTGATCTCGAGAAGAAGCTGCCCGCAAAAGCCAGCACGCTATCCGGAGGACAGAAGCGAAAACTACAACTTGCGATGATGTTTGCTGGAGGCAGTGCTGTCTGCTGCGTCGACGAAGTGTCTACTGGTCTCGATCCCATCTCCCGACGCAGGATCTGGGAGATTCTTCTCGCTGAACGTGACCGACGTACTATTATCATGACGACACATTTCTTGGACGAGGCGGACTTCTTGGCTGATCACATCGCGATCATGTATAAGGGTTCCTTGAGGGCTGAAGGTACGGCCGCCACATTGAAACATACATTCGGAAATGGTTATACTGTTAAGATTCCCCAGGCGATTGACTTGGATATTCGGATTTCTGGCCCCATCGAAAGGGAGATTACGAGGCATCAGATGGTCTTCCGTGTCGCCTCACCTGCACTTGCTGCCGAGTTGGTCGAGCAGTTGCAACGACACAACGTCCCTGACTACCAAGTCTCTGGTCCCACGATGGAAGAACTGTTCCTCAAAGTTACTGGAAATACCATGCAGGATGCTCAGGCCACCGCAATGCCCGAGGAGAAGAAGAAGTCAAAGAAGAAGGGCAAGGAAGCCGTTGTCATCGAGGAAACACCAGAACATGTTGTGGTGGACATGAACCAGAACTACGAGCTGACCAGTGGTCGACCTATCTCTGCCTTCAAGCAGTGGTACATTCTCTACCGCAAGCGTTTCCGTATCTTGCGTCGTCGCTTCATCCCCTACTTTGTCGCCCTCGCTATCGCTCTTGTTGGTGCCGGAGTCGCGCCATTTCTTATCAAGAAGATGGACAAACCTATGGCATGCCCCGACCCCAACGTCGGCACATTCGACTCTGATTACCGATACGATCTGAGCAAATCCACAGCGCACAATTTTGTCATCGGACCAAGCAGACTAGTAACAGATCGCAAGCTGCAGCAGATTGTTGACCTTTACCCGCGAGGCCTTACCGGCAACGAATACGATGGATACACCGATTCCGGCTTTGACAATCTTGCGGATCTCAAGAAGCAATTGATCATGGTCGACACTCGCGACGAGTTCACCGGCTACGTCAAGGACAGACAGGCTTACGCAGCTGCACACCCTCTGGAACCCATTGATCGACCTGCGGATGCCGGACTCTGGCTCGACGAGAACGATCCGACGGTGATGATCCTAGCTGGAGATTACGACTATCGCTTCATAGCTGGGACGATGAACTTTTTCAACATGATGCTGAGCAACGTGAAGATATCGGCCGGATTCTACAATTTCGCGTACAACGCTTTGCCTGTCATGTACAAATTCGATCCTCTCATCTTTACGGTCTACTATGGCATCCTCCTATGCGCCTATCCGGCTTTCTTCGCGCTCTACCCTACCAATGAACGACTCTCGAACGTGCGGTCTATGCAATATTCCAACGGCATTCGACCTCTTCCCCTATGGAGCTCGCATCTTGCCTTCGACAGCATATTGGTTGCACTCTCATCTGCCGTCGCCACGGTGTTACTCTACAACTCCACGCCTATCTGGGTCGGCTTGGGTTACATCTTCGTTATCATGTTCCTCTACGGCACGGCATCTGCGCTGTTCAGTTACTTGGTTTCCATGTTCGCCAAGTCTGCCGTGACAGCTTGGTTCATCTGCGCATTGTACCAGTTGATCATGTACTTCGCATACTTCGGTGGTCTCCTCGGTGTGACGTCTACTGTGGAATGGACCGAGCTCGAAGCTGAGATGAACAGTCTCTTTTTCGGTATGGCCATCTTCTCGCCCGCGATCAGCCTTCAAAGGGCATTCGATATCGGGTTGGGTCAGTTCGCAACTCTCTGCAATGGCCACTCGTATTCCTCTCTCAAATTGTTTGGTGGACCGATCCTGTACCTCGTTATCCAGAATGTTCTGTTCTTTGTAATTCTGTTATGGTGGGACAGCTCTTTCGCCATCCCAGCCTTCGGTAAGAAAACGATCATCCACGACTCCGAGAAGACCGAGATGCAGACGGGTGATCTGATGGAAGAGCTCAAACGCCTTCGATCCCACAACACCGATCTTCACGTCGAGAATGTTAGCAAGTCTTTCGGCAAGAACCTCGCAGTCGACCACGTCACCTTCGGCGTGCAAACATCCGAGATCTTTGCGCTCCTCGGACCAAACGGTGCAGGAAAATCCACCATCATCTCCATGATCAGAGGAGACCTCCGCCCCTCTACATCCTCCTCCAGCATCACCATCGCCGGCCACTCAATCACGTCCTCGCCCATCGCCGCCCGTTCCAACCTCGGCGTATGCCCGCAATTCGACTCCGCCGACGTCCTCACCGTCGCAGAAACCCTCCGCTTCTTCGCCAGAACCCGAGGCGTCATCGACGTAGAACACAACGTGAAGACCGTCATCGCGGCCTGCGGCCTCGGCCCCTGGACCAACCAACTAGCCCAAAAGCTCTCCGGAGGCACGAAGCGCAAGCTCTCCCTCGCCGTCGCCCTCGTCGGCAACCCGCGCGTCCTCGTCCTCGACGAACCCTCCAGCGCCCTCGACGCCAACGCAAAGCGAAACATGTGGCGTACCCTGCAAACCGTGTCTCGCGGGCGCGCGCTGGTCCTCACGACGCACTCCATGGAGGAAGCCGACGCCCTCGCCGACCGCATCGGCATCGTGTCGTCCCGCATGCTTGCCATCGGCGAGCGGGAGGCGCTCAAGAAGCGCGCGGGAGACTCCTTCCATATCCACCTCGTCGCGCGCTCCGCGCCGCGCACCACCCAGCAGGAACTCGATATCATGAGGCAGTGGATCAACTACGCGTTCCCGGATGCGAAGATCAGCCGTGAGACTCAGGGCGGGCAGATCCGCTTCGAGATCCCGGCTGAGGGCCGCGATCTGGTCGGCTTGACTAGGGCGCTAGAGTTCGTGAAGGGGGATCTGGGGATCGAGTTCTACAGTGTCGGTAAGGCTACGCTGGATGAGGTGTTCGAGAATATTGTTAAGAACTATGGGGATTACTCGAGAGATGCGTACTAAAAGGGCTTTGAGCCAAAGGCCAAAATCCCGTTATTGGTTTTCTTATTTCTTTTGTCATGATACCTTCCTTCGAGGCGTTCAAGCATGTATTTGGGTTAAGATTCCCCGGATCGATTCTTGGGACGGCCACACCATTTTGTAGAACAGAAATACCCATATAGTAAAATACACATCGACGATACGTACGTATCATAGTCTCTGAAATTCTAGTGAACGACTCTTTGTGTGTAGGCTGTTTAAGGTTTGCTGAGATGGGACCTCCCGTAGCCGTGCACGCGTGTGATTGGTGCGGCCGGAAGCATCGCCATCGAGGCGGTGTCCGCAATGCGAAAGCGAACCCGAGCAGCGTCAAGAAAAAGAAAGAAAACCCAACGAAGCGAGCGAGAAAGGAGGAAAAGTCAGGCCGTGCGAATCACAGGGCAATATACAAGGGCGCCATGCATGCCACAATGCTGAAATACCCAGATAAACTGCACTATCCGCCATGGATTGCGGTACCGACACTCTGTCACGACCTTGAATTGGTGAACGCTTGTATGCCTCATTCGGCGTGCAGCAGTTCCAAGACCCTGTGCGGCACGGGTAGAGCCGTCCACGCGTGCATTGCGGGACGGTGGTAACAGAAGTTTTCCTGTTGCGGAGAGTGGTAATATTTATTGCTTGGGGTCAAACTATATTTCGACGTCGGCTTCCCTAATGTTCTTCTAGCAGCTATTCCTGCGAACCCTTCAGATTTTGGTACCCTAAAGTTGGCCCAAGCCATCTCGCCATACATACGAGACTATTATATCACACGCTTCTTCCCAGGCTCAAGAATTCTCGCCCTTTTGCTGACCAACGGACTATCAGGACTCAAATTGTTGATATCGTGGGCATCCAGACATGCTTGCCGCGACAGCAATACAGCCTCATATGTCCGAGATCGCATCTCCTGTTCGTACACCTCGACTGCTTGCTCCAAGAGATCGGGATCATACCCATTCTTGAACGCCTCCACTATCAGATTGCCTAACTTTGCGGCATCTGTTATCCCGTGGTTGAACCCTTCTCCACGGAACATGGTCATAGCATGCGCAGCATCGCCAACTAAAGTCACATGGTTATCCATGCCATCCCATTCTCGCGGAAGCCAATCTGTTATCTTCACCTCGAGCACTGGCGCATCGTCCATTACATCCCAGACTATCCGCCGGAGATTAGGATCGAAATTCTGTGCCATGGCCTTCATCTTTTGGACCCGCTGACGATTTGTAGCTGGGACCTCATCTTCCGCTGATCGATAATGCCAACTTAGCATCAGTTGTGCCTCAAAGTATTCATTGTATCCAGTCCCTGCACTACCATTCGTTGCGGGTACGCTCAGGATCGAGCACCACATGAACACGCCGGTGTCTGGGTGGGATCCTTGAAAGAGCAAAGGATCTATGTCGCGCAGGTGCTGTGCTTGGAAAGGATCCAGCCTCATAGTTGTCCCCATAAACCGCATTGGAAGCTGGTTCAGACTTCCCGCATCTGGATCAAACGCGTATAATAGACGCCGTGTGCGAGACGAGGAACCATCTGCACCGATCAGCAAACAGCCTTCGATCGTAGTGCCATCCTCGAAATGAGCCAGAATGGACCCGCTCGTTTGTGTAAAGTTGTGGAGTGCCTTGTCCCACTGTATGTTCAAATCCTCTCGCAACAGAGCGCGCAGCTTCCGGCGGTGAAGACGCATTCGTTTCGAAGGTGGGATGACATATTTCGGTTCGCCCGTCTTAAGATCGAGGAAAAGAAATCGACCGGTATCGTTAATGCCTTGTTCAGGATCCACTTGGATATCCAGTAATCGAGCGAAGAGCTTCGGTGGAAGACATGCCTCGAGGGCAGGCAGGGCCCAGTGTACCGTCAGGCCCCAACCCTCAAGATTGTGCGTCGGTGAGGGGTCTCTTTCGAAGACTTGATATGGGACTTTGGCCTTGTGCAAGGACTGCGCCAACGTCAGGCCAACAATACCTCCTCCTGCGATAATGATAGGAAGCTTGCTGTTCATAGTGCAAGGTGTGAAGTGTCTATCAGGGAACACAAGAGAGAGTGTGAGGATATTGCATCCAGGTTAGAACCATCGCACAAAGCCAGCCTACCCTACGAATTCTGGAGCCGTTACAAAGAATCCGAATGACACGCTTAAACCTGCCCACCTAACCAGCGAGGTATCGTGGACGACTACACAATCCTAGCTAACCCAAGATCGTTTTGTGGAACGCGATATCGGGTAAGAAATTTCAGGTCAAGGTCACGAATCAACCAGAGTGTGTTCACGGGGGGCATATGCGGAGACTGATGCCCTACGCAATTGAGAACACGAAATCGCCAGGTGCGAAGAGGGATTTGGCTGATGGCATGCATGCGGTAGTGGCCCTGGTGCGATTTTGGCAAGTTCAACGACTGTGGGCCCGATAGCCCGTGGGAATAAACGATTACCCTCAATGCCGGACCGCTGTAACCGCCAGCGTTGAGTACCGCAATGCGTGATACTCTTCAGACACCTTGATTGTGGCATCGATTCGGCACCAATCCAGCGAACGTATGTGCCCCTAGGCTTCAAAAGAGAACAAGCACTCAGGCTATTCAGGACAACACTGTATCCCTTGGTGGAGCGTGTTCCACTAGTCCCTGCTCACTTGCAGAAAGATGATAGTCATGTGGCGGAGTGAGAAATCCTGCATTAGCGACACATGGTAGTGTGGAATAGAATGAACAAAGAGTTCGATTCCGTCTCATGGATTTCCGCAGCCTTGTTCACTCTGTTGCAACGCTGTCGTCCGCACCAGACCCTGAAATCCGGAGAGGGGGCTTCAATTGACGGCGCACTAATAAGCCGTTGAGATGGTCTCTGTAATTGAGCCTTTGACAGTCTCGGTGGCGTCTTTCAGAAGAATTTCATCATCCTAAACCGCCGACGATACTCGTTCGTAGCGGCAGACTAAAGAAGGGCCTCCACCCCGCCAAGGCAAAACTGCATGCCACCGCTCACCTGCAGCCCGTCTGCAATCGTATGCGAGTATATGTCCGCTTGATTAATTCAGGAAGTTCGTCCGTCGTATCATTGATGTATTCAGATCGATTAATGACGCTTAGCATCGTAATCTGCCATTTTTCTTGACGGATTAACAACAGTGTAGGAAGCATAATCAATCAACACAAGTGCAAGTAGATTTCTAAAGACGCACAGGCCGGGTTGACACGTGACATGCACTCCTCTCATCTCATTTATCCTCCAGAACAAAGATCAAGACTGCATTGCTTCTGATAGAGACCGTTCGAAACTTGACGAATAGAGCGATGTGTATCGATGTCATGGATGATTGCAGTTCTGGCAAGAGTTTCGTGCATGAAAGGCGACCGAGCCAATTCTGGTGATGAGCTACCCCTCCTCCAATGATTCGCTTATCAGCCCGAAGATTCGCCCTTCCAATCATGTACCAATGAGGCTACCAGCTCAAACCGACTCATGTCGTTTAGAGGAGAGATCGCCATGAATCCAAGAGCGGTTACCTCATTTGTGGCACCATGTAAGATCTGCCTCATATCACCTAACAGGAAACGAGAGAAGCACTAATGAGGAAAGAGGTTTGAATAAGAAGCCGGAATTGGGTTATGGTCATCTTGCTCGCAGACGAACAAATCATAAGCTATCAAAGAGATATTCGAAGAACATGTGCTCAATCTGTGCCAGATAGACCCCACGCAGCGTCACGAAATAAACTAGTTCAAGCGAGCCCATCAAAACCCAGTCTCCGTGATTTGGCGAATGGCCTTCGCAGTCCACCTCTGCGTGGGCCTGCCCTCATTTCTTCCGTTCAGGGCAACCCTCTCGCTGCCTTCCATTGTGTCGAGATAGAGATTCTGGCCGCTGTATCCGTTCCAGAAGTACCATGTCCCATCACCCCATGGCTTGATGGTCCAATACTCTCCCCAGCTACCAGCTGCGTCCCCGACAACTGGCTTGGTCTTATCATCACCATACACATCGAGGCGGCGATTCGCGCCGAGGAAGAGATTGCGAATGAAGTACGTGCCGTCGCTGTTGGACTTGATCTGCCAGAATTGGCTTGGATCGTTCGAGTCACGCTGCATCTGGATGCGACCAGTGCTGTTGGAACCACCGTCGTTGATGACGGCAAGCGAGTAGCTGTTTGGATTGTAGGTGTTCTTCAACCTGTACCATTGCTTGCTGTCGAAGTCTCCAGTAGGTGGCTGGTCAACTGGCTTGACGGTGATGTTGAACGTGATGGTCTCAGAAGGCTGAGGGATATTCGTAATCGAGACGAATGTATCATTTCCCGCATAGTCCTTGCTATTGGGATTGGAAGTGGCAGTAAAGCTGACATTGTTCGCAATACCCGGGAATGGGTCGCCAGCATCACCGCCGCCATTGTTGGCCTTGAGCTGGTCGAGGCCATCGGCCTGAAGGATCTTGACCCAGGGGCGATTCTCATCGGTGTTTGACCACTGGTTGTCATCGATATGCCAGACGAGCAAGCCGGCTCCGGGAAGAGATCCATCAAAGCCGGTCAGCTGTCTGTTTTCAATGAGGAAGTATTCTTTGCTGCTGGCGTCGCCGTTCTTCCACAGACGATGAGTCTTCAAACCGGACTTCACATCCTTCAGAGTAACCTGCCGGTTCTCGGTTTCGTTGACGGTTTCGATCCAGCCTTGAGACGCCTTGCACCCTGTATTTGACATGTCAGAGATTTAAATATTGGATTCCGATACGTTCGGAACTTACAGGCAGATGGGTGGACAGGGCGGTAACCTCCACCACCCCAAGAGCCAAAGCTCATGAGACACCAGCTGCCAATACCAGCAGAGCTGTAATCAGTATCATATAGATCAGGCCATCCGAATACTATATTGTGGTAAGTACAATTTCCCAATACAATGCGAGCCTAGCTTACCCAAGTGGCCGATTTCATGTGCGCAAACACCGCATTTTGCATCCTCGGCGACAGACAAGAAGCCGTAAACCTTTACGCCTGCAATTACAAATAAGTAAAGAACAATCATAAGGATAGACCGATAATTACCATTGACTTGACGTTCGTTGGGAAGAGTCCACTTGATACTCCAGATATCGTTCTTGTTGCCTGTCTCGTCTGCAGCCCTTCCGGCATGAACAACAACATAGGCGTCAACCTATCCAGCGTCAATAAATCCGGTTACGCAATTGAGCAGTCAATTAACACTCACATAACCGTTACCGTCGTTATCATAGGGGGCAAAGTTGATTTGGCCGATAGCCTTATCGAGTGCCTCGTTCGCCATGGTTTGAGAATTTGGCTCGGGCCAACCGTAGCCGTAATCTACACCAGTCAGAAAAGCACACGCTAGATCATATGGGTGGATGACTTACTGCCGTTGGAGTAGTACGACATTGGTTTGCTGAGGGTGAAAGGACCAACGACCTCTCCTGTCAAGGAGATCTTGCCATTGGAGACCTCCGAGAAGTACTCAGTGACAGATCCGGTGGGAACCTTTCCCTTGGAAAAGAACAAGTCCTGGAAGCGCTGCTTGGTGCCCGCCGCCATCTTGACGTCCGAGAACTCGGCTAGGACGATGGCAACCCTGTGTAGGACATTAGCATCACTTCCCACGGAATTCTTTCTTGCACGTACTTGAGGGCACCCCGGAGCGGGGCACGATCGGCGGCAGCTTGGCTCATGGCCATGACTGAAGTCGGCGTCTTGTAATGGGTTTTGGGGAAGATGGTTCCATCGTTCTGACCAGGGAACCTGCGTTCTCCGGCGATGAACTTCCGAGTCTGGGCTCGGAAAGAAGCATCATTTCCAACACCCTGAACCTTCAGAGACGCTTCGGCCTTGGTGCGTGCAATGAGATCTGGGTGAGGGGGCACTAGGCACGGATGCTCAGCGTGACAACGAGGTGCCATGATGATACAGCTGTTGAAAATGATTTGGGGAAAGCAAGTTGGTATGAGTTGAAGTATTTATTTCTGGATGTCGTATCTATACGATCAAGCAGTTTGAACGACAGACGATGAGCGCGAGAAAGGGCACATTTATATCTTCATCTTGCTCTTCAAAATCAATATGGTTGCCTTTGTGAGCGGCCGCCCAGACTTGTGGTCGACGATTGGGGAAGCTGACATCGCCATAGCTGAACGAAGAACGTCTTGCACTACCAATGAGCGTTTAGAAACAGTGTCACCACAATAGCAGCCACCTCCGCCAAAACATGCGGAGCAGAAGCAGACATGTTCAATAAAACTTCAGTATTCTTTCACATGAGGGGTAGATATCGCGTTTCTATTGTTCTGATGACCGGTCAGCTCCAGCGTAAATCACATCTTGGTGGTTGCAGGTTCAAGACATTGTGGCTGTCACGGGCCGGGATGTCGCCTCTGCATACGAGAATCTAGATCTTGCCAATATCGTTTCGCAAACTTTCGCAAACACAGTTTTTGAGACTCTGCGAGAGCATTTGGGAAGTTCAGGTCAAAGTCTCTCAGTTATCGTTTGGAGCTTGAAGCTTGAAGGTATTGGTGTAAACGTTATTGCATAGGGCAAAGACGGGTTTATGCGAGAGAACCACCTCGTAGCCAATCAGCTAAGGGCTGAATACCACTCCGTGTTCTGCTGCATCTTTATCATCCAGCTCAAGGTGCATCAAAGCCCATAGGCCAGGATCCCATGGCCAAAAGCCTTTGAACGGGTTTGGCGGTGATCAGCTTTCAGCTTTCGCGCCCCTTCATTTTGTGGCGCGTCTGAACAGTTCAGGTGATGCAGCCTAGAGAATGCAGGCAATGGAAAAGTCTCCGATAGGAGCTGAGATGCTTCATAGCACTAGCATCTCCGTTTCCGATCTAAAATTGACGAGCTCTGAGAACGTTTTGGGAATATGGATGGCATTCAGGCGGAGTACTCCACATGTGAATTAGAGATGGGCCTAGTCCTTTTTGGGGCTTGATCACAACCTTGTACTACCAAAGACAACAATGCTTTTGCACAGTGAATATCTGGGCTAGATGTGCTACTGCTCTTCAATATTCCAATAATGAGATTCTTTTGATTTGACTTGCAGCCCTAGGCACATTTCGCAGCCTCTCGACTCGTTGATCACAGGAAAGTCTTCTGGCAGTAAAATCAAGACATGAATCTGGGTCAGTTACCAGATTAAGCAGATACCGCGAGACATCCAATTTATTGTTCATCACATCGGGCAATGACATCAAACATTGAATCTAGACCCTTCACATTCCATGCTATACCGCCAATTGCTGCCTCATTGGAAGAGTGCAGCGGTCCTTGTTTGTTCAAGCTACGTGTTGCGGTCTTGGCTGTTGTTTTTCATACTTAGAACCCCATTCTTGCATTCGTGAAAGAAGTTAGGCATCGCTAACTCCCGAATTTCTAATCCAATCAGATGATCGACACGACATTGTGAATGTGAATGAAGTCGTTTACATTCTTAGCGAAACAGTTCCTTATTCAACGAGAGTTCATTCACGGCTCGATCCGAACATCACCCATCTCACGCTGAACCGTGCTAGAAGAAGCGTGCATCGTCCGAGATAGAGCAAGACACCGAAGGTCAGGCCGAAACTTTCTCATATAACTACATTGAAGAGATATACTTTTGTCGGTCGACAGTTCCCTGGATGCACATTGCGTCGGCGCAATTAAACAAGGAGACTCAGTGCACAATGTAGAATAATACGAAATGATCGCAATCGAAATTCTATGGAGGCAATGCTGGGCACGTGAAGTGAAATATTTCAGGCTTGTCGGCAATCGGGAATGCAGAGTCAACATTCCCAGAGCGCAGGTTACTTGATAATCATCGTGACAATCTGGCCTAAGTCGCCCGTGGTAGTCACTTCGAGTCTTGATTGAGCGACAACGGATACCACTGACCCTTCATGATGCACTCCACTCGCAGCAACACCTACACTCATTTTTGCTTCTCTGTCAATGTTCCGTCGCTCCAACACTTTCATTTCCCAGGTTTGCTTGTTCCATCCCGTTTTCTCAAATCATAATAGACGAAAGTTACAGACTACAGACTAGAACATCACGAACAAAGTTCACACAATATCATTGTCAGTCCACATCAGTATACACAATGATCGGACGGCATTGTACACAGCCAAACTTCTAGCCAGTCGGCAGTACTATATATTTACCATTCGATGAACTCTATGTTACACTATACGCTTGTCTACATCGTCGATACAGCCACACGAAGTACAATGTGGATTACCGTTCGAAAACTCTCGGCTGAATACTCGTGGAATTCTACGAAATATGGCGTATGGCTCGCCGAACGCCTCGAAACAGGAGAGCCATGTGTGCTGAAGAATGCCGACCCTGTCTACGACTCTGGCGGGGTGCGACAGGAGATCATTGCTTTAGGGCAGCTAAGTCATAACAACATCATCAAAATGTATGACCACAAGATCAATGCAGGAGAAGACGTTAGTATATTTCTGGAATATTGCGACAGAGGAACGTTGGCTGAGTTCATCGAGGAACAGAGCATGTCCGAGTACATACCCCCTGAAGAGTTCGTCTGGCACGTCTTCGAGTCCATAGCTGCAGCCCTGACAGAATGTCACAGATCGCAAGGCACAGATGGACGGATAGTTCACCTCAACATCAAACCCGGCAACGTGTTCCTCTCCAGCAAGTCTGCTGATGGCGCTCCCATAACCTCCGCCTATCCACGAATTGTTCTAGGCGATTTCGAAATGTCCATTACCGAGTCGCAACATGCGCGCAACATGCGGGAGGATCCCAAGGAAGGTCATGAGAACCATAATACAGACAATGATTTCTTACCCCCGGAAGCGCCGATGTTCTCCTTTCGCAGCGATGTCTACCAGCTTGGACTACTGATATACTGTTTATGCAATGTAGTCGACGATCCTGGATTTCCCCGCTGGGGTAATTCTACTAAACGGACGAAGTTGTTAAAGAAAATCGCATTCAAACCTATTTCTAAAACATACTCAGTGAATCTATTCGAACTCGTCTGGGAGTGCTTGCAACTAGATCCTGAGGCGCGGCCACAGTCGTGGGAACTCTTGGACAAAATCAGGGAGGCAAGGCAGTCGTGAGAGATTGGTTTAGCACTGGGCTTCTAGGGCGTTGTTTCTTAGTTTCACATTTTCAAATACCAGATGTCGTTCCGTTGCGGAAACCATAGAAAACCAAGTGTCTGGGGGTTTGATATCTTTACAATACTATCAATTCCCCAACAATAGTTATTTGCTCTTTCTTCTCCCCCTGTAGACTCGTTCACTGGATGATAGTTCTAGCGCCAACAGTGCCAACATTAAGCACATCGATCATCCTGGTCGTCCTAAAGCTCTGGTAGAATGAAACTGTAGTATTTTTTTACCCATGTTTGATGCAATAAGCTTAATAGTAGTTTACAAAGAAGCCTCGTTGTGCACATTTGAGGTCATGACTGTAGATTCTCACCACCAATCCATCTTCTGCGTGAACATGTACTCGAGCCTTTCGAAAAACATTGAAAACATTGAAGTGCAGTTAGATTCAACTGGCCAACCCATGATACGATCAAAGTCGGTGTCGATCTACAGATGAGTTCTTTCGCTTCTCTACCATTCTTTTTGGGAACCGAAAACTCGTCATCAAATTTCTGCGTATTCAGATCAGGTCGTTGGTAATGTAGAATGCATCATCCCTGTGATATTTGCATAACGACTAGGATTTCTAACACAGATAATCGCTACCCGGAACACAGCAAGATGATTCTAACGAGATATTGGTGCTTCCAAAATCGAAACTGGTCCATGATTGCAGCTGCATCTGGTTTTGTTCCAAGAGGTCATACCCGACCAAGCCGGGTTTATCCATAGATGATCACATGAGAGATGTTGTTCTCACAATCGAAAGTACTGAAATTTCCTCAAAGTATGAGGCCAATATTCAATAACGATGCTCCAGTTATAAGAATTGTGAAGACGGGCTCTGGCCACCGGGGGAGGCATTTGACCTAGCAAACGACCGTTTTTGCGCCACACCGATGGGAGATTCGAAATGAGACTTTGAATAACGAGCTACTTCATGCTTTCAATAGTCTGAAACTCTACACTAAATTGTAGCTAACATAAGGTCCAGACGAGTTTGGATATTTGATCACTCGCTAATGCCGCTTCATGAAGCCATCGCTAGACACTTCAGGCAAACTTGATTGAGGCATTATGCGTTGTGGAGCCATCTAACTCTAGTACGTCGATGGCGGAAGTATCGTGGAAATGTTGATTAGCGTAAGCCATCCAAGTATCAAACCAGGTCGCCGTCATGAGATGTGTTGTCATGTTATCCTTGGGCGGGTCGATAGCGGGGCCACTCTTCTTTCTGGCGGTGGCCTTCTGATCGGAAGCCTTCTTGACAACGGTCATCTTCTTGGGTTTTCTTGAGTATGGCCAGTGATCAAGAATCTTTTCAGCAAATGATCCAGCTGAAATTGTTGGCAGCAGCACGAACATGCCTTTTGCTTGTAGGATCGAATAACTCGCGAATGTTGTCAAGGGTGAAAGGCTCCTCATCCTGTCGAATTCTGCAGCACCTTCTCTCGGCACATATCGGAGTTCAATCCTTCTTAGATGATGCATGACGCTCCTATGTAGGGACTGCCATGTCTCCGATGGCATGGCCATGCCAGGGCGGGCTTGTCTGCCTCTTCTATTCTTCCTCTGAAGTGGCGTTTTATATATATTTTCAGGGGTGCCACGCCCTTAGCAATAGTAGCCGACTTCTCCGCGCGATTGCGTTCAGTCTTAGTCGACTTGATATGCACATAGACCTGGTACCGTTTCGTCTCGTACCATATGCTGACTTTGGATCCCCTTGAACGTGGTGCTCTCCGTGCAGTATAATCTTGTGGAGGAAAGCGCCGCAATGACCAGCATTGAAGAGACCGTTCAACGCTTCGAGCACTGGATTCCGCTTCTTCACATACTCGAGCCGTATTTTCTGCTTCTTGTCCTGTAGCTCTTTGGCCGTGTAGCCGCTGTGGCCGAGGTCGGACGATGAACTCAGCACGTCCTCTGCCATATCATATACCTGCTCTCACTGTCGGACTTTGCGTCCCCACCCTTCCGCTTATCGGGTCGCTTCACCTTGAGTTTGACTCTGTGGATTGGCGTCATAAATTCAAAAATTGGAAGGATAGAACACAGATTGAGCGTCCGCACGGTCTTGGAATTTATGCGCATGCGGTCTGCTCCCCCATCCATCGTATGGAGATCCTTGGCGTGGCGATCAGCCGCATATGCGTATATAGAATTCGCCTTGTTACTAGCCGCTAATCTAAGGCGATATACATTCGCCTGGGGCATTGTATCCCTGATACGATGCACCTGTCTGTTTGGATGGACGACGCATGACGACATTAGGTCTCTTTGTAGCATAACCCTCGACCAAATGAAGCTACGTTTGGCGCCAACTTTGCTGTACGACTTACTGTTGTTGGCCACGAACTTATCGAATGCGGCCACCATGTGGCACAGATAGGAGGTAGATTCATTGGCAACGTCGCTGAAGTCGTCGACATCCGCCTGTTGGTCCGCGTCATTGATCAAAGCCCTCAATGTCTTTTATTCATGATGGATGGATAGGAAGAACGCGATCCAGCATCTAGTAGCAGTTACATGTGGATTCGAGGGTCATAGTAATTTCAGTCCCGCATTATTGATGTGAATGCCACCCGAATTACAATCTTAGATGCCGCGGTGTTTGGGAATCGCACTCCACATAGTTGCAGTCATGTCTCTGCTTTTATTGCGACACTATGTGCGAGCTGGGAGCCATTGCGCATGTCCATTCAATCTTCGAGTAAAGGACCGCTCTTTGGTGAATCAGAGTGCCTGCGAAGTTCCACAACCGCAAACTCTGCCTCATAGGTAATGCGTAGATATTGATTGGCAATGCCACCGAAGTCAACGTTATGCGCTATTGCAGCCGGATATGCATCGAATCATGGGATCCATCCTTTTGGTATGCAGATACAGCAGATTGGGCTCATGGACCTGGCATTTTCGAAATGTTAGACAACTAAAAGATGTCGAACTCGACATGTCCAGCACGACGAAATGTGATATCAACTGGACTGGTCGCTTATATGTACGGCCGCCCTCGTACAAGTCTGTTGAAGAACTACCAATCGATTGACAGCATAGGAAGCGCAATCCATAGCTTTGATCATAGCTTGGTAGTAAGTGCTTCTTAGGATCATTCTCGTTCAATCAACATGTGCGTGTCGACCCTAATGTTGGACCGAAAGGGTTTCTCTCCTCATGGACCAGTGGGTTGAGCATGGGAAGGTTTTATGAAGGACGGGCTGTTAAATTCGTTCTCAACAAGGAACATGGCAGCCGGGAGAACCGAGAAATTTGCTAAAGCCTCTCTGGCAAGAGAGACAACCTGGCTGGGAGCGTTGAAGGTATACTTGCAGGTATCAATCACCAGAAGTACGGAATTCTTCCATTCTGGTGTGGAGATTGTGAAGTGAACTCTCTTGTCCATATCAGATTTGTCTCTCGCTCGCGGAACGCAGGGTCATTGCATTCCCAGTAGCAGTCGTACGGCATTGACTTAGCTGCATAGTTCCTTACTCCAAGCTTCTTTAGGACATCCTTTGGGACGCGTTTGACTCCATGCCCAGTTGACATCCCAAGCCAGGACATAAATCAATTCCTTTGCTGTTTGAAGGATTCATAACCTGACATGGCATGTCTTTCCAAATTTTGTGCCGACCGGACAGCTTGAGTCATACAACCGAATCTATGAGAAAGGATCGTCCAGTACCATTGGTATAATACTGACCTATTTTGACTCACGGTGTACGCATATAAACGCCTCCTCCTACATGCGGCAATCCGGTTGCTTCGCCAGGCTCCCCACAAAGATCATGGGATCTTCACTCCAACTTCTCTTGCTGCCATCCGTGGGCTTGGAGCTCATGAAAAGGCACAAACATAATATGATGGCACAGAGTCTTTATCACGGGTACCTTCTCGGCCAACAATTGGCGGAAGATCTATGTTTTTGGCGCTTGGAAAGAGGATTCTCTCCACATACTCGCTGCAAGCGTCTGATTTTTATCGCTCGTGATAGACAGATGAAAGACTCGATTCGATCCGAAACATGTTTCTTGTAGACGGGATCTGGAACGAGCAGTCCAGGCTTGACTCATGGTCAAATAGTATTTTGATGTCTTGAAACTGTCTGATTTCATTCTAAGGCGGTAGACATCTGCCTGTGGCATAGTGTCTTCGATTCGGTGGACTCGGCCATTTGGATGCACCACGCACAAGATGTCCTTAACCATATATTTGGAAGCACATATAGCAGATCATGTCTATCGTGGGCAAAATCTCCCAGCCACGACATGAAGTCTAGCGATTGAGACTTTGAAGGCCGTTTCTAAATCGCGTCCAGCAAGTGGGGACGGAGCTGATTGTGGAAGATCCCTCAGCATGAGTTGTCCGAGTCGAATTTCGGAAGCCCATAAAACAAACTTTCATATATTCCCGTCCCCTGTGCGAGTTGATCGCCAATTTGGGGCGGTCCATCTCGTGTATGAAGAAAAGGCGATCTCCTCCAGCCATTCAAATTGAATCGGAACTCTAGCTTTTTTTTTGAGTTCATGGAGTCAAACAGGACACATACTTGGCTTTCGCACGTGTTTATGATAATACTTTTGGTCCGCGACCACACATCAAGTGAGGAGAAATGTATGGGACGGACGGCCTCCTCCCCGGCTCATGCCTGAGAATAGATACCTCTTTAATATTCACGTATAGCAAATCATCAAACTGACGGCCACCATAAATTGAACGTATTTGTCGTACGACTCCGCGCCACTCGTCCTCCCACCATGCTAGTATTGTTTTGCTACTAAAAGCAAAACTCATCTGACTTCCCAGAACATGACACAAGGTGTTCCGGCAGTTTCTTTCCTGCGCCACATGCGTACTCCTCCCTAGTCGTTCTGTCGTTGTACATAGCTTTTTTCGGAAAAGCCACTCCTTGCATGCTTTTTCAGAAGCAGGACATACAGATTCTCAATCATCGTTTTGATCAAGTGCGAATTGGTTTCTCACGACGGGAGCTCGGCTGCTCGCCATCACGTATATGGTGCCGAAGTGTTTATGATTAGTGAACGTTGTCCAGACCAGACATCATCGCTATCGTTTTCGTCGATATGCCGGGGCATTAGGCCCATGCACTTAGCCTTTGGGAAAAACCACAGACATGGCACTTGAGCGTGTGCATGTTTGGACCACATGTGGAAGTTTGCCTGTCTTCTTTTCGACTGTTTTGTCCCAATGCTTTCGAGAGCAACATTTCGTTATTCCAGCTCTGTTTTGACAGTGAAACAGACACTGGTTTCCTTCCCCCATGGCACCGATTGCTTGCTTCCTTGATCTCGCAAGACATGTTTTTCATGGACCGGAGCTTCTCATGGGGGCGATCTGGTTGGCATTTCCACACATACCCACTCGTAAACCTTCGGTTGGCCATCCATGCGACAATTCTCCCAGAGAAGACAGGAAACCGCATGAAACTATTGACCAAGATAGTTTTTCGAACCCATACATCGAACTGGTCAGAGATTTGTCAAGTGGAGTTTTTCCTCCCCAGGGATTCTCGCGATAGACATAGTCAGTCAGCACCGCAATTTCTCATGACGATGGCCAGAGTGAGATGTTGGATGGACAACTAATCGGACGGGAACATGACTGTCTTTGAAATCCGCTCAGCGCAGACACATCAGACTTTCTTCTGCCACGTTGACAAGCGCGAGACGAGCGCTCATCAAATGGGAAAATGACGTGTTTTAAAATCCGCCCAGGGCACACACACATCAAATCTTTTTCTGCCATGTTTTCGAGCGCTAGACTGGTGCTCATGAACATTATCCATGGCAGTGGGACGGAGTTTCTGGAAAAGGGAGAGAGGAGGGGGAAGGACATGGCTTTGTGCCAAAGATTCTTTAGAAAGCATGGTTTGTGACGTAGGAAGCTTTGTGTGATGTTTTTCGAAGTTCACTCAGCGCACACACACATGAGATCTTCTTCTGCAACGTTGAGGAGCGCAAGACGGGCGCTCATGAGCGATTCTCCATAGCAGTCGTGCGGAGTTCCCTAGCAAAAGGCGAGGGAGGAGGGGAAAGGACATGGCTTTGTGCCAGGAGATTCTTTGGAAAGCATTTTCCGTAATTTGGAAAGCGTTGTGGTGTTTTCTGAAGTCCACTCAGCGCAGACAGACATGACACCTTGGACTGTCACGTTGACGAGCGCGAGACGGGCGCTCATGAATAGCATTCATGTCAGTCGGGCGGAGTTCCTGGAAAAGGCGAGGGAGGAGGGGAAAGCACATAATTTGTACCAGGATATCTTTTGGAAAGCATAGACCGGTAAAGTCTGTGATTTTTTGACGTCGAGATTGTCGAGAGGAGGGGAAAACACATGGCTTTATGCCAGGAGACCTTTTGGAAAGCATATTCCGGGAAAGTGTCAGATTTTTTGACGTCGAGTTTGTCGAGAGGAGGGGAAAAGACATAACTATGTCAGAGGATCCTTTTGGAAAGCATGTGCCAGGATATTTTAAGTTATGTTTTGATGTCGAGTTTGTTGAGAGGACCGGACATCGATGTGTTGGATGAGTTTTTCGAGGTGGAGATTTTGGGAGTTGAGTTGTGTGGTTCTGGAGAAGGGGGAGGAGAGGGTACTTATATCCTGGGTTTATCCGGTATTGAGAGGCGGTTCCGCGATCTTGAGATGATGCTTAAGCGTCATGAGGCCTTTGAGCGAACGCAAGCGCGCGCAATTCACATTGTGCATTCACGGCACACTTCACATCGCGAACGATCTATTCACGAACTAACTAGAAGAGGGTCTACAAACCAAACGAACAAACAATAGCAGATCAAGTGACGACTCCCTTTTGGTGCTCTGCGATCAGTTCGTTCTTGATCTGCATGTCCATTTTCTGCTTCTCCTCGTCGGTGGCGTTGGTAAGATGCACGACGACGGGATCTCCGAAAAGCTCCGCGAGCTCCTCTAATGATTTGCCCTTTGTTTCTGGATACATAAAGTAGATGACGGCGATGGAGACGACTGTGAGGCACGCGAAGACTGCAAACGCCGGTTAGTGGTTTGTCACTGTGCGAGAATACCAACGTTTATTGGAGTGAAGAGGGATGACCTACTAACGAAATACTTGTAGCCGATGTTGGCGATTGCCGTGGCGCCTGGTGTGACGAACGTGATGCATGCCGCAAAGTAAGTGAATGTCGCCATTGCGACGCCCGAGGAGCGGATGTTGGTGGGCAGGATCTCGGCGCTGTAGATGAAGGATGCGGCGTCGATGAAGAGGCCGTAGAAGAATACGAAGAACATGATGGCGACTATGGCGACCTTTTGGCCGGCGATGTTGGGGGTGGGTGTTTGGACGTATGCGCCTACCATCGCGGCTTCGATTACTACGCAGACTAAGCAACCGGTGAAGCCTGTGAGTAGGGCCTAGTATGGAGTTAGGCTTGTTTGATGCAATGAATTGGGGCATTGGACTTACTGGTCGCCGGCCGGTCTTGTCGATGGTAAGGAGGGAGAAGAGGTTACCAAGTGCGCCAATCAATGTATAGATACAGTACATGAGCAGCGGTAGATAAGTGTGCAAGCCCAAATTCTCATAGATGATCACAGAGTAGTAGTTTATCACCAGACCACCAGTGGCATTCGCCGCGTATTGAACGAAACAAGAAAGGAAGACCCTTTTCCGATACGCCGGCGTGCTGAAGATGGCCTTGTAGCCCGTGGGATTGACTGATTCGAGCTCGATCTGTTTTCGCATTTGGTAGAACTCCTCGTGCGCCGCTACGCCGTCTGGATCATTGGGATCATGGTGTAGTTTGCTGAGAACGGCCCATGCTTCTTCAACACGATTCTTTGTCAGTAGCCATCGAGGGGATTCTGGAATCCAGAAGCAGCCGATGAAAAGGATGAGAGGAGGAATGCAGGTGAAAGCTATTGGACCTCTCCACCCGAACGTAAGATTGTCGGAGAAGAAGCAACCAAAACCCACCCATGCGGACACGTTGTATCCAGACACCAAGAAGAATCCATGAAGACCCGTCAGCATTCCTCGTTTCGACGGAGTCGACGCCTCGGAGAGATATATTGGTACCAGGGTTGCCAGTGCTCCTAATCCAATGCCCTGGAGAATGCGAACCACGATGAGCATGGCAACGTGGACGCTTCCAGCCGTAAGAGCACCTCCGATGATAGCGATCAAGGAAGCCGTGAAGAGGGACTGCTTTCGTCCAATTTTGTCAGCTGTTGGCCCGCCTCCAATGGCTCCGACGCAGGCTCCAAAGAAGAACAACGCATTGACGGCTCCTATGATATGATTCGTATAGGCAGCATTTGGTCCAGTCAAGGAAAGGCCGAAGTACGCGAAGAAGCCTGGCTGCCCAATGCTGGTAGCAAACGAAGCAAACCCTGCGAGTTCGTTAGTACAAAAAAGATGTGAAGATGAAGATAACAGTACCAAAGCCATAGGTAAAGCTACCGACAGCCACGATGAGGCCTACGGCAATGTTGTATCCACTTGTTTTTGTCATGGTGAAAGTGTGGTGTACTATAAGCTGCGTACAAGAGCTACTACCCAACAGGCTGCACCTAGAACAACGACGCAGACATAAATGCTAAAGGGCGCGACTGTCGAGCTACATAAGTAGGCCAAAACATAAGTTCAGGAGAAGCTAAGATGCGGGGGTGGAGAACGAATTGCGTCCAGATCCTCGTGGAACAACCCCTCTCGTACATTTTAATGAGTAAATACGGCCAGGATGTAACGGTACGAGTACCTCCCTCATACGGTGCGGGAGATGATAACCGCGGGTGGCGATGCTAGAGGTGCAATTGAGGGGAACATAGATTTGGACTACTTGCAATTGGATGATTTAGCAAAATGACTCGAGAGCAATACACTCGTTAGATCATTGGGGGAGCATGTTTTCGCAAGGAAAAAGAGAATTGAAAGCTCTAAGTGCGTAAAGCGATCAAAATAGAAGAGTAAAACGTAGAAGGGGCTCCGACACGATGGCTCGGAATTGCTTATCTCTGAGCTTAAAGCAAGTAGCAACCAATCGGAGGGGTGCACACGCCTGTTCCTTGGGTTCCTCTATAACCTAAAATTCGAAGCAACCCACTGCCATGGTAAAGGGTTTTGAGATGGAGTGGATGGGCGAAGATGTACAAAAGAAATTCTTACGGAAACAATAGCGAGTGACTTTTGTTGTGCTTGATTAGATTTGGTGTTTGATGTTTCCATCTTAAGGGGTTCAAAAGCTCCTCAACCCCGACCCTCTTTTCGGTCCCTATGATTTACCTTAGAAGTAAGTACCCAGGGATCTATTGTATGGAGTTCATATGGCTATATACTCTTAATCCCTAATTTGCTAGTGAAAGATATGCTATTGGAGATTGATAATCTTGCAATGTATTAGTCGACATGATACTTTTAAGTGTTTCATAATTAATCCATGCTATAATCGAATACCTTTCCATCTTTCCGTTGGTACCCTCGAAAAAGATTTGACAGTCCCGAATAGGAAGGTCCCTTCCTATCTACTAATACAGTGAAATAATAGACTTTGATTGTAGCTGTCCGTCGAAACACATTTATCTGCGTGCAGAAGTCTTGTCCTATATTTAGTGGTGATTAGTGGTGTTTTGATAACAAGTTAATGTGAATGCCTCAAGATTACATAACTCGACAGTTCGAATTTTCCAATCACAAAGTTGCCCTCAGGGAGAATGCGCATTATGGAGCCTGACTTTAGTTGCTGCTGGGCCATCTAATGGAGACAGGTGTTGGCCGACATATACTCCTTAAGGGTATGGAAGAGCAGGTGTGAAGTTGCACAACGGCCAGAAACGTCAATAATTGAATTTGTTGAGATGAGGTTCTTTTTCTTGAGTATGGAGATGATACGAGTAAAAAAGTTGCATTGTGGGCACAATGTCTGGTTGCGGCACTTTGACGATGACGAAATGTTGCACAAGGATGCAATCTATAACCAACTACGGCGTGTAGTGCGTACATAGCTAGGAACACAGTGGGAAGTAATGTGCCTCAGGGACCAATGGCTTGGCACACGTTTGACAGGGCTGACGAGTGCGAGAGCGAGAAAGAGAGAGAGAGAGAGAGAGCGCGAGAGAGACCACCTTGCCCAACCCATGCATGTACCTACCACCTACCCTACCAGTACCATGACGATGATCCGGAACTCGTGTTAATTCATACCCCATCGCCTTCACCTCATTCATCTTCATTATTCTCATCCTCATCGTCGTCGCTGTCTAATGCTAAAGACTGTATTTATTCCATCTATTGAACCCCCCACGCCCGCCGCTGTTCCGCCGCCGCCCAGCCCTCTGTCATCAACGAGTAGGATTACCCTCCTTCACAACAACAACCTAGCATTACTTCCTCACGACCACCACGTATCCCGGTCCTCTCCATCGCTCGCACTACCTTAGGCTTCGGCTTTCGCGGTTCCAATGAACGCAGCACGACAGGCCTGTCGCCCTAAACACCAGGTGCTGGTCCTCAAGTGTTATCCCAAATTCCAGAAGAACAATGTCGAGGTCAAGGCCAACTCTTCCGAGCTGAGCTACCTGCTCTACTATGCGAGCACGCGACGCAGCAAGTTGCAGAAGGTCGGCGATTTCCTGGACAAGCGCACGACCGCCGATGTCTGGAAGGGTCGCATAGGGTATGTATTGAACTTTATCTTGCCCGATGGCCCGCTGACGCCGGTGAAGCAACGTACAGGTTACCCTCGAGATCCTCAAGTCGCTCATCGAAAAATGCCCCCGTGACCTCCCTCTTTACGCCGGCGCTGTTTTGCGCATCCTCAGTACAATTCTCAAGTCCAACGATGTGACAATGGTAGAGGAATCCGTGCCAACCTTCGAGACCCTTTGCGCGCACCAAGACCCTGCCAACCTCGCCGCAGATCAGGATTACATCGCGCAGTATGAAGAAATTGTACAACTCTATGCTCAATTCGCGTCGAAGGAGGGACTCAAGAACCCGAAAGCACCCATTAGCTGGCCTGTTGCCATCAGATTCCGCAAAGCGGGACTTCAGGCGCTGAAGGCTGTCGCTTCTTCGGAATCTCTCGGATCGGAGACCGGACGCCAGTTGGCTGTAATCATACCTGTCATACTGTTCAACATTCACTCGGAGGATGGCGAGCACCTAAAGCGACTCGAATATCGCGAGCACGACAAGGAGGAGCACGACAAAGAAACAGCGTTAAGGCGGCGACAAAGCGTTTCGACAGTGCGGACAAATGAAGAAGGGGAGGGAGACCCCGTCGCCGCCTCCGGGACAACGGAAGATGCCGACAAACTTGCTGAAGAGGAGGTTGGTGTTGTTGCGCTCCAGGCGCTCAGGAGCATCTTCATGGGCGTCAACCGCGGACAGCTTCGATTGGCGACTTCTGCAGTACTTCAGTTCATTGGAAGCAATGTAAAGCAATTGCAGTTCGACAGCTACGGACGAGCGAATGGAAACTGGTCGACCACACTCCTGGCCTTGATATGCGGTTGGGCACCAGTTCAAGACCGTTACGCCATACTCGTGAGCGCCATGGAGACGCTGGTGCGTAGCCCTATCGTCGAGGACGACTTGGGGAGGCAATTGGTCCTTGCGGGCATAATCGAGTATCTTTTGAGCTCGACTATTAATTTCATTGGACTGAGTATTATGGATGTGCTATTGGGCATCATTTCTCACGCATTACTACTCCTTCAACTTGGGGGTACCGGAACCTCAATCATGCCCCATCATCAACAGACGAATCCAGTCAACTCGGCCAGTGATCTTCAAGATAAGGGATCTGAGAAGTCGGAGGGTGTCGTCATTGAGCCCGTAAAGGAGCCGTCGCAGACCCGAGTGCAACTACTTGACACTTTGAAGACGTGCATGGCGAGCTTGGCTACACATGTCTACTACACAGATCAGATATCTGACATGGTGGCTGCTGTTATGAGACGACTGAAGCCATCGCCGCTATCGGGAGTATCGACCGTCGACACGATTGAGGATCCTGCTGGTGCTATCAACGCTGTCGCGAGTTCCGCCAGCCTACAGGAGAAGCCCGCACACGTGGATAGGTTCTTCTCATTTGAGACGGCACGTCTATTGGCTTTAGATGCGGTCAAGAATATTATTACCACGGCAAACACTCGTCGCCCAGACGGCTCATCTGCTTCCGTATCTCGAAGCTCAGTGGGTGTTGGGGTTTGGGAGGGCACGCAATGGCTCCTACGCGATCCAAGTGGCAGAGTGAGGAAGGCTTATGTTGACGCCTTAATCACCTGGCTCAATTTAGAGAAGAAGAAGGAAGACCTAAAGCTCGTTGAAGACTATCGGAAAAAGGAGAAGGAAAACGACAAGAATGGGCTGGCCCGAAGAGCAGTCTCGAATGCTTCTCACAGAGAAAAGCCTTCGAAGCGAGGAAAGAACACATTCTTACCCCTACTGCATCTTGCTGTCTACGAAAACGCTCTTCAGTTTACCGAGTCTGAACCCGACTATCTTCTGCTTCACCTACTTTTGACGACTCTCATCAATAAGCTTGGCTTGAACGCAGTACGAAGTGGTTTGCCGATGATACTACGGTTACAAGAAGATATTGCCACCGTTGATAACCCCGGCGCGAAGGTCAGGATTGGTAGTCTGGTCCATGGCTACCTATGGGCCCTCAGCATGGCTCTAGACTTCGAGACCTCATCAGTTGGAAGGGCTCTACACCATGAGATTTCTAGGAGAAATGAGAAGGGGCTATGGGTCAGCAACATTCGTGTGCCGCCCCTACCATTAAGCAGAATCGATACACCCCACCCAGACTCATTCCGGATCCCATCAGACGTTGTCCAAACCGAGGCGCTCAAGCCATTTGACAACCGTGACGCGCTTGTCGACAATATCGCCGAAGGCTATTCGTCCTCTCTTCACTCTCCACCAACAAGTCCACCAGGATCTCCTGGCCGTTCATTGTCCATAACTACACCAATCATCCGCACCCAAACCTTCAGCGCGCCACCGCAACTTTCCTATAAGGTCAAAGACGAGCTCCTGGCCGACTGGACCCGGGACAGCTGCATCGTGAACAACACGAAGGACTCCACCACCGCCTCTATGACCGGATCGCGTACGAATGCTTCCACTCATCGCAAGAATAACTACCTCGGCGTTTATATCCCCAACGGCACGCTCGACAGTGCGGGCAACTCGCCTGCTCCTTCTCCCCGTCGCGCCACGAGCCGGCCCCCTTCAACAGCTTATGGACTCGTTGGCCGGGTTGCATCGCCTCATCGTAACCAGAGTCCTTCACGCTCTCCTGGCAGCACATCCTCACTCCAGTCTGCAGTTCGCGTGGACGATCTCAAGCGCGTGCTTACCGGCACGGCCCCAAGAACATCCTACTCGATCCGTGGCCCAAGCCGACACCGTCGAACTGCGTCCTCTCCCAATTCCGAGTCATCTGCTTCCGAATCCATGGTCAGTGTACATAGTCTGTCCGACTCGTCCTTCATCACCACAGATCATAGCCAGGCTCAGCGTGGCCAGGAGAATTCACAGAGAGTTGCCTCACCCACGACACCTGCGGCCACCCTCACTCCTCGACCTGGTACGGCGCAAAGCCACGGAAACCGACCTACTTCACCTTCTAGCCCACCTTCGCCATCTACACACGCTTCACGTGAACACGAGCGTGCATTCTCCGGGACCGTCCCTCCTGTGCCCCCAATCCCCGACTCTCTTCGTGACCTTTCCGGTTCCCCTCCGAATGGTGGCAAAGATGGCGTTCGACCAAAGACCGCGCCTTCCAATGGTCATACCAATGGAAACGGCAGCGTCGCCGGTCGCAAGGGGAGAAGCAACAGCATCAATCGTTCTTCTGGAGCAGCACGTAGCCTGAACCATCGTAGCATATCAAGGGGACGAGGCACTGATGCCGACAAGCTTGGAAAGAAAGTCAAGAAGCCTGACTTTACAGGCTTCCTGGCGAGCATCGAACTCGATGACGATGACGACGACCTGAAGGGCGTAGGAAATGCACCATACTGATCGGTCAGCTGGAAGGACAACGGACCAGCGGCAAACAATCTTGGATATTCACGAGACGTCTTATTTGCGAGATTTGTTCCCAAATACCACACTACTACTGTAACCATTCTTTGTGCATACTCTCTGTACCTATCTCGTATTTTCCTTACCATCTGATTCTCCATGCCATTATTTGTTGGATTCGAGATCCTTGTGCACAACTAACCCCTCTCTTCTCTTCTCCTTGCGTTCTTTCTCGAACTGTCAAGCCGGACGCAAGACTCCTTCCATTATTTACATAATTATCCTTCTTCCCGTCAACTGGCGAGACGTCTGCTTCGTCCGCACTATTTTCCATGTTCTCGAGCGCCGATCTAGCCGCCATCATAGTTGCGCTCCCTATTTTCGTTTTCCTTTCGGTTTTGTAGTCGAGGCCCACGAGCAAGCAAGCATGCATGTACTCAACTACCTGGCATATCTTTCCATAGCAAAGCCCGCGCTGCGTTAGTGAAACCTAGCACGACAAAAGGCTAGGGTGTTTTTTCAAATATAGAATCTGTAATAATTCACCATCAACATCGCTGTAAACACTGGAAACATTTTTCATGGTTGAATACGTGATATGCTATTTTCGCTCGTGTGCTTCGCTCACTCTATATATGCTATTCACCACTGCTTATGATCGCCGTGAAGGATCCAAACATCTACATTCCCATCTACACCTCCGCTTTCTCACCCCTCCTCCTCTCTTCCACTCCTACTTCCGCCCTCCCAACCCCTTCCTCCTGATCCCCCTCCTCCTCATCCTCCTCCACCTCCCCATGGTTCCCCCCCACACTCTCCATCGTAAACCGACTCGCCGTCGCCTGATCCAACAGCCCCAACTCCCCCTCCTCAAACCACCACCCCAACCCCCACACCCTCATCGGAATATACAAAAAGATAAACACGGGAAACCCAATCGCCGCCACAGTCTGCGTAATCGCAAACGTCGCGCCGAACCCCACGAGCTCCAGTCCCACGAACGCCCAAATCGCCTTCCTTCTCCGGATCCGGAGTAAAGGGTGGGATGAAGGGACGAGCGACCGGGAGGAGAAGAGGAAGAGGAGTTTGAGGGTTATGCCGTTGGAGGCGAGGGCTTGGATGCCCATGCTGAAGAAGAGGCCTGCGAGGACGGATTGGGGGATTAGGTGTAGGACGGTGAGGAGCGGGGGGGTCATGGTTATTAGGGTTAGGAGACCTTGGAGGAGGTTGGAGGCGCGTTGTTCGACTACGTGGGTGGTTTTTCGGGTTGGAGGGGAATTTGGGGTGGGGGAGGGCGTGAGGGTGGTGACGCAGAGGGAGGTGGTGTGGAAGGGGGCTTGGGGGATCAGGCCGTTCGGGAAGGGGATCCCGAGGAGCCCGGAGACGCCGGTCGTGATGCCCAGGAGGAAGATGTCCCAGTGGAAGCCGGCGGGTTTCTTGAGGGGGAACTCGGTGCCTTGGGCGATGAGGGAGGAGACGTTGTGGTCGAACCAGAAGAGGATGGTGAGGAGGATGGCGAAGGGGATCGCGAGGAAGACGTCGGCGACGGAGATGTCCCAGAAGTGGACGAGCCAGGAGCGCGGGAGGGTCGGAAAGAAGGCTTTGGTGGTTGGGAGGGTGAGGACTTCGGTGGACCGCATCTTGCCGATGTGGATGAAGCCGGTGAAGAAGAGGACGGAGAGGGGTGTCCCGTAGTCTTCGATGAATTTGCGGACGTGGCGTTGGAAGAGGCGGGATTGTCCGATCACGCCGCAGAGGTAGGAGGTCATGAGGAAGAGGAGGGATACCGTGATGGAGAGGTAGGCGGAGGCGTCGTCGATTTCCCATTGGCGAGTGAGGACCTGGATGCCTTTTTGGAGGTAGATGAAGGCGACGTAGAATCCGAAGATGTCGCATGAGAATCGAGTGACATACTTCAACGCGTTGCATGAATTGGTTATGGCAAGCTGTAGTATGTTGTTAGATATTGTGTGTTTAACAATGGCAGGGTGTTTTCAGTTTACTTACAATCCAATGAAAGACCATCGCCCAGAGACCGATCCAGGTCATGAAGGCCAAGTAGTTTGTCCCTCTTGGTGAGATGATGTCGTACACAGTGTAGTTGAACACAGTGATGGGGCCTACAGTATTGATTAACACGTCACCGGTACTTCCGTGCTCATAGGCATACCAGTTACGCCAACAATGACCAAAGGCTGGGCCGCGAAAAGCGAAAAGACAACGGACGCAAGGACCGAAGCCAGCAGCACTTCATTGACCCCGAACGTCTCATCAGTCTTCGCGAACATATCCAACGAGAAAGCCAACGCAGGCAAGATACTAATCCACAGCGATCGAATCAGCAATTGGTCTTTACACAGCTTCCAGCTTTACCAGACGGCAAGTCTGCCATGAGCATAGTAGTGGCATTGGCATTCGAGGTACATACTTCGCAAAATACATATACACAGTCGCGGGCACGACTCTATAATCCCAAGCATCCGTCCAATCGCTCCAGTAGTACGGCGCCCTCCGCCGCACATCGTTGACCATCCCACTGAACAGTCTGATCTTCCACCAAGGATCCTTCCTCGCCGACCGTCTCGACGTGCGAGTCGTCTGGCGACTGAGGTTCCCGCCGCCATTATGTCGGTGGTCATAGTCGTCGTCTGCGCGACGGGACCCCGGAACGCCGCCACCGACCGATATCACGTCGGGATGCTCGTTCTTCGATTGGTGAGGGGGGGACGCGCTGTGCACGATGGAGGAGCCATGGCGCTGTGTCGGGCCTCCTGATATGGGCTCCTCGTCAGCCATAGCGGAAACAGCTGGTGGAGGTTGTTTGAAGGGGAATGTAGATACAAGCTCTCAGGAAACCGACCATATAATTATGGCGGAACGAGGCTACCTATTTAGCTTCCGAGTCTGATCGGCGCGGGCATGTAGGGACGGGGCCCCTTGCAAGGACATTTAACACATTACGAGTAACTACGAACGATGGATCAAGCATTTACTAGGGGGAAGGAAAAAAGGCGGTGGCGGTCCCCTGGAGTCGTGGGGAACATGCAAAATGTTTCTTTGACGCCATTGCAGCCGATCCGCTCTCAGAACGCTAGTCTTGGCGGTCGTCATTTGTCGCGTACGACGCCATGATCATCGGTCATTATGGGCCCGGAAAAGGAAACAGTTTGATAGCGGTCGATTGTAGCGCACATGGTCGTGACTTTGAGACATTATCGGTGTTAGAAGATTCCATTTAATTGAAGATGTGATGTTGATAGTATGTCGTTGAATCGACGCAATGCCGGATCGAGGTTAGTGTGGAGGTCGCAACGTGCAGGGCTCCACAGAAATATTTGCTTGCATAGACGTCACATCAAAATGTCTGGGAGGGGACGGAACAGCTGCGTTAATAATACCACGAAAAGGTTACCGCATTTGATAATAATTGTGGCTGCCTGTAGAATTATAGGCTGTGGGAAGGCCTGGCAATATTCCCTTCTGTCATTCGCTGCTGTGATGTTGAGCTGTTGCTGTTGTAGCCGAGGAGGCGCGAGCGGCATTGCGTACATACTGTATGCCGGAGCTGCGGCATCATTTCTTTGGGAGTGGTAGGGTAATGTGAACTTCTGTGATATAGTAGCAATCAATGAGCACAAGTCCAGAACGTAACAATGCCGGGGCATGGAGATCACTAATGTCAAGTTGTACCTATATTACAAACTGCCTGCTCTACAGCCTCATGCTAGCAACTAGCAAGTTGCTGGATAAAACAGTCATGAGAGTCCATTGGCATGCTAGCCGGGTTGCAACTGATGCCCATTCAGCGCTCGGCATGCTTACTTGCAGCCTTCCGAATACTTGTAACTCCCCCAGTGTAGTTATCGTACAATGTCCAGACAGACAAAATGTCTGCCCGAGCAGTCAGGAAAGAAAAGTGGGCCACCAGGGTTGTCCCATCGCCCCGTTTTCCTTCACTCCATAGAAACCATGTCAAATGCAGCTGAGCCCACAATCTTGAATGAACCTCCTAGAACAATCAAAATTCCATGAGGGGTTTCGATTTTGAACCTTATTCAGGACCTTAAGCGGGTTCACCCCAGCCGAACCTCTCCCAACCGTTATTCTCAGAGGAGCTGTTGTTCGGCCAGCCCTGATTCTCAGAGGAAATGTTGTTATGCCAGCCTTGATTCTCGGAAGATACGCCATCCTCCCAGCCTTGATTATCGGAGGAGCCTCTGCCTCGGCCCCTGCCCCTGCCTCCACCGCGAGCGCGTGGGGAAGCACGATCTGTTTCATTACCACGTGGAGAATGATACCCACGAGAAGCTGGGTGATCGCGACGAGCACGCTGATCCGTGCTGCCTCGTGAAGCTCTATGTAGGTTATCAAAAGTTGGAAACCCTCGCGATGGAAACGCATTCCCCCCACGAGCTCCTCTAAAGCTGGGGCTTTGATTTCCACCTCGGGCTTCACCACGACCGCGACCACGACCGCGGCCGCGACCATCGGTACGATTTGTTTGGTCATAACCAGCATTTCCGTCAACTTTAGGTCGCTCGACGAGTACAATGGGTGCCGGGGGGCCGCCATTATCCTCCGTCTCACTCCAGCCATCGTGTTCCTCTTTGAATCGAAGGCGCGCCTCTTCGGTGAGAGCATCAAGACGAGCTGCTTTGTCCTCTTCTCGCTTTGCTTGCAGTTCCGTGCCACGGATCGAAGCCTCTCGGACACAGACAGCAAGCATCGCCTGGACGGTGAAGACGGCATCGTTACCCGCATTGTGTAGATTGAACCCGGCAATGTCGAAATCGTAAAGAATTCGGCCTAGATTCGTCGGGTTTTGTTCACGCCTCCAGACTCGGTAGAGGGTGGCGGTATCGAGAGTCTCAAGCATGTTGGGTACCTTGAGCGGGTCGAAACCAAGTTGTTGCAAGTATTTCACATCGCTAAATGTATCGTGTCCGAGGAATATGATGTTGCGCTCTTTGGATGCATCCTCAGGATTATGCGCAGCAGGCCCGGAAAAGGGATGCCTGAAGCAAGCGGCCACTTGCGTAGCGACATCATGAAGACGGACAAACTCAGACTTCCCGAAATCGAAGCGGTCTGGGCATCCGGCGACAAAGTTCGAGTTAATCAGGTGTTTGTTCTCATCGATGCGAATGTGGCGTGCACGGATCAGGGTCCTCCAATTCTCCCCATCCTTACCAGGCGCAACGCCAACGAGGTCCAACGTATCTAATGTAGCAATGCCAACTTCCGTAATCTTATCGTGCGCCCTTTCCCAGGACTCGACGTCAATACATACGAAGACGACAGACTGGTCGAAAGGAAGTGTGGTTGGTGTGCTAACGTCGACTGGAGCCAGATCTGTAGAATCGGAAGGCCGAAGTCCAAGATACCTCTGCGCACGCTTGAAGCGTTGGACGAGGTCATGCTGTTTTGCAGCACGCTGCTCGTTCTTCTTCTCTCGCGCAGCTTTGTTCTTGTTCTTCTGGGCATCCCACATATCCTCCATGGTCTTCTTGAAGTCATCCAACGTGCGGCCATCGAGGGATGGGGCAGCGGATTGCCCAGGGGTGGCCGAAGATGCGGGAGGAGCATTTCTCGCCATCGTGTCAATCTCCTCGCGGGTCAGGCCCTTGACTCTGCCAAGATACCTTGGACGGCAACGGGGATGGTCGGGAAAGCGAGTGACGATGTGAGATATAGTCTTGAGACCGAGGCCGAAGGCTGTGTTGACTTCCGCAACCAAGTCCTTGAATTGGTCTTCTGTCACCAGTGTCAAAGGCTTCGTGCCGTCAATGTCCCAGGTGTAGTAACTGTATAAGTTAGCGACTGTGGGTTGCCGCTCGAACTGAGCTAAGCACAATAGAAGATGATACGTACATATCCCATTCACGAGCCCAGAACTTTCCGCCGTCGAAGAATTGACTGGCCACGTTCTGGAGTGAATCTCGGTCACAGTACCGATACGGGTACTTTGCAAGAGCCAATAGTGGGGTGAAGTATTTACCGGGTGGTGCGAGCTCGCCTCGTTGCAAGTCTGTGGGGGGAAGTGCTTTATAAGGCGATGAAGGAGTGGCGGGAGCAGTGCCCAGATTGTACGAGCTTGCTTCGCCGGGCATCCAGACAAAACGGCGGTCGGTATTCTCTGTCGATGCAAACGCGCTTGAATCACCCGACTGGTTGTCGATGGAACCAGTGGCTGCTGAAACAGTAGGCTGGTCGTCGATGGAATCGGTGAATTCCTCAGTAGCGTTTTCGCAACCGAGAGCTATGCCTCCTTCCTTTTCGTCGTCGCTTGGATCAGGAACATCCACTTGGAAGCGTTGATTTGGAATAGCGTCAAGATCAGATCCTACCAAATCCGTTAGTCGTGTGAGCCTCGCGGCCATGTCACGGGACATGGCGATACGTGTTTGCTTGTGCGAACAGAAAGGCAAAGACTACAAACACAAGGGGGGGACGAGCGGATATGAGAAGCCAAGGGGAATGTCGGGAAGAAGAAGGAAAGGGTGGGAGGACGAGTGAGAGAAGAGGGATGTAGTGAAAGGCGGGGTTGTTGTTGTTCTTGTCCGTTTGTTGTTAGATTTGATATGGACGCGAGCAGCAATCGCAACGCCGTGGTGAAAGTGGGGCAAGTCAGAAGTCCACTCAAGTGATACATGCAGGCTATAAGAAGGAATATTTCGGTGAAAAGAAAATACTCCTGAGCGAAGATGATTGGGTGTGTAGGTTGAAATGGGACATACACAATGCACCCATGGAGAATGACGAAGAAGAGGTGAAAATGCAAACGAAGGCAGCCACCATCCAGGTTGAAGAGCATACATCAATGGAACCTTCATGTAAACCTACTGAAATATCACAAATAGTCTACTGGAAGAATGGAGTGGTTTCCGCTTGTTAAATATGTCTTGGATAATTTGTATCTCGGTGCCTTTCTCCTTACAGGGACAACTGTTAAATCGTAGTTAGTGGGTAGGCAAACTCTTATGTACCTTCTAGGTACCTAAAGATAGTCATGAATATGGTTGTACCCCAAATTTTAGTTTGAACGGAATAGCTGCGATTAATCTTTCATGGATCTGTATATCCAAGTCGTTTCCACAATTTTTGTTGGTTGTTGATGATTGCTGATACAATAATGAGGGGTGAGATATATGATACCCCATACATACTGTAAGAAATGACTAACCAGATCGGGGGAGCTCGCGTTGCGCGATCCAATGCCATATCACGTGATCACGACAGCCCCATGAGGAAGTCCGTGCACAACTTCTCAACGTCGCATTCATGAGAGACACAGAGAGACAGTAATAGAGAGAGACGACACATACGCGCAGAGAGAGAGAGAGCAATACCTACCTACCTATTTATCTCCCTACACAGTTACGTACTCTCCTCGTACTGGTAGGCACAATACAACACTATAGGTAAGGTCGTTACTCTGTGTCAACAGCACCTTCGAAGCCGTTCTCTCCACCTCCCCCAACAGAAACACGCAGTCGCCATAACTCCTTCCATCTTCCTCCCTCCTTCCATATCTCCTCCTCTCTATCTCTACTCGAGTCCGTATACCTCTCCGCCGCCCCGATTCTCCTCCACAGCATAATCGACGCGTGGTTGGAGTGTCTGACGCGCCCGTCTGGCATTCCTCACCACCGCCGCTCCTCGCAATGCGCCATGGCTGAAGACGGCACCATGAGTGCGCTGTCCGAAGTCTCCCCTCAGCCTGCCCCAAATCCCGACGCTCAAGCTACCGTCAACGACTTTCTCGACTATACCGAGTTCTTTCCCTCCGATCTTGTGCGTTCGCTGCGACTGATTGGAAACCTCGACGCGACCTATGAGGATGCAACTTTGACCATCCACGAACTCACAAAACAATATGGCAAGCTTCCCGAGCTACCCGCCAGCGAACGACCAGATCCTACCCTACTGCGCAAACAGATAGCAGCTGCTCTCGAAAAGGCGATCTATTGCAGAGAGTCTACATATACCGAGGCATCGAGGCTATACGAGGTCGCAGAACGGCACTGTCGCCGGCTGTCAATTATAAAGACGAAGCTTCAGGCTCTACCTCAACCACCCTCACGCGATCCCACACCCGCTCCCGTCTCCCCACAAGCTTCACGATCATTCAATCGCAACTACGAGCGCTTCGATCGCCAACATGTTCCCGGTTCCGCAAATCGGCAACGAGATCGCAACAGGAAGTTCTCAGCGTCTCATACACATGGACATCCACGAGAACATACCGCGAATTCGTCGGATGAATCGGGCGCTGAATCGGACGCCGGGTCCTTGATTGAAGTCTCCAATTCAAGAGTCAAAACTCCCAAGGAGAAGGTCCCCAAGCCTGCCCGTGTGCGCCCCGCAGGTTCAGGTACCAACGTCCACAGTGGTGTTGCCGGGATTTCAACCAGCAATGCGCTTGCGAGACTTTCGCCTCCTCCTCCAAATGCTCGCCCTGGGAGCAAATTCGCACCGTGGTTGAAGCTCACGGAGTACGAAATGGCTGTGCTTAGGAAACAGATGAAGAAGAATGCAGTTTGGACACCAAGTGAAACGATGGTCAAACGGGAGCTGGAGAAAAAAAAGCGTGGTGTAGAATACTACGAGAAGGAGAAGGCCCGCTGTGCTGCTACAGGTGAAGAGCTCCTCGATGAAGAACCGGACAAACTCTCCGTGTCAAAACTTGTAATTCCGGCTCGCACCGAGCCAAAGGTCGAGCAAGCCGTCCTGGAAATTCCACAGGAGCCCGTCATCGCTCCTGTAGAAGCTCTTGTGGACGATCCCGTGGATGCTCCCGTGGATGCTCCTGTGGACGATTCTGTGGTTGATTCTGTGGATGCACCCGTGGATGCACCCGTGGACGCTCCCGTGGATGATTCCTTGGACACTACTGTCGAAGATCCTGTGGACCCTGCCGTGGACCCTCCCGCCGTGGACCATTCACTGGCTACTGCACCAGCCGCACCTCTAGATGAGACCCCAGTTCAAGAAGAGGTTGTAGTTGAAGACCCCGTAGAGGATGTGAGCATGGCCGATGGTGAACCGGTGAAGAAGGACAAGCGTGAGGAACAGCGCGAACAAGCCATGCGTGATGCGCAAGAATTAGAAAACGCAGGGCGCAAAATCAGGGAAGCCGCAGAAAGCCTCAAGGATCTGAACTTTACACCAGAAAATGTGAATGTCACTCCAGCATCGGCGAGACGAAGATCTGCCACGAAACCGTCAAACAAGCGGAAGCGAGAACCCTCACCTGCGTTTGTTGCAGAGACTCCGACGATGCCATCTCGAGAGGCATCGCTCGCCTCACAAGACAGCGGAGGAAGACAGCCAGATGCGAAGCGTCAACGAATGCTTCTTCCTGCGCCGATTAAGACGCCTGTCCCTCCCCCGCCATCCTCTGCAGCTCTGCCAGCAACTCCCGCAGTACGTTCGCCTCCCTCAAATGTTCCCGGGCCTCTACTGAATGACATCAAGACAACTACTGTACAGATCCCTCTCGCCCCCGCCGGTCCTGGAACACCTGCTGTTCCTGAGATTTTGGCTCCCGATTCACCCAGTGCTCAGACTTTGCCCACCACACTGGAAAACGTGGACGAGCAACCGTCGCCATCTGGTGTGGATGATTCCTTATCATCTGCCCTCGAATCTGTACCGGAGGCGTTGCCCGCTCTTGAACCTGGGACTGAACACGACTCAAAACCTGTCACTGTTCCGATAGTGAATTCAACCCCGGTCCCTATGCTAGCTACTGCAGCATCCAGCCGTCCCCGGAGGGAGTCCGTCAAGGAACCCACAAAGGCAACGAGCCCACCAGTCTCCGCCCCGATACCTCCCATCAAAACGCAAATCGCCCCAAATACCACCCAGGAGCCTGCTCTATCTTCGCCGATACTAACGCCCCGCCCTCATGCTCTCGGTGCCCCTACACCGAAGGCACAAAGTGAGGAGCCTAAACAGAACGAGTTAGGGAAACCGTCGCGAGAGCTTCGACGACACAGCATTTTCAGTCAATCGGCGCTGGCTGCACCAACTCGTATGAGTACGCGAAAGAAGCCGCCACCCAAAGGGGACATAACCTCGGCTGAAGATGGCCAAAAGACTGTCACTAATGTCAAGCGCGCCCAAGGAAGCAAGAATAAAAAGAAAAGAAAAGGAGGCGAAGAGAGTAATGAACCTCTGGAGGAGATCGACCCGAATGAGCCCCGATACTGTATATGCGATGATGTCAGTTACGGTCAGATGATTTCGTGTGATAATCATGTAAGTAATCTATTTTCTCTGCCCCCAGACTATTCTAACATGCTACAGTGTGACAGGGAGTGGTTCCATTTGGAGTGTGTCAAAATGACTGAAGCAGACATTCCCTCTCGACGCTCTAAGTGGTACTGCCCTGAGTGTCGCGTGCAACTGGGCGTTGACGCTTACGGAAAAGAACTCATTCCACCAACTCTCCCTGGGCGGCGCGGCAACCGCTAGAATTTCTCGTTACTATCATTGGGAGCATGCTGATTCAATGGAAAGGATGGAGCACTCGAGAAATTTTCGGGATTTTGTTGTGTCCCACCCTTTAGGTCAATGGTTTATTGGCGTTGGCGTAGTATCATAAGGATGAGTCTGTATACCCCTTAACCGAGCGTGGTGGCGTGCTTCAAGTAATGAATTGTCGATGGCCATGGTACTTTTCTTATTAGTTCCTTTGGTGGATAGGATCGTGTTGTTCATGTGGGATATTAGCGACAAGGCTTCTGTGACATCCTTCGTCCTCAGACAAATGCTATTTTCGGCATGCAACATAATCTCTATCACCCTTCGGAATCCCCAACGATAGGTTAGCTTTAAACCCAATTATCAAAGTTATCACTTATTCACAACATGCCAATTCAATATGACGAAAACCATTCCCCAGGACATAACGATGCTCTCTTACGCAGGTGAACATGGGTCTCAGAGTCCGGCGCTTCGCTAGCATCTTAAAACACTCGGGGCCGCCCAGGAGGGCTAGGCCCATCTCCATGTGCTCCCATCAACTCCACTCAAATCTTCAGCCCTACGGTCTACCCCAACTCACAACCCACTGTCTACATCCTTCACGATCGCTTTCTACTAGTCACTCTTTTGTCTGACATGCTTGATAGCCCGCTTTGCTTGTGATATCCCTTCGTTGCGCTTCCAGGGGGTCGTAGTGCTGATATTCGAACTCCTCTGTGTACCCTGTTCCACTTCAGCCGCACGCGTACACCCCACCACCTCAAACTCAAACAGACACGATGACTGTCTTCGTCACGTTTTCTATGGGCTCGAAGGAAGCGTATTTCTTCAACAGTCCTACACACTGGGCCTGGTAAGTTACTCTATCTCATGAACATGTTCCCAGCTACGACGATGCTTCCATTCATCCTGCACCCGGTAGACTGTCAATCAGGCTGCCAAGATTCAGCCGACTATCTGATTGAACAGGATGATAAATCGACGCGGAGATCGTCGCGCCGTTGACACGGTGTCGGGTCTCTGAGCTGCATGTAATCTATCAACGTGCTATTGTAACTAACCGTCGTCTCAGGCATCATCTCCCTCCAGATGTCGAGGCCCTGTTCACGAAGCAGCCTCCAATCAAGGATGTCATTGAATGCGCAATAGGCGAGAATGGTGCATATTTTGTCAGCTTTAGAGACCATGATGGTCAAGTGTACTGCCGTAAGTAGATATGAACACCCTAGTATAGAGATGGTTATTTTGCAGTCAAAGTAGCACGATGTCACTTCGACGTTCTCTTGCGGTGGTCTTGAGAGACATACTGACACATACTAGGCCATTACAATCTACCCAACGCCTTAACGATGTATCTGTACCACTCGCATCCGCAGGTGATACGCGACTTGACGACACTTTCCATCACTCTAGGCCCATACGACTCGTTCTACGCCCATGACAAAACATCCGCCGAGTGGTCGAACTTACCACCCCTACTCGAGAAAGCCATCCTCAACCGTGTAGAGAGCCAGGATGCATGGAAGACGGTCTGGAGAGATGGGGGAAGAGAAGCACCCATGTTCGTCAGCTTGGGAGCAGATGGAAGCTACTTCATGCGAACAGTATCTGGGGGAGGATCATGGGATCTGAGGAGCAAATCTGAAGGGGTTATGGGAACTAATAAATTCCTTGAGGACGCCCCTAATTTCGCATCAATTGCCGTACGTACGATGTTCGATATCAGCGAAAATTACGTTACTGCGTGCTTGAGGTATCTTTGCTAATCAGTTGGGTATAGGGTCTTTACCTCTTCCAAAGCTATCCGGACTCCTACGTCCTACTACTCATGTCGGGTAAAACATTCTCGAACCTTCCTGAGCATACCTGGGCGGATTACAATAAGATGGCGCCTGCGCTCCCCCAACTCGCGCAGAGCTCAATGCCAATACCAGCCATTCCTCAAATGCGGCCTCCTACGGCGGTAACAGCGCCGCCGCAGCAACAGCAATTCCAACAACCTCGGCAATTTCAACAGGTGGCACAGACGAGTTGCTGTGCGCCAAATAATCAGCACACTGGTATCCATGTGCCGCTACCTCCAAACTATGGGCAGGTACAGGGCATGATTAATCAAATCAGCGGGCAGCTGAACGGTGGTGCTGTGTATGCGGCACAACCGAATCAGACTCATTATCAAAATCATATGCAGCAGGGACAAACAACGGGAGTTATACCAGCACAAGGCATGAGCCCGGCCACGCAGCAACCAATGCAGACTGGTGGTTCGATGGCTTCGAGATGAAGTGGGTCCATCATATGTGTGGCGTGGACGTGCGAGGGAAAACTGACTGAACCCCATTTTCCTACTTGGGACATCAAGAATGTCCCGCCTTATCTGCGGCGTCTTGTTGTAAGGTTGGTCTTCGTGACCTCTCAATTTCTTTTGTGATCATGTAACTCGGATACCAGGCGAATATCTTTTTCTTTGGAAATCTTTATGGAAATAATTATATGTCGGAATGTTGCTACCTCGTATATTGCATGGGATGTTGTTGTATTTACCGTTCAACTAGATGCATAGCGCAAATATCTCAGGTATTATGCCATGTGCCGCTAGTTTACATACAATTGAGATGTAACTCTTCATAGCTACACTGGTACACTAACGCAAGTGCTCATTAACTTGGAATTATAAATGTTGTCGTGCCACAGGTTCACCACCCTTTCTATTGGCATTTGCGTCAGCATTTAGTTATTTTGCGGCGCGGGGACCAATCATCGATAACCAAGCATCCAACTTCTCACTCCCTCATGTCCTCGTTGTACCATCTTGGCAACCACAGAGTGGAAGTCTGCGTCCTAGTGCCAAAATTGTGCCTCGAAAAGGGAGAGATCACTAGCACTTATGGCTTGGCCATGGGGTAATATGGCTCCGTATACATGAGCTGAATGTAAGCACCAATGTCTTTGTTGATGATTTCTTATAGTTACATCATATATAAAATTCCATAGCTCCAGCTACGCCGTACAACTTAGTTATTATTCCCAACAGTGTACTTAGAGTCGCACAAGCTGCACTACCACTTCAACGACATATCATACCTTTCTCATACTTTCCATTCAAGACTTGAACATCTACGCTTCGAATTCTATATACATCCCATCCACAGCAACCATGGCAGAACCACCCTCACCACCAAACCCCCAACCATCCAAACAAACCATCATCCCCAAGCTCCACCTCCTCGCCCACTCCCAAGCCCAACGCGTCCTCTGGATCCTCGAAGAACTCTCCGCCTCCAAAGGTCTCCACTACGAACTCGAACGGTACCCGCGATCCCGGGCCTCCCTCGCCTCCCTCTCCAAAATCCACCCCCTCGGCAAATCCCCCATCCTCACCCTCTCCACCACCGACTCCAGCCCCCCACCCACAATCCAAGTGCAACCCGGCCTCCTCACCGAATCCGTCTCCATCCTCCAGTATCTCAGCGACGAGTTCGGCGGCGACACGTACGTCCCCGAGTCGCTTGAGGACAAGCGCCGTGACGCGTTTTTCACGGTGTTTGCGGCGGATACGCTGAGCTTGAAGAACGATTTTGCGATCATATATGATGTGCCGGCGCAGGTGGTGCCGTGGGGGTTCAAGACGATTGTGTGGGCGCTGACGAGGCCGATGGTGAATCATTGGCTGTCGGACTTGCAGCCGATTTATCAGTTGCTGGAGGATGCGCTGTCTGATGAGAAGCCGTGGTTTGCGGGGAAGAAGATGGGTTTGAGCGATGTGAATATGACGTGGGGCATGGTGAGTGATACGTCTATGTTTTCTATTTCGCAATTTGAATCCATAAGTGATATGAATGCCATACTGACTCGAGACACTGTAGGATGTATCTGTCCACAGAAAGTATATTGACCTGAAAAAGTTCCCGAAACTGGCGGAGTGGTATGAGAGGATTGAGAGTAGGGAGGGGTACCAGAGCGCGCTGAAGAAAGGCCTTGGGTTCGATTTGAACTCGTGGGGGCAGTAGGCATCCTAGGTGATGGGGAGGCACATTAGGCCGGCATGGTCATACTCGGGGATCCAGTAATTCTATGATGTCTACATAGTCAAAGTTCTTCATGCTAAGAGAGCCAGCCAGCTTGGATTTGATATTTACTATGGAGAGGTTTGATAGCATTGATGCTCATGAAGGCTCGAATGATTCATCAAGCCGCCCAAACGGGATCATTGAGTATAGGCGGCGCATCGTTAAGCAGATCGGGCGGGAACTCCATGTTCCAATCGATAATATCATCCGACGGTATCATATGAAACGGATCGCCCCATTCAGCCCCTGTAAATGTCGGTGGAGCCCTCGGCTGCTCCGTCGGAGCATGTGGAGGTTGTGGGTCAGGCGGGGGTGTATTATTATGTGGAACGTGTAACATGGGTGTAATATGTGAAGATGCTGGTCCTGAGTAGAATGATTGTCGTAGTTCGTCTTCGCACTGTCGAATGATGCCGGCGACCCTACCCAGTATCTTCTGCTCTACGGGTCCGTCTTCTCGTTCAGCAGTGGCGTGGATTTCTTGACGGATGCGTTGGAGAAGCTCCCGTCGGAAGCGGCGGGACTCTTCGCTAGGAGAGTCGCAGTCGTAATCTGATGACCTGTTAGTTTGTACATCGAAATGATAGGAATGTGGTTGACTGACAAGGTGATGGTATATCCGCTTCAGCGACTTCGGGGAATAGCAGTTGATACGTATCTCTCCATTTGTCTTCTTCGAGACGCCCTGGTATCGATCGTTTGCGAAGGGTTTCCAATTTATTTCGATCAATGCCTTCCATGGGCTGATGCTCGGACATCTCGCATGGTTGAGAGCGTAAATGAGTCGAGAGGTCTCCGTCTGAGTCAAAGACCTCGTAGCATCGTGGACAGTATATCGACTGTGCATGGTTTCGATATAAATGCTCTCTGCTCACAGTTAGCATTGTTTTGGGTTAGAACACGGCGAACGTACTTTACTCGGTGTACTGTCGGCCAACCAGGGCCTTTGCATGTACGTTTATTGTATTGATTCGGATCATGCTTGTAAAAAGGACAAGCAAACTTCGGACCGTTCTCAGAGTCCTCGGTCGTTGTGACAGAGACCCTTCGCCGCTTCGTAGGCCCATCTTCATCCTCGCCGTCTGGATGAAGACTCTCGTCGCCACGGCCCCTACGCTTCGATTGTCCGGTATTCATACCTTGACCGCTTCCCCGGCGAGAAGAGGCTGTGGTGGATTTTCTCCGACCGGAATTGCCTCCTGCGCATTGTACATAGGCAGCGTATCGAAGGTTAACTTCGACTTTGTGCATGATGATGTCGATGGTGGCTAATGTGGCCTTTGACATGTTGCCAGGAGCCATGTTGGGCGATTCGTCTTCGCTGTCGTCGGTGATGGAATAGTCGCCTCCGCTGCCGTTTGATGATAAAGATACTATTGAAGAGACACGGTCGTTGGGTCTGTCTTTGGATGGATAGGACTCATCCATCCACTGTTCTACTTCCTCTTGGTGTCGGCTCTCTAGATGGTGAAGAGACAGACAGGTGCTCCGTGCCGTGTCTGCAGGTTGGTTTACAGGTGTCTTGACCGCATGAATCCTACCCCATGGCAAATTAGTCTGTATTCCGATGTATATACAAGTGTTTAAAGTACCAATCGGGTTGCTCAGGGCAGCCAGTATGGATGTTTGAGCATGGGTTACTTGTCACGTGAGCACGGGTAGCAACATGTGCATTCTCGGTGGCTGCAGACTTTCCGAGTACCAAGGGCCTTTTCAAAGAGTCGAACTTTTGCGTGTGTTGTGAATAAATTATGTCATCCGCTGGACATTCGAACACAGTTCGAAGATCATTGGCGAAAGGGAAAGATACTAGAGCTCGTTAGCATGCTAAGTCCTCAAGGGATATCACGAAACTTACCAGCACTTGCATCAGCAGAGAGAAAGTCGGAGGGTGAAAGCGAGAGGTCAGGATCGCTGTTATATCCCGAGTCACCAGTACGGGACGAGCCGATTGAATCCCTCCGCGATACCTCGCCATTGCGCGTGATTCTTAGTTTGGGCAATGTAGTATTGGGCTGGTAGTGAATCTCGTTCCAGACGGTAGGCTCCATTGCGCAGTATCGCAATAGAAAGAAAAGAATGGTCAGCAAAAGAAGCGAAGGAAGCGTGCGTGAAAAAACAAAGCAGACTCGATAATGATGCAGGTGTCCGGACTTCTCATTGCTAGAAACTTTGTTTCGTGTTTGCCTGATGGATCAATTATGTACCTATGACTCTCTGCGCGACTGCGCAAACATAACATCTGACGTCTTTCGCAAGGCAACCGACGCGGAATCCTTCCCTGATAATCGCTGAAAATTGTACCACATCGGCAATGCGGCCCTCAGCTGGAGAGGCACAGAGGTTGCAGTAGAGAGGGAGGGGTACAAGTCATCCCAGGTGGCTGTGCTAATCCTGTCCTGTCCCAATTGATTAACACTCGGGCGGGCGGCACTCCCACGTTTTTGCTTCCGGTGAATTGGGACTCGGAGCAGATCGTTTACGAGTCCGACCTTTTTTGGCAAAAGGCAAAAGGTCTAGGCCAATCAACCCAAGTCGACCTACACGTTGAAGTGGTCGGCTGCCTTGTGTGTGTTGTGCGATTCAATAGAAGCTGACCCCATGAAACATGATGGAATTCTGCACCTCTGTCTGATCCTTACGCAACACAGCAGCCGAGGCATGTTGACACTGCCCACCTGTTCACCCACTTCGTCAAACTTCGCGTATACCGTCGCCCGTTATATCTACCGGGGTGGCATACCTGTTTGTAGCTCCCATCACGTGTTGACATCAAGCCAGAGGGTTAGGCGTATTTGTTTATTACTACTTTCAAGTAATCGATGTAGTACCTAGTATTACAAAAGAGTATTAAGAATAGTTTTATTCGACCACGTGTCTTGCATGATACATTATAATGCTGTGCTATGGCAGTTGGCAAACCTCTGAAATGCTGGAATTTACTTGACGCTTCTTTATACACACGTTTCTTGGTCGACTATAAGATGAGACATATTTCTTGGTGCGTGTCTTTATTGTCGTCCATTGCTCGAATATACAAACAGACAAAATTGGCAGCTAGTCCCACTCATAAGTCCATTTTCCTGGTATCGTCAGCGGTTGTTATTATCACTTGTATGAACGGGGTTCGCACCATCTTTCCATATTGGTCTGTAGTATCTATTGTGCTCTTCTGACCATGCCCATTGCTCGAAAGAAGGGGAAGTTCTTGGTTCACTTGCGATAGTATTCTGGCTTGCTGAGCCATGTGACCAGGTTAATGGCGGTGGTTGGTTTATTGAAGCGTCCCTATCCTCGGCGTCTCTACTGTCGCAGCTGTAGGCAGTATGCCAGCTACCAAATGTCGACTGTCGAGTAGGCGCCGGCGGTTGTTCGAAATTGTAGTCGTGGGCCCGGTCGACTTGTGGCAGTTGCTGGTTTCCACTTGATGTCCCCCGATAGCTCTGATCCATGCAGCATGAGCAGAAGTATTTGCTGGCTTCGACATCTGCGCTGAGCCTGTCGGATATACTCTGCGCAGACACACGTCTACGCATATCAGTCTCGAACATGAGATAGCATGCATGAATGATCGGCTGCGCAGCGCTGACTTTATTGCTGCTCAAACACTCGAGTACATATTCTAATCTGTCTCGATAACAGAACCCTATTGACATATACGTGGTTTCAGTTGGATACGTCAAAGCCATGATCATTTGAAAGTATACGCAGCTTAAAGCCCAGACGTCGGTACCTTGATTTTTCGCAACGCCATTTTCGAGCTCTGGAGCGAAATATCGTAGGGTGCCGCGCACATCGTTCATCGTTGTTGCCCGCTCGAGCGCAGTCCAGTCGAACGCGAGGCCGAAATCAGCAATAAGAACCCGATCTTCACTGATTAGAATGTTATCGGGTTTTATGTCGCAATGTCTTGTTCTGTTCTCGTGAATGAATGCCAAAGCATTTGCGAGGCAGCCGAAAGCGTTCCACAGCGCACTAGCTCTTCGTTCTGAAGGTCTCTCGATGTAATTTTCAAGATAGTCACTGAGGGTGCCCTGCTCGGCGAATTTCGTAAGTATACCAAATTCTTCGAAATTTGGGCCGGTCTCGTAAGAGGCATACGTTTTTATCAAATGCACATGTCGAAGCCTCCGTGTATTGTTCGCCTCCCGCATACAATCATTCCTCGACACCTTTCTTGAAATTCTCAATTTCTTTAGCGCATAGACCTTTCCGTTGTTTCTGTCTCTAACCTTCGATACGGCTCCAAAGGCTCCATTGTTAATGAATCCTAGATCTTCGAAAGGGAGGCGTCTGTAGTCTGGTTCACGCACATGCGCCCCTTCGTTGAAGTGAAGTGGCTCGTACTCGTGGTAATCCATCTTGTGTATGTTTGGGTCTGTGTATCTCCGACTAATGCGGCCTGGGTTCGGAAGGCTATACCTGTTGGAAGTCAATACTGTTTCTATTAAGTTACTGCAAGTCATACATGAAATTTTGCTAGCCCTTTTGTTCCTTTATTAATACACAGTCTGTTCGCTCATCTACAAACGTCGCATAAAGGAACTTGGTAGGCGATCGATACCTGATCTAAGTAACTCTAATGCGCGAAGATCACATGAATCATATCTCTTAACAAATTCGAGATGGCTTGATCATGGCCGACAAGGCAAGAACCCACAAAAGCATGAAGTGAGGGACACAGGCAACAGTCGGGATCACGTCTTTAGAGGTCGGGGATGTACATTAGGCTGAACATTGAGGGGCAATCCGGCGGCGAACCAAATATATTTATGATAAGGCCAGCTCCCACGCACCCCGCCCCAACGATGCGAGTCCCGCAAGGCTGAGAGTCGCCCTGCCCAATGACAACGCATTGGTTTTCCCTTCATATATACGATCAATGCCACCAGTTATACGCTTCGGGTAGAACTTAGCTCGGTTACCAGCGCATAATGCGGCTCTTACTGGGGGCGCTAAGAAAGGGCGGTCTTTGTCGCCTTGGAACTCGGGCGTCCTTAGGCACGTTTGAAGCCCTGACAATTGTTGCAGCTACTGGATTACACGTTGAAATCATAAGTCAACATACCTAAATACAATAATCCGGAGAAGGCATGCCTTATGTCTACTATCAGGCGTTTTGCCTCTTATTCCTCCAAGCACAGAAATGAGTATTGCAGCAGAAGCAAGCCCGGCATTTATCGAGCGCACGTGTGTAACAATCAGCTTTACTATAAAACACGAGGAGCCTGACCATAACCTATACTCAAAAACGTTGTGACTCTCATGGCGCTTCAACATTACAGAACTTTACGAAGCCAATTGTTCTACACTTCCATCATCGAGCAAAGGCTCAGGTCGATAGCTGCTGGCCAGCTGAACCGAGTCTACTCGCTGTTAATCAAACCCTTGGGAATATTGAACACAAGTTTTCCATTCCATAGCTACTGTACAACTATTAAACGAAAATAGTTATTACTGAAAGGTTTTATAGACTTTACATAGTTTCATATGCCGACTGGCCGGTTGGCAGCATATGATTGTTCGTCTTCACTTCGAGTTCAAACTCATTTTGAATTCGTCGCTGAATGCACAGCGCCAGCGACGAGCGAGATAGTTTGGGTTCTCCCCTGCGCAGCCGAACGAGTTCTTGCCATCATACGTGCATGTGCCCACCTGTTTATCATCTCGTGTTAACCACATGTTGTTTTCGAGTCCGCAACCTTGCAAAGAATACTGTCCCTCGAGACCGGGTAGAGTAAAAGTTCTGCCACAAGGCGAAGCCTCGTTCTCTTTGACGCCCAGGTCTGCGCCGAAGGTGCATGAGTCCTGGTCAGCGACCCAGGCTACCCAGTTCCCCTTCATAACGATGTTTTCTGTATCTAGGACACCAAAGTCGATGCCAGTCGGATTTTGCGGGTTTGCACCAGGTGTAGGTGTAGGTGTAGGTGCGGGCAGTCCAAAACTAGACTCGGCAACTGCACCAGCAGGAGCGGCAACTGCCATAGTATTCAAAGTTGAGAAGGCAATGATTGCCAATGCAGCCGAGTTGGAGAGAAAGAATTGCATTTTTATTGATAGAAAGTATGTTTTGGGGAGAATTTGGTATCGATGTTGGAATTGCGAAAATCAACGAATGAAGCGAGCGTGTGTTTGGAATGAGTGACTTGATTGAAATGAAAGTGAATGTGCCGTGATGATGATGATCATTAAGGCTCAGATATCAGTATTTATATGGAAAATAGACATTCCCATGGCCAGATTACCGTCAAGCAGATTGACTACAAATCATGATTTGTTCACATCACTCTTAGTAACTCCGACTCCTAGCATATTACACAGCTGAAGCGTGCTGTCGCATTATTTGCGCTATGTACTTTGAAAAGGAATGGAAATGTGAAATGACTTCGCTGCCGGCTTGATGTATATAATACTCTACTAATCAGCACATAATTCTCCGCATCTAGATTCCATCGGACTTTGGGGTCGTGCATTGTCTGTATGTAGTCGAATGGACCAATCCAGTCCATTTTGATGTCAAGATAAGGTTAGTGTCCGCCTAGAGCCCGAGTCTCGTACCATAAATGTCCACTCCGCTGGTCGATGTTATTTGGTTCAACCGTCGGACATGGAAAACCTAAAACACCTGTTCCATGTCAAATCCCGTGAACCTGTCTCCGCTCCCCTAATTGTAATGATTAAAAGGCCCACGTGCCCATCGATTACCCACTGCATCTGCCATAATTCGGAACTCATCTACAAAAGTCCCCACGTGCCAGACAATCTCAACGCCTGTCGGCAAGGTCGTGTTGATAGCCACGATTTCCTACAATACACAAAGCTTCAGATCGACACAGCCTTATCATCGGACTTTGAAGTAAGGGCCACGTCGTCTCACAAAAATCTTCATTGGGCTCTCGCTTAAGGCATCTTTCCATGTTAATCTCTCACAACAACCGCCCTCTCTCCCCTGGATTCATTGTCGATACCGTATAGTCCGCCGCGCCTTTAGTGTTATTGAACATCTCATATCCGAGTAAGATTATCATGATCTTTTTTTCATAATAACGAAAATCTTAACACATGGGGTTCAACAGTCCTGGTGTATCACTGAGAACTTCACTTGCAAGATGCTCAAAAGTAGCATATTTAATGGCCTTGGGTATGTAGTGTAATGCTATTGTGGCCTACGGCAGACATACTGTTTTGACGTTGAAATCATATTCTGCTTCGAGACGAAATTGCAGCTATGGTCCTCGCGATTTATCTAGACGAACCACAATTCATCCGCGCACCGTTCTGTAGGACATTGAATATTTTCCGGCGGATTTGCACGTCACGATCAAGCGAAAGTTTTTATTATGAGGCGTGCTACAGGCTAGCCTAAAATTAAGATGCTAATGGGTCGGAAAGTAGCGATAGCGATACATGCAAAAGCCAAAATGTGAAAAGGAGAGTATTTGTCTTGATGGCAGGGCCAGTAAAAACACAGGAGCATTTTGGAGAAGAATGATGGTCATCTTCTAGCGAGTGGAAGAACGGCTCGTAGAAATTAGTATTGTAAGCATTTATTTAACTCTTTTCGGGCTTATCTTTATGACTGGATTTATCAAATCTACCATGTTGCGCTCCCGTCTTTCGAACAACCCCATTCATCTTTTGATGCCCATCTTTTAAACTCAGCCAAGCCTTTTCGGCCCCGATATTCTCCATGTTGTCCAAGATTCCTTATCGCCAAATACCCTGTATGATGAATACCAGGTAAATCACTATCTCCATGTTGCTACGATCGCTACGGAATAGTGGGCTAAATATCTAAGAATGGAAAATGTTGGACAAACCCATCACCGCAGAACCGGACTTTATTCGCAGAACTCCAGATACCGAAATAAATAGGAACAGAAAATAATGTTCTCGGATCAAGCGGCAGCTTCCCAGACGTGGATGGGTTTGGAAGTAATCGCAACCATGAAGACCGTGTATTTGCCTGCATATAATGATCTTCCTGAATCATGATAAATATCACATACAAGCTCACTCCGAAAGAACCATAGAACCGTCTTTTGCAAAGACCACCGACGCTCATTTCCATCGTTTATTCTTCGTTTATTCTTCGTTTATCATTCCCAAGTTCCCTCTTTTAGCTCACGTTGCAGCACTCTTATTTCGTTCTTAGTATTGGTTGTATAGAAGCTCTATAGATTTAACAATGGCACTGGCATTAGGATTTGTCGACGCGATTGGAATCTTCGGTACAGTGCTCACTACCATTGGTTTTGCTCAGTCGAACTGGCCGAGTCCTAGTGAGCAAAAGGGCGCGGTCATTCGTGTGAAAGTTGGTCTTCAAAACACAAGTGACCAGGATTACGGTGGTCGGCTTGCCAAAATACAAGGCTTCGACACTCACAACTCCATGATCGGGGAAGCCACCCGTCAGTGTCTAACTTTGTTCATTCTAATGGCACTTGTACTAACATTCGGTGACAGCCGAGGAGGACATTGTTAGTGGCGACTTCGCAGACTACACTCTAGAACAATCTAGTGGCGGTACACAGGCACAATACATTACACTTGTTGGAACCAATGGAGGCATGTGCATCTCCTGGATCACTCTGAAGAACCTCGACGGCGCCTTCGATTCCGCCTGGACCGGCGATATTGGGAAAAGCTGCGGTCGTTCATGGAACTTCGGTGATCAAGTGGCGGGCCGGGATCCTAACGGCAACCCGTACAAGCCATCTTGTACATGGATTGATGCAGATCACACTGACAACATTAACACTGGGGCGATGAAGATCGACTTCGCTGCGTACGGCGCGCAGTTGAATGACACCATCAATAACAACAAGACTTGCACGAAGACCATCTACTCTTTCGACGCGAATAAGATCGACGATGTGCCAAGCCAGAAGAAGAGACGCTCCAACATTGGCAGAGACCGCGCCGAGTGGATGAACGACATCATCCAAATTTCCGATTTCCCAGCTGACAATGCGACTGAGCTCTGTCTATCTGAGACAAGCTACGGTACTGATGCGATTGGGTCCGACGGGTTCTACTGCAACATGCGTACTCGAGAACTCATTCCCACGTGTAAATTGAAACAGGTGGAGGGATGTATCGAAGTCGATGAGGAGAACAAAGTCATCACCAAGAACACTACAGTTGCTAAACGCAGCGTTAAGCAAGCCTACAATACCTACAAGCAAATGCGTCATTTCTCTACCAGTAAGGCCACTTAATTAGGGCACGTTTCCTCTCTTTCTAAATAGACCTGTTCACTTCGATCTCTTAGCGTTGTCAAATTTTATAATAATTTCTTTATAGAGAATAGCATCTTGGACTCTATGTAGTACACACTTGTTTTCAGGTCCTTTTAGTACCTGATCTATGGATGTGGCTTTATTATGAATCTGCCTCTTCCCTGATAGTAGTTCTCACCTTCAATGTGATGAAGAATGACTATACAAAAATGATTGTAAGATGGCTTAGGTGAGTTGAGGCGATGGAGGATCAAACAACGTGAGCATTGTATCAGTGTCACTCTTACTTTGAGCGCTCATGGGCATGATCCTCATACAACCAGAGTATATTTGTCCCGATTGAGGGAACGAGGCAACAATACTATGGTCGGCGTTGAAAATCCACCTGGCTCGCTATCTAGTGTGGCAATGCATCACACATTATGATATTGCCAAAGTCAATTCATATGGTCTTGAAATCTCCACCATCATATTTGACATTCAATTCAGTTCTAAATCATCTTTATACATGCTCCAGTGCTGCTAGTCGAAGCTTAGTTTCGTCTCTTCATATACAAGGAGATCTGGCCCAAAGGAGTTAAGATATGTAGGGGCAAATATGCTCTCGCCACTTCTATGACAGGTCAAATGCAAAACGCTCAAACGCTCAGTGTCGTGCAGTGATCACTCAATAGCCGCCCTCTTCGCGACGATCGTGCAAGGCTCCTTCATGTACCATGAACCTAGCTTGGGATCTCCAAGAACATTTCCTTGCAACAATGTTGCTGTTCCACTTCTTGCCCTGTTTTCTGTCGTCTCGACTTCAGATTTCAACAGCTCCACTTCGTCTACGACAGCGCCGATCTCGAACACGCCACTGCACAGAGCAACGATGCCGAGTTCTGTTTCGACAGACTGCCCAGGTGTAATAGCGGGGAGCTTGCGCTGGAGGACTCCAGTCCATGAGAACCGCTTGTCGAGGTCAAGTGCGATGTTGTGCGGAAGACCAGCCACGTGAGGTTGTAGGCGAAGCAGCGGCGATATGTGACGCGAACTGCGGTTGTGTATCGTTGTTTTCAGTGTGAGAAATTCATCGACCTCGACTTGGAATTTGGCGTGTCCAGCACGACGAACACGGTCGGCATCTTCATCTTCGCCATCACCATCCGCGGGAACAACGGTTGTTTCAATGAAGATATCATCAAGTCTAGTAGCTTCAATCATTCGAGCCGATAGACGAATGCCTCTGAGCTCAATTTCACCGTGGCGGCCATTGTGACCCTCCTTCCAGGTGCCACGGATATGTTTCAATAATTCATGTCTGTACCAGAAGGCTTCTCTGGAGAGACGCTCTGCATCGGGAGATAGTTTGCTTGCGCTAACAACGAATTGGCGTTGGTTGGCGGGATTGAGCGAAGGAATTGGGGCGTGAGGGTCCTCGACATAGATCTTGGGCAGGATGATGACAGCACGATTTACATGTCCTGGCTGTATGGTTTCGGTCACGGAGTATGATTCGCTCCATACCGCGTCCGACTCTCCTTCAACGGGTTTCGACGATGCCTGCAGAGAGATCTCGAGGGGGTTGGGCCAAGAATTTCGGAGGTCCAACATAACCATGCAATATTCGTTCCCCTTCCTTCCAGTTCGGGTATGATCTAGGAATGAGGCAAACATGCTATTCTCTCCCAGAGCTAGAGTAGGTGAAGAAGCCTCTGTGCCAGACCATGCGAAATCGCCCGACAGAGGAACAATGTCCGGTCGCTGAAGTTGTACACTAGCATTGACGGTGATGGATATGGGGACGGATAATTGTCTTGTGAAGAAGGTATCCTGGATCTCCGACCGTCTCTTCCCGAGATTTGCGTAATCGAATTGAATGACGGCATCAGTCAATCGTGCACGACCTGTAACTTCGATCTGGAAAGTTGCCTTTTCTCCGGGTTTAATACGGATATCCTCATCGTCGTGGTCCTTGCACCACCGTAACGAGGGTAGGTGCGCCAACTGATATTCAAGCTCGTGCAGCTCAGCCGCTGGAAGATCTTTGTTGGAGGTGGCAGCCTGCATGGCTGCAGTTGCAGAATCTCGGAATGAGATGTGCACGAAATCCACTGTAGCGGTTGGTGATGTGTTGTGTAATGTAACACTAAATTTCCTGCTTTCCCCTTCGAGCACCATTATCGATTCTTGGGGTAGGGAGACATTCGCCAATGTGAGCACAGGCTGGTCAGGGATTACGGAGAACGACAGAGATTGTGGCTTGGGTGCACTGATCGGAGCTTCCGATTTTGGTGCAACAGCAGAAGATGGTCGAGAGACGGGGGCGCCTAAACAAGCTTTCAATCCTATTTTCTTCATCTTAGATTCTCTCTCTGGTTTCCATGGCTCTGGGAAAATTGGGAATAGGCGCTCCCGGCAGCCAGTAACCTTGACCAGACACCCTATGATGTTCAATTCTCCCGCAGATTTCGCGATTCCCACAATTGGAAACTTCTGAGTTCGATATGGCCCCAGGACGAAGTTTTCTTCATGCGCATCAAATTCCACACCATCAGCAGCTAATTTTAGATAGTCGACACCCAATTCGAAGTCGTAAGGATTTTGAAGCGCTATGACGAATTTGTATTTCTCTTCAGCGACAAGTATGGTCTCGGTAGCGATAGTCGCTGGTTGTTTGATCCAGGGGTTGTGAATGAATGGGCTCTCCTTCACTGTCGATGTTGCCTTGAGCTCTATAGGGCGATGGTGAGTTAGTCGAAGAGCGTGAGGCTCCTCAACAATGAAGATTCCTCGGACCAAGAAATCATCCCAATACTCGGTGTCAACCTGCTGGAGCCCTAATCTTGCAGCAGCGGCAACTGTTTTTGAAATGTTCCCATATAACCGGGCTTGCTCCTCGCGTGTAAGAGACACGAAGACATCGGTGCTATTAGCCTTAGGCGCGGTACCTGGGCCAGCCATTCGAAGCAACAATGCTGTGAAATGAATCACTCCGTTGAAGTCAGGTAGGGCTTCGCAGAAACCTATGCACATACGGAGTATATCCAACTTCAAACTAAGACTCCCAAAGGCCCTGAGAGAGGATATTTGAAGTATTTCTTCCACAACGGCCTGACTGTTCTTATTGCGAGCCCTTGATTGGTCGGTTTCATGGTCCGGAGTCGGTGATCCCGAGTAATTGAGTGCATTCCGAGAATCTGGTATGCCATATATCCTCCCGAGAAGCCCAAGAAATTGATCGATGCCATTTTCCACTTCGCCTTCCCCGAGGTTCAAGGCACCTGCGCCAGATGTGCCCCCGGTTGCCATATTAAGAGCAGCTAGCCCCGCAGCCGGATGTACTCCCATCTCAGCTGCACCAACCTTCCTAGCCTGCACTAGCCCAGGAATGAGTGAAGTGATGAATTCTTTCATGACGATTGCCTTCTTGCGCTGTAATCCTAAAGATGATAAGATTGACGCAATTCCGGCGAGTATTACCACACGGTCTGTGGGATTGACGCTCGTTGACTCTGGGGCCGGCAAAGCACGGAAAAGCAAGTTTGCAATGTCATTCCGTGTCGGGTTGACACTGAGTCTGGGAACAGATAATCTTGGCTTTTGTCGCAAGGGTGTACTTTGAACGAGGTGCTGCAGGGCATCGAAATCAAGTGACCCAGCTGATAGATTCATCGCAGCCAGAAGCTTAGAAAAGCGGATAACGCATTCTGAATGGGCGAGAGGCGGGAGCGATTCACCGCTGAAATTAGAAGCTCTGTTGTAGATGTTCAATATCATGTTGACCAAATCCGGGATAAGTGCATTAAGAGATTCAAGGGCCACTTCATGGCTCGTTGGTGCAGAGGTAGCGGTAGCAATGTTCGCAACACTGCTTGATGGAGTATGCTGCGGAGACTTCGTGCCTGACGATTTATCGGAGATCGGATAACACAGTTGTGGTATCTAAAGATATTAGATAAATAAGCTATGCTTATGATGGCAGCTTACCTGGAAATCCATGCCTGCCCATGCGAACAACAAAAGACAAACGAGTATATTTTCCAGAGCCTTGGCGTGCCATAAGTGATCGCTGAAAGCGCGAGCTCGAGTTGCACCTTCCACTAGTTCTCCGATTGCTTCGTGCCACAATCCGGCACTCAGGTACAGCGTTCCAATGACGATACTGACTCGACCGCGGCCCTTGTTTCGCGCGCGTTCGCCAACACCACCAGAGCCAAAACCCTGGATTGAAAACCTGTCACTGCTAGAGTCTCGAAGGCTTGATGCTTGGCTTTTGTTAGGATTGCTGTTTGTGCGGTTCAGTGGGTTCGGCGCATTCACTCCAGCTATATCGTCAAATGTGGTCGGCGGGGTGCGTGCGCCTTGTGTTGTAGGAGACTGTGATCGAGGATCTTCTGGGGTTGAAGTACTACTGGGAGCTGTAGAGGGCAGGACAGGCATGGACATTCGATGTACTTCTTTGGATCCTGGAGCCCCTGGCGAATCTGGTCTAGAGCTTGAGGGTATCTGAGAATTCCGACGACCGAGCTGCGTGCCTAAAGAGTCAGAGCTTGTCCAGCTGGAAGGTGCATCGGCAGTGCCATTCTGAGCGGTCGCGGGTGAGGGAACTGTTGGCAGCGCTTGGATAGATTTCGCCAGTGTTGTCAGCTCCGCTAAAAAGACAGACGTTAAATCGCACATAAATGTTCGTATTGTGGTTGTCTTGAGTTGGCTTCTAGGGGGTACTAGTATCGTCTCCTGTGGAAGCTGAGGATGTCGAGATGCAGACTGATAGTCAAACATCATCAAACTGTGAAGATAGGCCCTGGGGAATTGTTCTCGAAGATCTTCAATGGAAGTGGAGATATCAGTCAACTCTTCAGCGACATTTTCAGACTGCGAGGCCGGATCATCAGCACGTGACTCATCTAGCCAGGAATATTCCGTAGCATCAGCGATACCGATGACTAGAAGTGGTTCTCTAAACTGCTCGAATGGGGATAGAGATAGCTGAGACTGTGGTGGCAATGAAGTCGACAAATCATAAAGCAGAGTTCCATTTGGGAAGGCCAAGGGGGAGAACATGTCTAGAAAGAATAAGTTAGGCAAATGCTTCACTGAACTGGAATTTTTCGGGTCCATACTCCTGTCTGGTCTCGAATCCGGACTGATATCTCCCAAGCGGATGAGACATTGCGTCTGCAATAGCTCCACGAAAGCTAGAAAACGTGACCGCTTGATGCGACCTACGGGGAGAAGGAGAGCCCGAATGCGCGCCGGCGCAATCGGGGAGAGAGGGTCGACAGCCATGGCCACATTGAGGTTTCTTAGACCACTTCGGTCCAACAGCGAGTTTTGCGTGATATTTAGATGCGCAAGCTGTCGCAGACCATATTGCGGTGAACGATGAACGATGAACGTCCAACGTAAAAGGGCTCGGAACGATGAGGGCACGGTCCATTTGTGGGGCTATGCTAACTTGAGGCTAGCGCAAATGGCCACATAGCAACGGGTGAAACACCTCTTCTATGGCCCCGGCGTTAACGTCCACATCATCTTGTTCATCGCCGTCATCCTCTAACTATAGAGTAACGCTTCTCGATTTGGTTCAACTTTGTGTTCTTCTGCATAGCATAGCGTTGGTTAGAGGGTTATTGACCGCATCGCTTCTTCCGATTCCACGTGGTTTATTTCGCCACCAGATTCGCCGGCTGCCTATCATACACACAATATTAAATAACCGCCGCCCAGTAATACTTCACGCAATCTTTATAAAGAAACCTCTATCATAAATATCACTCCCCACTTCTTGCAGAACACTCAAGAGAAGGACCGTTACAGGCAGGCCTTGCAGGGTTTTTCCCCACCCAAACATGGCCACGATGGACTTCTCCCGGTTGCGCAACCAGACTATGGCGGATGGCCTGGACAGCGAGGTCACCGTCAATACAAGAGCTTTGATAGACAAGGTTCTAGCACGTTATTCCAGCGAACACACGACACTTCGTGAGTTGATACAAAATGCATCGGACGCCGGAGCAACAACTGTCCAAATCAAGTTTGAGACAGACCCTTCTCTAGAAGTGCCTGCACCGCAAGGCTCCAACCGGGCTCATCTGCTCAGACACATCATCCAGCATCATACACTAAAGCGATTAGTTGTATCCAATAACGGACAACCTTTCACTGCCGCCGACTGGAGCAGGTTGAAGAGCATCGCCGATGGAAACCCAGATGAGACGAAGATCGGAGCGTTTGGTGTAGGGTTCTACAGCGTCTTTGCTGATTGCGACGAGCCTTTTGTTGTCTCAGGGGACCGGACCATGGCATTTTACTGGAAAGGAAATACGCTATCAACCAAGGTCTCAAATGTGCCCTCCGACCACCAATCAACGAATACTATATTCTCCTTAGATTATCGCCAGGCAAATCCCGCATCACCATCATACAGCCCATCTAAAGTCACAAGTCTACCTTCCCTATGCCAGTTCCTCGCAACCAGTCTTACATTTGTTGGTCTATCTAGTATAGAGCTCTATCTCGACGATTTCAAGATCGTCGCTCTGTCGAAAAAGATTTCGCCTCCCTCGGAGATCAGTATACCAAAAGGTCTAAAGACCGATACTGAGGGTGGACTCATGCGTGTTTCACGGATCACACAACAGCATTCCCAAATAGACGCAGAATGGTCCAATGTGATAGCTACTGCACAGGCTCCACCCAAACGAGCGGCAGAGCTAGTCCAGGCAGAAATGAGAAATGCAGGTACAACCTTGAAGAGCTTCTTCTCTAAATTTTCATCTGCATCCTCGCAACAGTCCAAAAGTAGTAAGCCTACTCCGACCGTAGAGAAAAGCTTCAACAGCGAAGAGATCACGGGGGAATCCAAGGGAACAATATTTCTTCAAGTGTGCACCGTCGAGGTTGAAACTCGAGTTACCAAGAAATTTTCTGCGGAAATCGAGCGAGCCACCAAGAAACCACCGCCACGAAAGACCCGTATCGCATTGTTGACTTCACCATACCATGATCCAAGCGAGTCACTTTCAACGGGTTCAGGGAACACAGCTGAGCTTTCTGACAAGATTTTCGCTGAGGTCCTTCCGACGAAAGCAGGTAGAATATTTATTGGTTTCCCAACGGCCCAGACCACAGGCTTCCTTGCACATATCTCTGCACCATCCCTGATACCTACAGTCGAGCGAGAAAATGTCGATATGAACGCTCGATACATCAGTACTTGGAACGTTGAGTTGCTTCGTGTCGCAGGATTAGCATGCCGAATATCATACATGACGGAGATGGGCGAGGTTCAAGCCAAGTTGGGAAATAAAACTGTGGAGTCACTGATCCCGCAGGCGGCATATATTTTTAAGCGCTATACTGCTACTTCATCGCACCCCTCTACGTCATTGGGTGAGACAGTAGAGGAAGCCTTTTGGAATTGCTCTAAAGAAAGGTCGATCGAGATCCTGTCATCAAAAGGTTTGATGCCCAGCAAACAGGTGAGAATGCCTGCAGAAACTCTAAGTTTCCTTGGAGAAGTACCTATGGTACCGCAGGAGCTGGCAAAGGAAGCGGTCACATTCATGATCAATATGCACCAGCGCGGCTTCATCTCAGAACTCACGATGGCTGACATACGGCATGGGCTCGAATCTCGAGCGCTTACTGAGGAAGAATTAATTGAATTTCTTAAGTGGTCAGGTGCGAAACTCGAGAACAGGGAGCTTGACATGGCCGCTAGCCGATCCCTCTTCGAAATAACCATTGCCAATGTGGATGTCAAGCCAGAGGAAAACTCTGGTAAAATCCTGGCATTGGGGGACATCATCACTTATGTCAATGCAGCGAAGATTTCACCTACCATGCCAATTCCTCCAGATACCATTCCCTTTGCCATCTCAAAGGTGGTTCCTGTTAATCAACTTCGTATGTTTGGATGGAATGAGTTGAGCATCGTACAATGGATACGCTTCATGACGTCTCCGAACCAGCTCCGAGAATTCACAACCTCTGAACAACTCGCTTCTCAGGTTCTTAGCCTGACTGCAAAGACCTGGGATCAGCTAGATCCATCTTCCAGAGAGGCTGTCGTGGGCATCTTGACCCCCCACCCAATCATGCCGACGAAGATGGGTATGCGACGCCCAGCAGAGTCGTACTTCCCCACGGTCAAGCTTTTTGACGATCTTCCTACTGTAAAGCAATTCCCCGGATCCAAAGAGAGATTTTTGCAGGCTCTGGGTGTGCGAAAAACAATAGACCTCCCAATGGTGTTTGATCGAATGCGCAACGTCGATTCTGCACAATCATCCGAGAAGTCGACATGGAATCACGCCGACCTCATTCGGTATTTTGCCTCTGTCATCGAGGAGATTCCAAAGAAGGATCTTGATAGACTGCAACAAACCCCCTTTCTCCCGGGTGAAGGCGCGTCTGTGAAACAGGGTCAACTGTTCAAGGCTCAGGATCTCTTCGCCCCGGAGCAGTCAATACTTTCACTTGGACTCACTCAAGTCAAGTTGCCTTTTGAGTACAAGGCTAGCTCACGAGAGGGACAATTCTTGTTGCGCCTGGGCTTGAAGCAATGGCCCGATGCAATTACGGTTGCGAAGATCCTTCACCGCGCAGGTCAAGCGAAAGACCAATCCCTCTGGATTTTGGCAATGGAATATTACCTCCAGAATTTCCATCGCAATGGATATGCCGCGGAATACAAGCACGTTGCGGCTCTCACGCTGCCTATTTTGCCGACTTCGCAAGCACCATTCCCAACGCTTGTTGCTCCTTTCCAGTGCTTCACTAACGAGAATGCAAGACACCTGGGTTATGCAATCCTACGCGCTGATCTTCGGATGCATGCAGATAAATTTGGTGTGCGTGCGGATCCTGATATCAAAGATTGTGTGCAAAGGTTGCTGCGGTCGCCTCCCAAAACTAAAGTAGACGCCGATCAGCAGTACTCGTACCTAGGTACTCGTGCTACCGAGCTTGATCAGCATCGCACGTTGGTACAAGAGATGTCGGTGGCTCACATTGTTCCAATCTTTAGGCCATATTACCTTGATGCTAGCTGTTGTGGGTTTGAGGATCGGACGAGACGCCAGACTGGCAAAACGGAACTTCGCGTCCATCACTACGACCCTCCCGAAACAGTGTTTGTGGGTCGTGATCAAGACTGGAAGGGTATCTTGGATTATGTGCACTACAGTCCGGAGGCTACAGCTTTCTTACTCAAGGTTGGAGCAAAACATGAGCCAAGCAGCATCGATCTTGCACATCTCCTTTGCAGAGCCCCATCTCGGTTCCTCAACACCATCGGTCAAGATCGATATCTAGGTTTACTTCGAAAACTCGCAGAACATGCAGGAGATCTTTTCAGGGACAAGGAGTTATCCAAGAAGCTCATTACATCACGGATTTTGCTTGGTTATAGAGATATCAAAAACTCAAATAACACCGCACCCGCAGAAGAAGATGACCTAGACGATTTCCAGGAACTTGATATGCAGCGAGAGTGGTCCTTGAACCAAGCAACTGAAGTCGTCATCATCGACGATGTTAATTACCTCACCAGATTCCGAGACTTCATCATTTCTGCCCCACAGGAGGAACAGCTCGAAGAGTTCTATGCCCGGTTCGGGGTAAAGAAGATTTCGGAATTGGTCAAGGCAGACCGCCGGATCGGCGTGATGGTGAGAGATCAGACGCCGGCCACCAAGTTGCGCAAAGATATCCTTGAGCGCGCTCGACTCTTCCTCCATGAATATGAGCGCGATGCATCATCGCGAAGTATACGCCACGACGCGAAGTGGCTGTCATCGAATTTGGCGGTGCAATGCGTTTCAGACATATCGATCCGCTATTCCCTTGCGGAGCGTAATATCGCCACGTCCACCGGGAAAACTGCAGCAATCGTGAAGATCAGAGGCACGGGTATTCTGTTAAGCATCACCCCAAGATACGACGTCTACGAGGTTTCAGCCGAACTTGTTAAGATCCTCATTCAGCGACCGAAGCAGAACGACACCATCGCGCTCGAGCGCATCCTGACTGAACCGCTTCGGCGGTTGCAGGAAAAGGGTATTAACGTTGAACGTATCTTGCGAAAGCGAGAGATTGAGGCGCGTATCGCTAAACAGCAAGAGATGGAAAGGGAGCAGGAGGAACAGCAACGACTAGCTGAACAGGCCAAGCATGCCCGATTGAATCCTCCACCCCCACAGGAACCTGAACCTGAACCTGAGCCCGAGACGAAACAGAGACCAGGAACTCCAGAGCACAAGATGCCCGGAGCCTTTGGCAGTCCCGATAATAAGAGTATGGAGATTGCTGAAAACCACCAGAACACAAGCAACAAGAGTGTGCTCAATGACTGGGCTAAGAAACTGGGCTTCAGAAACACTCCTTCTGCCCCAACGACCACAGACGGACCTCAGATCAACCGCGACATCTCCGCAACCAAGTCGAATATCGCAAACGCCATCAAAGAATGCCGACCTACCAACATGGAGGCGATCAATTCCAAGCACCACCAAGATCCCACCGAGCTCGACAAAGGCGGATACTGCAACGGCGAACAATGGGAGAACATCCACAAAGCCTTCTCGATCCCATACTCCGGCCGTCACGTAGACGTTTACTTCGGCAAACACCAGTCTGAGACACCACAGGACCTCCAGACACCATTGACATCCTTCCTCCCCCTCATCTTTGGGCTGACATCGATCTTCGGCGTCAACCCCGCAGCCGTCAACATCTTCCTCGACAGCAACTCCAACACCGTAGCCTTCAACCTGAGCGGAAGCCTATTCTTCAACCTAGCATGGTACAGAAGCTTGCACGAGAAGGGCTGCAACACGCTGGAAGGGCGCTACACGGCTCTAGACAGCTGGTTCTTCACGTACTGCCACGAGCTCGCGCATAACCTAGTCGGAGACCACAACGCTAGACACAGCTGGTACCAGCAGCAGATCGCAATCGAGTACAGTCAGAAGTACCGTGCAGCCTTGAGCGGGTTTGTGCAAGGCTTGTTGGCGGACAAGTCGTAAATTACATCCCTATCGAATTAGACAGATCAGATTAGCATGGCGGGCAACTATTATATATTCATTAGAAGTGTAACGATCTCTTTACTCTTTATCTATAGACCGCATTGTATCTTAGATATCTCCAAATCCCATCCTTAGCAATGACTCCTTCACTGCATGCAATGACTCTCTCGCGTGACTACTGTGACTGTAAATGTCACTATCAAAAGTACTGCTTGCAATGTGACCGAAAAAGGGCTAGCGCGGTCCCCGGAGCTCAACCCGCGAAAATCTTTGCCTGCGTTATCCGACGGGAGTCATATGTTCGAACTAAAATAAATTTATATAGCCCGATCTGCTTGGGAAAATAATTCACAGCATGTTCATCTTTGATATCGTTTATAATTGATACAATTCTATTTGTCTTTTGTTTAGGTGCAAGGGGCATGAGTTTATGAACGAACGATTGAGAGATATGATATTTAGTTTGTCGAACTTTTTATCGCCACCCCCAGTGTGTCGCTCGTTAGTTACGATCTGGAAATTTTAGTGGATACACAGGCAAAAACGAGTCTAGATCTATCGCGATCTTTTTTTACTACAGTCATATCCTCCGTCTTTCGCTCTCAGCAGGTGCTAAATCAGCAAAAGAAAAAAAGAAAATAGAAAAGGAAAAAGAAGAAGAGCAGGAAAGAAAGAAAAGACTCACCCCTCACATCACACGATGTTCAACACCAGCAACCCAGAGGCAGCCTTGCCCCCCGCCGCCTCGGATGAGACTCCCAACCGCAAAACGAGCGCAGAAATCGACATCAAAGACCATGCGCTGCCGACAACGCGGTTCTCACTCTTGGACACTTACCTCGCGAAGCTCGATTCCCGCGGCGCGGTCGAGATGCGAGGATGTATGCCTGTGCCGATTGAAGAGCGCACTGTAACGCAGTACATCAACATTTTCTCGCTGTGGTTTTGCATGAGTTGTAATCCTCTTCCGTAAGTTTTCTTTTACCGTGAATAGTCAGGGAGAAAGTAGGAAAAGTATAAGAATAATAAGCTAATGGAGAAAATAGGATTACGTTTGGTATGGTCGGAACGCTGAGTTTCGGACTCGGGTTGAGGGATGCTTCGTTGATTATTCTATTTTTCACGCTCATTTCTACGGTGCCCGTGGCGTATATGTGCGCTTGGGGACCGAAGACGGGGATGAGGCAGTTGGTTCAGGCGCGGTTTTCTTTCGGGTGAGTGTCTATTATTTGTTCGAAATGATGTTTTGACGAGATCTAACTAGTTTGATTCAGAAAATACTTCGTCTCGGTTTTGATATTGCTGAACCTGGCGACCCTCACTGGATTCTGTGTTGTCGATTCAGTGATTGGCGGCAGTGCGCTGTCGGCAGTCGTGGATGGCCGGACGATCAATGCGACTGCAGGTATCATCATCATTGCTATTCTCGCTCTCATGATCTGTTTCTGCGGGTTCAGGATCCTGCACATGTATGAACGATTCGCTTGGATCCCTGCCGTGATTGCCATCACGATAGCTGCTGGATGCGGAGGTAGTAAGTTGAGGGATCAGGTTGTGCAACCAGCGGCTACACCTCAGCAAGTGCTCTCGTTTGGAGGACTTGTGGCCAGCTTTATGCTTCCGTGGGCGGCACTGTCAAGTGATTTCTCTACTTACATGTCTCCGAAGGCGCCTTCGTAAGTCTAAGTTTGGACACCTCGAAACTTTGAATAGGCTAACGCGAAATGCAGATTCCGAATTGCCCTATACACCTACGTTGGTTTGGCCCTTCCTACAGTTCTGCTCATGGTGTTGGGCGCAGCAATGGGTGGTGCTACTCCCAATGTCCCTTCGTGGCTCCAAGGCTACGAGCAGAATTACGCAAGCGGTGTCCTTGGAGCAATGCTCCATCCCGCAGGAGGCTTTGGCAGATTCGTCACAGTGGTACTTGCCGTAAGTGTCCAGCGCTCATCCTACGCTTTCAAACGTTAACGAATCGAATAGTTCAGCATGCTCGGAAATCTGTCAGCAACCATGTACAGCATCACTCTGAACTTCCAGATGCTGATGCCTTTCTTTTTCCGAATCCCACGCATCGTCTTCTCCATTCTCATCACGGCAATTGTCATCCCAGTCGCCATCGAAGCTGCTAAATCATTCTTCATCAACCTGGAGAATTTCCTCGGTCTGATTGGATATTGGTCGGCCGCCTTCATTGGCATAATTCTTGTCGAGCATCTGATCATTCGTCGTTCAAATTTCAATGCGTACACCGAGGACGAGACTGCCTGGAACGATCCCAAGAAGCTGCCTCCAGGTATTGCGGCCATCAGCGCCGCTGTGCTGTGCTTTGGATTGGTGATCCCCGGCATGTCACAGATCTGGTTTGTGGGCCCGATTGCTGAGAAAACGGGAGACATTGGGTTCGAAGTTGCATTTGTCCTTTCAGCGCTGTTATATCTGCCAATGCGATTGTTGGAGCGGAAGTGGTGCCGAAGATGAGAAGATAGATACGGGTAGATGCTAGATACGAGTACAGATGGGTACATCGAGTCGCTTACGCTAACCACTTTCACGTTTAATTTTCAATGCAGTGTCTTGTGCTGGAGCATTAAAAATCATAGTTTAGACATTTAATTATGAATATTCATTAGCCTCAATTGAATCACTGATAATGTTAAGTCGAACGGGTTCCCCTCCGCGAATAAAAGGGGGCCATAGCCAGCGACAGTCGGAGGATCTTGGGTTCCATGGCCCGATTCGGCAATTGAAACCTGGGGGAGCAGGGAAATGCTCGCCAAACACCTGAGGCAGAGACATGTGCACGAAAACAAACCGCTATGAGAGATAGATTTGCAGACGTATTTCTGCGCTGCATGAAGAAGTCGAAGATGAGATGGATTTGATTGGCGGCAGTAAGATAGGAATGACTTGGGCGTGTATGTCCATTCGGCACGTGACTGCGAGCTAACCCGCCCGCATTGTGATGGCCGACGGAATACCGAGGCAAAGGAGGAGATTTAGGAGATTTTACGATTATTATGGGGAAGAAGACTGGGAGAAGTCGACCGAGCTTGAGATTCTTAGTGGATGACGGCAAAGGCAGCGAGACTGGGCCTGTGACGTCCCCCCATCACAAGCCAAAACGGATCCGCACCCGCGCCTTTGCCGTCACCCTCATAATGAAGGAGCTCTCCCTTTCCTAGTTCCACTCCCTCTCTTTCTCTCTATCTCTACATGACAACCTTCCACTAGGCACGAACCTGTGCATTTGTATTATATTCAACACAGACCTGTTCTGTCGTCCTCGTTCCTTGTAACATCATCTCACCCCACTCGGTTACGGCTACGCGCATCCCCTCCTTCGATCTCCTCAAGATACCCGGTTAACCAACATGTCCGAATCTCAAGCCACAAAGACCGCGCAAGAGAAACTTGCCGAGTCTACTCAATCGGTTCCATCAAGCACGGCAGCTCAGCAGAGTGACAATGTTGCCCATGCGCTTGCCGGTGCGGGCGGAGGTCTGCTCTCCATGGCTCTGACGTATGTAGCTCCATACTTTCTTCCAGAACCGAGCACCAGAAAGTTACTGACACACACGCAGCTATCCATTGATCACCCTCTCCACCCGCGCACAAGTCGAGTCCAAGCGCGCACAGTCGTCGACGCTCAACGCTGCCAGGCGCATCATAAAGAGGGAAGGCATTGTAGGATTATACGCTGGACTCGAGTCAGCGCTGTTCGGCATCAGCGTCACCAACTTCGTCTACTACTACTGTAAGTAGAGCTTTGGCGCAAAACCAGATACTTTACGTTATTGACACGGCTAGGGTATGAATGGACCCGTGCATTCTTCGAGAAGGCTGCTCTCAAATCCGGCCGCGCCTCGAGGAAGCTCACGACGGTCGAGTCCATGATCGCTGGCGCAATCGCCGGAAGCGCCACGGTGCTCCTCACGAACCCCATCTGGGTCGTCAACACCCGTATGACTGCTCGCAAGTCGGAGTCTGAGGAGCAGGTTCTTCCTGGCGCAAAGCCTGCGAAGGCACCCTCCACCCTCGGCACGCTCTTCTCCATCATCCGCGAAGAGGGTTTCTCGCGCCTGTTCGCAGGTGTGATGCCAGCTCTCGTGCTGGTCATCAACCCCATCCTCCAGTACACCGTCTTCGAGCAGTTGAAGAACATGTTGGAGAAGAAGCGCCGCGTAACGCCCAAGGACGCATTCTATCTCGGAGCCCTCGGCAAGCTCCTGGCCACCAGCATTACGTACCCGTATATCACGGTAAAGAGCCGGATGCATGTCGCCGGCAAAGATGGACCTAAGGACGACATGATCACCAGCTTCCGCAAGATCATCAAGGAAGAGGGATATGCCGGATTGTACGGAGGTAAGTCCCGATCTACTTTGATGCCCTACGCATACCGGCATTGCAGAGCGTTATAATTGACAAATGTGGGGCAGGCATTGGACCCAAGGTCACCCAGAGCGTCATCACGGCAGCATTCTTGTTCGCATTCAAGGATGCGTTGTATGCGTACACCGTCAATGCGCGCAGGAAGATTGCCTTCCGAAAGGCATAGATGAAGTCGTAATTACCACCACTTCCTGTCCGACGATGATACCCTGCCGTTCCATGGGCGAACGCACACTAGAACACAACATACCCCAGAAGGTAGGATTTGTGATGGTAAAAGAAGACGTTGCATACGACGAGGTATGATCGGGTCGTGCCCTCCAGCCAGCATCGGCAGGAAGCCGACAGACTCTCTCGCGAACAGATATGAATGAAAAAGAAAAGGATTTATATATCGGAACTTCGGAGCCGCTCAATATGCTATTTACATCCTGTACATACTCTACTACGCAATTTAATCTTGCATGTTTGATCGACGCGACCACTTTGCGACCTTTTCGTTCTGCAGCGTATAAATCCCGTAGCCCGACTAATTCTAACTAACGGCGCGCATATACGGCAGACAGGCCAGACAGACATACAATCTTTCCATCCTCAACCTTCTAGAAGTTTATGCCCTACATAGTCACGTCACACACATACCTCCGTCAGGCACCTAGATCTCTCATCCAAACCATGTTGGGTCGCTCCCCTTCATCAAGACCCGCAGCCAGCAATATCCAACAACCCCCCTCTCTCTCGGCTTCCCTACCCTAGTCTCCGGGCCCTCTGCATAAACGACCCCAGCCCCAGCACCCATTTCGAGCATTTATTGACGTGCAGACGAAAATTGACTTACTCGGCGCGGGGAGCGCCCAACCGTTTTTTCTTTCTTGCATGGGACTATCCCGCCGTATTATCCACCATACGACGGACAGATTGTCAGTGGTGTACCTGGTTGTCGGGATCGCGGATTGGGTGGTAGGAGGCTGCTTGCTTGCTTGCTCCCGTTAGCTTTGAATTGTCTTGGAGTGCAGGTGAATTGATGTGGAGTGAGAGGGGGAGGGGAGAGGGGTGTACATTAGGTACATAATGGAGCTCCTTCGCTCCTCTGTTGCTTTAAGCTAACTTGACTTTTTACAATTCAATTGTTCTTTTGGTCTTTTCTTTCTGTTGTTTCTAAGTGCAAAGATGAGTGGGAAAGAGCCGTTCACGCTGAGGTGGGGTATCCTGGGTATGTTTGACATGATGTGACTTGTGTTTATCTCCTAATATCTACCTACCTGGGGTAGCTATCGATGTACCCCGCGAAGATTGAAAGCGAGGAATGGGAAAATTGAATGATAGACTGACGAGTATACAGCGACGGGAGGAATTGCGAAAAGTACGTTCGTCGTCTCATACCCATACCCATACGAAATATATCAAAAAATACAATGAATCAAACAATTGCACACCACCCCAACGCCTCCCCCCAAAAGACACGATACATCCATGACTTCTCAATCTAACGTCCCCTAGAATTCACGACCGACCTCCTCATCCCGCCCTCCACCCGCTCCGTCACCGACATCCAGCACGTCCTCTCCGCCGCCGCGTCCTCGACCTCCGTGTCGCGGGCCCAGGAGTTCCTCACCTCGGTCAACGCGCCCGCATCTGCAAAACCCCACGGCTCGTACGCGGCCCTCGCAGCAGACCCCTCCGTCGACATAATCTACATCGCGACGCCGCACTCGCACCACTACGCGAACGCGCGGCTGTGCCTCGAAGCGGGGAAATCCGTCCTCTGTGAGAAGCCGTTCACTGTGAATGCGGCGCAGGCGGAGGTGTTGGTCAGGATTGCGAGGGAGAAGGGGGTGTTTCTGATGGAGGCGGTCTGGACGCGGTTTTTCCCGATTGCGAGGGAGATTAGGGGGTTTGTGGCGGGTGGGGGGCTGGGCGAGGTGAAGAGGGTATGGGCAGATTTGAGCTTTTGGAATGATGTTGAGAGGGAGTTTGGGGAGAAGGGGGAGCATAGGATGGTTAATATGGATTTGGCGGGTGGGGCGTTGCTGGATTGTGAGTATTGTGGTTTCTGTTTTGGTATTGCTGTGTTGAAGTGGTTTGATATTGCGTCGCTGGCATATCAAATTTGATCACAGAGACAGGGAAAGAAGAGTGGATGAAAGAACCAAGAGACCAGAGATCAGAACGCTAACGAGCAACAGTGGGAATATACTCCCTGACATGGATATTCCAAATCCTCTATCACATCCAGCCGCCGTCGTCAAGGACGGCCCCGATCACAGCGTCCGCAATCACGAAATACCATCTGACGGGCTGTGACGAGACGACTTCAGTGCTCCTGACATTCCCGTCGACGGGCGCGCAGGGCATCGCCACGACATCTATCCGCGTGTCGTCGGCAGCGACGTCGGCACCAACGGACCCCGTACGCATACAGGGCACACATGGTGACTTGACGGTCGCTTTTCCGCCGTACCGACCCTGGCAGTATACGCTGTCTCCTGCGGAGTCAGCTTCGAGGGGCAAGCTTGCGGATTGGGATGCCCAAACGGTGGAGAGGGAGATTCCGGGAGGGGGGATGGGTATGTTCTGGGAGGCGGATGAGTGTGCGAGGTGTATTCGAGATGGGAAGCTGGAGAGCGAGGTCATGGGTTGGGAGGAGAGTTTGGAGATCATGAGGGTCATGGATAAGGTAAGGAAGGATGGGGGTGTGATTTATAGTGATGAGTTGGAGAGCGTCAAGTATCCTTAAGTAGGAGCTGGCTATACGAGGTGGACATGTTGCCTCTATCTCTATATTTATATAGAGGTATGTATGAATGCCATACCCTGGATGGCCGTTCAAAGGAGTCGCAACGTCGATGTATGAGGTGTGAAAGTCACATCTAAATTCAAAAGTTCCTGCTGCACGTTATCATGTTGACTTTGTACAAGAAATGGGTAGACGATCAGTATCGCGAAAGATTTTATGTTGAATAATGCCAGCACTGTGTATGTGCCGTTTTGTACGATCATTGTCAAGAACACCAGTTGTAGATGCTCCTCACATAAATATCATACTCATCCAAACATTGGAACTTCGGCTAGTTGCGGTATTGTTTTACTTGCCGCAACGGGAGGTCTATGACCGGGGCACCAGGGGAAGGGTGGGTACAAGACATCACAATTGCAAGATAGATACCGAGATATTCGAATGATGCAGATTCTTCCACAACGTTATCGGAATCGTAGATTGTGGCACGATCAATTGCGAACATACAGTCGGAACCAAATATAGTAATCTGCGAGTTGGTAACATGCGGTGCGACGAGTATGTATTATCGTGGATATTAGATTGCAATGTGAGAACTGGTGGTCATAAATTTTCGTTTGCCGTGGAGGGACTGTTTTCCTGGCATGTGACACTGGTCTATGAATTCGGCGCTCGCTCTGTAAGAATTGTCAAAACGAACAACATGAAAATGGAATAATCATGGAGCGGGCGACAAATTCTAGTTAAAAATTAGTGGGAACGTAAGAAGAGTATCCACACCGGCGCGAACACGGTTCCGCAACCATGAGCTCAACAACGCGGGATGGTGGAAACCTGAATGACAGGGAACCTTGGAAATATAGTTCGGTCATGGTCTTGGCCTGGGGAAGAGTGGGAGTGTGCAAGTGACAGATTGGACACCCTGATGAATCTAAAAACAAAGCGTGGTCACGGTGGACGAGATTGACAAGTCGGAAGCGAGCGAAAACATCTCGATGGACAAATCCGACAGTCCATGGAGATTCGAGAAGTTGACGTGCTTGCACGTGAGGGCGCGTAGATGGAATGGATTAGCAAATGAGGATACGAGGTACTACGGCGCACCAGTCAGGTCGTGGGTTGATGATGCTGTGGCAAGAATCAGTGACATGTCGTGTGCCTTGGTGTGCATGTGGTCTGAGGGACATTGTAGTGTGTATGCAGTGTATCGGATTCTGGATATTTGTGCTACAAACGGAAAAGACGGAGTAGTACTCTGTAGAGAAGGAATACATGAGATGAGAGATGATGATGAAGTTGGCGGTGAGAGGGAGTAAACGTGTAGAAGAGAGAATGGAACGGAATGGATCAACAATTATCAAGGAAGGTAATTTTAACGATAGGTACGGAGTAGAAAGAAGAAAGAACACCCCTCCAAAAGAGGAAAGGACGATGGGATGCAAAGATACACACACAACATAAAAATTGACCCCCATCATTTGTATTCAACAACATCCTTTCTCAACCCACGAACCCCACGGATCAACCTCGAATTTTCCAATTTGCCTCTCTCAGTTCCAGATTCCCTTGGCTGCCAGCAGTCATAACTTTTGCTTTTTGTTCTACTGCTTCTGCGGGGTTCCTCCACCAAGACCCAGACTAGTTCTCCCCTAGTACACTTAAATATACGTCAGTAGTCCGGCCCTTGGTAGCGTAGTCAACATCAACATCAACTCTGTCCTTTCTCTCTCTCGCCCTCTCACAAACCTCTGTCACTCTTTACACTCACCTTCTTTCACCTTTACCGATCAAATCCTTCTCAATTGGGTCGAAGGATAAGGTGAGGGTCCGTGAGACAATCAATCTCTCCCACTAATACGCACATCCACATCCATGTCGGTCATCGACATCACAAAAGACCTGTCTGCCCTCTTCTCCAGGCAGGTCAAGCAATCACCTGATGCCCTAGCTCTCGAAGATGAATCCACCTCATACACATACGCCGAGCTCGACGCAAAAGTAGAGGCTCTCTCTAAGCGTCTCCGCGGATATGGTGTCGTTCGTGACAGTCTGATCGGCGTTCTCCTCCCTCGCAGTTCAGACTATGTTATTGCCTGTCTCGCTTCTCTCCGCGCTGGAGGAGCTTTTCTTGTCTTAGAGCTTGCGTATCCTCCAGATCTCCTCGCGGATGTGATTGATGACGCCGATCCTGCCGTAATTGTCACTTACAGAAACGAGGTCGGAAAGATCAAGCCTGGAATTCCCCTAGTCACCCTCGACGAGGAGCCCGTCGAAAAGGTCCAGGAAAACGGGAATGGCCATCTAACCCAGCCTCTTCCACCACTGCCGTCCGACGAGGATCTAGACCGTCTTTGCTTTGTAGCCTACTCCTCAGGAACCACTGGAAAGCCGAAGGGAATTGCAAATCCTCACCGTGCTAGTGTTTTGAGCTACGACCTCCGATTCCAATTGTCCGATATTGGTCCTGGTGACAGAGTAGCATGCAATGTCTTCTTCGTCTGGGAGATAATAAGACCCCTGCTCAGAGGAGCCACAGTCGTCGCCGTTCCGGATGATGCCAGTTATGACCCAGTTCTTCTCGTCGATTTACTTTCTAGGAAAAAGATAACAGAGACGTTGATGACACCTACTCTACTAGCTGCGGTATTGTCAAGACACCAAGCGCTCGAGACCCGTCTGCCACAATTGAAATCTCTGTGGCTCAATGGCGAAGTCGTAACCACAGATCTCGCACGCCGCACCCTCAAAGCACTCCCCCACACCCGCCTGTTGAACTGTTACAGTGCGTGTGAGACGCATGAAATTGCTTGTGGTGACATCAAAGACATGCTCACAAAGCTCGATAGTGATGCTTTGTACTGTCCCGTGGGCCCCCCGCTTATTGATCGCAAATATATCTACATCCTAGATGAGAGCGGTCAGCGCGTAGAAGATGGTACAAGTGGAGAGCTGTTTGTAGGTGGCAAGCTGCTCGCCCGTGGCTACCTCAATCGCCCAGAGACCACCGCAAGGGCCTTTACTTCGAATCCCTTCGACTCCAAGCCCGGCTCAAGGATGTACCGCACCGGCGACAAAGCGCGCCTGCTACCTTCTGGACTGCTCGAGATCACGGGACGTACAGGAGCCATGATCAAATTGCGAGGATACTCAGTCGTCCCTGGAAAAGTCGAGAACGCAATTGTTAAATACCTGGCTGTCCACCGCGCTGCCGTCGTTGCCAATGGAGAAGGACTGGAGAGGCAATTGGTAGCATACTTCGTCCGCGACCGTGAAGCCTCGGAGGATCGACCCAAGCTCGAGATCAACGATACCGGCCACAGCCCGCAGGCGCGTCGAACTCTATCCCAGTCTCTTGCACCATACATGATCCCGTCTCTGTGGGTTGAGCTTGATGAGCTTCCCACGCATGGTGTTTCCGGCAAAGTCGACCTCGCGCGCCTTCCTCCGCCAACACCACGTGCAAAATCACCCGTTAATGGCCAGAGGGCAGAGCATGACCCAATTCAGATTGAGGCCATCAAAGAGATCTGGGCTGCTTCGCTTAATGTCGGCGCAGACGCAGTAACACCAGAGCACAACTTCTTCGACCTCGGTGGACACTCGCTCTCACTCGCCGATCTTGCTTCCCGGTTATCTAACCAGTTCGGTTTCCGTGTACCTGTGTCTCGCCTTGCCGACCCTGCCACGCTTAATGGACATCTCGAGACCCTCCGATCCGTGAGAGACGGTGTGACAGCTTCCATCCAGGCGGACCTTCCCGCAGTTCTGCGCGCCGACAGTGTTCTCGATAAGGACATCCAGATCAGTGATGTGAAGCCATGCTCGCTCAAGGATGCTGATACTGTCCTGCTTACGGGTGTGACTGGTTTCTTGGGCGCATTCCTGCTCAACGATCTATTGGAGAACACTTCGGCCAAGGTTATCTGTCTCGTTCGTTTTAATGACCCCTCCCAGGACGATCTCCCAGGAGGCATTGCTCGTATCCGTAGGAACCTTCTCGACTTTGGCCTATGGAACGACTCGATCATGGAGCGAGTGGAGATTCTTCCGGGTAATCTGTCTAGAAAGCGCTTCGGTCTTTCTCCCGAGGCATTCAAAGATGTGGCTTCGCGAGTCCAGGTGATCATCCATGCTGCAGCTACCGTCAATTTGGTCTACCCGTACGCTGCCCTGAGACGTGCCAACATCGGTGGTACCCGTGAAATCATTCGTCTCGCGGCACTGGGAAGTGCAAGCCTTCTCTATGTTTCTACAAACGGTGTTTTGCCACCAGCACTGACGCAAGCGGGCTGGCCCGAGAATGCCATGCTCACTGCGGACGAAGTCCCTGAAAAGATTCCCGACGGCTATGGCCAGACTAAATGGGTTGCTGAGCAACTTGCTGTAGAGGCATCGAAGCGTGGCCTCCCTGTCAGAATTCTCCGGTGCGGAACTATCAGTGGACACAGTGCCTCCGGAGCAGCCAATGCATGGGATCTCCTCACCGCTTTCATCGTTGAATCTGCACAGATTGGATACTGGCCGGACGTACCAGGCTGGCGTGCCGAGATGACTCCTGTTGATTTCGTTAGCAAGGCCATTGTTCACTTGGGCAACCAGACCCACGCTGATCAATTAGTCTTCCACCTCGGTGACCCAACACCTGTCCAGATGAGCGAGGTATTCGACATTCTGCAGACCCTCGGATATCCATCTCAGCCACTAGGATTCGACGAGTGGGTTTCCCTCTGGACTGAGAAGCGTGGATCCGCTAAGGGCGGTGACGGCGCCTTCACAGTCGATGTCCTCCGTACTGGTATGCCTAGCGTAGAATTCCTCCGTGATATTGTCGTGCTTGACAATGCGGCGACACGGCCTTTCCGCGCTCAGGTCCAGCGGCCCAAGGTCGACGAAGTCCTCCTAGAAACCTATGCAAGACACTGGTTCGCAAGAGGTTGGCTTCCCCGCCCTCCAAAGCAGAACTTTGCTAAGGGAGGTTCCGCGCAACTGCCACGACGCGGTCCTCTCTTCGGGCGCGTGGCCGTCGTTACTGGCGCCTCCAGCGGTATCGGTGCCGCTGTAACCACAGCTCTTGCACGCGCGGGTTGCCACATCGCCATCGGTGCTCGCCGCGTGGACGAGCTCGAGAAGGTCAAAAAAAGCCTTGTCGTCCGTGAGGGCAAGGTCATCATCCGAAAGACGGACGTCACGGACAGGAAGCAAGTCGAAGAACTCATCAACGCAGCAGAGACCGAACTGGGTCCCGTCGACATCCTAGTTTCATGCGCCGGCGTCATGTACTTCACCATGATGGCGAACAACCAGGTCGACGAGTGGGAGCGCACCGTCGACGTCAACTGCAAGGGCCTTCTCAACTGCCTGTCCTCCACCGTCCCCGGCATGCTCAAGCGTGGAAAAGGCCACATCGTCGCCATCTCCTCCGACGCCGGCCGCAAAGTCTTCCCCGGCCTGGGCGTCTACTCAGCCAGCAAATTCTTCGTCGAGGCCACGCTCCAGAGCCTGCGTCTCGAGACTGCGGGCACAGGTCTACGTGTGACATCAGTGCAGCCAGGAAACGTGGCAACGGACCTCCTAGGCATGTCGACGGACCAGGAGGCCCTCAAGAAGTATGGCGAGCCGTCCGGCGCGAAGGTCCTGGACGCAGACGACATCGCCAGATCCATCATCTACGCGCTCAAGCAGCCTGACCACGTCTCCGTCAACGAGGTGCTCATCGAGCCGAGAGACGAGCCGATATAGACGCACGCATCCGTGGGCGTTAGATTCGATTCTGATATCCAATGCTAGGAGAAGATAGATAATATCTGGAAGAACGGCCATAGCGAACAAGGGAAGGGGGTAATCCATATGATCTGATACCACAAACACAATGTGATATGTCACGATATCTTTCTGTCAGTCTTCATAAATGAGACTGACCATCATCCCCCGTCCTGTATCAAATAAACATAGGTTAGAGGACCTGGACGGTTAATTTAGAATCCAATTTTCATTTTCTTGCACCTTGATGCTCTCTTTGATTTATGCCGGTGATATGTAGGGAAAACAAGTATCAAATCATTCGAGGAAGAAAATGTAGATGTACTTCACAACTGAAGTCTCAGTCTCTTCCTGCAAAGCATATTCCACGCTTAAATTACGTATGGCCTTTTAGGGCTTACATGCACACAGGCAAGCAACGCGATACATGATGGAAAAAAGGTTGAATGGATAAGTGTCACGTCACATCACAACCATCACACACAATCATTCCCATCACAATCATCCATACCCATCACACACAAAACCAGCCACTCATTTTTTTTTTCATCCCAGAGAGTGAGTATCTTTCTCCCAGGGTGGTTTATTTTTTCATTTCTTTTTCATGTGGGATCGATCGTGAGCGGGTTTGCTACTCAAGCTCCTCATTGTCCGTCTTCTCATCTGTCTGTCTGTCTGTCTTGTTCCGTCCTCCTTCGGAAACTTCTCATCTCTCCGTTCCGGTTGCAAAACTCCCTTCCCGATTGAACGCTCATTCGATTCCTCCCTTTCGTCATATAGAAAAACTCCTTTCATCCTTTCATGATGTTTGTTGTTGATAGCCAGCGCCGCCCCGCTCGCTGATAGTAGTCGTCGTCGATTTTTTAACTCCGGAAGAAAAAAAAAGGAGATTCCCTCCCATCGTTCGTATGGGACTTTGCTCTCGTTAAAAGGCCCAGATGGTAGCTCCCAAAGACGCAAAGATAAAAGGGAAGATAGTTCTGAACAATACAATACAAAAAATGGAGGAAGGGGGAAGGAAATGATTTCGCACTAGGCGCGCGCTGTGTCCCTGGGACAAATGAGGACCAGGTTTGGGGTGGTGGGAAAGGGGAATGCGATAATGAAACACCGGTTCGTGACACCAAAGCAATATCAGGAAATGTGAATTGCAAGAGAAGAGACGGAATCCACCAGTGTATGGAATGTGATGTGGTTTGATTTGGCGTCCAAGTTTGATGACGAGCGCAGCCCAGCCGTGCTTGTCCACTCCTCAGTTATACTCCGCGCAGAGTACGGTAGAGGAAGAACGTGAAAGATATCTTTTCCCCCGATATATCAGACATTATGGCTGCGTAGTAGAAGCAGTCGATATCAAGCGTCCATTTCTTTTTAACTCCTGAAAAGTCTTCAATATTCGCGTCAGGCCTGTAAGGGCACGAGATCACCGGCGAGTTCATTTAGATCTCGGCAGGTGCGCCCTGTGCACCACCACGGCCACCTCGAGGGGCACCACGGCCGCGATAGCCAGCATTGAAACCCCGGCCACGGCCACGACCGCGTCCGCGACCACGATAGCCGCCACGGAAACCGTCGACACTGCCTTGACCGAAAGTCTCCATGTTCTTTCTGCGCTCTTCGCTGCGGAACTCCTGGCCACGACGATCAGCCGCTGCCTCGCGATCCTTGAGTTCGCTGGAGATGTTGTCGAAGAAGCTTGTGCCCTTGTTGTAAGCAGCGGGAGGAGGGATGACAACCTCAGAAGACTCCTCTGTAGCGCCATTCGCGTGTCCGTTAGGTACAGCATCAGTGGCGCCAGGGGTCTCACCCAGAGGTGATCCAGAAGCAATCGCCTCCTTGACCAGATCTTGCTTGTTGAACTTGGCATTCGCTGACGCAAAGTCGTAATCAGTTGCTGGCACCTCCATCTTCTGGTGATGATGGCCACCGCGACCGCGTCCTCCACGGCCTCCGCGAGGACCACCCGCATAGCCGCCTCTGCCATGTCGGTTGAGATCGTCGACGCGCATCTCGTTAACCTTTTGTGTAAGGTTGTCCAAAGGACCGGATGGTCTGCTCTGAGCGGGAACCTGACCGGCCGCCTGGTTAAGCTTAGCCATAGCCGCAGCGACAGCAGCAGTAGCTGCCTGCGTCGCGCTCTGTTGGGCCTGTGCAGACGAACCGCCAGCAGGCGCAGTTGCAGCTGCGACAGCGGCAGTATGGGGAGTTGTCCTGGTCAGACCAGGGCTGGCAAGAGGAACGGCAGGGACAATGCGACCTCCCTTGGGGCCGGTGGGCGCAGCCTTGGGCACCGCAGCCTGAGTGGCAGGAGGCGCGAGTGCTGCAGCAACATCAGGCTTAGACTCGACTGGAGGTGTAGGGGGTTGCTTCCCAGCAGCCGCCTTCGCAGCAGTCTTGGGGTCGGTAGGCTTAGCGGACCCATCCGCCTCGACTACCTTCGGTTGCGCATTCGCTTTCGCGTCCTTGCTACCGGGTGCGCCAGGCGCAGCGCCCTTAGGGCCCTGCGACTGCTGGTTGGGGGGCAGGTTTTGGTTCTGCTGTCCAGGCGGGCCGATCGGCACCTGTGGAGGGAACGGGCCTGGAGGCTGGTTGAAGCCACGGCCGCCAGGGGGGTACCAGCCCGGAGGAGGAGCGCCATACGGGCCTGGCGGGCCATAACCTGGGGGGAATGGGCCAGGGCCGCCTGGGAACCCGCCCGGTGGAGGTCCAAACTGGTTGAACGGCCCGCCGAATGGAGGGGGAGGGTAGCCTGGGGGGAATTGGCCATGTTGTGGGGGGAAGGGAGGTTGTTGTGGCTGTTGAGAACGCTGCTGTTCGGCTTGCGCACTGTCTGGCCGGCCTTGCCCTTGAGTCTGTGGTACCTATAGTGCCACTCACGTTAGCGAGATGTCTCCCACGAGTATGATGTTAAAAGGCATAGCAATTGACTGAAAGATCAGAAGGAAGGCAACGGAAATATCCACACGGTTTTGCGCTCTTGGACATGACAATGATTTACATCCGGAATGTTTCATCATTCAGAGATGGAGGGGATTGATGGAAAGAGGGTGGACGTACTCCTATGATGGCAGGGTCATCTGGCATTGGGGGTGGAGCAGCCTTCTCCTTGGCCTGCTCCTCGATCCGCAGATCCTTCACGTCGCTGCCGCGGAACACAATTTGCTCGTAGACGGCATCTGAAGCTGGGTATTCGTCTTTGCCGCCCCGGCGGCCCTCGCTGCCGTACGATCGCACATTGTCTAACGAGACTGTGGACTGTTCCGAGTTGATCTCGACCAGAGTGCCGACATAACTGCGCGCGTCGCGTCAATGAAAGAGCTCCAAAAGCTGGTCTCAATAGACTCGTACGAACCGGATGTCACTCTTCGAGATGAGAGATATGCGAGCTCTGCGCAATGCTTGTCAGTGGAAGCTCAAACTCGATGGAAATACCTGCGACTGACCCAATGAACTCGGACATTGTGGGGGAGGGAGAAAAGAGCCCCAAGTGTGAGAAGAGAGAAGAGAAATAGCTAGAGAGAAGAAGAGGAGGAGAAGGAAAGAGAAGGAGAGAGATGGGCGTGTGAGTATTCGTGGGAGGAAGAAGGGAGGTAGGTGGATGGGAGAAAGGTGAGTGAGGAGAGGTAGAGTTTGTGGGTGGAGGAAGTAAGAACGTCAACGAGCCTCGCCAAAGCCGGCGGCTTCACTTCGGCCTTTTCCCTTGGCTGCCGATCTTCCCTGCCCAAAGCTGTCCGTCATAGCGAGCTGTACGACGACACCCCACCCCACCCACTTACCTGCTTCTAATGAACCCCTCGGTTCCCGTCTACCATGAGTGCTGCTGGAGCTGTCGATAGCCCAGATGCCACATACGAGGCGCTGGAGAGTTACAATTGGGACGATGATGTGGAGTTTCAGTCCGGCCTGAGCGCCATCCTGGGCAGTGGCAGCTCTCCAGAGCAAGCTGCCGAGCTAACGCTACGGGCCCGTTGCTTCTACTATACAAGGTATGCCATATAGAACAGCTACTCACGAATGTATTCTCTAACAGACAGCAGGAAGTTCAATGTACATGTCGACTTCGATGGCTACAAAGCTTACCGAAGCGCCAACTCGTTGCACCCCGTTGTGACCAACGGCGCACATGCCCCCGCCGCTGCCTCGAGCGCAGAATCAGCTGGTGGAATATTACCCACTGCCTCAGGAACCACAAATGGGACTCCCGCGCCATATCCTACATCGTTCGCACATATCGTTGAGCTAGTTTCGTCGGGCCAACCCGTCCCGGGCATCAAGCAGATCCCAAACACAGTCCTGACAGGGCAAGGAACGAATCCAGCTAGAGCAAAGAGAAGGAAGCCGTGGGAGCAGGATGATCCTCCAGCAGCTGCACAAGGGGAACAGGAAGCAGCCCCATAAGCGTCACTTTCGAGAGGAAGAAGCGATACCCGGTCTGACAGCACGGAAGAATATGGCCTTGCAGGGCATTAGTGGCAGTATAAAGTGCCAGTATTTTTCATGAGTAAATAAAAGGACACAGTCCTTCGATATATATATATAATCCGATAGGTCGATTACCAGACCAACAAAACATAACAGGGTATCTGCACAAACACTGAGAACGCATGCTCCAACCCACGAATAGACCCACCAGACTCCCGCTAAAACGTCCAAATCGTGACCTGTCGTACCAAGGAGACAATGAAATAGAGAAACAATATGTGCGCTCCAGGTTGCTTTTGTACTGCCTATGAATCATAGGACGGCCTCAAGGACCTTTTCTTTGAGAAGCTTCTCCTTCTCCTCGCTTTCCCACAGCTTCTTTTGTAATTCGAGGTACTTGGCCTTCCAACCAGCAATTGAATTCGGGTTCGACTCTTGCATGTCCAGCTCCTGCGTGGTCACATGATCTGTCTCAGCCTGCTCATGGTTCGGGCCCGGTGATAGGCCTTTGACAGTCCATTCGCCTGCGAGCGGGCCGAATGATACTGTAAAATATACATCGAACGTCTCTCGTATGTGTCCAGTATCAGTGGTGCCGTCGACATTCTCGTCGTCCTCGTCGATGGGACTTTCGTATCCATCGCCCCCAACTCGGAACCTGACGCATTCGACCTTGCGTGGCCCCCCATTGGGACCCCCAATCCCGAGACCCACGGAAGCGCTAATTCCCAGACAACTCGCAATGGCGATGGCTAACATTTGATCGCTCATGATCTTGGCGGGACTTGCCGTGCCACTAGATGGTTTCGCATAGAGTGGCTGTAGAATGGCGGACGCAAGGTTCTTCGCTTCTGTACCACGTAGTCTTTTGCGCCGGCCAGTAAGAGGGGCACGAATCAGTTCGGTGGCCAGGGCGCGATTCAATGTTTCGAACGGCAGGTCTGGAATGGGCGAAAATGTAGGTTGCATCAGAGTGCGAGGGGACGGGTCAGATTGTGCTTGGTTCGGAGAGACCGTGGGTGCATGCTGCTGCTGTCTCTGCGCGGCGGCCGCACGAGCTTCGTCAAAGAACCGGCTCGTTGGTACTCTACGTGAATCGTCATCAATCGTAGAGGACGCCAGGCCTGTGCTTGGGGTTGCATCCTCTTCTCCGTTGACAAGAACTGTCGGCGTGACGAGACGGACAGGGTTACCCAAATTTTGAGGAACTTGTAGACTAAGCCTGTGGGGCTTTTGGGAAGTGTTCTGTAGAGACCCATCCATATTTGTCGGGGATATGGCAGATGCTGGAGTCGGGGGTAATCGAAAGTGCTGTTCGGCCGCTGGAGGATCGGACTGCGCCCGCTCAACTATGGGTGTGAGGTGCCCAGGGTTCCTGTTCATGTCTATCGTTGGCCCTTCTTTAGATGGATTTGCCGGAAAAGTAACGAAGGGACCATCGCGAACCGAGCGATTACTGGGCGGTCGACCACGCAACTTTCCAGTCGAGGAGGTAGTCTGGCTAGGCCACGCAGAGGACACTGCTGGGCCATGCCGACGGCGTGAACGAGGTTTGGAACTAGAAGGAGTAACAGCAGACTGTGGCTCGTCAAAGAAATCGGGATGTGCCGACTGGGGGGTAATGGCGGAGAGCGGATGTGGAGTCGTTGGGTTGTCTTGCGTATTGAGCCGCCAGCGAAGCTGTTGTCCAGACATGGGCGACGCCGAGTATGGAGTGAGATTTTTGTTGGGATTCATTCGGCTTGATGCTGAAGAAGCAGTCATCGCGGTAGAGGGCGTAATGGAAGATCCGGTCCAGGGATCGTGACCACCTAGGAAACCTTCCATGTGATCCGGATGAGCACTACTGGGATAGGCCGATTGTGGTTGCAACACATTGCCAAATGGAACCGATGTATCTAATTGAGGTCTTTTGCGAGGCGGAGTGCCATCCACCGTATCCAGGTCTTCTTCGCCGTCCTCAGCTTTCCTTCGGCCTCTCTTTGGTCTGAATTTAGGGTCCAGGGCGCGGATTGCAAGATCCTCCTCCAAGGGCACGCCATCTCTGCCAATGTCCGGGAAAGGATCATGTGGCGGTGGAATCTGAAGATAGTATGGATGCTGCTTGCCGATCAAATATTCGGAGAAGGCATCAATATGCATAGCACGCATCCATCGCTACATGAGGTCAGTATGCACCGGGCAAGAGTTATAGTAGAAGAATTAGAAATGGAATGGAGTAATGATTAAGGAAAATAAGAAAAAAGATCGAGGGAAATGTGGTATTATTGAGTGAAGGTTGAAATATCGCACAAAACCACTGGGCCAAGGACTGGGTCGTGTCACAGAATGTATGCAAGGAAGCTACCTGGACTATTGGGCGGACAGGCGCATAGAGAATACAATGGAAACGGAAGCGTGCCAGAAGTCGTGCAAGGGCGCACAATCTTGGCTGGGGCCCATTGATACCGTCACGTAGTGTATGAAAGTTGGGGAGACAATGCGGAGCTTTCCTTACCTTCAATCGAACCGAGTACTGTTGCACTTTCTGCGTGCTCTGACCCTTAGTCGTGTCTGGAGGTTCCACGCCTAGATCTAAGGCCAATTGGGTCCATGTCCTGATTTCTTTCGCATCGAACTTCCTCAAGAGCTCAAACAAGTTCCAAGTGCTGAACGCCTTCCCGTCACTTCTTGGTGGGGTCCGAAAGAGCTTCGTCAATTCGGTGGTGTCTGTATCAGTCGGGAAGCTCGGGTTGCAGTAGAGTATGAAAGCAGCGTAGGCACTGTCGATGGTCTCGTCGGTAACTTCGCGCGACGGAGGTTGACGGTCGGTAGGGACGTATGTAGGAGCTACATGCTTGGGTTGACTCGCAGGGGAAATGGCGGCGAAGCGCGGGGATGGATTGGAGGAGGGCGCAGGCGCAGGCGCAGGCGCAGGCGCAGGCGGAGTCTGGGAGGAGCGCGGCATGTCGCCATAGAAGTTATGTTGGAGGTGAGGATGAGAGCTGGACAGAGAGGCATTGTCGGGCTGGAGTAGATGGTTCGAGGCGGACTGTTGAACCGAAGTCATCGGTGCGTGGCCATTAGGGTTGGCACCAGAGCCTTGGTCGATGCCCGGATCAATTGACGGTACAGACGCAGGATGCCGGAAGGGCGAGAAGGTCGGAGTGGTGGTTGAGGCCTGGTGCTCGTAGTGGCCGTGAGGGTCGTGAGGGTCGTGATGACCGTGGTGGCCGTGGTGCGAAAGATGTAGATTGTGCTCCGACTCTGGGCCACCTCCGTAGTCTACTTGCATGATTCTAGGAGATATAGTTAAGTGTTATTAATTAGAGCTCAACGCTGGGGCCTATCTGCCGGCCATGGATGCGCGGGAGTGTCGCTGCGCTAGTCGAAGTAGTGGTAATAGCGAGACATGGAGACGGAGAAGTTGGGGAGGCAGTAATGCGCGATAGGACACGATGCGATAGCACAGGACGAGGCGCGTGTTCGTGAACCAGTGTCTTGTTTCCTTGAATGATGGATTGGTGGTGTAGTAGGGAGATAGGGAGCTGTTTATTGTGGGATGAACGAGTGGGCGGCAACTGCGACTGATGTTGTGTCGCAACGCCGTAACGGTCAGCGGACGGGTGGATGATATGATGGTGAGAGGGAGTGTCTGTGAACCAACGCGGTAGGCCCTAAGACGCGCGAGCGATGCGATGCGATGTGATGCGATGCGCGCGTGCGTGTGTGGGTGCGTTCGTTTGGTGGAGGGATCGTCGCGAAACGGTGGGAAGTTTGAAACAGCTATACGGGAGAGGTATAGTATAGTTTGGGGTCTTTTGGAGGTTTTTAGATTGGAGAGGTTAGAGTGGAAGGGGAGGGGATGAGATGAGTAGAGGTCTGTAATTCGGTTATGGTTAGGGTTAAGGTTAAGGTTGATCGGCCTAGTTATCACCGACCCGGACTTGAGAAGACCCTTAACTATCTACTTCAGGTAGTTAAGGTGAATGTATGTAATGTGTGTAGATGGATACCTAAGTAGATGGATGTAGGCAGAGAAACAAAAGAAAAGCGCAAATCCAAGTATACGATTTCTCCCCCTGGTTCCGGGGCATTTTAGTCTCTTTATCGACCATGCAATCAATAACTAATAATCATTAATTAACAAATATCAAGTAACTACCGGTACTCCGTACTTAAAACCATCCCCCACCCGTAACTGGCTTACCCTTCCCCCACTAGCTATTTTTGGAGTCTTCATGCTCGACATCAACTTTCATCACACCTCTACCTGCAACTCCTCACATCTCAGTGATCTCACTCGTCCCCGAGACCTCGCCCAATGGCCTTCTCTCCAATCTCACTCCGTTCTCAGCGCCACACTCCCCATCACTCTGCTTCAATCGGCACCCTGATCACCTTCCCAGGTGTTTGGATCCCTTGCCTGACCACCCGAGTCCGACATGACTCGACCTCCGACTGGCCCATTCACACACCATTCGACTACAACAAAGAATGGACGGTGAACCATACTGTATCTCGAGTCTACGGTATCAACTTACTAAACATCTTCTCCAGCGCCGCATCCCTCGTATCCAGAATTAGACACGTCAGCTATCCAGTGATTCTTATGTCCATCATCCCGGTACCCTACGTTCAGCTTGTCTCATGTACACGTCACTGATTGGCTGTCCGCCGGACACATCTACATATAGAACAGTGGGCCTCACATCGCGAAAAACCATCGGTCCGCAGCTTAACCTGGTCACATGTCTCTACACAGTAGTCATAGTTTGGTGCTTCTTCAGTCGTGATTTGTGTTGACTTTATTAGTCAACTGAGCCAATGGTAGACTCGTCTTCTTTTTTTATTCTCTAGCTACAAACAGGTAAATCTCATAATCAGTATCTCATCGTAATGAAGAACATATTTGTACTCATTAAAGCACTCAAGTGCTTATTAGCAAGTAGCCATAAGGGAGTCTGGGGGGTGTTTGTGTGATTCCACAAATAGCAATACTAAAGGTTCCGGAAAGTTCCCTATCATTCATTTCATTTGGCGTTTGGTATATCACATGAACAGCGTATCCAATATCTGGTATCACTTCATTTAAGGCCTTCATGCTTCTCCAACCACTGCTCGCTTGACGACTTCCAAAGCTATACAAGCGCAGAGGAGAACATTACTCAAAATATGTCGGCCTACTACATTGAATATGAGGCTGCGTCAGAGTTGACCATTTCACCGATTCCTTGAATTGGACGCATATATCGAGCGCACGAATCTCCTACGACATATTGTTCCCTAGTGTCACGAACAATACACCCCCAGGCCTGCCATAGACATTCGTCTGTCCAGAAACAAAGAATGAATAAAGCACGAGTATCAAAGCAGTTCGACCGAAAAAGTTATTGTGAGGATGTTCTGACTTATTTATTCTTTTCATCAAAGGACCAAGCTTCGTGGTTCAAAGAACACCTTGTACTGCCTTTCATGCACTTGTTTTATTGTGTCTATGAGCAAAAGCGTGTGCCTACTCCATGTTACCTACCACAAAACATTTGCTCTGTACATATAAAATAGCATTTCCTTCAAAAGCCCCTCCTCTCTTGTATAGGACTGTCATATTCAATACTCTAGCCAGTCAACAATAACATTTCTTCAACCGAGCAAATTCTTTTCACTAAGCCACCTCCATGAGTGAGAACGCGGCAATGGCCTGTAAAGGCCATTGTTTCATCGAGCAACTCCCAGTCGAGTTGATGCTGGAAATATTTTCCTACGTAAGTAATGCCCTGCTTTTATGCTATGACAGAACCCTCTTGTTACCGAGACTTGGCTGGGGAACTTGATTGAAAGAAGAAAAATGCTGACCCTTTGACAGCTAGGTCAGAAACGCCGGGAACGTCAGCCTCTTACGCTCGTCAACCATTACTGGAAGGGCCTTATAGACCCAATCATTTGGCGGGACCTTAGAATCAAGATTACGCGTCCACATACACTCGATCAATCGCTTCGGGTTGCCCTAGAGCGCAACAGCGATCTTTGGATGTTGTGGATCCAATCCGGATATTTGAAAAAAATGAGAGTGCTGCAGTTGAAAAGAGCAAGTTCGTGGGACTCATGGATGCCATGCCATTCCAAAAACTGAAGTCCTTAAGAATTTGGGTTCTTCGACATGTTTCTACAATCGCTAGCGTCTGGCCTTTTCTGGACAACCTGGAATACCTAGAAGTAAGAGTCTTTCAAGACGTGGATCAGGAACAGTTTCTTATCACTCCAACACTTAGCCTTCCGAAGCTCAAAACCTTGGATCTATCTATTGGCATTTTGGCTAGGAGTTATGGTTATGTAGAAGACCTGGAACCATGGAAGACCTGCCGAGAACTGATAAAACTTGCTCCAAATCTGGAGAATCTCAAGATCGAAATCAACGGTTCACGGCCCCCTATCGATTGTTGGTTCAATTCTTCAAGTTCGATTGCTGTTGCAAGAAGCCTCACTCGATTAACACTGTCTAGGATGAGTATAGGAGATGCGGCATCGGAAATCTTCAAGTCTATCAATTTTTTGAATCTGCAAGCATTATGTGTAGATGAATGTTACGATTTACACCCGTTTCTTAGTGCCATCACCGAGCATTTCAGATACCAGCCAACTAAGCTACGAGAGTTTATCTTTCGAGATGCTGATGTTGAAGAATTCCGCAACCCACGTGTTGACCTCCCCTGCAACGTTAGGATGATCGAAGAGCTGCTCCGCTCATTTTCTGGTCTACGTATATTCAAATTCGTGTTTAGATTCAGAGGAGAATTCGATCTTGGGTGCTTGGAACACCATAGTTCGACTCTGCAACAACTCTGGCTGCGGAATTTCGAGCATCCCATTTGCAGTCCGACAAGACTTCGTGGGTTTCTTCGCTCTTGCCATGCTTTGCAAGACCTGTCTTTCAATCTAGTTCGTTGTTTAAGACTGCACGATTATCACCTCTTTGGGTTCCTGGCCCGTCATATTTTAGAAGAAGACCTGAAGGAGCTAATGGTAAGTTCCCCTATCTCAATAAAACATTGCTGAACCCAACCTAATATAAACCATAGAACGAAATAGCAACCATAAAATCCCTACGTACTATTTACATCTTTGATTTTGCAACACTTTGCCGAGGGCTAAGGGTATTCGCGCAGAATGACGAATCATGCCAACCAATCATGGACGAGTATGCAACCAAATTTCTGGAGCATCTAGTAGCACGGGGGTCTCAAATCGATATGCTCGCTTTCAGGAAGAATCCATTCAAGTTCGGGTACGGACACCAGACTTCTCAATACAAGAAGCGACGGACTGCCCGTGGTGCGGTGATGATAGACGTGGAAACTGTAGTAGGACATGTACCATGGTCAGATTTTGAACGATGTTAAGACTGCGACAATTCGGAGGAATGGAGAAATTTTGTTCTCGACGTTACGTCCAGCTCGCAGAAGCGCAACGAAGGCAGACGCTGCTATTATGGCAATAGGCATACCTACCTCGTGTTTCCCTGTCCATGCATGCAGAAAGTCTTTGTGACCGAAGACAATCTTTCATGTATCCCTTCCATGTAATCAAATCGTCACCTACCCCCTCGCTGCAATCAATACATCGCATAAACCCTTTCACTGCACGCAAATCGGCATGTTCCGCCTTTTTCTACTTCCAAAATCATCACACACCCCTTCCCTACAATCATTCCATCATGTACAATAAACACTTAGACTAATAGAATATACCTACCCCCAAAAATCCTCCTCAAACTTCGAATCTCGAACTCAAAGATTGCTAATCCATGAAGTTACCTACCTCCCATCCCCTGCGTACTTCAATAGATCTCTCTTTTCTCAGATCCCTTAATTGCAATACTGACTGGAGAGCCCGCCATCTCCAGCGCTCTTTCTAGTGTCAGAATCTCGCTTATCATGCTTCCATCTCGTCCGTGTAGTGAACAAGTGCTGGCGCAAGCCTCCGAGGTGCACGTATGACGACGAACCAACGACATTGATGGCACGTGTAATTACCGGCACATTCACGTTCACATCACACAAGCGAGCACCAAATTTGAAAGATTTGTCTATTCAGTTTAATTATACAAGCCACTCCAATTACACAAGCCACTCCGCAGGCTGCCTTCGTGGCGCTATCAGCGCCCGCGTCAATGCCGCTTTCGCGACTACAATGCGAGATGACGATGTCGATGGCGATCTGGAAAAGGCGTTGTCACATGTGGAGACATGCCGATACTGTTGGCCGTCTCGATCATGTAGATACTACTCGTAGCGAGGAGTAGGGTGCAGAGGTTCCATTCCTGCGACGGGGACATTGGCGAGGTCGTCCGGCCAGTCGAATTTCCAGGTGCCGTCCGCCTTGAAAGGGTAATTTTTGATGAACCTGGAAACATCCACCTGCATTCTGGCAGTTTGCAGATAACTGGCCACCTCGCGGAGGATGTCGCAACCCTGTTGCGCGGGGGTGTTTGTGAATTCAGGGATCTCGACGAGGTTGTAGGGTTGGCCTTGGGCTTTGAGCGCGGTGTCGTCGACGAGGATGGTGTTCGATTGGTCCCAGCGGACGACATCGTCGGCATCGCTTGGTTGCGGTTGGATTGATTCGGCTGTCCACACCAGATTAAGATCCTTGTAAACTTGAACGTTTTGCGCGTAATGCTCGGGGGTGAGTTTGAAGTGAGATCTGTCCCAGCGAGCAACTAACCCACTCCGATGCTTGGGAGGAAGAACACTGTCTACCATCCTTGCTACGTTTTGCGGCCGCGCGCTCGACCATACCATGACGCAGAAGTTGTCGAAGAGGAAGTCGAGGAAGGGCGCGAGGAACGGGCGGGGCACTGTCTTCCTTGGATTGTTGTCTGGGCGATGGACAAGGGCACCGTTCAGATCGAGAATCACGAGCATTCGGCGTGGAGGATCAACAACGTAGAAATCCTGGGCTGCAGCGTTGAGGTATTCGTCGGTTGGCTTGGGCCCAGGAAGCATTATCTTAGGGCTCTTGATCCTTCGAGGGCGGATTTCCTCCCTTTGTGCGGCAAGCATTTGCTCATTATGAAGCGCCTGCGCCTCCGCCTTCTTTTTTGCTTTCTTCTTCGGCCTCCTTTTTCTCTTTGACTGTTGTGCCTCAGCCCCTGCCGAGTTCGGAATATTTGCTGTAGTCTCCCACCTGTGAGGTTTGTTAACTCTGTGCAAGGACATCTGAGAAGCATGCTTAGAGCGCCGTACTCTTGTGGATTGTTTACTTCTGTCTGCTCGGCGGTTTCCTTCTCTACATCCTCTCCGCGATCCGGGTTGGAGACCTATGGGTTCAAGGTTATTGGCTGAACCGCTAAATGCTGCGTATTGCGAGGAAGATACCGCGGTCATGTAACCAGAAGGCCAGGCCGTGCCACTATACCCGGTCACGTAGCCATAAGGCCAGGCCGTGCCACTATACCAGGAGTACTGCGATGCTGCAGCCATGACGTTGTTCACACCATGCGCGCTTGCATCCGGACTATAATGAAAACTTACTGCTTCCTCAGTAATAGGCGGAGGTGGAGGCGGAGGCGGAGGCGGCGTTGGGATCCTCTCTGTCAAAGGCGGCGGAGGTGGGATCATTGATAGATCAGAGCCGTACTGATCTGGATGTCGAGGCCGACTTGGCAGGCTATGGTGGATCATTGTGCGGTCGATAATACCCGTGATCTCACCCGAGTCACGATTGGCAAGACTCTGGTGCATGCTCGAGTTAGGAAATGTGGGTGAAGTTGAGGTGGAGGAGGGGAGGTACCGTAGAGGTAAAGGCGCGGGCATTGGGTAAACAATCTTGGCGGCGCGCCAAGGGTTTCGCGTTGCGCGCAATGTACTGGAGGAGTGGGCGAAGGCGGCCTATGATTGCAATGAAGCCTGAGTAGAATTGAATGATGGGAGAAAGACGCCTGGAATCGTGAACACCATAGTTACCTAAACAGGGCATTCGGTCATAGTTCAGCGGCGGAACGATTATCCATGCGCACGGGCCATATGCGGGAAAATGTGGGGACAGGGCATCAAAAGTTCCAGCCAGGATAATGCGACCGCGGCAAGCCAACATTTATTCCCAGGCCAACCCGTAATCAAGACAAAATGCCACTCAACGCAAAACTGGAGCGCAATTTGCGCGCCGTGGAAGACGACTCGGACGAAAATTCTTATTACGAGGTTTCGGATCGTTCATCGCCGTCCGTCGTTGAGACTGGAGAAGAGGGTGCTAATCTGCTGAGCTCCGAGGAAGACGAGGATGAGGATGAGGGTGAGGACGAGCAACTGGTAAGAAATTTATTATTCAAGTTCCCGACTCTAAAGCTAAACTGTTTGTAGTCGGATACATCGCAAGACGATCAAGTCCAACAGCAACTGAGCAAAGTCTCGTTCGGAGCCTTAGCCAAAGCCCAGGATGCCCTCTCGAAGCAACAATCCAATCGGAAAAGGAAGAGGGGAGATGAGACTACAGGCGCACAGGAAGATAAACTACAGGCTTTACGAGCACGGCTGCAAGAGATCAAGGCAGAGAAATTGGCGAAGGCAGGCAAACCACAACAGAGCGCGAAACCATCCAAGAAAGCCAAACAAGCTCAAGAAAGCGACGACGATGTGGAAGACGAAGACACCTCAGATTCCGACTCAGCACCTCATGCACGATCCAGTAAACACGCTCCCGCAGTACAGTCGAGCAAGCGAGCCGTCACGCGCAGAAGAAATGTGGTAGAAGTAAAGAAGCGCAACGCCCGCGATCCACGATTCGATGCGGCCACAGGACCTCGTACCGATGAAAATACGTTCAAGAAGCGGTATGCTTTCTTGGACGATTATAGGGATTCCGAGATTGCCGAACTACGCTCTACGATCAAGAAGACGAAGAGTGAGGATGACAAGGAGAAATTGAAGCGCAAGTTGCTGTCCATGGAGTCGCAGAAGAAGGCTCGAGCGGCCAAGGACAAGCAACAGGAAATAACACGAGAGCACAAGAAGAAGGAGAAAGAGCTAATCAAGCAGGGCAAAACGCCATTCTATCTAAAGAAAGGTAGGTTATCATCTCACTCTGATCTGAAGTGTTTTCGATCGCATTTGCTGACATGATTCTAGCCGAACAAAAGAAGCTAGCATTGATCGACCAATTCCAGAACATGAAGTCCAAGCAGCGTGACAGGGTGATTGAGCGACGCCGTAAGAAGTTGACGTCCCGAGAACGGAGGAACATGCCTGCGGAACGGCGCGCTGGCTGAAAGCGTTGGCTTTGTTTTAGTGCTGGGAGGAGGACCGAACGGTAGTCTAGATACTACACCAATGCAGCCAGGCACATGGCCTTCGAACAATGCGCTTGGGAACACAGCATCGTGAATTGAGATTTGACGACGCGAATGGCATCTTTCGTTTCGTAGGAATTGTCGAGGATTCAGAATGTTTCGCATGTCCATTTCCGGTAGGCCTCCACCCAGATCGTGAAGTGGGCACATCTCGCCTCAACCTACCGCACTTGTACCACAGCGCGGAAAGCCAATGATATTGTCCATTTGTCCTCGAACCGCCAATTTCGCCAAACTAGATCCCGCTTCTTGCATTTGCACATGGGATTTCGCATGACAATTGGTGCCTTGATCCACAAGATCCTTGGTTGTGCCGTTCCTTAGCGGGGGCTGCAGTCTCAAGCAAGGTCGTAAGCCCACCCGCCGCGACGTCATAGACGTCATACCTATGCGATCCAATTTGAACCACCTCCCAGCCTCCTGGCCTGCTTATTAGTCCCCCAGAACGGCCACACCCTCTTCCGTTACTATATCCTTCCAAGTTCAGTCTCTTTGTTCCAGTCTTCGTTCGTTCTATACCCTTCCGAATTTCTTCGTGTCGTGTTGAGCCTTCAGACTCGACCTCTATACCCATTTTACTGCTACACAGCTCCCACACCATTACCATGGAGTCCAAGAAGACCGAGCTTTCTCAGGAGAAGCCTCTTAACGAGTACGTTGATTAAAGATTCGGGTTGCTGGTTCGTGAAGAAGCAAAATAGCACTCACAGCCGGTCTACCTTCACGCCCTACATCTGCTAACACCACCTCCAGGCTGCTCTCCCGCTCGATGGTCGACATCTATGTCGGTCCCGAGAACACACACTGGGTCCTCCACGAGAAGCTCCTCTGCTACCACTCCCCGTTCTTCCGCAAGACCTTCTACAGCAAGTCCAACACCTCCAAAACCTTCGGCCTCCCGGATGAAGAAGACCTCCCCTTCAAGACCTTCGTAGGCTGGCTCTACAGCTCCTCCCTGCCGGTGCCCCGCGAAGAAGCCGACCTAGGCCTCCAGTTCGACCTGTACCTCATGGCCGAGAAGTTCCAGATCCCCGCGCTCGTCCAGGACATCCTGCAGGTGGTCCGCGAATGGTACAAGTACTCGGACACGTACCCGGGACTCCGCCGCGTGCAATACATCTACGCCAACACCGAGGACGGCAGCCCGATGCGACACATGCTTGTCCACAGCGTGGCGCGCCTCATGGCGCTCGAGAAGGGCATCCCCGCCCACTGGGACAAGGCGCTCCGCAAGAACGGCCAGCTCGCCGTCGACATCATCCGCGCGATCCAGGAGTGGCGTCTCGACGAGGAGGTCGTGCCGGATGCCCGCGACGACCCGGCCGACGCGGAGGACTTGGTTCCGGAGGACGAGATTGCGGATGCCATGGACGACAGCGAGGCTACCGTCGTCGACAGCCCTGTCGAGCCTAAGCACCCCGAGATCCCCAAGCCCAAGGACGTCAAGAAGAAGGGTGACGACCTTGTCAAGGGGGTCGAGAAGTTGGGATTGAACGAGATTCCTAATGGTCTTACGACCGGTGACTTCGGAACGCTTCGTTAAGTGTTTCTATTCGTCCACATTATTTCCACTATTTGGCTTAAAATTTGATCACATCTTCTTTTGGTTACGGATATCTGGTACTTTCACGGACATTCTAATGGTTGAACTGGGGTGATACCCACTCATCCTTCGACATTTGTCCATTTATTTCGCCTGTAATGCCTTTCTCTTATTCTTCGAGAAACATTTTCTTCTTCCTTTCACTTTTTGTATTGTACACGGCAGCATTTCTTGGGGATTGGTTTTACCACCAGGCGTTCAAACACAGGGATGGGACTGTATTTGTCTTATTGTTGTATTCCCAATTCAGTAGTTTGGTATTGGGACGACGAGGGGAAATTAAAAAAGTGAACAATTGCTACGCTGGCTTCCATTGAAATCACTTGTTGTGAGGTGTGCAAGTCCTGCATTCTGCGTGTATTTTCAAATTCGATTGAACATACGCAACAGAGAACACGTAATATCCTTACTTTCCGCCATCCTGCCTGTTGACGATCTCGAATAATGTACTCTGTAAGACTTGACTAGGTACCTAACCTCCTCCGGCAGATATGATAGATAAATCAAAATGCAAACAAAATTAAAACTCAAGATACTAATGCGACTACGTGAAACAGAATAATTCAGTAAAATATTTATGACCTATATTATACTCCGTATCTTTCCTTGGTAGAGGGTACTGTTCGACAAATGGATACCCGATGAATGTGTTTCATCGCTCGCCCCCGACTATGTCCGGCAGACGAACAAATCGAAACAACATCGAGCAGAAGATGAGGTCCAGGTATCTCCCCACGCCACAAAACGAACGCGCACATCTGCACTGGGAGTCGATTGTCCGGACGAATCGACGTCATCCACATCGAAGCAGAGCTATATCAGCCACTGGGCGACGAAGATGACCTGGCCAAAAGCGTTTTTTGAAGAGGATAGAGTGAACCACCTGCTTGCGAGGAAAAGATCAACATCTTCCATTGGCCGTAAGAGGTCGAATCCGAGTCTTGCAAGCGCAAGTGATGAGAAGCCTCGCGAGGAGAAAAGTGCCCCGTATCGAAACCCAAGCTACCCAACTTTTCTTTCTGAAGATGTCTCCAATTACAAGAGCTACATGACAGATCACGAACTTGGGATATCGGATGCCAGCGAGCGGCTTCTAGAGACATTACTCGAGAAGAACCAGAACCCACCCGATAATTCGCTTTTCCGGGACGATGTTTTCAACAAACATCTTCAGAAACTCAAAGGGAAAACCGAATCAAGAATCATACAGGACCTATCTCCACTGCTCGTCCCTTCCGCGGAAGCACTCAACACCTTAGGCGCCAACAACCTCAAAGGAATCGTCGAAAGCGTCAACGAGGGCTGGACCAACTGTTTCCCAATCACCAAACCCCGTCCCCAGCCCGACAGCGCCTTTGGATACGGAACCTCTGCATTCACCGACCAGCAGCTCAGAAACCTGCGCCCAGCTCTCGGAGACGCCTCCTTCTGTTCCTTCTTCAAAGCCACCTACTACATGCACTTCCCGTTCCTGACGAAGGAAGTCAAAACCGGCACCACGGGCCTCGACACCGCCGACAACCAAAACCTGCACAGCATAACCATCGCCGTGCGGGCCGTCGTCGAGCTCTTCAGGCTCGTCGGCCGCCATTCCGAACTGCACCGCGAGATCCTCGGCTTCACCATCTCCCACGACGACAGCTCGGTCCGGCTGTACGCACACTACCCCTTCATCGACGCCGCCGACGGCGAGAACGTCACTATCTGGCGCCGCACCGTCGATCGCTTCTACCTCGACGGTCGGACGAAGTGGCGGTCGTGGACGTACGTCACCAACATCTACTCATTGTTTTATCCCAAGCATCTGGAGCGGATATGCTCTGCGATTGATGACATTTCTCAGCCTGGAATGACGCTCCACCGCCAGATAAACGACGACGAACCACTAGAGACACCCGAACACGCATCGCCGGCGTCTTCATCATCGTAGGTGGGCCCCAGCAACGCTGGCGGGAAGAAATCGAGGAGTTAGGAGAGCCGGTCCAAGAGGGCTACCAGGAAGCCACTATGTTAACTGTAGATACTTGTATTCTTAGACCGTCGTTGCTCGAGTACACAGCGTCAATATAACTTTCATTTTTCAGAATCTACCATCAGTCCCCCTCACCCACCCTTTCAGTCCGTGTAGACAGTATAGTTATATCGTTACTTCTTCCCAGACATCTAGATTCTTCACCCCCACAGTGGCGGTTTTGATAGTTCTTCGGAACATGACTTGTGTTTGAGTGTATGGGTGGTGGTGTAGTGCTGTACAGAGACGGTCAGATCGTCAGAGCCGTAAGGCTGACGTCGGACATTTCCTTCCCCTTATTCCTTACTCTTCGTCTTACGACCACCATATGGATAAGTCTATGGGTTTATGAACGTGAGAGGGATGAGATAGTAACGCATCTACTTTACTACTTACCACCATGCACACACTCATGCTCAGTAGACAAATGCACAGTCATTCAACATATTCACATCTTCGCATCTTCCAAATTCACGTCACTTCACAGATCTCACAAATAGATAGACGCAGAGCTGATACAAAAAAAAGATTCGAACATTTCGAGAACCCACCGCCCGCGCACACGCACGACAAGCGGTGCAAAAGTATAAGACTTTATGCGTACCCTCTGTGTGTATGTGTGTGTGCTGGGGGGGTTGGATGTGTGTCCTACGTACGTCGTACAACTACAGCGGGGGGAGGTGTGGGAGGAGAGAGAATAGGTGGGAAAATGGGAAAGAAGAAGCAGAATGAGAAGGTTCCAAAAAAGAGGCCAGTCAGTCAGTCAGTCAGTCAGAGAGTCGAGACGCGGTGTATTCGGGAAGAAGTTTCCGGGACAGGAGAGGACGGTATGGTATGGTATCGACATTTTCGATTCGTTGGACTTGTTTCCCTATTCGGGGCATTGCTCTCTCTTGTTTGGGTGATGCTGCGAGGTTTTGTGTCTCGACCACCCCCGTTTCAACCGCTAACCGCCGTGTGTCGTGTGTCGTGCTGTGCCACATTGGCCCGCCCGCCCCGTCGATCGTCTGACTCTGACAGAACTCTGCATCCCGCCGTGCCCGCCGCCTCTGACTGACTGACCCCGACCCCTCCGCAAACCGCAACCGCGTCCGTACCGAACACCCAGCAACAAAGGAAAATTTCTCACGGGAGAGTAAGAGGGTAGTAGTAGCGGTGGCGATGTAGACTATACGTATCCATCGAGTAGTGAAGAGGAAGAAAAGGCGTCGAAAGTAAATAATTGAGAAAACCTCCAACATTGCACACATCCCGGTAGAGTATCAAAAAGGGAAAAGAAGGAAAAAAAATAAGAGAATATTTCCCATCCTCACATGACAAGACATGAGACCGGATATGTTTCACAAGTCACATACCGTAGCGCTTCATGAACCCACGTGAACAAGACATCAAGAAGTAAATAACAAGTCCCCTTCCAACGACCCCCATCCCTTCGCATCCTATGCTGTGCAGATTCCACACTATAAAGATGTCGAGGGGAAGGACCCGAAATGAGGAAATGTGACAAGAATTGAATGGTAAGGAAACATGGTAGAGGAATATGAATATCCGTGCGAGCCCTATTAATTGCCGGCGCATTTTTTGAACGTGGTATACGTTATGATAGGAAATAAAGATTTGCGCGCGTGCTCAATATAGCGAGAATAGAGAGAAGGGAGGAAGGAAAGGGGATATTGTGTGAAGAAGTTGTAAAATGGTCTTTCGGCGAGGAGACTCGAACAGACCCGCACTGTAGAACGCAGCGGAACAAAACGAAACGAAACATGGCAAAAGCTGTAGGCGAGATCTCGTCTCATCGATTAGCCGGTCCAAACTCCAAACGCGCCGTTTGCTCCCTAAGGAGCACCAGGGATATAAATTGCCAGCCAAAGCATCAATGCACCACCGGGAAGAGTTGATAGATCAAATTTGCTGCGGGGGTGAATGAAAACTTCACGAGTGGAACAGGTCCCAGGCGCGCGAGCAGAGCTGGATGAATTCTTCCTTCTTCTTCCTCTGGGTCTCCGGTGTGTCGCGACCCTCGCCGAAGGGACCGGGACGGGCTTGCTGACGTCCAAGAGGCGGTGTTCCCATATCTCTTTCGTATTCGTCTCGGTTCCTCCGCCTGGAGCTGCCGCTGCGGTGGAGCTCTGGGTGGGGCGGGTAGGCAGACGAAGCAGCCTTGTTCGGCATTGGCGAGGGTGGCGTGGGAGGTTGATGGCCACCGTAGTGGACGAGACGGGGCAAGAGGTCCTCGCGGCCGCCAGACAGAGACTGGACAGCCTCCTCGGCAGACTTGTACTCACGCGGTCGGGAAGACGGAGGAGCCTGGTGTTGGCTGCTGTGCGGAGGGAACCCGGGGGAGGGTAGAGGTGGCTGCTGGTTCGAATGCGAAGAGTGACCGGGGCTGTTGTTGTAGTGGCTACGGGGAGCATTCAATGGCTCGGGGAAGACGTCCGAGATGGGAGGGAGCCTGTTGTTCGTCTGGTGCGCGGGGACGTGGTGGATGTGCGAGGTTTGCGACAGGTTCGAGGGTACGTTTGCGAGTTGTCGAGACGGGGGACCAGCGTTGCGGAGGCCGGTGAAGGACTGGTTGATGGGAGCGGACTGGACGACGCGCTCGTTGGCGAACTGCTGGTGGGAGGGAGGAGCGATGGAGAGGCCTGGAGGAGGTCCCTTCCTTCTCGAGGTGGTGGGCGTCTTGACGGGACGTCCGAAGGGGTTCGCATCGCCGTGGCGAGAGGCATCCTCATCCACATTGCCGCCCTTGCCCTGCTTCTGGCGCGCCTCGATGATCTGCCTCTGTCTCTCGCGCACGTCGATGCTCCTCTGGAGCTGTTCCCGCATGGTGGGGTCTTGTGTGTGGAAGCCGGGGGACAGGCATGCCAGACCGACATCCTGGAGGGAGGCACTGTCCTTGGAGCTCATGGGGCCGGATGGACGTGCAGTGAGGGCGCCGGAGGAGTGTACGATGTGTGCGTTGCTGGAAAGGTCGAGTCGTCGAGGTCGATGTCGGGAAGTGGTTGTGATGTCGGGGGACGAGGGCTCTTTCTTGACGATTATCTTGGGAGCCTGCGGACCTCGTGATCTGGGGACAGAGTTGCGATTAGACGTGGCATTCATGGCGGAGGCTGGGGAGGAGGATGAGGAGGAGGATGGAGGAGACATGGATGAGGCAAGCGCTGCTGCGGACAGCGAAGGCGTTGCGGAAGGGGAAGAATTAGAAGAACGACGACGAGGGGGGAAAGTGAATGAAGACATCTCAGAAGACATACGAGAGAGGCGAGCGCTTCCCGTCTGGCCTCTGCTGGAGCTGCTGATGCTGTGCGGAGCTATCGCTGGAGGAGGTTGGTGAAGCATTCTCAGCGATGGCGGAGGGAGCAGAAGCAGAAGCAGGAGCAGAAGCAGGAGGAGCAGCAGCAAGGCGAGAGGTAGACTTTGAGTTCGGAGTCACGGCAGCGCGAGGTGACGAAGTGGATGGAGCGATGGTAGCATATGTTCTCGAGCTCCCGACACCGTCGACGGACGGGGGCGCATGGGGAGCGGGGACCGGGGGTGCAGCGACGGCCGTTGTCATGGTGTTGTGGTAGTGTCGGAGGAAAAGAGGAGGTTCGTTTCGTAAAAAAATTAAAAAAAGGACGGAGCCGAGCAAAAGAGCAAGGCAGAGGGGGGGGAGGAGAGAGTCAAGGCGAGGCGAAGTTACGAGTGTAAGAGGTGAGGTGGAGTGAAAAGAAAGAGAAAGGAAGACGAGAAAAGGAAGATGAAGGGAGATTGAGTGTCGCAAGATGACTGGGGGAATAGATAGGCCGGTACAGTTTGCGTTGTAGTACGTGTAGGAGGGATGGATGGGAGGGGGCAGGCAGGCGTGGCAGGGTGTTCAGGTTCAGGTTCAGGTTCAGGTGTTCAGCTGGAACAGTAATTACTGTAACAACCTCTAGCAGCTAATACAGCAGAGCCGTAACAGCAGACAAAGGTGAGAAATAGGTGTAACCAAGGGCGTCGGCGGACCGAGCCAGAAACGAAGATTGTTCAGTCTTGGGGACGAGTTGTGTGTACTGGACTGGACCTGGAGTTGGGAGTGGGCAGGGCTGGATGGGTCAGGACTCAGGACCGACAGGACAGGAATAGGAATAGGATTAGGATGGGATAGGATGGGATGGATGTGAATTGATAGGATGAGACGAGACAAGGGAAGGGATCTTGTCGAAGGCAATGGACAGGATAGGTTAAGGATGGGATTTTAGGACGAAACGAGACGAAACAAGTCGAGACAAGAGTCGACGAGGGGGAGGGAAGGGCGCGAAGGGTTGGTAGACAGCGTAGACTGTGTAGGGGATAGCGGGTATTGTATATACGGAGTTGGGGCTTAATAGAGGGTTTTATGAGGGAGGGATCATTAGAGGAAGAGTGTATTATTAGTAGAGAGTACGAGGATGGAGTTGCCGGGGTCGTGTAACAGAACTACGAGGTTGAATAGGACAGGACAGGACAGGACAGGGCAGGTCAGGACTGGACAACAGGGGGAGGAGATTGCGGCTCAGGTTCAGGCGGGCGGGCGGCGGAGATTGAACGCGCGAATGGATGCGACGATAGTCACAAGTAGCAGCAAGCAGTAGTACAATAGCAGTATCAACGGGCGGGGCGGGTGGGAGGATAAAGTTGCAGGTTGGCGATGATTAAGATTGATTATTGGTGATGATGGGATTATGGTGTCGAGCTCTACGGAGTACTGCGGCCAATGTTGAGGCGCAGAGTGCAGGCGGGCGGCGTTGGCGGCGAGGATGACGGGTGAGGGTGAGGGTGAGATGCGAGATGCGCCAGGTGAGATGGAAGAGTCAGTAGGGAGTGGCGCGGCGGAGTGGAGAGTGGACGTGGATGGTGGAGAGGGAGGAGAAAAGTTACAGAGAGAGTAGAGATTATTAGAGCATAAGAAAGAAATGGAGAATAGGAAGAAAGAATGAATGAAGATCAGAATAGAGAGGCTGAATACGGAGTACCTAGGACAGACTGGTGGAGATATGGATGGACATGCAGGAGGATTGATGCTGCAGGATACACATGATAGTGCGACAGACAAAGCCCGTAGTCAAGTCACTCTTCTGCAGGTATTCTGCCTTTTCCAGTAACAAGTCAAGGATTAAAGAATCACAATTCGCAAATCATCAGCCATCCAAGTGGAGAATCATGGACAGTTGGACAGTCCGGAGTTTGAATAGTAAACCATCGACTATTGCCATTGGGTAAGGAAGAGAGTCAGTTCTGCGACATGGACAAGAGACTAGAGGCCGGGTACAAAGTTATTTACACAGACAGTCGTAGTATCAATATTGTAGTTTATACAGAGTATTAATTATTACTGTTGTAGTCATTATTGTAATTGGTAGAAATGATAGACAGACAAGGACCTGGAGAGTGGAGATGCTGGAGAGTATCTGAATACTTCATGCTTCAAAGTGGCAATAAGGCATATCTCTTACTACTCTTTCTCTCTCGCCTTCTCATACTCTCCGACGAGCACCACACTATCCACTCTTTCTCTTCTAGAACCCATTCCACAGTTCGTATACCGGAATAATTCCATCTTGAATTAAAACACAACAACATGAAGGATGAAGGCGTCCGTTCTGTCTGACAATACATACGGACCGTGGAGCCATCGGGAATCAAGGTGATTGGTCAGCCAAAAACCTGCCAGGGGGTGGAGAAGAAGAAAAAAGAGACCAGGCCCGCGTTGGAGATCGTGTTTCGGTTTATCAAGTAGTGCCGTTGGTTGAGTTTAGGTCTATCCTCTTGCTTTAATTAATTTGATACATAATGTATAATTGAATAATTGCATAGGTATTGAATAAATGATAAGATGTAGTCCATCACTCTACTTGAACAATACCTAGTGTAGACACTGCAAAGTCAGACCAAGGCACCCACGGACAACAGAAACAATGATGACAAGCTACAATCCTTCATCAATAATCATCCCAGCATGTAGTCAGGCAAACATAATAGATAGACAGGCAAGTAGGCAGGTAGGGCTGAATGGCAACTCCGTACCTATGTAAGGTAACAAATTCAGGCGGGCGATGCGCTGTACACACATACCTACCTACCTATACCTAACCTACCACCGAGTCCACCGACCGACTGACTCTGCCTGACTTGCCTGACTGATTTGTTCCATGCACGTCTCGTCACCCACACGGGCGTTTTCACTCGTTCGTGCTCACCAGTTCCCTCCAATCCGTTCCTGCCCACCCCTGTAACCGCGAGTAGGTTTGTGAGGTTTGTGAGTTGTACAAAGTGTACAGAGTGGTACGCAATAGATACTCGCACTGTGACGCAAGCAGTCACAGTAACGTGTTACGATTTGCGAGCAAGTAACACTACAGTGCAAGTACGGAGTCGACTACTAGGCGAAGGGCAGACTATCTCGGAGAATGGAGGGACCGGTGGGGGGTTCGTATAGTAGATTCCATTCGGAGTTTACCTGAAGTTGGGATTGAAGGATTGGCGGTGCATCACGTTGAATAGGTTTGGATAATTAGTTGAGTGGCTGGATGAATGAGTTCTGTTGTTGGTGAGAGTACCTACACAGTATAGTAGTATCCTAGAAGGAATACCGTAATCATCCTGGCAACGGGCAACGGGCAACGGGCGGACGCCACATTACTGACTACTCAGCTACTATCCTACTACTGTCCTACTGTCCTACTACTGTCCTCTACTACTGTGAGTCTATCCTCGACTGTCTCTTGGTATGGCGCTCGCCGTTTCGAACCTTTGACGCTACGCTGGCTGCCCTACATCCGTGTGTTTTATCCCCGGCACCAATGGAGAAATAGCCATCGTATCTGTCTTTTCTTTCTTTCGTCTCGTCCCGTATCTCATTAAATATTAAATATTTTTTTATTGTTCGTGGAGTGGAGACTGCTGAGATGCGATGCCCGTAGCCACCTGTTACTAGTAGGGGTCAGGCCAAGTCCACAGTAGAGAATAGAGACGTTACCGACCGGCCGTCACCAACATCTATTTGCATCTTCACTTCACCAGAATTGATTGAAGCCGTCTGTTCGCCTTCGACCAACCAACTAACTACTCCGTACACATCAACTCTTCACCATCGCCTTTACTTTACCATGCCGAATGACCCATTACCCGTACAATAGTGCGCGCGCCAAACACTCGCCCAACAGGCCGTCCCACTCGCTTCTGCCACTTTTGCTTCCACACCAATTCGACGCAATCGATACTTCTTGTCCCTCCTTTCACCGACCAATCAGGTCCCCCCATCCCGCAGCTTCCCAGGTCGGTTGTTTCACCCTTCGTGCCTTCCCACCTGAACATCCAAGCGAGATCCATTACGGACTGCCCGTCTCCCCCTTCTCATTGGCTCTCGTGTCTTTACGCCTCTTTTGGCGCCCCCCTCCCTTTTATTACAACCCGTTCATGTCTATTCCGCTATATTGTGTTTCTATCTCCCCCTACTCACCCTTTCGGTCCATCCCATCCGCAACTCCTCACCCTTCGAAACACGCCATCACATCCCATCACATCTCTTCACTTTCCACATCACCCTCCTAGTTACAACTTACCTCACCTTCCTCATTACTCATCCATCATCCAGCCACGGCCCGTTCTTCTTTCCACCTGCATTGATCGCCTACTTTCCATCGCAGATTACCAAAGGACCACCGTTCATGGGGATCCCAACGCGCGGATCCCCGTTTCACCTAGACTGCTTCCGGAAATCTCTTGTTGCTGCAGCTCAACCCTTTTTGTGCCTCTTTCTTGTTACGGAAATGAGATTGATGGTCGCATGAATGTGGATGTTGAGATGGGGAAAGAGGGAACGTGGGCACGTAATGGTTAAGGAGAATAGGGCAATGAATGTAATGAATGAATGAATGGATACAAAAGTGCTATGCACCAACGGGAACGCCTCGCCCCTGCATCGCTATCAAGCAATCGAAATGTGAGTGCAAGCGCTCGACCTACGTTTGCCGCTGTGTAGAAACACTACAAGTGAACGGTGAAGATGATGCTGTACCTACCTAACCTTAGTATACTCTGTATATGATGAAATATTGAAATGTTGATAGTCGACGGTGGTTAGCATGGCGTACTCGCCCAAAATCTCCAACCATCACAAGCATATCCATATATTCCATCCATGCCTACCTACCTAACCTACTCGTTACAAGGTACACGCCTGCAAAAAAAAAACACCATCCAGCATGTGAACGTCCATGTCAACGCTCACGCTCACGCTCACGCCCATGCATTCATTATAACCAATAATCCGTCCATCGAATCTATCCAGCATAACCCAGTAAAGAAACAGGCCAATTCACCCGCCCTCGCCCGCGCGCGTGCCTGGTGCGCGTGCGTGAGTGTAGTGTGTACCTGACAATCCCTATTTCTATTGATCCGTGATTTCCACGTGGGACTGTGGGTTGCTTGGTGGGCTGCACGGTCACGGGCGCATAGTATACATATAATATCATAGTTATAGAGTTTCTAGCGTATGATATTTTGCACGAGGAGGGTTGAGGTGGGTGAGGTAGAGAAGGGGTTAGTAAGAGAGAATCACTCTCGATCCGTTAGATTCTGTTTTCGCTGTTGATTTTGGGTTTTTTGCGATTTTGATGGTAGTACCTCCACATCTTGCGCGCGCAGTATCGTGTGTTGTGAATGAGGATGGGGTTAGTTGATGTAGGTACGTGATGAATCCACAACCAAGGTCCATGTAATATACATCACACAACCCACTATCTCTCTTCCTCCCTTCCCACCTAGTCTAGGTATCTATCTAAACTCGTCCCGACCCGAATCAACTCGACACAAGTCCCCCATGGTAACCAAAATCAACTTGAATTTGAATCAATATGAAAAACACCCACCCAGGACCTGAAAATTAAGACTTGGAAATTTGCAGACGGAGAAACAAAACAAGAAAAAAGAAGAGTTTACCCAATGCACCCTGGTCTCGCCTTTTCTATTTTCGAACGACAAGAGGAACGGATGGCTTGTTTATTACCCGCGAGTGGGTGGGAGTGGTGGGAGATAGATTAGCCAGAAGGGCATGGGCGCTGGGGAGCAGGCTATAAATAAACACTTGGATTTAGACGTGGAGGTGAACGTATGTGGGTTTGTGTTGCTTGTGTGTGCTTGTCTTGTATTTATTGAGGGTTGAGTTAATGATGTGAGATGAGTGGGTGGTGGGTTCGTTTTTGTGTTGTGTAGAGCTGTGGACGATGGGAAATATTGTAAAGAGGGAGATTAGAGGCCTTGCAAATGTGTCTACGACAGGGGAGTGTATGAGTGCTGGGTTTGATGTAGGATTTTCGAACACTTTGTCTACTCTACAGAAGGGGGTGGATGGATGAGAGGAATTTTGCATCTTACTCTTGCGTGTGTGAACTATTTAATAGGTAAAATGTGAGAGGTGTGATATCATGACTATGCTATTTTGTATACACCCATGGTGTGGTAATGCTGTGTTGGCCATTATTTTACATGCATTCTTTTACTAGAGAGAGCATAAGCAGACAAATGGAGGGAACAATGTAAAGGAGCAGGAAATGATATGTTGATGTCTACATCTACGTCTATGTCTACATCTACATCTACATTCATAGATCCACAACCTTCAACACAGTAACACCGTAAATAGATACAAAGTCGAAACATTGCGCATCGAGATATATTAGTCTCACTACTAAAAAATATAGAATATGGGTTTAATTACTAAGACTACGAACACACACTTATAGAAATCAAGAAGGTTTAAAATGAGATGGGACTTGTGTGGAATATAGATGTGCTGTTGGATAAGGTAATTTTGTCAGAATCTGGGAGAGGATCGGGAATTACGTTAGGCTGACATGTGAGATTGGGAGTTCGAGATTGAAGGTGAATGTGGCTAGGAGGTGAGGATAGGTTCGATGTCTATTGTAAGGGATATATGAGTGATTGCATAAACATAGGTTTACGCATATGCATAAAGGAAGTACATCGTCTAGTATATGCTGCTTGCAAATTAGAACAACACACCTATTATACCCATAGAAGTCACGGCCACTTGGCTAAATGAGTTCAAGGCAAAGTTCCGTAGATACAAAGTAAAAGAAACAGAGAAGGGGCAGGGAAAGGCGGCTTCACTTCACAGATTTGCACGGGGAATCAAAATCAATGGGGCCTTTTGCTCTTTGGCGGGCATCAGATGTGTTTGAACCATTGTTTGTAAGAAAAAGTTTCATGGGGATCACTATCCGAACGTCATTTCGTGCATGTCAGAGATACTCCGCTACCTCTCGATCAATATCGCCCTTCCTTGAAAGCCAGTGGATTCAGAACGCAGATACGTGGGGAAATACAGCCTGAGCATGTTAGCACGCCTGACATAGACAAGAGACTTCCCATGCCTTTCGTACAAACAAATCCACGCTCTCATCTGATACTTCGCAATCGGAAAGTAACGGCTGGATTATCATGGCGTACAAAACGCTCGACTAAGAGGACCAGATTTGACCACGTGTGAGCGGAAGTGATCGTGTGGTGGGTGGTTTTGATAAGTATTTTGTCACTGGGCTAGACTAAAGTTATCTTCGGGGGGTGTGTGTGTGTGTGTGTGTGTGTGTGTGTACCGTCAGTGTCTATTAGGTGCGTGAATGAATGAAGTAAGGGGAAGAAGAAACGTCAACTTCCACCTTTACATCCCGTGTGCATTGCATGGGTGAGGGTATGTTTACTTTGGTGAGTTGAAGAGATGGGGTAGGATGAGGGTGTTTGGGAATGGGGGATGGAGATCGAACATTGCTGCGAAGATATAGCTTGGAGTGCGAGGTTTAGGTATGTACATGGTATGTTGCGTATGGCATGACTTCGTCTAGATTTGAGGGCTTTGAGTTGGGGTGGGAATTGGGAGTATGCTCATCGCCGTCACTTTGGCATCAATCGCAGTAGAGATAGAATACTGGCGTGTGTTGTCATGGGTGTAAGTTACCAGTTGTGTAACCGTTCATATTTGATATGTGGTGGTGACACCTTGGGAAAGGGTAAAGGGGATGTATAAGAGAAATGGAAAAAGGGATCCAGCGAATCGCTGTTGCGGACAATTTTAATTCCTAGAAGATGGGAAAGTTGAAGGGATTTATGAAAAACATGCTCGAATTGCTATCGAATACACGGTTCATTTTACTTGTGCAGGAGACGGACGTGTGGTTATGGATGCTACAGTGTTTCTCTGTGTCTTGCCTGATTGAGAGTTTGTATTTGGTTCTTAGAAATTGTGAATGTGAGAGTGTCGCATGGAGAGATACTGCATCCGAATGAGATTGAGACATGCACGTTGGAGACCTTCGACGAAGTGACAGGATTAAGGATGGTGTAGACATCATGAGCTCGAGAGAAGAGGGTCGCTTCATGTTGAAGAAAGGGCTCCAATATATATATCCCACTGTCTTGAAGGTAGTTGATGTATGCAAAATTGCAGGGGCTGTCCTGCAGTGCCCACATAGTCGACCAATGATGATCAGTGACAGGAGATTTTGCTAATTCTCAGAATCTCCCAATCTTGATCTTCAGGAGTATTGGAATGGATCATCTCAGAAATCTTTATCGTGACCATTTCGACTACAAATTTACCAGAAATCATCATCAGATAATTTTTCCGTAATCCCAGTAGTTCTTTGGTACATAATTCCGTACAACGGTCTCATCCAGGTCTTCCATGCTCCCGTACGTGTATTCTATCCAGGTCTTCCATTCTCGATATGTTTCACTGTCTCGGTCTCCAACTCTGTGTGCCTCATTCTCTTCTGCTGTCATTTTGCTCTTTAGTAATTCACACAGCGCCTCGTTTTCGCTTCGCTCTGCGACCAGGAGAGGTGTCTCCCATCCAGTCAAAGTGTAATACCGTCCCCCGGGGCAGGGCGCCATGTTAACTTTGGCCCCATGATCGAGTAACAACCTCACGATGTCGGTTCTGCCACTCTGCGCTGCGACCCAGAGCACATCGTTGTCCGTCTTGTTCGGGTCTGCGCCTGCATCGAGAAGTACACGAACAATCTTCTCATGCCCAGACTTGACCGCCGCGCGAAGCGGGTTCCATGGTCTCTCCGGCCTGATTCTTTCATGGGTGAGACCTCGTATATCCACGCGGTTTTTTGTCCCATCGCTGGTGTCCTGTACTGTCGCGCCTTTGTCCAGGAGATACTTTGTGACATCCTCACGCTGAATACCCGCCGTGCAAATCCTATGCAGCTGTTCGTTCAGGTCAGGCTCATCGCCGAATTGATTGTAAATACTCGGTTCCGGGGACGATCTCAGGAGTTCGTAGAATTGATGGCAGAAGTCGACAGACGCGGAGTTCGCCATGCCTGTGGACAACGGCGTTTCCCCCCAAAGAAATTCCTCATAATGGGTTGATATCCAAAGCACTTCCTCCCAAAGCCAGCCTGAGAAGTTACCGATTCGACCGAATTCCGGCGATAGAATGAATTGAATTGTCTGTATGCAGCCTGAATGGATGGCGCCGTAGAAGGCTTCCTCGAGGAGTTCGGTGCGTTCGCGCAGGTGTGCCGTCAGTGGTGAAAGGAGGAGCCGGATGATGGATCGATTTCCGTGCATGCCTGCGAGAACCATAGGTGAGTCTTCGATACTATCCCAAGAATGACGGGCAAGAATGCCTTGTGGAACGTCTGGTGATGAGAGAATGTTCGAAATGATGTCTGGCTGATCGTTTATAATCGCTGCTTGAAGGAGATAGCGTTGATTGCAGCCTTTGCTTCTCAAATGGAAGCACATTTCAAGGGATTTGGGGCTGTAACACATCGAATGAATATACTTCCGCAAGTGGGTGGCTTCAGAGTTCCCAGTCTGAGCGCAGAGGGTTTCTGCCGTCTGGAGAATCCAACCCACATCGGGTCTATCACAACGGAAGCGGGCCCTAGATGCCGCGAAGGACTGAAAAGAGGATACAAAGGATAAAAAGTGAGGATCCTGCCACCTTAGGCGCCATGGTTTGAAGTAATTACTGTAATGGAAATTGTTTTGCAACATCGGGTACGCAACGCCTGACTCAAACACCGTCGGTAAGACCTCAACTGAGAATACTTCTAGTTACAAGTAAGTGAGTGGTTTTCGGACACCAGAGCCACAACGACTCTGAAAATCGAGACAGAGCCATATCGCAGTGGTTTCTATTGGCTGAGAAAATCAAGAAACAGCACATTCTGAAGCAACGTCATGGAATAAACTTACTACTAACAAGCCGTAACCGCAAGCCCAGAGTGACTCCTCGAACACGTACTGCCTCAACCAGGATCGTTCGAAAGAGCTCTAGAGGGAGATCCGTGAGCATTTTTTCGGATTGTAAGAAGGATCAAAAATTAAAGTAGGAAGAAGTTGTAGTTGGTGCAATTGAGGGATGGGAGTAACATTTATATGCAGAGTACATGTAGGCAGCTATTGGGTGGCATCATCTCAGTGCAAGACCATCGCATTGTGTATGTTGAAGTAAAAAGAGTAGCGCTAGTTGCTTGAGCACAAGTCCAAGTTTATTTTAAAAAGCGTTGAGGGAAATAAGGAGCGTGGTGAATGTTCTCGCCAGACAAAATTCCATCTGGGAATCTCGATCAAGTTGAGCAAGTATGTAACATATTGTTCCTCCTGCTAAATATACATTCACAAAGCCTTTTTCTTGGTAAGGAAACACAAAGGAATGCCTCTCTTGCAACTCAGGCTTTTGTTCTTTCAAGGCTATTGTTCTTAGTTTAGGGCTAAGTCAACCCCGTCCCCGAAGTATATAATTTATTCCGATGGAAGTTTCAACGATGACTTTCATTCTGGTATTTGCTTGTAACTGGGGCTCGGAAGATCAGGTCTTGAACAGGTACTGTTCATGATTGTCAGTCTAGCTTTTGGCGTTACTGGCGATTCCATGGGGTTCAGTGTAAGCAATCTCACAAGGCTGGATATGTTTGGAAGCATGTCTATTGACAATGGCATGCTCGGCCTTAAAGCTTAATAGGGTTAGGACCCAGGGATATATGTGAACAGGTCCAGTATCCATGAGGTTCGGTCTGTGATCCGTGGAACGAATCGTAACCATTTGTTAATACATTCGGTCACATTGAACCTTAAGTTCAAGAACAGGGCTGTATCTAACTTGTGGTACCACACTATTATGGAGAGTGATGCATCTTAACAGGTAGCAAAAACTTTGATATCTCTTCTTAACTTATTTCTATGCATTAGATCGCGCATTTCATTTAGTAACGTCCGTCCCTGCGTAACGAAAAACCCTCCGTGCCGAAAAGTTCAAGGGGTACTTTGACTTGGCTGGCTTGCTATCTCAGATATGCATCAATATTAAGCTATTTGTGATATGCCACAGGTATTATAGCTTTTGCTCTATGTAACGCACTGTTCCTATTCTAAAATTACCTCTGCATTGTTGCCCTCTCGCCTTCCTTCCAGCAGGTCTACATTTGCGAAGCAGAAAGGACTTTCCGAAAGCAGTGTTATTCTACTGCTCGTGCAGCCCTAATACGTCTTATTTAAGAGTTTCTAGGCTTGTAATCATACCCCAGCCACTTAGATGTCACTATCAGCTCTATTTCTAGTGCAGCACAGAGATTTGGGCAGAATTGCCACCGCGCGTAGTACCTAGGAGCGAAGCAGTTACTGTCTATAGCTAGCGTGTTTGCTATGTCAGCTGTTTGGGAACATAACTTACGTTGCAAAGTTGCAAACAGGACAAACAGGATACAGTACCTTGCAACACCAGTCTCACCTTTGGCACGTTCCGAGATTTTATCAGATCCTTGTCGCGCAAGGATATCCCTTGTCTGCAGAGCGAATGACCGGTGCGTCAGTATTAACGTTAAGGTCTTAGCTTTGCAAGTATTAACATGACTCGTGCTAATCTTGCAACTTCCTCGACTGCTGTCAAGTACATTTCAAATATAAGTTATTCCATAGTAAGCGCAGCCTTGAGAAGGTAATAAGTGCGTATAACATAAAGCAGAATTGTTAACTCATCGCAAGAGTTCTAACTGCTTGCTCTGCTTCCCATTCAGCTAAGGTTTCCTGAGAAGATACTAGATCAGGATGCCCTGCTCGAAGAGTCTGACAGCCAAGATGAACGCACTCCTGCAGCAAGCCTATAGCTTCAGCACTTCTCTCTAAGCTCTTCCATGTCCAAGCAAGATTAGCCATGCTGGTCAGCGTGTCTGGATGGTCCGCTCCTAGTTTCTTCTTGC